TTTAACTATACGGACCTTTGTTGGCAAGGTGATGTCTCTGCTTTTTAAGATGCTGTCTAGGTTTGTCATTGCATAAAGAATATACACCTACCTAAATGTATTTAAAACACTCTTATACTGCTTTAACCATCATGGCATCATCCAAAGAATTCTGGGAATTGTAGCTCTGTTAGGGGACTTCTAAGGACTCTCAGCATCCTTAACGAACTACAGTTCCTAGAATTTATTTATTTATTGCTGGAAACCATGATGGTGATGATTTTATTTGCCCATCTGACTGGGTTGCCCCAGCATGAACAGTTTCATTGTATGGTGTAGATGAGATAATGGCATGTCCAAGGACACTAGCTGCATTTTTAAAGCTGGATAGATACAAAAATTGATCACATGCACCATCCTTCATATTATGTCTCTTAACCTCTGTTGCAGGAATTTATGTATAGGTTGGGGTGGGGTTGCCCCTCCAGCAGATATCATGCACATGCAGCCCACTACCAAAATCAGCACAATCACTTTTGTGACTTGTCCCCACAAAGCACTTCATCACAATTTCTTCCTATCTATTCGAAGGGCCTCTGCTGCACAATACCAAATGTAAGAATTCACTGATAAATGTATCTATGTACTGGCTCACTGAGAAAACTTCAGAAATTCATATAGACATGTGAGCTCAGCTACTCAGCAGCTCCTCTGCCTGAGTGATACCGGTAATTCCTGGCATCCTGATACCTGAGTGCCAGACAGGTAGCCATTCCAGAAGTAACAAACCCAGATGAAGACAAAACGGTGTGATTAACTTGGCTGGGAAACAGGGAAATGTAAATATCTCTTTTGTTACACTTGATGGGTGTTTGGTGGAGGGCAAGGAGAACCAGGGGGCAGGGTCCAGGATGCTCAGATTACTGCCACCAGACCTCCCCTTTCGTGAGGTAACCATGATGTATTAGTGATGTAGTTTGGGGGGGGTGTAACATGGGGATTAGCAGCTAATAAAAGTTTGGGTGCTCTTTTGTTTGGGGCTTCCATCTTGTTCCACTTTGTGGCAGGTGGGAGTCCTGTCGTGACAGTCTTCAATAAAGACCAAGCCTACTGGCTGCTGTTTTGCTCTGGTATTCCTGGCTGGTGTCCTTGTTTTTTATCCAAGGGAGCCCTCAGATTTCTCTGTTAACACCTCATTTGTATTTCAGCCTTCTTTCAGTGATGTTTGGCATGCATTGATAGGGGCTACCCCACTTTATCCTGATAACAACCCAGTGAGGATTATGACGACAACCCTGTGAGGTTTATGATTGGAAGGGGAATCTAATTTCCCCAGCAGTTACTGCGCCATACTGGCAATCGCTCAGCAACAGGGTACATCTGAACCCATAACCTTCCTACACGTAATTCTTACCAGTAAGGCCCCACCCTCACTCCGAGTACTGTAAAGCTTTTCACATAAGTACACCAAAAAACAAAACAAAAAAGAAAGGGGGAAAAAAGGAAGTGCTTTTACTTGAAGTGGGAAATAAAAAGAAAAACCTTTTGCACAATTCGGGGGTTTACACGAAAAAAACACACAAATGTATTGCGTAGGCAAGTCTACAAAAATTCACACCATTTATCAAAACACGTCAAGTCATGAACCTTGTTTGTCTATTCCAGCAATTTATCGTACTGCTTAATTACAATAATACAGTGGTACCTCGGGTCTCGAACGAAACCCGTTCTAGAAGCCTGTTCGGCTTCCGAAACGTTCGAAAACCGAGGCGCGGCTTCCTATTGGTTGCAAGAGCTTATTGCACTCAGCGGAAGCTGCGTCGCATGTTCAGGTTCCAAAAAATGTTTGAAAACGGAAGCATTTCCTTCTGGGTTTTCGGCGTTCGGGAACTGAAATGTATGACAACAGAGGCTTTCAGGAACCAAGGTTCCACTGTATCTAAGTCAGAGCTTTCCAAACTGTGTGTCGTGACACATTAGTGTGTCGGTTGCAGTATGTTTAGGTGTGTAGCACGATATGTGTCCTTATCTCTTATAAGGGGTTAGTTTAACCTCCCGGGTTGCTAGTAAAACTGAATTAACATGTTGCAAAATGATGCACGTCTAAAAAGTGTGCCAACAGCGTGAAAAGTTTGGAAAGCTCTGCTCTAAGTGGTGTAGATCAAGCCCAACAAATGCAATAAAGTTTTTCATTTTTGTTTTTTTTTAATCTAATTATAAAATCAGAAAGGAGTTAAAATGCTTGCTGGATTTTTAAAATATATTTTTATAAGTTTTTGGTAGGTACTGGAAGTTCAGCAAGGAGGGGTCTACACCAATCTCAGCTGTGAGGGTGTTTCACAGAAGTGGGCCCCTAATACTGAGCACAGGACTTCTAGAACTTATGAGCTCTGTGGTCCAAGCCACAGGTACTGTAACCAGCTAAGAGACTTCCCCCCAAGGCCTTGGTGATGGGGTGGGGATATAAGGATCAGTTGGCCCTTGTTCTTAAGGGCAATGGAATCTGACACAAGAATCTTGAACCTGGCCCCCAGTAGCATCTGTGCAGCCAATGCAAGCTTTTGAGTCATGTGCTGGCGATGGTCTGTCCCCAATCAGCAGTCTAGCTGCAGCATTTTGACCCAGCTGGAATCTCTGGAGCCATGGCTGCCCCCCACAGAATGCATTCCAAGAATCAATTCTTGTGGTAGTGCGTAACAGAGGTGCATGCCTCTCCAGAGGGTCAGGGGGGCCTGACGCAATGTCCTCTGAATATTGAGGGGGCACGACCCTCTCATAAAAATATCCGGGGGCCCAAAACTGCTTCGCCCCGAGGAGTTGATGCCTACGTTGTGTAGAGAGGCTCCCCCATATCCAATACAGTCTTACCTTGGTTGTCAAATGCCTTGGTACTCAGACGTTTTGGTTCCCAATCGCCGCAAACCTGAAAGTGAGTGTTCCGGTTTGCAAATGTTTTTTGAAAGCCGAACGTCCGACGCCACTTCCATGGCTTCTGATTGAGTGCAGGAAGCTCCTGCAGCCAATTGGAAGCTGCGCCTTGGTTTTTGAACTGTTCCGGGAGTCAAATGGACTCGCCGAACGGATTACGTTTGACAATCAAGGCACCACTGTATAGACATGAAAAATGATTGTTTATAATTGACGGGGTGTGTCTTTTGTCCAGCAAGCTCTTCCCTGGCACTGGTCTTGTGCTTCACCACTCCGGCTTCTGAAGGGCAGCTTTGCATGAGTGCAAAAAAGGGTCCCGATCCCAGCTTTCTGGATGAGATGCTGAGCCACACGGTCTCCCCAACACTACATCTCCATTTCGCCTTCTTGGGATCTGTGCAAGGTCTTGTTTATGCCCAGTAACTGTGTATAAAGCTGAAGGTTTGGTATGAAAACTGTCACAACTGATGGGGGAAATCAGGGAGCGTGTGTGCTTACACACGCAAGCATTTTTGTATCTTAGCCTTAAAGCGAAAGATGTGTGCGTACGTTGAGGAATGTGGGCTGTCAAGTGGGAAGCAGAGAGTTAGACTGGGCCAAATGCAGCCCAAGGGCTGCCAAGTTGCCGACTCCCACATTATATGAAGCAATTCATTCAACATTTACAACTGAGTTACAATGCTACTACAGCACTGCAGTGGGGGAAGCAGGAAAAGAGACAAAATGTGCTTTGTAATTGCTCAACTTCCTACCTAAGTGCTGTCATTTTAACCACTCAGTTGGGGGCAGGGGGGAGCAGGAAAGGGGAAAGACTGCTGGAGAGGAAGTGGAAAGACTAGCTTCCTCGAAGCTGCTTTATCTAAACCCAGGATGGGGAACGTCAGTCCTGGGGGGCATGGGAATAACCAGTATTTATGTTTGGGGCGGCGGCAGGACACCCACATGTTGTCATCCTCTGTCTGGCTCTGTCTAGCTGATTTTGAATGAAATGTCTCAACAGCAGTTGTTTTAAATTACTTTCTTTTGACCCCTTGAGCTCAGGAAAATCTGTTAAAACCTTTCTACAATTTATACTCAGCATGCCCTCAGCATGAAAGGGGAGCCTTTTAACCACTCTGCGTTCGTCCAGTGTGCCGATTAGAGGAAACATAACTTAAGGTTACCAGACATCCCCGTTTCCTGGGACAGTCCCCGGATTTACAAATCAGTCCCCATACAAAATCCATTGAAATTGAAAAGTGTCCCTGGATGCATTGAAAAAAAAAATCTGGTAACCTTAACTTAACTCGCTTGGAAAAAAAGGACATTGGAGCACTCAAAATCATTTGCCCTGTTGGATATTCTCTCTCTGTGTGAGAGAGAATCATTTGTTCCAGAAACAGAAGGATAGAGAAGTTTCAAGAAGTAGCAGAAGGCTGAGATGGTTTTGTCTATGCAAGGACACCCAGCAGCAAAAGTGATGCTGGACCCAGTCCTTCTAAATCATTCATCAGAGGTTGTTGGATTGATCCAACATGCCCCCATATGTACACAGAAAATAGAAGATCGAGCGCGTGGAGATCTGCATATACTGTTGCAATGCATTACATTTATTCCTACTGTGCAGTTAGAAGGTTATTGTATAATATTAGAATGGGGTGTAGCTGTGACAATGATGAAGGGACCCTGCACTTCTGAATTCGCCACTACATCCCTGGGAAGGATATAAGCGTAATTAAGTGACAATGAATGGCTGGGTGAACGTGGCGATGCCCTGAACCCTTGCACCTGCTCTGTGCTCACGCCGCCAGCAACATTTCCAGACAGGAACTGAAACGGGCAGTAGGGCTAAAGGCTGAATCCTACAAACAGGGCGAGATCTTAAGCGCCCTTCTCAACATGCCGTTTCAGCCCACCCACCTAAAGCCACACTCCTTATGGCGCTCGCCGCGAATCACGCTACGCATGCGTATTCGCCTATGCCCGAGTCCTATGCCCGCCGAAACCCGGCCACAGCATTTACGCATGCTCAGTTAGGTATGGCTGCCCGGAAGCTTTGCCACTCCAAACATGGCGGCGGCGGCCGGCCGGAGGGTAGTAGGTCTTACGCATGCGTGTTCCATCCGACCACTCGCCGAAGTCTGAGTTTGGATTCCCGCCGCTACCCGGATGAAGAAAACACAGAGGCGGTGGCCAATGGGAAGAGGTTTGGCATGGCAACAAGGGGCTGGAGTGACAGGCTCCTCCCCTGAACTTGTTGGCGGGAGACTGGTCGAGGGAGTCGGGGTAGTGAGGTGAGAGTGTGCGGGTTTGAAGTGGTTTGGGGGTGGGGTGGACTGCGGGTATGGGGAGATGGTGGGTGACGTGAGCGAGCCCATAGGGGTTCCCTGGGGGCAGAGACTGAGGCAGGGAGCCTGGGGCTGACGGTAGTTGGGGGTCCAGCAACATCTGCAGGCCCCCTTGGACTATTGGAGACTCTTGGAAGCAACTGGGAGTGGGGTGGGTGCTGGGTGCTGAAGGCATGGAAGGTGTGGGTGCTCCTGGGAGAAGGGTCGTGTGGAAAACGAATGTGGAAAAGGAAATTAGAGTGGCTGGGGAAACGCAGCCAGGTGGTCGGGGTATAAATAATAATAATAAATTTTATTTATACCCCGCCCTCCCCAGCCAAGACCGGGTTCAGGGCGGCTAATAAAAACAAGTTGATTAAAATACAATTTGAAAAACAAGATTAAAATAGAACATTAAAACATTAGGATGCAGCCTCTTCACAGGAGGAGGAAGGAAAAAGAAAGAGGGGGAGGGAATCAAACTGATTCTAAGCCAAAGGCCAGGCGGAACAACTCTGTCTTACAGGCCCTGTGGAAAGAAATCAGATCCCGCATTATTATTATTATTATCATTAAACTAGAGCAGGATGCATTGAAAGAAGAGGGCAGCAGGTTAATGTGGGGGTAGGGCATAGGATCCAGCTCCTAGGGCCTAAGGTCCTTTTGGCCCCCTCAATGAAATAGTTGAGGGGGCCACCCCCTCCCCCCATTAATGGGCATTTCCTTTTAAAGGGTGTCTTGTGATTGATTATGTGGGGCAAGGCTTACCTTGCTCCCCCCCCCCAATATTGTATTCAAGCTGGCACCCCTGCGGTAGGGTAGGTGGGGTTGATCACGGGGAGCGGGGAAGTGGTGTGCGGGTGACAACCTTAGGTGGCCTATGGTTCTTAAGTGCTCTTGTCGGTGGTTGATTCTGGTACTGTGTTTGCTCTTGAGAGCTTCCCTTCTGGATCAAACCCAACGGTTCATCAATTGCTGCTGGGAAATGGCTTTAAAAAGAATTGTGTAAAATTCATGCAGTGCAGCTTTTGTTGTGTCTTCTACCTCTGATAGCCTTGAAGGAGCAAAGCCATAGGTGGTGATGGCTGTTTCTGTCAACCCAGCCTGTGAATTTCCCTGGGGGCATCTGGCCAGTCATTGGTGAAATAATGCTAATCTTCATGACCCATTACTTTGATTCAGTATGACCATCCTTATATGCTTTAAAGAGAACTCGGATCCAAACTCACAAAATATATATTCTCCTGAAGTTTGCATATATGTTTGCAGGTTGGGGTGGGTGGTTGTTTTTGAAAAAACAGCTGATTGCAGGTGTCATTTTCAGCAGAGGATCAATTTGGAAGATGAAGAGTTGCTTAACTATTTCTCTTCCTGTTGTTTATCTGCTCAGAATAGCCTCTACCTGGCAGGTGGGGAAACATTTGAGGGCAAGAGTGGATAAATGACAGACAGGGGAAGTGTTAAACAGTCTCCCTTAGCTTGCTCATTGCAACCTCTGAGGCTGCCTTTCAGTAAAACAAACATAATTTTGTTTTTATTTATGTCATGAGTAAGGCCTTAATTATAATCACTGGCCTTTGAACTTAGTCTTTCAGTGTGAATGCTTGCAGTAGAAAGGATTTACATATTCTTGCTGTGCATCATTATAGGCAAAGTGTACAGATTATGGTTGTCACCATATCAGGGGAGTAGGTGAAAACTGGTGCCACATTTGTGGGTGGGTGCAGTGGGTGGGTGTCATGGCAGGGAAGCACAATTCCATGAGAGTACTGGACCCTTTAGCAATGTATAATGTGAACAATGGCTGCAAAGGGCGCCATGGTGTATTCCTAGTTAAGGTCAGCAATAGCCAATGAGTAATAATCCTCCAGGCATTGTTGGACTACAGCTCCCATCATCCTTAATCAATGGTCATGGTGACTAGGACTGATGGGAGTCATAGTCCAAGAAAATCTGGAGGGCACCACATGGGTTACCCCGGTTGACAGATCCCTGTCTGCTTTCATAGTGTAACCAGGAGTTGTGGAAGTCTTTGGGGAAGACTGTGACATTTATGAAGAACTGGTTTGGCTATTGATGTGGGACACTCTTCTCTCTCTTCTAGGAATGCCAATATGGAAAGCAAACGGAAGGCTTCTGTGGGGGAGCCTACTCTTTCCCAGAGGAAGAAGTCACGAGGAGGTGATTGGGAAGAGGATGGTCCCTCACAGTTTGAAGAGGAACTGGCCTTTTTGGATGAGGTAGAGGCTGAGATGGCTCTGGAGGTGAAGGAAGCACAGTTGGTACCTGATGTCATCCCCTTTGGTGAGTTACATGGGTTCCAGATACGGAGCAGACTACCTAGGCAAATGAGTCAGAAAGGTTGGGCAGCGGACTGACAAAGCAAAATGTATGTTTGTTGGTGGTATGGGGAGCCTTTGGCCTTCCAGATATTGCTGAACAGGTTCCCATCAGCCCCAGCAAGCATGGCCAGTGTAGTTCAGCCAAACCTAGAAGGCCCATGGTTTCCCACCTAGTTTACTGCTGTAATTCAGCATTCAATGGCACATAAAAAAAAGAAATGCTAAATGCTGAATTACAGCAATAAACCAGGTGTGGGAAACCATGGGCCTTCTAGATGTGGCACTGAGTAATGTTGAGCACATTGCATATTGTGTTTAATTGAAACCACTGTGAGACTTTGCCTTTCCTTTTTTATTTTTATTTTTGGTGCTGCCCCATCTCTCTTCTTCCTACTCTCTGCAACTAGCAGTTTGAACTTGGAAGGTACAAGATCTTTAGCTGTTCCAAATTTGTAGTTGGTCAAAAGAGAATTGATGGTCGTGATTGATGTGAGTTTCTTCTTCCTTCAGGTAATCTCTTCTCATCGGTGCAGAATCCAAAATGGCAGAGACCACCGCCTCCCAAAATAAACCCCAAAGAGGAAGCTCTGTGTTTCCAGCAAGTGGAACTAGATTATTATGTGGGTGAGTACATAAGCGAATAAAATGCTGACGAAAAGGTATTGAAGGTGCTGCAGAATGGATTCCATTCCTTCTGGGAAGGGGTTTGCCGAACTAGGTATTCCCTTTGCCTTACTGAACAATAACTCTCTGGTACAGAAAGGGAAGTCTGAAGCTGTTATACTTCCTGGGGCTTTTGATAGCTACAATAGCCCCATAATATTCTTAGCCCTGTTTGCCGGACAGAGTGGATAAAGTCTGGAATTCCCCAGAGAAATTGTAGTCCCATTTTTCTGATTGTTGGGATGAGGAAAGGTATCATGGCAAGCTTGTAGGAAGGTATATTTGGAAATCTGTGTGCAAAGTATTGTGAAGTCTTTCATTTCGAAAGAAAATAAATGTTAAGTTGCTAGCCCTTAAGGTTATGGAATGGAAAATGTACCAAAATAATGTGGGCTGATTCTGCTAAAATATATATTAAAAAGTTAGAGGTGGTCTAAAAGAGCATTTTTTCAGTTCATATCATACATGGTTCACTAGCGATGTTTTTTTAGTGGAAAGACAATTGTAATTTAAATAGTTAAATACTAATCGTACATTATCAACATTCAGCAACTGATCCAGCCTCTCTCTCTTCTTGAGGCAGGCGCTCACCTCCCTGGCTTCCCAGGATCCACTCAGGGTCCAGTTCCTGTCCTGCGGATGTTTGGAGTCACTGGAGCCGGCAACAGTATCTGCTGCCACATCCATGGCTTTGCCCCCTATTTCTATGTGCCCGCCCAGGCTGGTGAGTGTTTACAGAGGGAGGGGTTCTCCCCAAACCACCCTCCTTCCTTCTGCAGCTTAGTCAGTCTCCTGCTCCCCTTCCTCTTTCTGTTAACTTTTCTCCCAGGATTCCAAGCAGAACATCTGGCTGACTTTCAGCGGGAACTGAATGCGGCTGTCATCCGGGACATGCGATCCAACAAAGACGGTCTGACCCAAGTTGTTCTGGCAGTGGAGATCTGCAACAAGCAAAGTGAGCACAAGACAGTTTGTGTGTAGGCACCCCCTTTGTCTGGAAAGATGGTTGGGTTAGACCAGGGCTGCCCAAACTTGGGTCTTGGACTACAACTCCCATCATCTCTAGCTAGCAGGACCAATGGTCAGAGATGATGGGAATTGTAGTCCAAAAGCAACTGGAGACCCAAGTTTGGGGAACCCTGTGTTAGATCCAGATTTGGGATGACTGCTGAGCATTAACATCACAGCAGCCTTGCTCTTTTAGCACCCAGAACAGTGTTGCCTTTTCATGCTCAATTCCTCATGCTGTTTGTAGCGGTTGAGTCCGGCCTGAATAGGCAAGATTGTGTTGTATGTATAATAGGAGCAAAAGAGTTCTAAAGTCGTTGACCGATCCTAGTCCTTATGCTTGTAAATAGCTTTATGAAACATTACAACTGTAATGTTTATGAACTTCCAGCTTGGAGCGCCTGCGGTCTCCGCCAGATGTGCAAGGTTGGAGGGAAGAAGTAAGATGCAGAGCTGAAAGCTGTAGATGTCAGGAACAGGAGGAGATGGGGATTTGTGATAAGGTTTGAGGAGTCTGAATTCCCCCAGGGCCTTAAGACTCTTCCCCTGTTCACTTAGACATGTATGGCTACCACGGGCAACATCTTGCACCCTTCCTGAAAATTACTATGGCATTGCCCCGGCTAATTGCACCAGCCAAGAGGTTGCTGGAACAGGGACTACGCTGTGGGACGCTGGGAGTGCTCCACTATCAAGCCTACGAATCGAACATTGACTTTGAAATCAGGTAGGAAAGTCCAACTCCTCAGAAAGCTGGCACTTTTCACCCTGCTCTGTTCAACCAATCAGAGCTAAACAGCTTCAGCAGAATGCAGTTTCTAGCCCTCACGGTTGCTTGGGAATGTGTGGCATATGCAGAGGCTCAGACTTCATAGGCTTGAACACGCTCTACATAGGGCTACCTTTGAAGGTGACCCGGAAACTACAACAAATCCAGAATGCAGCAGCTAGACTGGTGACTGGGAGTGGCTGCCAAGACCATATAACACCAGTCCTGAGAGATCTTCATTGGCTCCCAGTACGTTTCTGAGCACAATTCAAAGTGTTGGTGCTGAACTTTAAAACCCTAAACGGCCTTGGCCCAGTATACCTGAAGGAGCATCTTCACCCTCATCGCTCAGCTCCAAGGGCCTTTTGATGGTTCCCTCACTGAGAGAAGTGAGGTTACGGGGAACCAGGCAGAGGGCCTTCTCAGTAGTGACGCTCACCCTGTGGAACGTCCTCCCACCAGCTGTTAAGGAAATAAACAACTATCTGACTTTTAGAAGACATCTGAAGGCAGCCCTGTTTAGGGAAGTTTTTAATGTTTGATGTTTTATTGTGTTTTTAATATTCTGTTGGGAGCCGCCCAGAGTGGCTGGGGAAACCCATCCAGATTGGGGGGGGTAGAAATAATAAATTATTATTACTACTGTTATTACTACTACTACTACTACTATTATTATTATTATTATTATTATTTATTATGTGAGAAGACTGGGTGAGTTTTTGGTCTTAACACACATATCCAGGTATGTTTGCAGAGATGCCGTTACTTCCCCATCAGAATCAAATGACTGTGATCCTGCAGTGTGGGACATAGGTAGAAGTGAGTTACAAGCACACCTGGATAGAGTCTTGAGTGTGAGGCGCCTGCTGAAACACCCTGTTTGCCTCTGTTCCCTTAACGCTCCCATCTACTTTCCCTCCTCTCCTCTCCTGCATTATATTTGAGGCAGATGGGGGAAGGTGTGATTTCTTTCCAAGTCTTTCTCTACCCAGCTCCCATCAAACCCAAGATTTCTCTCCCAACTTAGGTTCATGGTGGACCGGGATGTTGTTGGCTGCAACTGGATTGAACTGCCTGCCGGAAAGTACCGCCTGCGACAAGAACAGCCTGCTGGGGAATCCAGCAAGGATAACCCACCCAAGGTGCTGGGGTTGGGGAGAGGGCAGGTTTCTGAAGGTGTAGAGTTGAGCAGGTGGAGAAAGGTGTGTTTGGGGATGTCTGAGTTGGCATAGCTTTTAGTTGGCTGGACCTGAGCAGAGTTTGGTGTTTTGTGCCTAGTGGGGGATATTTTCTTCTGGAAGATATAAGCACAGTGTGTGCAGTCAGGATAGGAAATCTTCAGAGCTGAAAACTACATGTTAGCGGCTGTAGGAGGTAAAGGTAAAGGGACCCCTGACCATTAGGTCCAGTTGTGACCGACTCAGGGGTTGCGGCGCTCATCTCGCTTTATTGGCCAAGGGAGCCGGCGTACAGCTTCCGGGTCATGCGGCCACCATGACTAAGCTGCTTCTGGCGAACCAGAGCAGCGCACGGAAATGCCGTTTACCTTCCCGCCGGAGTGGTACCTATTTATCTACTTGCACTTTGATGTGCTTTCAAACTGCTAGGTTGGCAGGAGCAGGGACCGAGCAACGGGAGCTCACCCCGTCACAGGGATTCGAACTGCCGACCTTCTGATCAGCAAGTCCTAGGCTCTGTGGTTTAACCCACAGCGCCATCCGCGTCCCTCAGCGGCTGTAGGAATTCCTCGTTAATTCTTCCTTTTCCTCCTCCTCACCCCTAGGTGTCGCTGTGTCAACTGGAGGCTGATATCGCCTGGATGGATTTCGTGAGCCACCCGCCCGAGGGAGAGTGGCAGCGCATTGCCCCCTTGCGTGTGCTCAGTTTCGACATTGAATGTGCTGGACGCAAAGGTATTGAGGAAAGTTGGGGCAGAACAAGACACGATGAGAAAGTTTTTAGGTCCTGGTAGGTGGGAGGCTAGTTAGCCAGGACTCTGCTGAGTAACTTCATAAGTTTTATAACAAATGACAAGGTTTTACAAATCTGAAACATATCTTGGTCTAAATGGCCCTGTTCGGTAAGACATACATTCAACACTGAAATGTCTCTTCCTGAGGTCATTTTTGCAGGCAATCTGTGTCAGCCCACAAGAAATAGTGTATTATTATGTAGTGGTTTGTGCAGTAGGCCTGACAAGCTGGGGATTCTTATTTTTCCTGGGCAGGCGGTTGTTCCTTAGATTTCAGAGCAAACAATAACTTACCTAAGTCTTACTGTAATATCAAGGGCAGGGTGTCTAGGCTTAGAGTTGGCAAAAGACATCCTGGCAGTGTATGAGCTCAGAAGAACTTGTGAGATTAACTATTGGTGTGGGCAGGTGTTATAAGTGAAGGGGTTAAACCATAATAGTGGATTCATCATTGCTACAATCCAGAACAGATAGCCACTTCTACAGTCCCTGAATGGCAGTGGGGAGCTGTCAGTTTTTCCATTGACGATCCGATTCTGCATTTTGTTTCGTTTCCCTGTTCAGGTATTTTCCCTGAACCGGAGAAGGACCCAGTGATCCAGATCGCCAATATGGTCCTCCGCCAGGGGGAGAAGGACCCTTTTGTGCGCAATGTCTTCACCTTGCAGAGCTGTGCCCCTATCGTGGGTTCCCAGGTGCTCTGCTTCCAAAAGGAGGCGGAGCTGCTCAAGGTAATGGGGTGATATCGGGGCTAGAAAATGCCCTGAGAAGTGTGTGGAGGATCTGAGCAGCGGTGGAGGCCCCTGGGTGTTGCAGTGGAATGCTGTGTATGGAGGTGTACGTACTAAGCTATCTGGCTTAGTCTGTGGGGATGATTGTTTGTTTTCAACGACATGTACAGTGGTACCTCTGGTTGCGAATGGTGTTGATGGTGTTACATGATTTTAAACTTATCCTGTGTATCCTCATGAATTACATACTGGAAGCTGCCTTCAGTGGGTTTCCTATAAGTATATTAAACATACTATACTATAATATAATATACTATAATAATAATTTTAGAATTAAAGGGCTCTGTCCTCTCCCCATATAAAGCCCCTGGGAGGGATCATCAGGGGGGTGGGGCTGGGTGTTCACCAGTATGCGGATGATACCCACCTCTACCTCTCTTTTCAATCGGAACCAGTGAAGGTGGTGAATGTCCTGTTCGAGTATCTGGAGGGGGTTGGAGAATGGATGGCAGTTAACGGATTGAGGTTGAATCCTGACAAGACAGAAGTACTGTTTCTAGAGGGCAGGCAGGCGTGGGGGACTCCCTCGTCCTGAACGGGGTAACTCACAGCTGTCCATGGAGGCACAGGTCATTTCCTCTGCAAACAAGTGGCAAAGCTTGGAAGGGCCTCATCCTGAGATCCTGGATTGCTGAAAGCCTCTGCCAGACAGAGGAAACAGTAGTGGGATAGACAGACCCTATTACACGTTCTGCGTACGACAGCTCCATATAGCCAAATATCACAACTTTCTTCCAGGCCTGGGCAGAATTCATACGGACAGTGGACCCGGACATCATCACTGGTTATAACATACAGAACTTTGACTTCCCGTACCTCATCACCCGTGCGCAGACCCTCAAGGTGAGCCTAGCTTTCTCTGACCAAGTACATGTTTTGCCTGCCACTGCAAGTGCAGTTCTGTGGCTATTCCTGCATTAAAACAGGCCACGCTTTGCTTTGTCTGACAGGTTCCAGGCCAGGAGTGTGGAATCTTTTGAAACTGCGGAAACTGGCCACTGCCCCCACCCCAAATGCGTGAACTGTCACACTCACAAAGGCTTATCTGTACCTCTTTGTAGGTTTTCCCTTTAGAGGTCTGCGTACATGAGATGGTGTTTGCCCTCTGAACTTTTTACAAATACAGTGGTGCCCCGCAAGACGAATGCCTCGCAAGACGGAAAACCCGCTAGACGAAAGGGTTTTCCGTTTTTCGATGCGCTTCGCAGGACGAATTTCCCTATGGGCTTGCTTCGCAAGACGAAAATGTCTTGCGAGTCTTGAGATTTTTTTCGCTCCCCCCCCCCTTTTTCTAAGCCGCTAATAGCCTTTTAGCCGATAAGCCGATAAGCCTTTAATAGCCGCTAAACCGCTAATAGCGCTAATCCGCTAAGCCGCTAATAGGGTTGCTTCGCAAGACGAAAAAACCGCTAGACGAAGAGACTCGTGGAATGGATTAATTTCGTCTTGCGAGGCACCACTGTACTTTGTACTTAAAACGGTTTTGAAAATCTGATTCCCAGGTAATCAGGTGCACTTTCAATGAATCGAACCAGTTAACTGATTAAACGATGCAGCCTTACGTATAAGCCTCCTGCCTTTATCTTCCTGCCATGGCTCACAGCTTCCTTTTCTGCATCTCTTCCCATCCCAGGTTACCACATTTCCCTTTCTGGGCCGTATCCCTGCACGTAAGTCCGTCATCCGTGACTCTTCCTTCCAGTCCAAGCAGATGGGCCGGCGAGAGAATAAAGTCATTAACATGGAAGGCAGAATCCAGTTTGATCTGCTTCAGGTAAGCAAGGCTGATAGACCTATTTTGCAGATGAAGTGCTGAAAGATGGTGAGTGAGCAAAGATGGTGAGTGAGCAAAGATGGTGAGTGAGCATTTTGCCCACTGGACCATGTTCACTTCCCCATCTTAGCCATTTCTTCTCTTCCTCCCTCGCCAGGTTTTGCTGCGGGACTACAAATTGCGCTCCTACACGCTGAATGCTGTCAGCTATCACTTTTTGCAAGAGCAGAAGGAAGACGTACAGCACTCTATCATCACAGATTTGCAGGTGACAGTGAGCAGCCAGACCTTGTGGCCTAGAAGCTTTCCTCTGTAGAACAAACGTCTGGTGACTTTTATTCTTGACTGTCCATTTACAGTGGTACTTCAGGTTACATACGCTTCAGGTTACAGACTCTGCTAACCCAGAAATAGTACCTCGGGTTAAGAACTTTGCTTCAGGATGAGAACAGAAAACGTGCTCCGGCGGTGCGGCAGCAGCAGGAGGTCTCATTAGCTAAAGTGGTGCTTCAGGTTAAGAACAGTTTCAGGTTAAGAACGGACCTCCGGAACGAATTAAGTAGTTAACCCGAGGTACCACTGTATTTTTTCTTCTGATGCCTGAAATATCCGGAGTGCTAGGTTTAGCCAATTCAACACACTTAGCCTCCCAGAACGACCTTTTCTGGGGTTTCCTGGGCTCAAGGGCTGGCATGAAGCTGTATCTGTTTAGGGTCTTTACAAAGCCCTGTGTGACAGAATTTGAGAACTGCTCCTTTACTGAGATTCTTATCAGTGCACAAGCTAGGTTCATACTGGTTTTGTCTGAGGCAGGGTAAGTACTTAAGGTTTAGTGCCTGGTCTATGGGAGACTCTTGGAAAAGCCATTATCTTCACAATCAATAATTTAGATTTTAGGGAAATTTAACTTTTTAAAAAGGCGATTTTTAAAACTCTCATGGTTGTAGAAATTCATTTAATTGTATACACTGATCATCAGAAGGCCCCCTTGTTTATGGAGTGGTGTTCCTGCAGCCATCTGTTCTTTCCTGTGCTATCTCCACTTAGAAAAATTATAACCTGACTTTCCAACCAAAATGAACTTTTAAAACATTTTTAAAAATGTTTTTCCCCCAAAAGGAGCAATAAGGGTGGTGGTGAAACTCTAAATGTCAGCCAATAAGATCAAGTAAAACCAAAAGGCTTATAAACTACAAGAATGGGTTGTCCAAAAGGTAGGGTTTTTTAGCCCAGGATTCTGAATCCTGTGATTCTTAACAAGCAGCTGGTTCATAATGTTGAGACCCGCCACCAAGAGTACTCTTTCTTGGTGGTCGTTAATCTACTAGATCAGTGTTTCCCAAACTTGAGTGGCCAGTTGTTCTTGGACTACAATGATGGGAGCTGTAGTCCTCCCCAAAAAGATGGAGACCCAAGTTTGGGAAACACTGTAATAGATAATGGAATCGTCAACAGCCTGTCTGCTTATAGCTCTTAAAGAGTGGGGGGAAGTATGGAACAACTAATAACTTTATCCACCTCCTGTTCCCGTTTATCCAAAAGTATTTGCTTTTTTCTGAATTTGAAAGCTCTTGCTCTCCATATCCCTCAAGCAAATAACCTTTGTCTCTTCAGAGGAAGCTGCCAGTGGATACCATGTCAGCCCATAGATCCTTCTCACTCTGTGTTGTCAACTCTTGAGTGGTGGCAGCTCTGCAGATTTCCCAGGGAGGTCTTTCTCAGCCCTACCTGGAGATGTCTGAACCTGTTCTCTTGCACTGAACCTTCCCATTGTTTCTGTTCATCCAGAAGGAAAGGTCTCTTTCCTGCTTTTTCCAAATCCAAAAGCCTTTTCTCTCCCCTATCCTCTTGCAGAATGGCTCGGACCAGTCCCGTCGGCGACTGGCTGTGTACTGCCTCAAGGATGCCTACCTGCCCCTGCGGCTTTTGGAGAAGCTCATGTGTGTCATCAACTACATGGAGATGGCCAGAGTGACAGGTGTCCCTCTCAGCTATCTCCTGGCGCGTGGCCAGCAAATCAAGGTGGTCTCCCAGCTCCTGCGGCAGGTGAGAGTTCCTGGCTTTTTCTCTTGAGTTGGACGCAAGGGAAAGCTATATTCCAGAGTGAGTGGTACCAAGCATTCAGTTTTGGATTCGGGGCTGTTTTCCACGAGTTGCAATTATTATTCAGGCTGCTAAGATCATATATATAAGACCAATTCTTCTTATATACATTAGTATCATTTAAAAAAAAATTATTCAGAGAAGGGTACACAGAAATCATTTGAGTTTTGAAAGCTTTCCATTAATAAACAATCACGTGGTTGTTCTAAAATGCAAAGCACTTTGCATTCCAAGGCAGCAGTCTTATATTCACTCACCTCTGAACAAGTCCCATTGAACTTGGTGGGGCTTACTTTTGAGTAGACATGGATAATATTGCAGTGTAACTCTCATTCTTCACAAAACCCATGTTAGATTGGCTCCTCTTTCCCTCCACCCAGACATTTTACTAGGGCCTAGTCACCTAATTCACGTTTGAGCAGTGATTTTTAATTCCCCAACTCTAACCCCTACAGCACACTGCTTTTTAAATTATGTTAACTTCTAAAGTGCTCTCTTTGTTGTTTCTGTTGATATAATAAGAAGTGCAGGGATTGGCAGGCAGCACATGAGGCAAGTGGGACAGACCCACCTGCGCATAACACTGTGGTTGATGGGAGAGCGCCAAGGCAAATCCCAAACTGACAACTTCTCTCTGCCCAAAGGCCATGAAGCAGAATCTGGTTATGCCGGTGGTGAAGTCAGAAGGCGGGGAAGACTATGCTGGGGCTACCGTCATTGAACCTCTGAAAGGGTAAGGCCAGCAGGACCTGAAGCTGAGGAAATCTGCTTCCCTAAGCCAGGGTCAAGAGTGAGGCTGGGGGTTTTTCACAGCCTGTTGTGAGTTGGTGCAGAAAAGCACTGGGGTGACATCTTGGAGCAGGGATAGAGGCCAGGAGGGGAGGAAGGAGCAGGGCTGAGGATAAGGCAGCTGGAGCCCACGTTCTTCCACTTTGGGAGCAATGGAGGAGAAAAGATCTACATTGGGTCCCAGTACATTTTGTTGTTGTTTGGTCGTTTAGTCGTGTCCGACTCTTCGTGACCCCATGGACCAGAGCACGCCAGGCACTTCTGTCTTCCACTGCCTCCCACAGTTTGGTCAGACTCATGTTGGTAGCTTCGAGAACACTGTCCAACCATCTCGTCCTTTGTCATCCCCTTCTCCTTGTGCCCTCCATCTTTCCCAACATCAGGGTCTTTTCCAGGGAGTCTTCTCTTCTCATGAGGTGGCCAAAGTATTGGAGCCTCATTTTCACGATCTGTCCTTCCAGTGAGCACTCAGGGCTGATTTCCTTCAGAATGGATACGTTTGATCTTCTTGCAGTCCATGGGACTCTCAAGAGTCTCCTCCAGCACCATAATTCAAAAGCATCAATTCTTCGGCGATCAGCTTTCTTTATGGTCCAGCTCTCACTTCCATACATCACTACTGGGAAAACCATGGCTTTAACTATACGGACCTTTGTTGGCAAAGTGATGTCTCTGCTTTTTAAGATGCTGTCTAGGTTTGCCATCGCCTTTCTCCCAAGGAGCAGGCGTCTTTTAATTTCGTGACTGCTGTCACCATCTGCAGTGATCATGGAGCCCAAGAAAGTAAAATCTCTCACTGCCTCCATTTCTTCCCCTTCTATTTGCCAGGAGGTGATGGGACCAGTGGCCATGATCTTCGTTTTTTGATGTTGAGCTTCAGACCATATTTTGCGCTCTCCTCTTTCACCCTCATTAAAAGGTTCTTTAATTCCTCCTCACTTTCTGCCATCAAGGTTGTGTCATCTGCATATCTGAGGTTGTTGATATTTCTTCCGGCGATCTTGATTCCGACTTGGGATTCATCCAGCCCAGCCTTTCGCATGATGAATTCTGCATATAAGTTAAATAAGCAGGGAGACAATATACAGCCTTGTCGTACTCCTTTCCCAATTTTGAACCAATCAGTTGTTCCATACCCAGTTCTAACTGTAGCTTCTTGTCCCACATAGAGATTTCTCAGGAGAGAGATGAGGTGATCAGGCACTCCCATTTCTTTAAGAACTTGCCATAGTTTGCTGTGGTCGACACAGTCAAAGGCTTTTGCATAGTCAATGAAGCAGAAGTAGATGTCTTTCTGGAACTCTCTAGCTTTCTCCATAACCCAGCGAATGTTTGCAATTTGGTCTCTGGTTCCTCTGCCCCTTCGAAATCCAGCTTGCACTTCTGGGAGTTCTCAGTCCACATACTGCTTAAGCCTGCCTTGTAGAATTTTGAGCATAACCTTGCTAGCATGTGAAATGAGTGCAATTGTGCGGTAGTTGGAGCATTCTTTGGCACTTCCCTTCTTTGGGATTGGGATGTAGACTGATCTTTTCCAGTCTTCTGGCCACTGCTGAGTTTTCCAAATTTGCTGGCATATTGAGTGTAGCACCTTAACAGCATCATCTTTTAAAATTTTAAATAGTTCAGCTGGAATATCATCACTTCCACTGGCCTTGTTATTAGCAGTGCTTTCTAAGGCCCATTTGACTTCACTCTCCAGGATGTCTGGCTCAAAGTCAGCAACCACACTACCTGGGGTATACGAGACATCCATTTCTTTCTGGTATAGTTCCTCTGTGTATTCTTGCCACCAGTACATTTAGGAGCACAATTTTAAGTGTTGGTGCTGACTTTTAACACCCTAAATGGCTTCATCCCTGTATACCTGAAGGAACACCTCCACCCCCATCGTTCAGCCCGGACACTGAGGTCCAGCTCCAAGGGCCTTTTGGTGGTTCCCTCACTGAGAGAAGTGAGGTTACAGGGAACCAGGCAGAGGACCTTCTCAGTAGTGGCACCCGCTTTGTAGAACGCCCTCCCACCAGATGTCAAGGAAATAAACAACCACCTGACTTTCAGAGGATATCTGAAGGCAGCCCTGTTTAGGGAAGTTTTAAATGTTTGGTGCTTTACTGTGCCTTAACGTTTTAATTTGCTGCAAGTCGCCCAGAGTGGCTGGGGCAAACCCAGTTAGGTGAGCGGGGTACAAAGAATAAATTATTATTGTAAGTTCTACCTTGGGAGAAGGATTCTGATGAGAATGAGTCATGGGGCTGGAAGTGGGAGAGATGGAACCAAGGACTGGGGCCTAGGGTAAGGTGTACAGTTTATCGGAGCCAGGAAAGGGCCATGGCTCATAGCTTGCATGCAGAAGAAACCAGGCGCAATCCCTGGCATCTGCAGATAGGGCTGGGAGAGACCCTTGGTTAAGGTCCTGGAGAGCCAATGCCGGTCAGTTTAGGCAGTACTGAGCTTGATGGACCAGTGACCCAAATCAGTGTTACAAGGCAGCTTCCTGTGTTTCTGTGTACGAAGGTGGGGCGGAAGATCATAACAGACCCGCTGTTCTCTTCTAGCTATTACGACGTGCCCATAGCGACCTTGGACTTCTCCTCCCTGTACCCTTCCATCATGATGGCTCACAACCTGTGCTATACCACGCTGCTGCAACAGGGGGCGGTTGATCGCTATGGGTGAGTAGAAAAGGATCTGATACAAAGGACTGCAGAGTTAATTGAAGGGAACAACAGCCTAAACTGCAGGGAGGAGTCAAGGAACCAGCTTTGCAGCCCTGGGGCGGTGGGGGAGTGCTCCTCCCTGGTGTCTCACATGGTGGATGCGGGTGGCGCTGTGGTCTAAGCCACTGAGCTCTTGGGCTTGCCGATTGGAAGGTCGGCGGTTCAAATCTCCCATTGCTTTGTCCCAGCTCCTGCCAACCTAGCAGTTCGAAAGCATGCCAGCGCAAGTAGATAAATAGGCACCACTGCATTGGGAAGGTAAACGGCGTTTCCATGTGTTCTGGTTTCTGTCACGGTGTCCCGTTGCGCCAGAAGCAGTTTAGTCATGCTGGCCACATGACCCAGAAAGCTGTCTGTGGGCAAACGCCGGCTCCCTCAGCCTGAAAGTTAGATGAGTGATACCACCCCATAGTTGCCTTTGACTGGACATAACTGTCCAGGGGTCGTTTACCTTTACTTTTTTTACATGGGGGATCCTAAGTAAGATGGAAAATCAAGGGGGGATTATTAGGTTGTCTTTGTTTTTGTTTTTATTATGTAATTTGTGTTTTTTATATTGCGATTTTATGTTGTGAACCACTCTGAGATATGCGGGTATAATAATTAATTAATTAATTAATTAATTAATTAATTATAGTGTGAGACCACTTTGGCTGTATCACTGATGTCCCAGCAGAAGGGGGAGAGCTATTCTCTTTCCTGGCATGGTCTTATGGGAGATAAAATTAGGGGAGCAGGGAATTGGGGCGAGTGACCATGGAAGCTATCCAAATGGCATATATTAGTGGACCCCAATAATAGTGGAGGGTATATAGCAGGGAGGGGCTGGAGACTGGGGTGGTGTTGTGCATCAAAGGGGGTGGCTAGGCTCTGATGGATTGTCGGTTCTTCCTACTAGGCTTTCGGCAGAGCAGTTCATCCGCACCCCGACTGGGGACCACTTTGTGAAGGAGTCCGTCCGCAAAGGGCTGCTGCCTGAGATCTTGGAGAACCTCCTGGCTGCCCGCAAGAGGTGAAGTAGGAGGCACATGTCTGGAGCGCTGGGGAAGTTTTCGGGTGTAAGATAATTGGAAGAAGGGAGGGTAGGCCCATAACTTGGGTTTTGAGCACCTTCCTTGCACACAGAGTGTTCCTGGGTCAATCCCCAGCACCTCCAGCTGATAGCAGAACCAGGACCTTGGGCAGCTGTTGGCAGTCCTAGCAGACAATACCTGACTTAGAGGGGCCGATAATCCAGCTCATAGGAAGGCATCTTCCTGTGCAAGACCAGGCATCTGCAGAAGGAGTTCTGGTTTCCCTGACTTGGAAATAAGGTTTAAGCAGCCTTGTATTAAAGAACTCACCCGGTAGCCACAGGGGACAAGGAATTGGATGCAGGCAAGTGCATGGAACTGTATGTTGGTGAGTGATCAGGCTGGTGGAGGAGGGACCAAGCATTCTGTTGCCTGCCATCTACCCATGTGGGAGATGCCAGAGGAAAGAAGGCCCTCTCCTCCTCACACAGCATAGAAATGCAAAAGGCTCCCATTCTGGCAGAGGAGTGGAGCTCTCCTTGCTAGTGATGTTTTGTTTCAGGCTAGTAGCTTTTGTAGGCTTAATTGCAAGGGTGCTCTAAGGGAAGGATGTCTGGGGTGCATGGCAGGAGGGAGGGAGGAGAGATACCTTACATTCTTGGAACCCTGGAGGTATTTAGAGATCTGGTATGGAAGTGAGTACAGCTTGGTTTTGCGGGTGGCAAGCGAAGTGCGTTTGTAGCAAAGGCATACGTCATCTAGAATTTGGCAATGGCACTTTAATAAACTTGAGGCAGTGCTGGGGATTGGGGAAGGAAGGTAGGATATAGCCCTATTATGAGGAAAAAAGCAAACCACTGGAAGAAGGGACATCTTTTTATTTTTGCATCCTTCTCCAATGAGAATCTTTCATGTTGGATTTCTGTTGCTTTTGGGGAAGAGAGTTTTTATTTTTCATCGAATTATGAATGCAAAAGCAAGTCATACAACCTATTGTTCTAATATGCTATAAACATTTCGGTTTTCAAACGCTGTAAACCCAGAAATAAATGCTTTGGTTTTTGAACATGGCTCAGAGGTTGAACATGCCATATGGCTTCTGTTTTGAGTTTTCTGTATTGAGGCTTCCGTATTCAGTTTTCCGTTTTCGAACATTTTGGAACTCGAACGGTCTCCCAGAATGGATTACATTCGAAAACTGAGATACATTTACATTATTTTAACGCAGGTGTGGCAGATATAATACAGTATCTTGTAATTTTTTAAAAAAAGTTTTATTAAAGATATTACAATGATGGATATATAACAGTGGAAATGTATATTTGAAAACTTTAATGGAAACGGTATCTTGTATTTTTAACTTGTGAACTGCCCTGAGATCTTTTAATGAAGGGTGGTATATTCATCGTCCTCACCATCCAGAGGGCTTAGAAGGCTGCTAAAAAGAGTTTCACTTAACAGATGTGCACATTGGTGGCTGGTAGGGAGAGGCCAGTACAGAACTGTCGTGGTCATTCTTCACTCCTTCTTTGTTCTGTCCCATTTTTGGCTCAGGGCCAAGGGAGAGCTGAAGCGGGAGACTGACCCATTCAAGCGCCAAGTGCTGGACGGACGGCAGCTGGCGCTCAAGGTCAGCGCCAACTCTGTGTACGGCTTCACTGGCGCCCAGGTGGGCAAACTGCCTTGCCTTGAGATCTCTCAGGTAAGTCTGCCCGCCCCCTTCAAACTCAGGGGAGTTGTCAGGTTATGGTTTTATAGTACAATGCACAAGCGTCAACGAAAGACGGGGAAAACACCTATTACAGATTCCCTGTTTACCAGATCGGCCGGTTGCATATCAGCCGCGGGGCAGATCAGTCGGTTATTAAGTTATCCCTCATTTGCTATCGCGAGCTGACTGGACTGAATTGTTGTGCTGATCTTCGTGGTCTGCTTATAATTTATGAAGCAAACTTTCTGACCCTTTGAAAACGAAACAAGGTTCTGCAGTTAATGGGTGGCGAGTTCGGGGAAGTCAAAAGGAAGTACTGCTCGCAAAAAGCCCAATTTAAACTTCATGGAATCCACCGCTACAAAGAGGCATTGCTTGCCAGTCGCTTAGATTAGTTTTTGGAAAGATTAGATAAACCCAGGCAGGGCAGAGAGCTGCTATCTACAGGCTAGCTATAAACTGTGACAGATAAATGGAAGCAACATATCCTAGATCTCGTGAGTGCCCAGATACTGGGAACAAACAGCAGGGTAAGCCCACTGCCCATTCGTTACCTGTTGGTCGCAGCTCAGAGGTATCCGGTTGGCTGCTTTTGGAAGCGAAATACTGAATTTCATGGATTTTCGCTTTCCTAGTTTTATTTCTGTAGGGTAGGTTAGTCAGCAGGGAAATGTTTGGGTGTAATGGGTACAGCATCTCCAACAATGCCGTGTCTAAACTAGGCCTGATCCAGCCCACAAAGTATTTTCTGGTGACTTACCCACTTCCGATCCAATCTGCAGCATCTGGGGCAAATGGCGTGCGTCTTCTTGCAGATTAGGGTGCCCTCGAGCACTCTGGAGACAGGAAGGGATGTTCGGATCTGCTTCTGTGGTTCTTGGGAGCACTGCTTCCTGTTTCTGAAGCAATGCAACTTGGTAGCATCCGTGAGCCTCAGGAAAACCCTACAGCTAGCAAAGTATGGCTGGGGTTTCAGGTTAAGCTTTTAAGGAAGCTTTTAAGCAAAAGTCTCCTTCAGCCCTTTTGTCTGTCCTCTGAAATACATCGTTTTAACCCTTCTTTTCCAGAGCGTGACTGGGTTTGGGCGTCAGATGATTGAGAAGACAAAGCAGCTGGTGGAATCCAAGTACACAATCGCCAACGGTTACAGTTCTGACGCCAAGGTTGGAGGGGGAATGCAGGATGATGTGTCTCTTTTTTGGGTGGAGCAGATTGGGGAAAGCCCTAGAAGGACATCTACGGCAGTGTTAAAGATGACCAGTACTAAAGCTGTCTGACCTCAGTTTGGGAGCCTTGTTCTGGCACCTCACACACTGTCTTTGGCAGCATTTATCTTTTTAAATATAATTTTTATTGACTTTTACATTTTTATCATAATAACATCATAACAAAAAATGCAGTTCCCAGGCTTCCCTCTCCCCCACGACTTCCCTCAACTTCCTCTTCTAGTTTTTTATATAATAACTTCTCCTGCTTTCTTTATTATATCTTGATATTATATTCTTTAAATTCAATAATTTTATACTGTTGTCATTTTACCATCAACTTTAGACTTCCTGTATTTGTTTTGTTAATTGTAAGTGTTTGCTCACATCCTGCTAGTGAGTCCATTTCTTTACATTGTTTCTGTAGGTACAACATAAAGGGTTCCCAGTCTTTTTTAAAGTCTCTATTGTCCTTGTCTCTAAGTCTTTCAGTTAGCTTTGCCATTTCAGCGTATTCCACCAATTTTTCTTGCCATTCTTTAGTTGGTAATTTGTCGCTTTTCCATCTTTGGGCTAGCAATATCCTAGCCAAGGTTGTAGCATACATAAAAAGTTTCTTCTTTTCTTTTGGCAAATCTTGACCTGAAATGCCTAGCAAAAAAGCTTCTGGTCTTTTAACAAAGGTTGTCTCAAACATTCTTTTCATTTCATTATAAATCATTACCCAATAATTTTTAATTATTTTACAATTCCACCGCATATGGAAAAAACGTACCTTCTTTTTCTTTACATTTCCAACGCTTATTGAAGCTTGTTCTGTACATTTTTGCAGGAGTCGATGCATCATTTTCATATAATTCTCTTTTAACAATACAGTTGTACCTCTACTTACGTATCCCTCTGGATATGGAATCTTTGGGTTATGGCCACGGCAACCCCGGAAGTGTATACTTCTGGGTTTTGCCGCATGCGCAGAAGCGTGCCTCTATTTATGTAATTTTCGGGGTGCAAATGGACCCCCAGAGCTAATTAAGTTCATATCCGGAGGCTCCTCTGTATACAATCAGTAAATTTTAAATTGACTTTCCGTATTTTTCCCCAGTCTTCCATTTGGATATTGTGTCATTTTTTAAGTCTGTTTGGCAGCATTTATCATGTTCGCAATGGCCGTTGGTAAGGGAGGAGTGGCAGCAGGGAGGCCACAGGACAGTCAGAAGGGAAAGAGATCTCGTGGCTGGGAAAGTGGCACAGACAGGGAAACGGGGCAGGGGACGAGCCAGACAGAAGCTGCAAGAGGAAGAGAAAGTGACACACTGTGGCTTGTGGTGGAGGCAGCTGGCATAGCTGTCCTGCGGCTGAGAAGCTGTGAGACGCAGAGAGATGGGTTAGCAGTTTCCAGAGTTTAATTGTGGCCTTCTACCCTAACAGGTAGTATACGGGGACACAGACTCCGTCATGTGCCGCTTGGGTGTGCCGTCAGTCGCCGAGGCCATGGAGATAGGCAGGGACGCAGCTGCCTGGGTCTCCAGCCATTTCATTCCCCCCATCAAGCTAGAGTTTGAGAAGGTGAGTCTCAGAAAAGCCTCTCCATCTCCCATCGCCACCCACTGGGTTCATAACTTTGGAAACCCTCGGCCATAAGATTCCCATATAACGCTAGGAAGTGCCTTGACGTAAGAGGTAGAAAACAGAGATGACGTTTGGAGTGGATGGGCAGGGAGGAAGGAGATGGGAAATGAAGACCAAGGGCACATACCTTTACACTGGTACATGTCAAGGAAGTTTGTTAACACTGATAGCATCTTCCCTGTGATTAAAGGTAAAGGGACCCCTGACCATTAGGTCCAGTCGTGGCCAACTCTGGGGTTGCGGTGCTCATCTCGCTTTATTGGCCGAGGGAGCCGGCGTACAGCTTCCGGGTCATGTGGCCAGCATGACTAAGCCGCTTCTGGCGAACCAGAGCAGCGCACGGAAATGCCGTTTACCTTCCCGCCGGAGCGGTACCTATTTATCTACTTGCACTCTGAGGTGCTTTTGAACTGCTAGGTTGGCAGGAGCAGGGACCAAGCAACGGGAGCTCACCCCGTCGTGGGGATTCGAACCGCCAACCTTCTGATCAGCAAGTCCTAGGCTCTGTGGTTTAACCCACAGCGCCACCTGCGTCCCTCCCTGTGATTGTGAGGGCCTAAACTAGGCGTGATGTCTGCTGCGAAATTAGAATCATAGAGTTGGGAGAGAAAAAACCCAAGAGTTATCTAGCCCAACTTCCTGCAGTGCAGGAATCTCAGCTAAAGCATCCATGACGGATTAACACACCTATCTTCCGTTAGTGTACCCAAATTAATGCACCCATCTTCCGTTAATGTAAATAAGCAGCCGAGGGGAAGCCTAAGCACCCTCAAGACCACATGGAATGGGCAAAGGGTGTGTGAGCTTAATGGGGAAAACTGAGTGCTTCAAAAATGCTATTTTAATTTCAAAGCAAGCCTCCCGTGGCACCCAAACCCTGTGCAGTTACTGAGCAGGTACTTGAAACATCCACTGTTTCAGCTGAAAAAGCAATCATAATTTGAAAAAGAAAGTCTGTTCATCCTAGAATCATAAAATCGCAGAATTGTAGAGTTGGAAGAGACCACAGGGGTCATCTAGTCCAACCCCCACAAGGCAGGAATATTTCACTCAGTGTGGGGCTCGAACCCACAACCCTGAGATTTAAAAGTCTCATTCTCTAATGAATTAGCTGTTCCAGATGTTGCCCAACAAGAACCTTCTGAAATAAGTTTCAACTTTAGTTCCTGAAGGCTCCTATGTGATAACACAGACCTTTACTGTTTTCTCAATCTGTCCACACACCAGGTGTACTTCCCCTATCTCCTGATCAACAAGAAACGCTATGCTGGCCTCTATTTCTCTTCCAACCCTGACACCCACGACAAGATGGACTGTAAGGGCATCGAGACCGTGCGCCGCGACAACTGCCCCCTAGTGGCAAACCTCATCAACACCTGCCTACAGAAGCTGCTCATAGATAGGTCTGTAGGTGTTTGTTTGAGACGAAGCCCCGTTCTGGTCTGCCGAGCGGTTGTGGGCATGATCCGAGGCTGAACAATATTTATCTCAAATTCCTGGGTGCTGGGACAAAACTCTTAGAAACGGGCTCCTACGAATGGCAAACCCGACTATAGCACCCCAGCTTTCTGTAGCCTCCCTGAAGAGTCAGAACCTTGATTCATTCTGGGATGGTTCTCTTCTGCGGGAAAGAGAGGAGGGGCTCAGATTATTCCACGCTTCCTTCTCTGCAGGGACCCTACAGGTGCCGTGGCCCATGCCAAGGAGGTGATCTCCGACCTGCTTTGCAACAGAGTCGACATCTCACAGCTGGTGATCACCAAGGAACTGACACGTACAGCAGATGAATACGCAGGTCGCCAGGCTCATGTGGAGCTGGCTGAGCGGTGAGTAGAGTAAAGGAAGAGGTGGCACTTTCCCCCACCTTTTCTTTTGGGTTGGGGGCAGGGGGAAAGAAATGCATCACTTCCCAAGCGAGCAAAGGGGGTGGCCCTGACCCCAAGACACCCCACATATTTAGACCGAACATGAAACTCCCTTTATGTTAGGTCTGACCATCATATATTTAACTGGCAGCATCTCTCTCAAGGTTCTGCACTTAGGCAGAACCAGATGCACAAATATGAGATGTGGGGACGCTTACTAGTAGTACAGTGGCACCTTGGTTCTCAAACACCTTGGTACACAAACAGTTTGGAACCCAAACACTGCAAACCTGGAAGTAAGTGTTCCGGTTTGCGAATGTCTTTCGGAAGCCGAACGTGCTCCGTTTTGAATGTTATGCTTCCGATTTGAGTGCCACTCTTCTGTTTTGAGTGTTACACTGAGGTTGCTCTGTTTTTGCTACTTCTTTTGCTTTTTTGTGGCTTTTTGGTTTGTTTTCATGACTGTGTGGAACCCAGTTTGGCTACTGATAGATAGATAGATAGATAGATAGATAGTGTGTCTTTCATTTTATGGATCAATGGTCTCATTAGATAGTAAAATCCATGTTAAATTGCTGTGTTAGGGGTTGTTTTGAAAAGTCTGGAATGGATTCATCCATTTTGCCTTACTTTCTATGAGGAAACATGCCTTGGTTTTAGAATGCTTTGATTTTGGAACGGACTTCTGGAACGGATTAAGTTTGAGAACCAAGGTACCACTGTACATGTAAAAGGGATCAAGGGGGTCTTAGTAGATCACAAGCTTAACATGAGTCAACAGTGTGATGCAGCAGCAAATAAAAGCTGATGCTATTCCTGCATCAACAGAACTATAGTTACCTGATCAAGGGAAGTAATACTACCACTCTATTCTGCCTTGGTCAGACCACACCTAGAATACTGTGTCCAATTCTGGGCACCATAATTTAAGAAGGATGTTGCTAAACGGGAACGTGTGCAGAGGAGGGCAACCAAGATGATCAAGGGTCTGGAAACTAAGCTTTATGAGGAGTGGTTGAAGGAGCTGGGTATGTTTAGCCTGTGATAAAGGAGACATGATAGCCATCTTCAAATATTTGAAGGGCTGTCGTATGGAAGATGGAACAAGCTTGTTTTTTCCTGCTCTGGACGATAGGACCTGAACCAATGGCTTCAAGTTACAAGAAAGGAGATTCCAGCTATATATCAGGAAGAACTTTCTGACAGTAAGGGCTGTCTGACAGTGGAACGGTCTCCCTTGGGATGCTGTGGACTCTCCTCCCTTGGAGGTTTTAAAGCAGAGGTTGGATGGTGGCCACCTGTCATGGATGCTTTAGCTGAGATTCCTGCATTACAGGGGGTTGGACTAGATGACCCTTGGGGTCCCTTCCAACTACACAATTCTATGATTCTAGGTTTTCAAGCAGAGTCTTTTCCAGCCCTGCCACCTGAGATCCTCATAACTGGAGACCCATAGGAGCCAATTCCTAGGACCTCAGGGGTCATTGCCCTCCCCCCCCCCAATAAAATATTTGAGGGGGGCTGGGCTTCCCCAAAATTGACAGGCATTGCCATTTAAATGACATGTGTGCACTGCATCATGTGATGGCTTATGTGGGGTGGGGCGTACCTGCCCCCTGCCCAATATTTTACAGTGGTACCTCGGGTTACAGACACTTCAGGTTGCAGACGCTTCAGGTTACAGACTCTGCTAACCCAGAAATAGTACCTCGGGTTAAGAACTTTGCTTCAGGATGAGAACAGAAATCGCATGGTGGCAGCAGGAGGCCCCATTAGCTAAAGTGGTACCTCAGGTTAAGAACAGTTTCAAGTTAAGAACGGACCTCCAGAACGAATTAAGTTCTTAACCCGAGGTACCACTGGATTCAAGTTGGCACCCCCACTTAGACCTTTCAAAGGTCGTGTTGAGTAGCAGTTTGCCGAAACTGCAGGAGCGGAGAGTGCCCTCATGCGGGTTTCCCATGAGGGCATGTGGTTGGCCCCTGTGAGAACAGAATTCTGGCCTAGATGGGCTACAGGCTTGATCCCACAGGCTCTCCTTGTGTCCTTATGTTCTACGGCCGCTCTGTGGTCCCCTTTCTTGAGTTCTGAGAGCAAGAGGGTATTATGGGAGCCAGTGTGGTGTAGTGGTTAAGAGCGGTAGACTCGTAATCTGGGGAACCGGGTTCGCGTCTCCGCTCCTCCACATGCAGCTGCTGGGTGACCTTGGGCTGGTCACACTTCTCTGAAGTCTCTCAGCCCCACTCACCTCACAGAGTGTTTGTTGTGGGGGAGGAAGGGAAAGGAGAATGTTAGCCGCTTTGAGACTCCTTCGGGTAGTGATAAAGCGGGATATCAAATCCAAACTCCTCCTCCTCCTCTTCTTCTTCTTTCTCTCCTCTTCCCCCTCCTCCCTCCCCTTTGACTTTCTTTACCCTGAGTTATTGAGGCCCGTCTGCCCTCAGGACAGCGGAAAAAGGTGTGTGGGTGTGGGGCGGCTGGTGAGGCATGACCGAAGGGAAGGGCAGAAATAGTTATGGCCAGCGCAGCTGCAAGTGGAACCTTCTGCGACGCCCACCCCTCCTGCTCTGGGCTTCCTGTCTGACTGCCGCCACTTCATCTGCCTCGCACAGGCACACGTTCCGGTGCGACAGACCTGCTCCTTTTGCTTCGCTGCCTCTTGACAAACAAAAGTTTGGGTGGTGAAAGTGTCCCCGGTGTCCTTTGCGGGACAGGGCTGGTACCAGTTTGCCCTCGTGCTTCGTTCTGTACTGTCATCTTTTTCAAGATGTTTCTCAGCGGTGCCTCCGCTGTTGGAAAATATGTTAATAGCGTTATTATTGCACCTGGGGTCGCATGTTGGGCTTTTCGGCATCTCACGTTTTAACTTCTTCCAGCTCCTTTTGAGGGACTCGTCCTGTTTTGTATGCGTCTATTTTCAGTAAAGTCAGCTTTTATTAAATCTCAAAAAACGTCCAGTAATCACACCAGAATGCTAAATATGTACACATTATAAATACCTTTAATATACATAGATTCATGTTTTGCCACGTAGAAAAGCTGTTATATTTGTCAACACTTACATTTATTCTTCATAAATGCTGTTGGAGGATTCAATAGATAATTAAAATTTTCTCTCTTTTTAGTTTAGTTTATTTGTAAAAATGCATAGACCGCTATTTCATAAAAATATGTCAGAGCATCAGTGCAGTTCACAACAAAAATACATGAAACCATATAAAAAGTTGTAGACAGTGGTACCTCGGGTTACAGACGCTTCAGGTTACAGACTCTGCTAACCCAGAAATAGTACCTCGGGTTAAGAACTTTGCTTCAGGATGAGAACAGAAATTGCGTGGCGGCAGCAGCGGGAGGCCCCATTAGCTAAAGTGGTGCTTCAGGTTAAGAACAGTTTCAGGTTAAGAACGGACCTCTGGAACGAATTAAGTTCTTAACCCGAGGTACCACTGTATAATCTCTCACTCCAATCAGTTCTGTGTGTTTATTCATCTTTGCTACCTTCCAGATTTTTGCCAGCTATTCTTTTGGTGTTTGAGGTGGCCCAGTTTTCAATTTTTGTGCATCAAGCATAAAACAAACAAAGTTACTGCTTTTAAAGTCATGCTGCTCTCACGCACATGCACCCCCAGATCCCTTCTGGCTCTGAAAACATTCCTCAGTCCCACTCTGCAGTGCCTCCTTCTGCTTTATACATCCTTGGGGGTTGGTTCGATCCTGGCGCGCCACCTTCCAGTCTGGCTCATCATGTGACACCTCCTCATGGCTTCTCCCCTTAGGATGCGTCGGCGGGATCCTGGCAGCGCTCCCAACCTGGGGGACCGGGTTCCGTACGTCATTATCGGCGCTGCCAAAGGCGTAGCAGCTTACATGAAATCTGAAGTGAGTAATGGGGAGAGGGATGCAATGGGCAATAGGGACCAGTAACTCGGGCGGGGGGGAAGGATTCAGGCTTGTACATGTATGCTTCTTCAGGTGCAAAGCTGCATTGAAATGTGCCCCGCTAGCACTGCAAAATACTTGCCGGGGGGCAGAGATGGCTATTCACCATTAGGCTTCAAGGAGGAAGAGGTTTTTGGAAGCAGGAACTCAAAGTGGGGCTCAGGAAGCCGTAGCTCAGTGATAAGAGCACCTGCTTTTCAGGCCTGCAAGGAGCCAGGTTCAATCCCAGCTTCTCCAGATTGGGCTAGGAAACCCCGCAGAGCTGCTGCCAATCACTGTAGGCAATACTTAACTGGATGGACCAGTGGCCTGACTGTACAAGGCAGCTTCCGGCGTTCCTAAGCCATTTCTGATGTGAGTTTTGGAGCCCCTCTTCCCCACCAGTTTTCACTAGGTTGGCTTTAATGCTTCCGCTGGATCTTGTTTGGGGTTAGTTAATCTGTGGGTGGGTGGGTGGGGGGGCGCATAACTAGGTCTGTTTCTACCACTTTCGTATCCTCTCTTCCTCCCTGCTGAACCAGGAAAGGAAGGACAAAACCTCTAGCACTGATTGAATCAAACTGACTGCTGCTACCATGAACTTCCCATGTTATGGCCTGTGCATAGACACCCCCATACATACTGCCTACCTTCAGGTTTCCAGGGTGATTAGGTAACAAGACTGCAGAGGCAGAGAGGACTGTGCCCTGGGTGCTAAGGTGCACTCCTAACCCAACACCCACCTCTTCCCTGCTTTTATGGCTTTCCCCTGTTTGTATCCCCAGGATCCCATCTACGTGCTGGAGAATAACCTGCCCATCGACACGCAGTACTACCTGGAGCAGCAGCTTGCCAAGCCCCTCTTGCGCATCTTCGAGCCCATCTTGGGAGAGGGCAAGGCGCAGAACGTCTTGCTGAGTGAGTGTGGCCGCTGGCTCTGCTTTCTGGAGAAGAGAGAGGAAGAGACCCCGTGATCCTGCAAAAAGGCTACAGACCCCATAATCATTCTCATCCTAAATTGGATATAATTTTGGTGGCATCCATAACCAAACCCCTGTCGCTGTGTATCTGCGTCTGGTCCACCCTCTTTGCGCTTGGTGAACTCCAAAGCAGTGTCTCACCGCCGCAGGGAAGTGATCTCAATAGGCAGCCCTACAGGCCTTCTCAGGAGGCTTGTTTATTTACTTCTTCTGTTATGTTTTTTACTCCACCAGGAACGTATCCTTCTCAAGCAGGAATTCCCAAACGTGGGTCTCCAGCTGTTTTTGGACTACAATTCCCATCATCCCTCACTACTGGTCCTGCTAGCTAGGGATGATGGGAGTTGTAGTCCAAAAACAGCTGGAGACCCAAGTGTGGGAAACGCTGTTCTAGAGAAACAAGAGTCTCCAATGCTTGGCCCTGATCCCCACCCCCATGGATGAATTGGTAGGAAATAGCAGTGTGGGCCATCTTTCGGAAAGAGACTCTTACCCCAGACTCTTTCTTCATCTGTTTTGGCGGAAGCTATATGTTTTCCGCCACCCAGTCCTGCTCCCCCTTCTGCTGCTTTCGTGCTCCCTCACGTAGTCACAGAAAAGGGGATAAAACTGTAGGTAAAACCTCCTACGACAGCAAGAGCTGTTTGACAGTGGAACGGTCTCCCTCGGGAGGTTGTGGACTCTCCTTCCTTGGAGGTTTTTAAGCAGAGGTTGGGTGGCCATCTGTCATGGATGCTGTAGCTGAGATTCTTTCATTGCTGGGGGTTGGGCTAGATGACCCCTGGGTACAATTATATGAGTATGCAGGCACAGGTAGCTTATTCTATGGGAGGTGCTAACCAGGGAAATCTGGGTACCAATCCCTTTCCATGGACAGTAATGGTGAGCAGTCCAGGGCGAGAGACAGCTGGAATACGGATCTTTACCCTCTCCTCCCCACTGTTGTAATGTATTGGAGGTGGCATACGTGCTTGACCCTTAATTTCCTTCCCTTTGCAGAGGGGGAACACACTCGCTGCAAAACAGTCCTGACAGCCAAAGTCGGAGGGCTCATGGCGTTTGCTACTAAACGGAGCACCTGCATCGGTTGCCGGGCTGTGCTCAGCCACCATGGTGAGATCCTGTCCCCGCCTGTCTTTCCTGGCCTCCGCTTTGCAGAGTCTTATGTCAAAAACAAGTCCCCTCCCCTCCCCCATCACGCGCTTCTAACCAGCAGCGCATGTTGCAAGTTCCTTTTGCCGGAATTTGCCACAGAGTGGAGCGTGTGTCACAAAACGGTGCCTCTGCTGAGCTTTCGTTACCAGCAGGAAAACCTTGCTGTACACACACAGACACACACACACACACACACACACACACACACACACACCCTGACCTCTGGGCACCTCTGCTTACTTCCCTGTTCTCCCTCTTTCTCAAGTTTGCAGGAAGGGGGGGGCTACTTGCAAGTTGCGGGAGAGGATCTGAAACCAAGTTTCTTGGTTTGTTTGAAGATACGTGGCGCTGTTAAAGGGGGTGGGCTCTGCCAGGATGCCTGAATACCCTGGGATGGGAGTAATTTCTCGTGGGCGGTTTGGAGAACGGCTGGGAGCAGAGGCCCTTCTCGGTAGTGGCACCCTCCCTGTGGAACGCCCTCCCACCAGATGTCAAAGAAATAAACAACTGTCTGACTTTTAGAAGACATCTGAAGGCAGCCCTTTTAGGGAAGTTTTTAATGTTTGATGTTTAATTGTGTTTTTAATATTCTGTAGGGGGCCGCCCAGAGTGGCTGGGAAAACACAGCCAGATGGGCGGGGCATAAATAAATAAATTATTATTATTATTATTTATTTATTCCTGGGTTCTTTCTGGTCACTTACCGGAGATTTCCCAAAAGTCTTACATGCACTAGAGAAAAAGACAGAAGTTTTTTGCGACAAGAGCCCTCTCTGACTGCAAACTTGATCGTGTTGCACTAGAAAGCAGGTGCCTAGCAGCAAGGAGATGGCAGAATGAGTAACTTTAGATCAGTCCGACACAGCGAAAATTCCTCCCCGGACCCAAAGGCAGAGGAGGCCAGTCAGGTCCTGGGCATGAGCAAAAATTCATTCCACCTCATCGTCTCAGCAGGAGTGTAAACAGGCTGCCTTGCCATTTCATCCTGATTGTGGCTTTCCTTTGGAATGGGGCAGCGGGGAAGGAACTCCAAAGTGGAAATGGAATAGGGAGGGAAATGGCTTTCTGATGTGCTTTCCTCCATCAGGTGCTGTGTGCAAGTTTTGCCTGGGCCGCCAGTCTGAGCTTTACCAGAAGGAGGTAAGTGGTAGAGCCCACTGGTTTGGGTGGGTGTGATGGCCTGGGGCTCGGGCTTGGACCCAGCGGAGTCTCAGTCCGCACTGGATCCTTTGCCTCAGGCGGCATCTGAACCAAGTCTGGGGCCTGATTCTGAAGAGCCCTACTCTGCACAGGTTCCCCTGCAACAAGCACCAGCTGGGCCGAGTCAGGGGTCTGAGCCTGCCCTGGCTCCAGATGCGGGGATTACCTTGTTGCCTTCAGCTGGGCCATCACTTACAGCTGCTCCACTACCAGTTGGGTCAGGAGAGGCTGAGGCAGCCTCTGGGTCTAGTAACCCAACTGACATCTCCTGAGCTGCAGAGACTAAGGTCTGAGAGAAGGAGAGACCTGAGTACTTGCAGGAGGAGTGCTCGCCTTCGGGTGAGACAGGGAGGTGAGTCACCAGGGGATCAGGACCGGCCATTACCCCGACAAAGAGGCTGTCGTACCCCACCCCAGGTTGCGGGAGCAACATTGCTGTTTGCTAGAACCTGCCTGAGACCCTGTGCCTGACCTTGCCTGGTTTCCTGCCGCGTGTCCTGCCCTGGCCCTGTCAGACTGACTCCTTGCGGAACCCTTGGATTCGGGACCGGACCTGGACCGCGTCGCTCAGGTTACCCCCAGGCCCAGCACAAGGGACTCCACCAGCAAAAACCTAGGAGGAGCCTAGGTGGCCTGCATACTGGACTGAGGCACAAGCCTCTGAATTAAACTTGTACCTTGGAAAATCCTCCCTTCACTGGGAGAGGAATGGAGCTGCAAACAAGCCACTGGGAATTTTAAGTAGATAGGAAATGGGGTTTCCTGGTGTAGTAGCCCGTGGACTGACCTGGGAAATCTCCTGTTTGAAACTCACTTTGCCATGAACTCACTGGGTGGCCTTAAGTCTACCTTGCAACAAATGATGCTGAACTACTTGTAGACATTGTGAGGATCCGCAACCGCAGTCTGCATGGGTTTTGAAAAGGCCAAGGAACAATTGGGTCCAAGTGCCTTGGTCCTGCCACCCGCCTCTTCTCCCTCTCCCCACAGGTAACCCATTTGAGCTCTCTGGAGGAGAAGTTCTCGCGCTTGTGGACGCAGTGCCAGCGGTGCCAAGGGAGCCTGCACGAGGATGTGCTGTGTACCAGGTGAGGGGCTGGCCGCTCACCACACCTTTGCTGAGCAGCCACCAGCTCTTGCCCGTTCCCACGGGATAATGGGCTAAAATATGACTTTACGCCACCCCTGGGTGTTTACAGCTGCTTATCAGGCTGGTTTGAGAACAGCAAACAGATGGCTCCCGCAGAGAGCTAGCGGGGTGCTGGTACTCCTGAAGATGTTTATTACCTTTATAAATATAACACCTGTCAGATGCTGGCAGCGGCCAGGGGTGTGGAGAGAGAGAGAGAGATAGAGCCTTCTGCTCTGGCACATGAGATATCAGCTGGGGTTGCTTGGATATACCAGTGGGACATACTTGTGTGTAAAACAACAGCCACCACGGTCTGGTGTGGTCAGGTAGCAAGTCTTGAGGTTGGCAGAGTGGGCTGCACTATATTCTTCTACCGTTTCTGAATGTTCCATTTAAACTCCCCAAACACAAATTCCTTGCAAATAGATGACAAGCCCAGCGTTTTCTCCCTGCCGCACTAGTTTCCTTGCAGAGTATTTCTAGAGAGGAACACTTCAAAACAAAATCACTCCCACCCCTGAACAAATTTTTCTCCCAACTCCTTTCAGCCGCGACTGCCCCATCTTTTACATGAGGAAGAAAGTGCAGAAGGACCTTGATGACCAGGAAGTGCTGATCTCACGCTTTGGCCCTCCCACGTGGTGATACCTCTTTGCCTTCCGTTCATCCGATTGAAACCCACCACCACCCATTATTCCCTTTTAAAGGCGCAGCAAGGCCCGGTTATGCTGCAGGGGGAAGTATTGCTCCCTCCCCTTGCCCAGTTCTGCTCTGGGCATCGCTTCTGTCGCCAGGATCAGTGGCCAATACCATCAGGAAAGCTCCCTGGAGATGATTGTGGGGGCTACGTTTTGTATGAATTTCTACCAATAAAGATTTCTTTTTTTCTACATGCGAGTGGCTTATGTGGGGTAAGCTGAGCTGCTCTTGAGTTCTACAGGAGGAGGACTAAAGGATAGCAGAAGCCAGATGTGTTTTAGGATAGAAACCAGTGGGAAAAAGACAGTCACGGAACCAAAAAATTACACAAAACAAATGAAATGCCCTGATGTTATTTGTTGGCTATGAAAGTGAGTTGTAAACTTAATATTAGGATGAATGTTCTGACACCATATAAAAAAAGTATTGATATTACTAATGTTCCTAAATACTAAGAAAAGGTCATCCACAAATCTCTTATATATGAGTATTTCATCAAAATAAGGATTAGCCATTCGGTTATAAAAGAAATCTTCCTCAAGTTGATTAGTTCAGTGAAACGAGTTTTGTAGCCAGCAACTCGTTAAGTCTTTGTTTAATTCTAGGTTAATTTTTTTCCATAAACTTTTTGATTTTCGTTATTTAGTTTAACTCTATAGTCTATTACGTCTCGTTTCGGGGATTTTCATGGCATTTCCATTTGTTTTGTGTAATTAGATGTGTTTTAGGACCAGGTGACTGCAGGGACCACTAGGCTCAAGAAACACCTGCCATATGGAAGCTATAAAGGTGGCACCACTGACCTCTATTGCCAGGTGTTGCATTAACGTTTTGGGGTTTGCTTTTGTTTTATTCCTAGGAGAACTGTACCTGAAACTCTTGCAGGGGGTTGGACTAGATGACCTTGGTGGTCCCCTCTGACTCTACAATTCTATGATCAGCATGCATTTAACAAGCAAACGTAAAACGGGTCCTTCTGCATCATGCCAAAGACCTATCTAGTTTCCCACAGCGGTCAGAGACTTGTGAGAAGCCCACAAGCAAAACAAGAGGGCAATGGCCGTCCCCCACTTTCCATGCCTGAGCAAGATGAAATCAGATTTGTGCTTGCAACTTTATTGTCTTATAAGATGGGGGTAAACATGGAAATTTGAGCATCAAAGGCAATCTCCTGATGGCATTTCGAGATGGCACATAGCGTTGCCCTTGCCGTGTTTGGCACATCCCAGTTCTCATGATCCCCTCCTCCTTCACCGCCATGGTCATTCGCCAAACGAGATAAGGAGGACCATAAATTACTCCTAAACATTTATTTAGCGCCGGCTGAGTGCATGGTGTCGCCTGCTTGCACTCCATGACCAGGTGGTTGCAGTCAACCTTAGTGTGCGACCAAAACAACGCAAATAAAAGCAGTTAACTCAGGTGGCTAGAGAGTTGCTTTTTTGTTTTTAAGCGCGCAGGAATGCCAGGCTTCAAATCCCAGCTTAGCCAGGACGTGTCGTTCTGGGGCAAGTTAGAAGATAGGAAGAAGCTCTGTTCTGCCAGGTCAGTCTGTTTATTCTAGCCCAATACTGTATACTGAAGCTGAGGATAGCAGTCCAGAGTCTCAGGCAGTTGTACCTGCTGCTCCCCTGTTCTTCTCACTTGGGAGTGGGGAAGCTTTGGTCCTCCAGATGTTTCTACACAACAACTCTCACCAGCCCCAGCAAGCATAGCCAGTGGCCAGGCCTGATGGGAGCAACATCTGGAGGACCAAAGGTCAGCAAAGTATGTCTTCAGCTGCTGACCTACAGTCCTCCCCTCCCCACACCCAGTTGCCTTCCTCTCAGCTTCACTTTCCTAGCTGTAAAATCATTAATTTTTATCCTACCCTTCCTCCAAGAGAATCGGGCAGAGGCGGATTTAGGGGCGCACGACCGGTTCGGTCACACTGGCCGTGGAGCCTCGGGGACACCGCAACCATAATGCGTAGCTCAGTCGATGGAGCATGAGATTCTTAGCCTCAGGGTCGTAGGTTTGAGCCCTGTGTTGGGCAAAAGATTCCTGCAATGCAGAAGGTTGGACTAGATGACTCGCGGTCCCTGCCACCTCTGCAATTCAGTTATTTAGAAAGCAGCAGGAGAAGAGTGAATAAATGAAAATAAAAGGTTTCCTTCCCTTTGCTAAAAAGAAAAAAACAATGGAGCAGGAGAGATGGGCACCAAATGTTGGCGTCACACAGGGTGCCGCTGAAATTTGAGACCCCCAGGTCCGCCGTTGAATTAGGGGTGCATGCATGGGATGTTCTCTTCCTGCTTAATCCTCCACACCCCTACCAGGTAGTTCAGGCTGGGAGCTGGCAACTGGTGTCCTTCATGGGTGGACCAACCTGGTCTCAGGCTTGCAGGGTTGTGGCGAAGAAGGCGGCTTCACAGGGCATGAAAAATGTGACGAAATGCCGCGTTGCACACTTCAGCTAGTAACTGGGGCTTCCGGCAGTGACCTTTGACCCTTCCTTATAACTTGGCCTGACCGCAGCTGGCGGCTGGTGGTAACATCTTCCTGCCCTACTCCCTTGAAGATGGGATGTCACCAGTTAGTTAGAAACTTGAGCAAGGAGTGGGGAGGGGAGAGATTAAAGGAGGCAGTAGATTGGGGCTGGTGTAGGCTCTCCTCCCCCCTCCCACACTTTCCCCCCATTCTCTATTGAGTCAGGGCCCTCCCCCAATCCAGATGGAGGAGTCAGGGCAGCGGAGATAATGAGGAAAGGTGTCTCAAGGAGATAAGCAATCTTCCAGATTCTTTCGCAAGTCGTGACTCCCTAGCCGCTCATGTGAGCATCCCTCATGAGGTGGGGAGGGTGCAGAATGGTGCCAGGTTGTACCCACAAGGGAACAGCTCTGCCGGGTCAGGCCAGCGGTCCATTTAGTCCAGCATCTGTTCTCGCAGTGGCCGAACAGATCCCACAAGCAGATCCTCAGTGCAATGGTTCTCTCCGGTTTCCAGAAACTGGAATTCGGGCACATACTCGGACTGGATAGCACAGTTGATCAGAGCGTGGTGCTGATAACGGCAAGATTGCCGGCTGCATATCCTGGCAGATGATCCTTGCAACCCTACAATTCTGGGATTCTGTGCTGCCTCCACAGTGGAAGCCGAACTCGCCACTGGTGGTGCTCAGTGAATTTTGCAAAGCTCCTTTGCCTACCCATTAGAAGGTTTTGCGAGTCCGGTAGCAGCTTAAAGAGAGCAGATTCGCGGCGACGTAAACTTTCTTGCTTCGTTGCATAAAGCTTTATCCTTAGGCGTGGGTTCCCCTTCCACCCTTGGCTCAGGTTAACAGTTTTGTCGCTTAGTGAGCAAGAGTGCCCTCGCATTTTTCTGCTTTCCCGCATGTGCAGTACAGTGGTACCTCTGGTTACATACGCTTCAGGTTACATACTCTTCAGGTTACAGACTCCGCTAACCCAGAAATAGTACCTCGGGTTAAGAACTTCGCTTCAGGATGAGAACAGAAATCGTGCTCTGGTGGCGCAGCAACAGCGGGAGGCCCCATTAGCTAAAGTGGTGCTTCAGGTTAAGGACAGTTTCAGGTTAAGAACGGACCTCCGGACCGAATTAAGTACGTAACCAGAGGTACCACTGTACGTGAAACCCACAGGATGACACAAGACAGAAAATGCAAGTACATTTCAGCTTTTATGATTCCCTGCCCCCTTGGCAGCTGATGCAAAGTCACTTTTGTGGCATTGGGTCAGTTGACCACACACCAGACCTTCGCTCTTTAAAAGAAGTACAGTTCGTTAGTTAAAGTTAATTGCCCCCCTCCCCCCACGAGGATTTACCCTGTCTTCCTACCAAAAGTCTCAATGCGGCTAACAGTTTGAAAAAGCAACCACCATTATTACTAAACAACGGTAACAACAAGCCGTGAAAACCAAAAAGAAACACTTGCTTCTATTTCTCCATAACATCCGAATGAGGAGAGGCTGTGCAGTCCCTAGGCTGTTGCCCGGATGCAGTGGTGAAATGGATGGCTAAGGTTGAAGCTAAGGTTGAAGCTAAGGTTGAATCCTGGCACTGTGGGTGAGTAGCTCCCATGTCCGAGCAATTGGTCAGTTGCCAACCCTGGATGGCAGTGCTGGATTAAACCCTGTGGAGGCCCCAAGGAAGTCAAAATCTCGGAAGGGGCCTATCTTGCAAATGATCTCCTTGTTACGTTTTTGCAATTTTATTTCAAGATCAAATCAATACAGTGGTACCTCGGGTTACATACGCTTCAGGTTACAGACTCCGCTAACCCAGAAATAGTACCTCGGGTTAAGAACTTTGCTTCAGGATGAGAACAGAAATCGTGCCCCGGCGGCGCGGCGGCAGCAGGAGGAGGCCCCGTTAGCTAAAGTGGTGCTTCAGGTTAAGAACAGTTTCAGGTTAAGAACGGACCTCCGGAACTAATTAAGTACGTAACCCGAGGTACCACTGTATTGTTTGATCCGTTGTTGTGGGGCCCCTAAAAGGCCCATAGGCCGGTGGCTACTCTGCCTATTTGGTAATCCAACACTGCTGACTTGTGCTACACACCCTAACCCTAACCCTGAAGGAGCAAGTTTGCAGTTTGGAATTGCTTCTGAATACATCTCTGTTGCTGGAGGCTCAGGTAGCCTCAGTGGCGAAAAGTGCCTGTTACCAACTGCGGCTGGTTTGGCAGCTGCAGCCGTTCCTGGACCCGAAAAGCCTTTCCACAGTAGTGTCGTGCATTGGTTACTTCAAGACTGGATTACTGCAATGTGCTCTGTGCAAGACTCCCCTCATGCTTGATCCAGAAGCTGCAGTCAGTGCAGAATGCTGACAGGTGTATGGCCCACTGAACTCTGGGAGCAAGCACTGCTGAAATCGCTGGCAAATTATTTCTTGAAGTAAGGCGTGTTTAGGAATAGTGTTGGTGGTCTGGACCCAGTCCTTGACCAGCTGTTGCACAGCAAGAAGCAAACTTTGCTTGGGATATTTGACTGGGGGCATCTTTCCGTGTGAACTTCACCGCCCAGCTGGGGGAGCTTATTTTATTTCAGTATTTATGTGCTGCCCCACAAACTCTAAAATATATAGGATTTTGACAAAGGCTAGAACCTCCAGGCAGGGACGTGGGTGGCGCTGTGGTCTAAACCACAGAGCCTAGGGCTTGCCGATCAGAAGGTCGGCGGTTCGAATCCCCGCGACAGGGTGAGCTCCTGTTGCTCGGTCCCTGCTTCTCCCAACCTAGCAGTTCAAAAGCACATCAAAAAGTGCAAGTAGATAAATAGGTACCGCTCCGGCGGGAAGGTAAACGGTGTTTCCGTGTGCTGCTCTGGTTCGCCAGGAGCGGCTTAGTCATGCTGGCCACATGACCTGGAAGCTGTACGCTGGCTCCCTTGGCCAATAAAGCGAGATGAGCGCCGCAACCCCAGAGCCTAGGGCTTGCCGATCAGAAGGTCGGCGGTTCGAATCCCCGCAACAGGGTGAGCTCCTGTTGCTCTGTCCTTGCTCCTGCCCACCTAGCAGTTCGAAAGCATGTCAAGTACAAGTAGATAAATAGGTACCACTCTGGCGGGAAGGTAAACGTTTCCGTGTGCTGCTCTGGTTTGCCTGAAGCGGCTTAGTCATGCTGGCCACATGACCTGGAAAAACTGTCTGCGGACAAACCCTGGCTCCCTTGGCCTTTAAAGCGAGATGAGCACCATAGAGTCGTCCACGACTGGCCCTAACGGTCAGGGGTCCCTTTACCTTTACTAGAACCTCTAGGCACTTTTAATAGCCTTTTTGACATATACAGTGGAACCATCCTTTTCAAGACCTCTCCCTCACAATCCCGGCTAATCAGGAAAGACACCAACAGCCATTACTTGCCCTTTGTTATTTCAACACACTATCAGTTTTGGGGTCCCCCCCCACTTTTCATTTTCCTGTGTTGCTATAATGGTTCTCTCTGTTTTATAATACATTATAAAATGAAATACATAAACCTTTACCCCCGCAAAAAAAAAGTAGGCACACAATTTGCAACATTAGTATAAAGTTACACCAAGCGTTGCTTAAAAATCCAATAAAACACGAAATGCAACACACAGAAAGTATAAATCGTCAGAGTGGTCTAAAAACAGCAATGGGTCAGCAAATCCCTGGGCGCGCGGACACGATTTTTTTAATGGGTGGCGAAAAAAATGCACTAATGTGCTTCGTAATCTTTTGCTGGGCAAGGATCGCGCAGGGGGAAGCGCGTGCCCTCTTCGCTGCCAACCCAGCCTCCCTCTCTCTCTCTCTCCTTCCTCCTCCTCCCCTCCCTCGCTCGCTTGCGCCCCTTTCCTCGCACCGGACTGGAAACCTCACATTGCGTAAGATCCCGGGCCGGCCACGCCCATCGGGGGGAATTTCGCGGTTGTGAGATCACTCCCTCCGCCGCCCGCGAGATGCTATATAATTCCCACCCCCCGCCAAGTTGCAATCGGCAGACGGAGACGGAAAGTTTAGGATCGGTGGCCTCCGCAGCGATCGTGGCGGACTGAGGATGCTGGACGTAGACTACGCGCAGTGAGTGAACCGGGGGTTAAAGTGTTTTCGATTATGGAGAGAGGGGCGCACACACATATATATGCCATCATCTGCCCTGGTTTTTTTTTGTTCTTAATTCTTTAAAGTGGTCTCCGAGCATGTGCAGAGTATTTTTTTCCAAAGCACCCATTTGCCTACGCCTCCCGCATTTGGAGATGGGGCGTTGTTTCATTTTTAAAACTTTGATCCCTGGGTCTGGGAGTTGCTCTTCTTCTCCCAACTCGCTTCTCCGTCGGTGGCTGCTTGCCGGCTGCGAAAGTTGGGCAAAAAGTCTTTGCCCCGAGGCTCATACAAGGGGTGGAGGGAGGTGCGCCCGAGAGGAGCAGAGGACTCCTCTAAGGTCGGGGCAGGTTGGCTGCGTTCCCGAACTCCTGGGTTCTTTGCAGGAGGGAAGTCGGCCAGGGGAAGCGGGGTGCCTGTTCGGACCCAGGAATTCTCTGAATAGGAACAACGATTTTGTTAAAGCCGAGAACGGACCTCAGCACAGAGCTAACTAAAAACTAACTGCATCAAGCGCACACGTTGTGAGTCCACAAAAAGGCTCAAGAGGCAGAATTTTGGATTCCTAGCCTTTCTGGGCTGGGGGAGCAGTTTTGTATAAAGACAGCCAGGCTGCTATCACTTCATATTATTGTTATGCTTGGATCCCACCCTCTTAGGACTTCAGGGCAGTCCATAGGCTTTTTCTCCTTCTCCACACAACAGCCCTGCGAGGAAGGCGAGGCTGAGTGTTAGCTTTTTGCCCAAGTTCACCACCCAATGTGGTTCATGGGATAGTTGGGATAGCTTGCTCAGTGTTAGCAGGACACTGCTCATCTCAGGGTCTTGAGTTTGAGCCTCACGTTGGGCAAAAGATTCCTGCATTGCAGGGGGTTGGACTAGATGACCCTCGGGGTCCCTTCCACCTCTTAACAATTTGATGATTCTCTAACTTGGGATCTGAACCCAGGGCGTCTCCTGCCTAAGCCCAACACAACTCACCACATGGTCTCTCTAATTTACTGTCAGTTGCGAAAAGTAGGGGGCTGGAGGAGAAAGAACACGCAGTGGGAAGCGTGTGTCAATTTTTTATGCCGTGGGGGCTTTATCCTTGGTCACTTTGTGGACAAGGATCCATGCCTTATGCCTGGAAAGTTCCTGGAAACGCCAGTATTTAGGGCTGCTGCTTGTCTCTTAAGGCAGTTTGCCGCCAACATTTTCAAACGGGGCTGCTTTGCAAGGCAGGACCTGCTGTAAGGAGAAAAGTTCTCTGGTATAACTTTTCCCACCATGCTGGGCAAAACTTCAGCTGCTGAATTCCAACTCCCCCCCCCCCCCATTTATTTTATTTTATTTTATTTTTTGCAACAGTGAAAATGCTCAGAGACTTTACACTTTAAATACGGTGACCCTACTCCAAATTTAGCAGCCCCTTTCTGCCCCAATTTATTTGCAATCTAATATTGGGTGCTTTTGAACGCCCCACCCCAAGCGCACCCCAACCTCAACTTTCTCCCCTCACTTTCCTTCCCCTCCTCTTGCCTGTTATGCAAATGCTGAGGTGGGGAAAGCTAGATTTGAATATTTCCTCGGCTCACAAAAGTGTGACTGTGAGGGGGTTGGGGTGGCGCCTTGTATGAGGGGAGGGTGTGGAGCTTCCTTGTCCAGCTTTTTCCATCCCAAATGTTGGGTATACTGTATAGTATAATCCACAGCCTTCCTGCCCTCAGCATTGATTGAGCCAGTTTTAATACCTGCCAACTGAGGCCCACATTGACACCATATGTGATAAAGTGCAACCGAGACCCCTTTACAAACAGCCATGGCTTCCCTCAGAGAATTCTGGGAACTGTAGTTTGTCAAGCGTTCTGAGAGTTGCAGATCTACAATTTTTCAGAGTGGTTTAACAATTGGTTCTTCTTCACTGGGAATCGGAGCTCTGGAAAGGGAACAGGGGTCTGCCAAAGGTCCCAGGGTTCAATCCCCATCAGCGCCGGGAGCGAATCCTGCCTGAAACCCCGAAGAGTGGCTGCCAGTCAGTGTAGACAAAACTGGTCTAAATGGAGCAAACGGGTCTCACTCAGTATAAGGCAGCAGCTTCCTATGGGCCCGCAAAAACCGATCTGTTTTTAAGCACCCTGTGAAATAACTGAGAGGGACAACGTGCCTTCCCATTACAGCGGTACCTTGGGTTCCAGACGCTTCAGGTTACACACTCCGCTAACCCAGAAATAGTGCTTCAGGTTAAGAACTTTGCTTCAGGATAAGAACAGAAATCGTGCTCTGGCAGTGCGGCAGCAGCAGGAGGCCCCATTAGCTAAAGTGGTGCTTCAGGTTAAGAACAGTTTCAGGTTAAGAACGGACCTCTGGAACGAATTAAGTACTTAACCCGAGGTACCACTGTACTTAATTCGTTCCGGAGGTCCGTTGTTAACCTGAAACTGTTCTTAACCTGAAGCAGCACTTTAGCTAATGGGACCTCCCGCTGCTGTTGCGTGATTTCTGTTCTCATCCTGAAGTAAAGTTCTTAACCCGAGGTAATATTTCTGGGTTAGCGGAGTCTGTAACCTGAAGCGTATATAAACTGAAGCGTATGTAACTCGAGGTACCACTGTAGAGAGCCCCTCGAGGTAAATAAACCCTGTTTATTTCTTGTTTAGGGTCTTCCTCTTGCTGCAGCAATTGAATTACTCAAGAGATAGGTGCCCGTCGCCCCGATTTCCCCATCTGGTATATTTTATCCTACCTCTGTCCCATTTCTCCATAACCAATAATACCCCATTTCCGCCGACATCTCCGCCACCACTTTCTCCAGCGCTGGCCCAAGACATTTTGCAGCTTGAGGTAGAAGAGGAAATGGTCTCCACCCACCCACGCTCTGTGATTCAAGGTGCATAAAGGCCAGCGGAGCTATTTTGGCACCTGAGGCAGAAAAAAACCCCCACCTTTTCTCTGGAAGTAGGAAAAAAAAAATAGTTCAAACAAATAACAATGGGCTGCCTTTCCATGACATTAATTTGCCCCTCAGAGTTTCAATACCTGAACACCCTTCATGGAAGATAAGGCCACAATGTCTATAATGCTACTGAACAGCAGTTGCTGGGCTCCACAGGAGGGAGGGGAAGATGCTTTGTGCTCAAATCCTGCTTGCTGGTTTTCTACAGGCACCTGAAGACCCTCCAAGTTGTCCCTGTTTTCCAGGGACATTCTCGGATTTGCAGAAGCCGTCCCGGTTTCTGATTTGATGACAGCACGTTCCGTTTTTCCTTGGGACCGTCCCTATTTTCATCAGATAAATGTTGGAAGGTATGGGGTTATTTGACCCCCTGAACCAAAGAGATGAGTAACTTGACAACTTTTGGAATACATCTGAAGGCAGCCCTGTAGAGGGAAGTTTTTTAAATGTTTTAGTTTGTGTGTGCAGCACACAAAACATTTTAAAAACTTCCCTCTACAGAGCTGCCTTCAGATGTATTCCAAAAGTTGTCAAGTTACTTATCTCTTTGGCTCAATGGTTGCCTAACTCCACACCGTCCAACATTTATCTGATGAAAATAGGGACAGTCCCAAGGAAAAGCGGGACATGCCGGGATCAAATCAGAAACCGGGATGGCTTCTGCAAATCCAGGACTGTCCCTGGAAAACAAAATATATTTATGTTGGAAGCTGCTCAGACTGGCTGGGGCAACCCAATAAGATGTGTGGGGTATAAATAAGTAAAATTATCATTATGGAATGGGACGTCCCTCTTTTCATTAGAGAAATGTTGGAGGGTTTGTGGTTGGAGAATAGCACCACACAATTCAGAGATGTGCAAATTTATTACGTGCTTAAAACTAAAATTCCTAGGATTCTTTTTGCCCCGGGGTGTGTGTGTGAGGGGGCACTTTAAATGTGTACTGCATGAAAGTAAGTTGCCTGACACGTCTTGCCTTCATTGTATTTGCCAGTTTAACCTCTGACTGTGATCTCCCTTTATCTGTCCTCCCCTCCCCGTCTGTTTCCCTTTTTAATCTTTTTCTAAAGTCCCCTCCCTCTCTTTGCTGTGTATCTCTATTTCCCATCAGAGACATTTTGAAGAGGTCTGACTTTTATCACTTGGCGTTTTTGTTTCTCTAGTACTTTCAGGGCTCCCAAAAGCGCTTTGTGACAAATCCTCCAAAAGTGGCCCAACGAGGCAGGTCACTTACTATGCCCATTTTGCAGATTTATGGCGGGAACTGAGGCCGAGAGAGGGTGACTTGTTCAAGGCTGCCCTTCTAGATGCATTTGACTTTGGCTTAACACACACAGCTATAAAAATGCATAGCGTGTGTTGGGATATCTGTCCTTAGCGCAGTGTAGGGAAGAGGATATGAGGCCTTCTGGGTATTTGGCACAGGATACGAGTTATCATTAAGCCAGAGAAGCCCACCATATTCCTGGGGCAGGTAACAATATTTTGGGGGGTTTCACAATCAGGGCTTTGAAACTGGGCCCAAGGCCAACATTTAGGCTGCTGGACAAACTGAGAATATAGGTATGATTTAATGGGAACTGTTGAGGCTTTTACCTTTGGGCTCTGACACTTGGACCCACACAAGTGTTGTGCTTTCAGATGTATTCCAGGAAATATCAGTATTTACACACACACACACACACACACACACACACACACACACCTGGTTTCCACAATGTTTTCAGGCGTGGCTCCTGAACAAAACAGGACATGCCAAAGAGAAATTTCCAGTGGCCAAGGCAGTGCATTTGGCTACGGGAGAGATCCACATCTGTGCCACATCTGCTGTGAAGCCTCAGTTTTCTGTCTCCTAGATCAGGCACGTCCAGCTGGTAGATCACTGGTAGATCACTGGCTCCCCTAGAAAAAGCTCAACAACTTTGACCTGAACCCCCAAAAAGGGGGTAGATCACTGCCAGTTTTTAGATTGCAGTCTCTTGAGAGTTGGTCACCCCTGTCCTAGATGCTCAAATGTCTCACTTGGAAAACAAAGAAGGGAAGTTATTTTGGCTCAGTTAACATTTGGGTACTCAACATTGTGGGCTGTAGGGATGGCAAACCTGTACAGTGGTACTTCGGGTTACATACGCTTCAGGTTACAGACACCGCTAACCCAGAAATAGTACCTCAAGTTAAGAACTTTGTTTCAGGATGAGAACAGATATCGTGTTCTGGTGGCATGGTGGCAGCAGGAGGCCCCATTAGCTAAAGTGGTGCTTCAGGTTAAGAACAGTTTCAGGTTAAGGACGGACCTCCGGAACGAATTAAGTACTTAACCCGAGGTACCACTGTATAGTACATCAGCCCTAGGCAACATGACCTCTGATTAGGGGCCACAGGTTCCTCACCTGGCTATTGACAGGGGTGCTTATGATTCACACATGCACACTCAGTTCCCTGCTCTGACTTGAGTCTCAATTTTGGTGTGACAGGGTAGGTCTAGACCATATCTGGGGAGCTCTTGCTAAACTACAACTCCCATCATCCCTGGCCATTGACCTTCCTTGCTGATAGGAGTTGTAGTTCAGCAGCTTTTGGAGGTTTCCCACACCTGCTCTATAAGCTTCCCCACCCCTCCAGGTTCCTGAGCTTTACTGTGTAGGTGCCCTCTTTTTGAGGGTGTATGAATTATTGGGAACATATCCCTGAAGAAATAATTATGCATTTTCAAGAAAAATAATGTGCAGTGCAATTTGACCAAGCAGCCCCAAACCTCAATATACCTGCCTCCGTCTGTAAAATGGGAACAATGCTTCCTTGTTTCTTTCCTCTTCTGTGGGGATGAAAGATTCAAACCCGATAAATATAATAAATCCCTTTGCAAGGAAGAAGTGGCACTTAGATAATTAGTAACTAGCAGAACAGCAAGCCTTAATTGGTTTAATTGCTAGTTTAGCAGCGACTAGGGCTGTCACTCAAATCTTGATCATCAGTTTCTGTTGGTAGAATATATAGGATGGTGCTGTAAATGTGTCTGTTAATAGTGATGATGATGATGATGATGATAAAATCTTCTAACCAATTTCCCTTCTGTCTTGGCAGGTTTGAGGGATCCCAGTATGGCTATATGGTAAGTATGTGGCCCAGAATCCTTGCCTTTTACTGGTCTGAGTGAGAGAAGAGGATTTCAAAGTGGGACTTTGTTGAGAGCTGTGTAACTCAGAAGCCAAGATGGAAACGTAAGAGTCGGACCATTGGCTCATCTAGCTCATATGGCCTACACTGGCTGGCAGCAGCTTTCCAGGGTTCCAAACGGGGGGAATTCCCAGCCCTACCTAGAGATACTGGGGGGTTGAATCTGGGGCCATTCACATGTGCTCTTAACCACAGGCTTTCCTTTCGTTTTCTTAGTGGAAGCAGAAGGTGGGTTTAGAGACTGGGAGTCTTCCTGGGTTCTTCTTGCATTTGAGGGTGTGGAGTGAAGGGGTTTTAATGTTGCTCACAGGCCTGCTTGTCGTCTTCCCAGTTTCCCAGCGGCTGCATCTATGACCTGGACTCTTGCAAACAAGAACCCACGTTTGCTTCCTGCCTTGGAGACCCCGAGAGCTCCCCAGGTAAGGCATGTCTTAGTGCTGGGAAGTGGCTGCTCAGAATGGCTGGGGCAACTTGAACCGATGGGTGGGGTATAAGTAATAAATTATTATTATTATTATTATTATTATTATTATTATTATTATCATCATCATCAGTTTTTTTTCTAGAAAAGGAGGTGCTGGAGCTCACCATTAACTTCTCCCATGCTCTCTTCCCTGAGAGGTACTGGAGCTGAGCTCTGGCTGAAAAAAGCCGTTATTATTATTATTATTATTACTACTACTACTACTACGACTACTACAGGAGCCAGGAGACCAGGGTTGCACACACAGTATACATTTAAAGCACATGACGCCCACGCCCCCGGCTTCAAGAATCCTGGGAAGAACTGTAGTTTACTTCTCATAGAACTACGGTTCTCAGAATTGTTTGGGGATTGCTTTAAATGTATGGTGTGTGCACAGCCGCATGCAAACTAATTGTAGGAGGCATATTATATACCACGTGGGTACAACTTGGACCATGTTGATGGGAATAGGGAGTCCCAGTGTTGTGAGGGCACCAGGTTGACTACCCTTCCTCTACATACTGAATGAACAAATGTAAGTTCTTGTTCTCTCACTGGCCGATTTGCATGTGACCCTCTTTTGCCTAGCCGTTAAGAGGGCCTGCAGAAGAGTCATGTATGGCTTTCCTGTTTAGAACAGACGAGTCTCTCTCTCTCTCTCTCCCTTCCTCCCCCCTCCCCACCTGCCCCGCTCGCTTGCGCAATCTGCATTTAATCGGAGGCTGCCATCTGATTTCTGGGATGTGCTTGCATCTATACAGGCCTTGGTGGGGGCCTGCCACAGATAGGCACTCTGTATTATTTGCAGAGAGAGAGATACTGTGTTTGGGCTTTGTAGACTCGCTGGAAGTTGCCTGAAGATCAGGATAATCCAATCTGGGGCTGGCCTGCCACTTTTGATCTCTGGCACCAAGTTGCCAATCTACTCTGGTGTACCCTTAATGTGCAACCCAGCCAGATGGGCAGGGTATACATAATAAAATTATTATAATCCAGCGACCGACCGCCCACCCAGCATCTGCTTCCTGCCACATCTGCAGTGTAGTTTTGCTGCATCAGACAGAGCTGATGTGTAGATCTGGCAGCTTATCAGTATGTGTTCTTTGTTTGGTTTTTTATTCTGCCTTTCACCCAAGAAGCTCACAGCCTGGCTAGTTTGATGAGCCTTCCCACTCCTGCTCAGCAGTCCATAATAATAATAATAATAATAATAATAATAATAATAATAATAATTTTATTATTTGTTGCAACAGCCACTCTGGGCAGCTTCCAGCACATACAAAACATAATAAAACAATAAGCATTAAAAACTTCCCCATACACGGGTGCCTTCAGATGTCTTCTAAAGGCCATCTCCTTGACATCTGATTGGGAAGCCGTTCCACAGGGCGGGTGCCACTACTGAGAAGGCCCTCTGCCTGGTTCCCTGTAACCTTACTTCTGGCAGGGAGGGAACTGCCAGAAGGCCCTTGGAGCTGGATCTCAGCGTTCGGGCTGAACCCTTCCGCCTTTCAAGCAACACCCTCCACACACCAACCCACCCCTGGCCTCTGCATAAGTGAGCCGGTGTGTCGGGTTCTTAAGAGTGTCAGGATTAGGGCCTGGGGAGGCCAGGGCTCAAAACCCCACTTGGCTACAGAGCTCACTGGCAGGGCTGTCTTAAGCATACGCGGCACGGGGTGCAAAGATCCGCCCGCCCTCCCCTCAGGTTGGCCAGTCCCAGGCACGCAGGAGGGTGGACCTGGCCAGCCACCTCAGCGTCTCACTGGCTCGGTTGCCCCCGAACTCACAGCGCAGAGCTGCCCACAGCAGAAGAGCCTGCCACAGGGCTCCGACCGATGGGCGGGCTCTTCCCTGACTCAACTCTCGGGCCCCGGACTCTCAGCCTGGCGCCCCTGAGAGCCTGACCCCCGGGTGCCCTGCACCCCTAGCACCTATGGGTAAGACGGCCCTGCTCACTGGCTGCCCTTGAGCCAGTCACTACCTCGCAGGGTGGTTGTTGGGGTTGCGCCAGGAGGGAGCGAGAACTATTTACGCCGCCTCGAGCTCCTTGGGTGGGAAGGCGAGGCGTATAAATGCAGTCTGAGGAATACATATATGGCACCGCAGAATTGGAGGTTTGGGAGGATCATCAAGTCCGACTCCCTGCCATGCAGGAATATGCAGCTGTCCCATACAGGGAGCGAACTTGCCAGATCTTTTCCAAAAGCAGAGAGTGGACTGAAGCGATCAAACTGCTCCAGAATGTGTCTCTGTGGTTTTCCGCACACATACCCCTATGGGTTTTTTTTATTTACTTTGCCTTTCTTCTGTTACGGGATTCAAAGTTAACACACAACTTAGTCTCTGCTCCAGGCGTTGACCAGGCTTGGACTTGCTTTAGCTTCAGGCCATTTGGCCTCATCGCTTGCCTCCCAGCGATGCCCACGGACTTCCTTTATTCTTGCCCGTCTTAAGGGGCAAATACGCCCACAATGTACTTGTTTTAGGCTGACGGCCTGCAGCTCTACACCTTCCTTTTCTAATCTCACTACCATTTCTGACTAGATGCCCTCTCGTTATCTTAAGCTTCATTTGTCCAGAAAATAATTATTCCTCGCTCTCCTTTTTTCTCCTGCTGGGGGCTCGCATTCAGTCTTTCCTTCCCCCAAACCTTCCCTTTTCTGTTCAAGCTACTGCAAAACATAAAAATGAGAGTTCTCCATCCCACTCCCTTCTACCCTGCCGGCCCCTGCTCCAGAAATGTGTTATTATTAATTATAATTAAATGTCTAGATTGCCCTTCATCCGAAGATCACAACATAAAAGTACAAAATGAGAACACAAACAAACAAAAACAAACCGATATCCCCACCACCACCACCACCACAATAACATTTAAAAGGCCGTGAAATGTTTCATCAGTCAAAGAAATGTATTCCCCTGGCGCCTAAAGGTATGTAATGAAGGTGCTAGGAGAGCCTCACTGGGGAGAGCATTTCACAAATCGGGAGCCAATGCGGAAAAGGCCCTGTTCTCAGGTTGCCACCTTCCAGACCTCTTGCAGAGGAGGCACACGAAGACAGGCCTCAAATAATGATTGCTGGGTTCAGGTCACTTCATATGGGGAGAGGAGGTCCTTGAGGAAAAGGCAAAAAGTAACTTGCCATTCCCAAATCTTTCCAATTGCTAAATCCCATTCTTTTCTTCTTGTCCCTTTCTTCTGCGGTGGCACTGGCTGATTGTCTTTTTTTTAACAGTAGCGGCTAGAGTGCTGGACTCGGACCTGGGAGACCCGGGTTCGAATTTCCGCTCAGCGATGAAGCCTGCTGGGTGACTTTGAGCCAGCCACCTTGAGCTCCTTGGAGGAATATAGCTGTTATAATAAATAAATATTCTCTCCCAGTTTGACTTGCTACCATTTTCTGCTCATCCTTCTTACCATTTTCTAAGGCTTCAGTTCTCTTATCTGATCCGGGTTTAATCTGCTACTCTTCCTTTTTGTTTTTTTTCAAACCCTTTGCTCTTTGGCTCCTCCTTTATCTCTCTTTTATTTGCCTTCTATCATTCTCTTAGTTCAGCCCCACTCCCTTAACTCAGAAGAGGATTTCGGCGGGAAGCTGCTTTCTGCGATGACACTAGGGAAGACTGAGGATGAGGGCAGGAAATGCTGCCTGCAAAATCCTGGCTCCATCTCACTCCCCTCTTCTCCTCCCCCTATTTTTTATTGTTGGTGTAACCCAGAAAGAACATCTGCATATTCCTTCATTGCAGAGGGTTGAACTAGATGATCCTCAAGATCTCTTCCAACTCTACAGTTCTGTGATTCTATGAAAGAGCATTGGCTCACATTAAGAATATTCCATCCTGCAACAAAAATGTGTGTGTGTGTCCCCAAATAGATATCTAATGTAGACGGACAATGATAAGACATACGTTCAACTGCAGAAAGGGGGAGTAAGATCTTCAGACTACTTAGCAATGGATGGTGGGTCTTCATCCTGCCAACTTTGAAGTACAGCTGTCACATCCGTCTTTTGTTGTTGTTTAGTCGTTTAGTCGTGTCAGACTCTTCTTGACCCCATGGACCAGAGCACGCCAGGCACTCCTATCTTCCACTGCCTCCTGCAGTTTGGTCAAACTCATGCTGGTAGCTTCAAGAACACTGTCCAACCATCTCGTCCTCTGTCGTCCCCTTCTCCTTGTGCCTTCCATCTTTCCCAACATCAGGGTCTTTTCCAGGGAGTCTTCTCTTCTCATGAGGCGGCCAAAGTCTTGGAGCCTCAGCTTCACCATCTGTCCTGCCAGTTAGCACTCAGGGCTGATTTCCTTAAGAATGGAGAGGTTTGATCTTCTTGCAGTCCATGGGACTCTCAAGAGTCTCCTCCAGCACCATAATTCAAAAGCATAAATTCTTTGGCGATCAGCCTTCAATATGGTCCAGCTCTCAGTTCCATACATCACTACTGGGAAAACCAGAGCTTTAACTATACGGACCTTTGTTGGCAAGGTGATGTCTCTGCTTTTTAAGATCCGTCTTTAGTGCAATTTTATTTCGAGACTCTTTTGTTTTGTTTTGTTTTGTAATGCCACTTTTCAGAGCCTGTTTGGGCTATATAAAGTGAGACATAAGTATTTTAAGTATATTATACTTTCATCACAGCTAACAGAGCAATTCTATCCATGTTTAAAGGTAAAGGGACCCCTGACCATTAGGTCCAGTCGTGGCCGACTCTCGGGTTGCGGCGCTCATCTCGCTTTACTGGCCGAGGGAGCCGGCATACAGCTTCCAGGTCATGTGGCCAGCATGACTAAGCTGCTTCTGGCGAACCAGAGCAGCGCACGGAAACGCCGTTTACCTTCCCCCCGGAGCGGTACCTATATATCTACTTGCACTTTGACGTGCTTTTGAATTGCTAGTGTGATGGGAAGATGAGCTGCTTGTGCGTAAAATCGTATTCCCTCAGAGTTTGTTCAAGTCCACAAACCTCTGTCTGTGACTGAGCCCCTCTGACATGGCTCCTCTAGTCACTAGAAGATTCCGACAGTGGTTGCTTTCGTAATCGCTTCCAACATAAAAGCTCCTTAACGGAAACACGTCTTCTGGACTCTCTGCGTGACAGTTTCCGGCGAGGAGTGGGTGTCCCTACAGGAGGTCCGGAAACCTCACCACTGTTTTCGCTGGAAGTATCTCTGAGCCATCCCCCAGCTCCCTTTCCCTCAGTTCAGCTTCTCTCCCCTGCTGGTTTCCTCTTCAGCTGCTGAGTCTCTTCCAACCTGTCTGAGCCCTTTCACCTCCCTCAGTTCAGCTTCTCTCCCCTTGCTGGTTCCCTCTTCAGCTGCTGAGTCTCTTCCAACCTGTCTGAGTCCTTTCACCTCCCTTCCTTCCGATGGCAGTTCCCTGACATCCACCTCCCCTCCAGGGCCCCCTTCACCCCCTCTCGCCCTCCTCTACGGGCGGTGAGGAGGCAAAACCCCGGAATGAACTTCCTTCATCTTCCGATGTCTCGAACACTTCTCTCCACCTGTTGCGGTTCCTGGTCTCGAAGCACTCCTCCTCCTCCGAGTCCATCTCCCTTCCCCTTCCGATTCTGGGAATCCTTCCAACTCCTCCTCCTCCTCAGTGGTCCCAAAGTATTCCCTCCGGAACCTCTCCACAGGCTGAGGTTTCCTCGGGAACCTTTGATGGAACGTTTCTATCAATACCTCGTCATTGATATCTTCGGCCATTACCCACGTGTTTTCTGACTCCGGTTCTCCTTCCCACGCTACCAAATACTCCACCTGATTCCCCTTCCACCTGGCATCAAGGATTTCTGCCACATGACTGCTGCATTCTCTTTCTTCTATGACCGGTCCCCGAGTGGCCATCCCTTCTCGTCCCCTCGTACGGTGACAGTAACGACCTGTGAAATACTGGGTGCAGTTTCATGTGGTTGGGTAACCGGAGCCTGAAAGCCACTGGGTTGACCTGTTGAATGACCTCAAAGGGACCCAACCTCCTGGGTCTTAATTTCTTACAACCTCCTTTGAACGGCAACCCTCGGGTTGACAGCCACACCCTATCTCCAACCCTTATGGTTTCACCTTCCCTTCGGTTCTTGTCTGCCTGCCTCTTGTATTCTTCCTTCGCCCTTTCTAAGTTGAGTTGGAGCTGACGGTGGATTGCTTCCATTTCTTCTACAAAATGCTCGGCTGCCGGTACGCTCCATCTCTCCCCTTCTCCCCTGGGAAAGCCCTGGGATGACACCCATAATTAGCCAAGAAGGGGCTCATCCCTGTGGACACATTCTCGGCATTGTTGTAGGCAAATTCCGCCAGCGCCAACTTTTCTACCCAGTCATTCTCTCTGTCATTGACATAACACCTCAGGTATTGCTGGAGGACACCGTTTGCTCTTTCCGCCTGCCCGTTGGTTTCAGGGTGCCGGGCAGTCGAAAAGTTGACCTCCACCTGCAGTAAGCTCATGAGCTTCCTCCAGAACCTGGAAGTAAATTGTTTTCCTCGGTCTGAGACCACCCTCAATGGCACCCCGTGCAACCTAAAAATGTGTTCTACAAATAACTTCGCTGTCTCTTCCGCCGTGACTGCATGCGAGCAAGCTACAAAGTGGCACATCTTTGTTAGTAGGTCTACCACCACCATGATGGCTGTTTTCCTTTGGACTTCGGCAGATCAGTCATAAAATCTATCGACACTGCCTCCCAAGGTCGTTCTGGTGTTGGTAAGGGTTCTAACAGCCCCGCCGGCGCCCGCCTTTCCCCTTGGCTCGCTGGCACTGCTCGCACCCTCTTACATACTCACGTACATCCTCCCTCACCTTAGGCCACCAAAATTCCCTGGTGACCAACCACATGGTTTTGTGTTGCCCAAAATGCCCTGCCGTGGGGCTGTCATGCAACTGCTTGAGTACCCTCCCCTTAAGTCTCCTTCAGGGATATACAGTGCCCCTTTGTAATACAAAGCTCCATTTCTTTCCTCGAAACCCCTTGATTCCTCTCCCTCATCCCTAAGACCTCTGAGCTTATTCTGGGCGTATTCATCATTCTCTGTTTCTTCTACCAGTTCTCTTTGTCCCACCAATGCCGCCCCACACACCCAGCGGTCCTCTGGAATGACATGTCTCTCTTCGGGTGCTCCCTCCTCCAAATATTCAGGTTTGCGTGAGAGAGCGTCCGCCCTAATGTTCTCTGGGCCTGGCACGTAACAAATCTCAAAGTTAAATTTGGAGAATTCCTGGGCCCACCTCACTTGCCGTTGGTTGAGCACTCGTGCCGTCCTCCAATACTCTAGGTTCTTGTGGTCAGTGCACACTTGCACCTTATGTTGTGCGCCAATTAGCAGGTGCCTCCATCTCCGGAACGCCTCATGAATGGCTAGTAGTTCTCGGTCATACACCGTGTAGTTCCTCTCGGATTTGTTCAGCTTTCGCGAAAAAAGCACACGGTCTCCACTCTGACTCCTCCTTCCCTGGCTGGAGAAGCACCGCCCCAACCGCTCTGTCTGATGCGTCAGTTTCCACTCTCATCGGTTTTTGTAAATCCACATGCAGGAGCTGTTGTTCCGAGGCGAAGGCCCTTTTTAGTTCCTCAAATGCTTGCTCCGCCTCCTCCGTCCAAACGAACTTCTTCTTACTGCTGAGACAGTCCGTAATGGGCGCCGTCAGGTGGGCAAAGTTTGGGATGAACTTACGATAGAAGTTCCCAAATCCTAAAAACCTCTGCACATCCTTCCTTGTTTTGGGTGTTTTCCATTCCAGTACCGCCTGGACCTTGCCGGGATCCATGGCCAACCCCTTGTCAGACAGGCGATACCCCAGGAATTCCACCTCCTTGGTATGAAACTGACACTTCTCCAGTTTCACCCACAGCTGGCTGGCTTGCAGCCTGCTCAACACTTCTCTGACGTCTCTCACATGCTGCTCCTCATTCTCAGAATACACCAACACGTCGTCTAAGAAGGCCACACAATTCTTGTAAAGCAACGGCCCCAGGACGTGGTTCATAAACGATTGAAATGTTGCGGAGCCTGCTTGTAGACCGAAGGGCATAACTAAGTATTCAAATGCCCCTAAAGGGGTGAACATGGTGGTTTTCCATTCATCCCCCTTCCTTATTCGTATCAGGTTGTACGCCCCCCTTAGATCCAGCTTGGTGAAAATCTTTCCCTTCCGCACCCTTGTCAAAATGTCGTCAATCCTGGGCATCGGGAAGGCCACTGGTTCTGACACTGCATTTAAGGCCCTGAAGTCACACACCAGTCTCGGCTTGTTCGTGTTTTTTTGTGGACAAAAAAAACACTGGGCTGCCCCCCCACCGCCCTGGACTCTCTGATGAACCCTCTCTTCAGGTTCTTGTCAATGAACTCTCTTAGCTCCTGCATCTCTCTGTCTGACATGGCGTACAGCTTGCCCACAGGGAGCTGTGCCCCAGGGAGCAAATTGATTTGACAGTCAAAGGCTCTATGCGGTGGTAGTTGGTCAGCTTCCCTTTCGCTGAAGACGTCGCGGAGATCTGCGTATTGTCGTGGTACCTTCACGTTCTCCGTTACTTCAGTCCCTGCTAGGGTGGCTTGGGCCCCTGCCAAAACCTTCCCTCTTTGCAGTGTTCTAAGCAATGTGCTGACCCAAAAGAAACCACTCTTTGATGCCAGCCCACCAGCGGATCATGTAACGCTAGCCAGCTCATCCCCAATATAATGGGAGCTCCTCCCAAGGTGGCCACATTAAACGCTATTAGTTCGGTGTGCCTTGCCACCTTCATTATCATTGGGACGGTCTGCAAGCTGACTTCTCCTCCCAACAGCTCCCTGCCATCGATCGTGGTTACCTGCAGGGGGTTGCTTAAAGGGAGCGTCTGTATCTGGTGTTCAGCTGCAAACTCTTTGCTCATGAAATTGCAGGAGCTGCCTGAGTCCAACAGCGCCTTTATCTTTAGAGGGTGTCCGTTTGGCAGCTCTAGTGTCACTTCTATCACTAGGGCGGGTTTAGGAGGTTCTGGCGTGGGCACTTTCACTGCTCTTTGGCCTGGCTGCTGTGCCCCGACAATGGCAGCCAGGCGTTGGCTTTTAGTTGCTCCGGTATCTTTTCCTCTCTTCCCTCCACAGCTCCCACCATCCCTTGCCATTCCTTCCTCTGGGGGCAGACTCTGGCAAAGTGCCCTGGCTGTTGGCAGAGATAGCATTTCCGGGCGCCTTTTCCCTCCTTTTTTTCCCCCCCTCACTGGGCTTTGAAACTGCGCGCGCGCGCTGTTCCGATTTCCATCGGCTCTGCCGGCGGGAAAGTTGGCTCTGGAATGTCTGGAATGCGGAACTCCTTCCAACGTTCCCCTTCCCTTCCCGCCTCTCCAATGCTCTCGCCTCCTGGCGCGCTCCTATGGCCAGCGCTGATTTGGTCAGCTGGTCCATAGACTCCGCCCTGGGCGCCCGGGAAAGTTCATCTTTCACAGCCGAAGAAAGCCCTTCTTCAAAGAGCATTTGAATGGGTTCCGCCGATAAGTCCCACCCCAATCTGTGTATCAGCATGGTGAACTCAGTCCAGTACTCACGTACAGATCGGCTCCCCTGTTTGCAAGCCATTAACTGTCTGCGCACCACTCCCTTTTCAATATCGCTGGAAAACATCAGATCCATGGCGCGAAAGAACTTCATCGTGTCCTTTAGGACGTCACTATGCGCTGCCATCAGGGGTCTAACCCAGTCTCTCGCGCCCTTTTCAAGATGCCCAATCACAAAAGCCACTCGTGATTCCTCATCAGGGAAATCATCAAACTGCAGATTGAGGGCATATTGCATTTCTGTCCGAAAGCTATGATAGTCTTTGGGCTCCCCCCCAAATTTCTGCACCAATCCTGGTACCTTTCTGGCGAGCTGGGTGGCTTTCTCCCCTTTGTCTGCATCTTGAGCCCTCCTCTCCTCCAGCCTCGCCGTCTGCAGCGCCAGCTGGACCTCCAACACCCGGTACCTTTCTTCCAGGCTTGGACCCGCTCCAGCCCCTGCTTCTCCGGTTCCTGCTGGGTTGCTCATTATGCCTTCTCCTGCACAAGCTGCGTTCAAAGACTGTCGGAATGCTGTGATGGGAAGATGAGCTGCTTGTGCGTAAAATCGTATTCCCTCAGAGTTTGTTCAAGTCCACAAACCTCTGTCTGTGACTGAGCCCTCTGACATGGCTCCTCTAGTCACTAGAAGATTCCGACAGTGGTTGCTTTCGTAATCGCTTCCAACATAAAAGCTCCTTAACGGAAACACGTCTTCTGGACTCTCTGCGTGACAGTTTCCGGCGAGGAGTGGGTGTCCCTACAGGAGGTCCGGAAACCTCACCACTGTTTTCGCTGGAAGTATCTCTGAGCCATCCCCCAGCTCCCTTTCCCTCAGTTCAGCTTCTCTCCCCTGCTGGTTTCCTCTTCAGCTGCTGAGTCTCTTCCAACCTGTCTGAGCCCTTTCACCTCCCTCAGTTCAGCTTCTCTCCCCTTGCTGGTTCCCTCTTCAGCTGCTGAGTCTCTTCCAACCTGTCTGAGTCCTTTCACCTCCCTTCCTTCCGATGGCAGTTCCCTGACAGCTAGGTTAGCAGGACCGAGCAATGGGAGCTCGCCCCATCGCGGGGATTTGAACCGCCGACCTTCTGATCGGCAAGTCCTAGGCACTGTGGTTAACTCACAGCACCACGGAAAATCCTAGTAAATTAAATGGGGTTTTTATTCCCTGGTTAATGGGATTAGGATTGCGGCCTAAACTTTGCACTACACTGTTTCAGGTTCCTCTTTTGCTTGCTTCTCTGCTCCCTCTAACACAGCATTTAAAAAAAAAAAAAAATCGCTTTCGACAAGGTACATCTTCTCCCAAGGCTTTGGCCTCTACTCCTTGCCTTTCCTTCTCTGTTCTCCTATTTCTTCAAGGTAATACAGCCCCAAATGTATTCTACAAACCCTGGGGCTCTCCTAAGCCTTCTAATATCTTTTTCTTCTGTACGGCATTTTGATTGGATAAGAATTCACATTCAGAGAAGTGAGTTCACTCTTTGGAGATAGGGTCTGGATATTGGTTTCAAAAACTGTGCCCTCCAATGGAGAGAGGAGAGATTCCGGGCCTGCAGCCAGTACTGTATGTACCTGCTGTTCCCTATGCAAAATCGATGGCTTAAGGCATTTGCACACAGAAGAAAAGCCTTTGTAGCCTGAGCTGAGTAATACAACCCTCAACCCTCCTGCTCTCATACCCAAGAGATCCAAGTGGATGTTGGGAGTGATGGCTCCAGGATTCACAAAGCAGAGAAGGGGAAACAGGAGGAGGGAAAGCTACCAAGGCAACTTTTTGAAGGGCAGAGACTGGTTCATTAGAACAGATGGAGCACTGCCCACTCACTCTGCTTCACACCCTTCTTGAGTAAAATCATAGAACTGTAGAGTTGGAACGGGACCCCCCAGGGTCATCTAGTCCAACCCCCTGCAATGCAGGAATCTTAGCTAAAGCATCCATGACAGATGGCCCCATCCAACCTCTGCTTTAAAAACCTCCAAGGAAGGAGAGCCAACAACCTCCTGAGGCAAACCGTTCCGCTGCCAAACAGCTCTTATTGTCCAAAAGTTCCTCCTGATGTTTACAGTGTTACCTCAGGTTACAGACTCTGCTAACCCAGAAATAGTACCTCGGGTTAAGAACTTTGCTTCAGGATGTGAACAGAAATCGTGCGGCGGTGGCAGTGGGACGCCCCATTAGCTAAAGTGGTACCTCAGGTTAAGAACAGTTTCAGGTTAAGGTACCACTGTAGTTGGAATCACCTTTCTAGTACAGTGGTACCTCTGGTTAAGAACTTAATTCATTCCAGAGGTCTGTCCTTAAGCTGAAACTGTTCTTAACCTTGAGGTACCACTTTAGCTAATGAGGCCTCCTGCTGCCACCGCCATGCAATTTCTGTTGTTATCCTGAAGTAAAGTTCTTAACCCTAGGTACTACTTCCGGGTTAGCAGAGTCTGTAACCTGAAGCGTTTGTAACCCGAGGTACCACTGTAACGTGAAGCCCTTGGAAGAGAAAGTCCAGGTATAGGGTGGTATATAAATTCAATAAATTCAATAAATGAAATGAAAGTCCTGCCCTCCAGAGCAGGAGAAAACAAGGCTTGCTCCATCTTCGAGGTGACAGGCTTGCTCCATCTTCCAGGTGACAGCTGTCGAGATATTTGGCGATGGCTATTGTGTCTCCTTTCTCGCAGGCTAAACATACCCAGCTCCTTCAACCGTTCCTCATAAGGCTTGGCTTCTTGACCCTTGACCGTCTTAGTTCCCCTCCTCTGCGTACATTCCAGCTTGTCAACATCCTTCCTAAATTATGGTGTCCAGAATTGGACACCGTATTCCAGGTGTTGTTGTTTTTTTGGCCTGGCTGGAATTTGTCCTCTGAGAATATCTCTTGCTTGCCTGGGTTAGAGGAGTGCTTGTTTGTGTACATGTAAACTAGCCCACTGTACAACGTTTACATCCATTGCCCTACCCACATTTGACGCTGGCATTTGCCCACCACTAGCATGCGGCCCCTGAAAGCTTGCTGAGCCCAGGGAATGTGGCCCCCGGGTTATGAAAGGTCCCCTGCTCCTGACTCATTGGCTTGTTCTCTTGGGTCTCCTTTCTGACGTCGCATCCCCTTGCTTTTCAGAGTCTTGCATGAACTGGCTGGAGATGCAGGAGCCTGGCTATGAAGGCTATGAGATGGGGCAGCTGGCCCAGCTGCAGAATGTCCAAGTCTCCTACCTGCATAGTTCTTACCCGCAGCTCTCCATGGATTCTGTCTACAGCCAGGAGGGAGTGGTACCCACGCAGAACATGTGCCTCGCACCCAAGGAAGACTACAACACCCAGGTGAAGGCGGCGCCTAGTCCATTTGGGGTGGGGCGACAGAGAGCCAGGACCTGGGAAGGGAGTGGGGTCTATGGGTTTTGGGAATGGGAAGCCAGGGGACCTGGGTTCTCAGATCTGGTATTGGAGCTTGGTGGGTAAGACAAAGTGCTGCTGGGTGCCAGTGAGTTCTTTTTATTTTATTTTAAAGTTTTTATTTGACTTTACAAATTCATTCACACAGATAATGTTTTTGCATCATCATCATCATCAATCTTTATTACGGTCCAGAGACCCAACAAATCATTACAAAGTAATACACAATTCATACAGCCTACCTCCAGGTTAAACAAGCATTTTGTTCAAAATATAGGGATCGTTGGTTCTTGCAACCACCGATAAAAACTTTGCCACTGCTAATGTTGTAGTGTTTGTCCGGTCTTCCCATAGGAACCTGACATAGTGAGCCTCTGATTTTCCCGGGAAAGGTACCAGCAAGGGTAATATCAGTTCAGCCCTGGCTTGCTCATATTTTGCACAGTGCAACAAAATATGTTTTATGGAATCGATGTCTTGAGCACACGAGCAAAGTCTGTCCTGGTAGGGAACTCCTCTCAACCTGCCATCCAACACTGCAGGAGGAAAGACGTTTAGTCTGGCTTTGGTGAAAAGCCTTCGATAATTTGGTACTGTCAGGTTTTTAATGTAAGATGATAACTTAAAGACATGCCCATATTGTACTCCTACTGCCAGTGGACTACAGACTGCGTGTGATTGAGATCGCAAGTCACTGTGTGCATTATCCCATAATCTTTGCTTTAACATCTTTAGGGTGCCTTCATAACCCAGGTAATACAGTTGGGGGGAGGGTGACAGCCCAATAGAGGTGGCTGTTCTTGCAGATATTAAAACTTTACACACGATTCTTCCAAATCCTAGGGCTTCCCTCCTTCGCTCCATGGGTTCTTTAAGTAACTTTTTCAACTGCATATTATAAGTCCATCTAATTTACAACCCTCCATTGTATCCAAAGTCTATGTATCATTGCAAGAGTTATTTAGAACCTGACAAAAGAGTTGAAGTGTTTACAGTGGTCCTTCAAATACAATCTATATGTATCCCATTCTCTGTTGAAGTTTTGATCCTCCTGATTTCTGATTTTCCCAGTTAATCTTGCCATCTCTGCATAGTCCAGTAATTTCATCTGCCAGTCCGCCCTAGTAGGTATCTTATCATCTTTCCAGCTCTGCGCAAGCAGCATCCTTGCAGCTGTTGTACATAAACAGGGTGCCAATAGTCTTGGTAACACTAGGGCCGGGCAATATCTAGTTTTCAACATTGTGATATATCACCAGCTAAACATATATAAATATACTAATATATCACAATGTCTGAAATAAGGATGGAGCTATGTAGAGGCACTAGCTGGCTTCACAGTTTTTCCAGTGTCATGATTTTTTTATGGCGCCTGCTCATGTGATTTGCTGCCCCCTGCATTAGGCAGGGGAGGGCTGAGCTGACGGAGTTAACAGAGGCTGCAGGAATCGAGAGGAAGCATTGGCTGGCTTCACGGTTTTCCTCACATTATGGTTTTTTTGCATAGCGCGCACACACAACATGATTCACAATATATTGCCACATCAAAAATTATGAAACCGATAGCACGATATGGACTTCCAAACCGGCTTTGGATGATATATCAATCTATTGCCCAGCCCTAACCAGGGGACGCGGGTGGCGCTGTGGGTAAAACCTCAGCGCCTAGGACTTGCCGATCGCATGGTCGGCGGTTCGAATCCCCACGGCGGGGTGCGCTCCCGTCGTTCGGTCCCAGCGCCTGCCAACCTAGCAGTTCGAAAGCACCTCCGGGTGCAAGTAGATAAATAGGGACCGCTTACCAGCAGGAAGGTAAACGGCGTTCTGTGTGCTGCGCTGGCTCGCCAGATGCAGCTTGTCACGCTGGCCACATGACCCAGAAGTGTCTGCGGACAGCGCTGGCTCCCGGCCTATAGAGTGAGATGAGCGCACAACCCTAGAGTCTGGCAAGACTGGCCCGTACAGGCAGTGGTACCTTTACCTTTACCTTTAACCCAGACCACACATTTATAGCCCTCTCATACCGCTTTAACAGCCACGGAGAATCCTGGGAACTGTAGTTTGGTCTTGTTGCTGGGGATTATGATTCTGTGAGATCAGCACCTCTAGCAAGCAACAGTTCCCAGGATCTCCATGGCTGTTAAAGTGGTATGAGGGTGCTATAAAAGACTGTTTAAGGCGGTATATGCAAGCTTTAAATGTACTGGTGTGTAGATGTGGCCCCAGATTAATCTGAAACAGAAAAAGGGGTTATCTGTTTTGCCTTATCTGGGTTCTGTAGCTGTAGTCCAAAGCTGTAGCCATGGGGGGTGAGTGGTTTTGTTAAGAGGAAAATGGCATCTGAGGGGAAAGATTAACTACTCTCTCCCCCCAGGCACCACTGCTCTGATCAAATTGGTAGGTCCTCTCATCATAACATTCAATAAGAACCTTCTAGATCAGGCCAATGGTTCCTTTATAGTCTAGTATCCTGTCCTCCCAGTGGCCAGTCAGATGCTTGCGGTAAACTGAGATGTAGGACCCAAGCTCAATAAACATCCTGCCCTCCTAAGAATACCAGGAACAGGTATTCAGAAGGATTACTGCCTCTGACAGCCATCTTGGCTAGCAGCAACTGATAGCGTTATCCTCCCCAATCGCCCTATCTCCCATTCTCCCCCTGCTGCTACTGTTTGTCAAAAAGTAAACAAAGCACCAAGGAGATCCTATCACAGTTTTCCTGCGTAATGTATCATTTGGGTCCTAACACATAGCAACACTCAACAAAATGTTCCTAGTCCCTAATGAGAGAACTCAGCCAGGGCTCTGGCCAGCCTAGATCAGGAGTCTTCTATGGGGAAGGAAAAAATAACCCCTTTTTTTCCCCTTCCTGTATCACCCAAAGGCTCAGGTGGGGGGTTGTTTTTGATTGTTACTGTGTTGTGTATTTTTGTGTTTTTATATTGTAAACTACCCTGTGATCTTCGGATGAAGGGTACTATAGACATTAAATGAATGAATGAGAACAGTAGGGGAATCCCACCATGGCCTTCTTGTGTAACATGTAGTTTGGTCCTAACTTCCTGGGCAAGGACGTTCCACTTTGGCTAACGAATGCTGTGGGTTTTTTACCCCTCCATCCCATGGACATCTACAGATTTACCTCCCCTACGAGCAGTACCCTCTTCCCAGGGAAGTGCCTAGCCCCTCGTCGGAAGAAGAGGAATTCCACGGGGAGAGTCGGAACTTGGAGGTGTCCTCCGACAGCGACTTGGATGAGAATCTCTCGCCTGGTTTTGATTCAGGTGGGTGCCTCCATCCCGTGTTTTCAGCACCCAGCAAGACCATGCATCTTGTGTCTATGTTTCTGCGCACACATGCAGAAATACTCACTGTATGTCAAGAAGTAAAAAGGTGAAGTTGAGAGGATGTTGCTGCCCAGGGGTTGTGCGCTGCCCCCAAAAGAGCCACCACTTATAGGGTACTGCCAAGAAGGCTGGTGTTTTGCCTGAAAGAGTCCTTGAGTTTGCAGTCTCTGATCTCCCAGCTAAAGTGGGCCCACAGAGGGTGCCTTGTCTGAGCACCCACAAAACCCTGGAGCCAACACTATGTTTATCATACCAAAAAGGGATGCGAGTGGCGCTGTGGTCTAAACCACTGAGCCTCTTGGGCTTGCCGATCAGAAGGTCGGCGGTTCGAATCCCTGCGACGGGGTGAGCTCCTGTTGCTCTGCCCAGCTCCTGCCAACCTAGCAGTTTGAAAGCACACCAGCGCAAGTAGATAAATAGGTACCACTGTGGCAGGAAGGTAAACGGCATTTCCGTGTGCTCTCGTTACCCTCATGGTATTCTGTAGCACCAGAAGCGGTTTAGTCCTGCTGGCCACAAGACCCGGAAAGCTGTGGACAAACGCCGGCTCCCTCGGCCTAAAAGCAAGATGAGCGCTGCAACCCCATAGTCGCCTTTTTACGTTTGCCATACCATATGAAAATATAATAGAACCATAAACATTAAAAACTTCCCTATACAGGGCTGGCTTCATAGGTCTTCTAAGGGTTCTATAGCTATTCATCTCCTTGACATCTGATGCGAGGGCATTCCACAGGGTGGGTGCCACTACCAAGAAGGCCCTCTGCCTGGTTCCCTGTAACCTCACTTCTCGCAGTGAGGGAACCGCCAGAAGGCCCTCAGAGCTAGATCTCAGTGTCTGGGCTGAATGACAGGGTTGGAGACGCTCCTTCAGGTACCCTCAATAGGCATGATGGCTATTTTCTTAACCTCCACTGAACGCCAGTTGCTGGGCATGGAGAGCATTGCGCTGACGATTTTTGTTTGTCTGTCGCCCTCCGCAGGCTCCCGACGGAAGTTGCGCCTCTACCAGTTCCTGCTGGAGCTCCTTGAGCGTGGCGACATGAAGGAATGCGTGTGGTGGGTGCACCGCGACGCAGGGATCTTCCAGTTCTCCTCGAAGCACAAGGAGCTCCTGGCGCATCGCTGGGGACAGCAGAAGGGCAACCGCAAGAAGATGACCTATCAGAAAATGGCTCGGGCACTACGCAACTACAGCAAGACGGGCGAAATTCGCAAGGTCAAGAAGAAGCTCACCTACCAGTTTGGGACCACTCTGCTGGCGCAGCCGGCCACCTCCTAAACTCCACCCACCCGCCCGCTGCAAGAATACGGGGCTGGGGCCATTAATAATGACTGGACCTCCATTCTCTGCCTTCTCCAGACCACCCGCTTTCTGGTGCCTTCAACCAAACTGCGTGAAAGAATCTAGGCTGGGTGGGAAGAGATGTGAAGACCCAAATCAGGGTGGGTGGGCTCCAGTAGGTTGCAGTCAGGGAGGCCAGGTGTGAAGGCACCAAGATCTTCCACCAGAGGGGTGGGAGATATGCACTTTAGCGGAAATCGGGCTGCTTGGACTGTCATGGTAGGGCTGTCATGGTAGGGTGAGGGTAAAGTATGATACAGCAGAGGTGGAGCGAAGCATTCTGGGATCCTTAGGAGGCTATTGGCTTTGCCTGGGTTGATTGGGAGGGCTCTTTCAGCAGAGCCTGGTCCATATTTTTCCTTTGTGGAGTACGGAAAAAAGGGGGTGTGGGGAGGTTAATCACAGTACGGGGGAGGCAAAGGGGTCCATGTGGTTACCTTCTGATGAGGTGGGGGGGGGACTACGCTGTGAAATAGGAACCAGGTGGGTGGTGGTACTCTGTGTGGGTTGGTGGATTTGCTCTGCTGGACTGGGGCCAAAGTTTGGTCTGAGGGGTGTCACTGAGGTCACTCTTTGCCCCCCCTTCCACCCTGGCTAGCAGTTTAAAACTGGTAGTTTTAAAACAGAAGGAGCTTTTGTGAGTATTTCTGCAAGGTGCTGGGATTTCTAGAAGCAGCATATTGCTTTGCTTAGGTGGGGCAGAGGAACCAAAAATTCTTGTCCAGGAGTTCTGTCTGTGTGTATATGTATATATATGTAGGCAAGATGTTTATTTAATGCCATAGGTCTGGGGGTTTGGTTGGATTTCAGTCTCCTGAAGGGTTTGTTTGTTTGTTTTTGTACAAAATCTGATTATTATTTTTTAAATGGATCTCTTCTGTATAAATTGTAAAATTTGCAAATAAATTTTTAAGGAGTTTGGCTAATTTGGAGGGGGTCGTTAAATCCTTGTTCTGGAGTGATGGGCAGTGGGAGGCTGTGAATTGCAGTGTCCATCAACTTTGGAGGGGGGTGAGCTCCCTCAAATATTTTATGGGGTGGGGCGTGAAGAGACCTCCTTGGCCCCTAGGAATTGGTTTGTACACTCATGGCAGAAGCGAGCTTTGAACGAGATGCTTTGCCGCTCAAGCCTACACCATTGCATGTAACGGATTCTATTTTGGGGACTCTTTTTTTAAACATTGCACTCCATCCCGGCTTACATCTAACTCCAGATCTTTTGCAGAGCGAGACTACAAAAATATTCTTATGGATTAACTTGTCTTTAGATATGCTTTCAGTTCTCCAGAGCAGATTGTGCAAAGACTTCTTGGCATCCTTGCAAGACCACGAGCTTTTCCCGCTGTCCCTTGGGAGATATCCTGGGACTTAGCATCTACACAGCGGGTTGGGCAGAGAAGTCACTGTCTCCCTCCCAACCCATCGCTATAGCGAGGAGGAAATATCGTCCTCTCTGCTTTTCAGATTGATCCTAAAAGCAGAGATGGCACTTTCCCCTTCTCTCTGTGATGCTGGGCTGAATGGAGAAGAACCTCTTGGACCAGGCTAGCACTGCAGTGGGGGAATACTTCTCTCTCCCCCCCCCCCCAATGCTACGGATTTGTACAAATCAGCTGAGGATGAGCTGGGAGGGGAAACATAGAATGTGTGCATGTTGGGGTGTGTGTGACTACACTCACTCGGGTCACACAGTTCCCTGGAGGCATTGCAAAATGGCAATGACTGAAAAAGCTGAACTACTCTTATGTTGCATACACACCACAAACACATTCCCCACCCACCCACCCCCACCAAAAAATGATAATTCTTGGAACTTTAGAATGTTAAGGGTACTGGAAATTGTAGCATTGTGAGGGGCAAACTACAGTTGAGTGAAGCCAGTGGAAGACAGGAGTGCCTGGCGAGCTCTGGTCCATGGGGTCATGAAGAGTCGGACACAACTAAACAACAACAACAATGTGCTTTAAATATATAGTGCATATGCAGTGACGAGGCAGAGTTTTATCTGGCGTGTAGAGGAAGGAAGACTTTGGCAGTCTTTCCAAAAAGGAGCAGCGGTTTATAAAATGAAGGCATCGCCCCCAAAAGAGAGAAGAGAACACCAGATGGAAACAGACACAATGGGCATCGTTTAAACAGGAATACAATTCATGTTACCATTGTGGCAGAAAACAGAGACCAGGCAAGTTGGCCTGTTCTCTAGGTTCTAGCTTTGCGCTTCTGGTTCAAAGCAGACTTGAATCGGCAAGCCCTTCCAAAAGAGGATTATTGTCTTCTGTAAAGTGGGTAAAGGTAATGGTAAAGGGACCCCTGACCATTAGGTCCAGTCGTGGCTGACTCGGGTTGCAGCGCTCATCTCGCTATATTGGCCAAGGGAGCCGGCGTACAGCTTCCGGGTCATGTGGCCAGCATGACTAAGCCGCTTCTGGTGAACCAGAGCAGTGCACGGAAACGCCGTTTACCTTCCCGCCGGAGCGGTACCTATTTATCTACTTGCACGTTGACGTGCTTTCGAACTGCTAGGTGGGCAGGAGCAGGGGCCAAGCAACGGGAGTTCACCCCGTCATGGGGATTTGAACCACCGACCTTCTGATCGGCAAGTCCTAGGCTCTGTGGTTTAACCCACAGCGCCACCTGCGTCCCTTAAAGTGAGTAAAGTCAGCTGTAAATCAGGAATAGCTGCTAGAAAGCAGGGACCATGCCTGGTACAGCTGGAGCATATACACCAGGAACCTAGGAAACTTCTTACCACCTGATTCTTCTGTTATACGTACAAGAAACTGGCCTTTGGTTTTGCATGCCCTTACTCATGGCTTCCCAACAAGATGCTCTCCTGTGGCCACACGGGGGCACTAAATCCTAATTTGAGATAATCCCTTGCAGAAGTCTGGATTCCAAAAAACTACGGGTACCAAGAAGGATATTTCCACAACCAGAATCCCTTCTTTCAATGGCGGTCTGACAGGATCCTGGCAGGGAATGGGAGTGGGAAAACATGGCTGTTCTGCCCCACTCCCTCCCTCCTTCTTCCATCACCAACCCTTCAATATGCTTATCTTCTCCAAGAGGAAGTTTCAAATCCTTGTCCCATAATTTGGCAGCGCAAGCAAGAATGCCGGCTATTCCTGGCCTCTGTTGAAACAGACAGGCCCTTCTCTGTAATGGTGTTACATTCTTGGCCTTGCCTGTCACATTTGTAAGGCTTACCTGGCCTCGTTGTTCATGCAGGTGAAGGAGATGAGCTGGGCTGTGAACGAAGCTGCCTTCTACTGAGTCACTCCATGGACCTGCCTTGCCCCAAACGGTCTTTTCTCGACTGGCTGTGGCATTTGTGGGATCTCACACAGAGAAGGGGATGACTACTAGGGCCATTATACAGGGCTTTGGCCCTGCATACCTGAAGGAGCATCTCCATCCCATATCATTCAGCCCAGATACTGAGGTCCAGCTCTGAGGGCCTTTTTGGTGATTCCCTCACTGCAAGAAGTGAAATTACAGGGAATCAAGCACAGGGCCTTCTTGGTAGTGGCGCCTGCCCTGTGGAACACCCTCCCATCAGATGTCAAGGAAATAAACTTTATTTTGAATCCTGCCAATCTTCCAAATTTGTTAATTGTTTCTATTCCCTCCCCTCTTCTTTTTTCTTTTTTTGTACCTCTTTCTTTGGTCTTTTCCTTTTGGACCTGCTAAGAAAGAGATAAAGAGATAAAAGTTAAATATGAAAACTCGAATAAGTGAAAAGTGATGTTTTGTAATTTTTCAATTATTGTTTATTTATTGTTAAAGTTGGTCAATTGTAATGAATTGATGTAGTAGTTATTGCGGGTTTTTTGCTTTGTTATTGTTGAACTCTAAATAAAGTATGATTTTGGGAAGCCCCTCCCCCAAAAAGATGTCAAAGAAATAAACAACTATCTGACTTTTAGAAGACATCTGAAGGCAGTCCTGTTTAGGGAGGTTTTTACTGTTTGATGTTTTACTGTGGTTTTTTTAAGTAAATTGTTGCAAGCCGCCCAGAGTGGCTGGTGGCATATAAATTATTACTGTTATTGTTATTATCATTATCATTGCAAGACTTCATGGCAGTAGTCCACGATGCTGGGATGGCTTCTGTAAATCCGGGACTGTCCCTGGAAAATAGGGACACTTGGAGGGTCTGAGCCTATGGCTGGGAGTAGGGAAAGGGGGAGAAATTTATTTTTGTTTTCATTTTAAGACCATAGTAAGAGCCCTGCTGGATCAGGTTAACAGCTCATCTGGTCCAACATCCTGTTCTCACAGTGGCCAACCAGATGCATATGGGAAGTGAGAGAGTCCCTCCTGTCGTTTCCAGCAGCTGATGTTCAGAAACACGCTTCCTTCATCTATGGAGCTACAGCATAGTCATCATGGCCAGGCGCCACTGAGAGCCTTTACCTCCATTAATTCATCTAATCCAGTGAAATATACTCAGAGTCGCAAAGTGATTTCATGCTCTTTATTCAGCTCATAGTGGTGAGGAGGAATGAATGAATGTCCCCTCAAAGTATCTGCTTTATATACATTATTTACACAATGGGCTGCACATGATTGGTTAATTCTGGAATTCTACTGTAAGCCAATCAGGTTGTGGATTCACTTATATCTGGAGCATGATTGGGTGGTTCCTGCCAACCAATCATACTGCTGCATTGTTCTTGGACCAATCAGACTGCTGCATTCTGAATCCTATTGTTCTAGGACCAATCAGACTGCTGCAATTTGGATCCTATTGTTCTAGGACCAATCAGACTGCTGCAGTTTGGATCCTATTCAACTCAGTACATAACACCCAGGCTTCCTCAAACTCGGCCCTCTAGATGTTTTGCGACTACAATTCCCATCATCCCTGACCACTGGTCCTGCTAGCAAGGGATCATGGGAGTTGTAGACCAAAAACATCTGGAGGGCCGAGTTTAAGGAAGCCTGATCTAATCCTCTTTAGCCATCCAAGATGGCAGCCATCACTGCCTCCTTGTGGGAGCAAATTAAGTTCTAAAGGGAAACTACCTAATGTGCACTTCTCAAACCGGAATGAGGACCAAAACACAGCCAGTCTTTGAAATCTGCACATCTCTGAGTTGTGTGATGCTGTTCCCCAACCACATAAGAGGTAAAGGTAAAGGACCCCTGACAGTTAAATCCAGTCGCAAACAACTCTGGGGTTGTGGCGCTCATCTTGCTTTACAGGCCGAGGGAGCCAGAGTTTGTCCGCAGACAGTTTTTCCGGGTCGTGGCCATCATGACTAGCCGCTTCTGGTGCAACGGAACACCGAAACCAGAGCAGCACACGGAAACACCATTTACCTTCCTGCTGGAGCGGTACCTATTTATCTACTTGCGCTTTTTGGCATGCTTTCGAACTGCTATGTTGACAGGAGCTGGGGCCGAGTAACTGGAACTCACCCGTCGTGGGGATTCGAACCGCTGACGTCCTATCCTGTTCCATTATTATTATTATTATTATTATTATTATTTGTTGTTGTTGTTTATACTCCACCCATCTGACTGGGTTGCCCCAGGCTCTCTGGTTGGCTTTCAACGTATAGAAAGACATAATAAAACATTAAACATTAAAAAAAAAAAACCTTCCCTAGATAAGACTGCCTTCAGATGTCTTCTAAAAGTTGTATACAGTAGTTCCTTGACTCGGGGGTCACATAACTCCATACTCTCCAACATTTCTGTGGAGAAAATAGGGACGTCCTAAAGAAAAGCGGGACATTTCGGGATCAAATCAGAAAGCAGGACAGCTTCTGAAAAACCAGGACTGTCCCTGGAAAATAAGGACACTTGGAGGCTCTGCAACCAGTGTTTCAAAAAACTCCATACATACAGCACACACAAATGCATTGTTTCAATGGAAATTGCTAATCTTGCAGTACAGGAACAGGAAGGCTGTCTTATAAAAACAGATCACTGTCATGGCTTCCCCCAAAGACTCCTGGGAAATGGAGTTTGTAGCTCTGTGACGAACTACAGTTCCCAGGACTATTGGGGGTGGGGGAGCCATGACTGTTAAAGTGGTATGAGTGCTTTAAATGTCTGGCGTGGATGTGAGTGACCTTTTCTTTACCAGGGCTAAAGCACCATCAAATGCCATTTGAAGAAGAAAGGAAGGTGATAGTTTTTCAGGCCATGGGGACTGAGAACTCCATTTGCCATCATTCTTGTCTAGACTGCCTGTGACTGATGTCTAGTACCTTTGCACCAGAAGGAAGATATTCCATGGCGGTTATAGGTCCTACTTGCCTAGAGATCAGATATTTGGCTGCTGAAGGTAAGGCCTTCTCTGTGGTGACACCCCTAGAGAGTAAACTCTTGCCCTAATAACTGCACTTGCCCGTTATCATTATTATCTTTCAAATGCTGCCCTGTTAATTTGGGCCTTGAATTTAATGGCCATTCATATTGATTCGCTCCTAGCTGCTTTCCACCGATTTATTTGCTTTTTTTAGGCTGTGTTGATTTGTTTTGCTACTGGCATTTTAGACTGCTTTGGAAGTCTGTAAGCTATCAGGAGGTTCTCTGAACTGTGGGATGGCGGGGAAACAAATAATCAAAATCAAATGTACAACTTTGGTTTATTAAGCACTGCCTTAAGGGGCTCCGACGTCCGCAAAACCAAAACGTTGCAAAATAGAGAGCAAGCGTTTGAATTATCCAGAGTTCTTCGTCAGGGTAGTGGCTGATGATGGGGAATTTTGGAGAACTCAGAAAAGCTTGCTCGCTATTTTGTGATAAACACAGACTCTCCAAGTGTATTTTCCAGAGGCGGTTCTGGATTTGCAGAAGCCATCCTGGTTTCTGATTTTATCCTGGAATGTCCCTCTTTTCATCAGAGAAGTGTTGGAGGATATGGAGTTTTGCAACCCCCCGAGCCAAGGAGATAAGTAACTATACAACCTTTTTAAAATATTTAATGTTATATTATGTTTTTGTATATGTTGGAAGCTGCCCAGAGTGGCTGGAGCAACCAGGTCAGATAGGTGGGGTTTAAATAATGATGATGATGATGATGATAATAATAATAATAATAATAATAATAATAGAAGTCCCTATTTTCATTGGAGAAATGTTGGTGGGTATGTAAACAGTGGATTTTTAAAGGAATTTCTTTCTTTTATTAGGAAAAAACATTTTTAAAAATATTTTTAAAGGATTTTCTTGTGGCCAATATGGTTTCCTTTGTTTTGTGTCTTAAAGGAGCAATGTTTTGGGAAATATTTACGCCCCTTTTCATGGAGGTGCTGTTCCCTTGAACTATCCCCCCGGTTTTTTTTCTTTCTGAGTCTGACTTGGCTCCTGGCCGCCTTTCCCTCTGCCTCCCATCCCACCAGCTGGGTTCTTTTTCTAGCAAGGCCAAGCCCGGGATTTGAAGACGTTTATGCCACAGCTCTGGAATTTGGCAATGGTCCCTGGGGGTCAGGTGACGCCTTCTCAGTGTCCCCATTGCTGGGTCTTTAAAGCGACCCAGCCAAGTGCATTCTCCAGGGAGATCCCAAACTCAGACAGGCACAGCGTATCAGCCCAGAGATTTCAGCCATGCCTGAACCCGCCAAGCCTGGTAAGGGTCCTTAGGTGTGTCATAAAGGTCACCTAGGCAGAGATGCTGAAGAACCCTTTTTAATAAAATAAAAGGGAGGGAGGGAGAGAGAGAAAAGTGGATGTTGGGCCTGTTAGGGTGGTCTGTGGTGCAATTTGGTAATTTTAGACTCCAGATTTAATAGCCGTACAGTGGGAAGGGGGCTTCTATAGACAGTGTATTCATAGCTGTCAACTTTCAGATTTGAAAATAAGGGATCAGCAGCCTTGAAAATAAGGGATCAGCAGCCTCACCTGTCCCGGGGACAGTCTACAGTATATCTAATAATCCCGGATAGCAGCGGGAAGCAGCAGGAAACGGCGCTGGAATAAGGGAATTTCCTGCAAAAAAAGGGAAGGTTGACAGCTATGGTGTATTCGATTATGTAATTTGCAGTGTGTAAAGCCAGCCCTGCTGGTGTTGTGGGGACCCTCGTGATATTTCTGCTGAGTGGGGCCCAGGACTCCTTGCCCTATAGTCCTGTCCCAACGGCACCCATTGAGGGTGGTGATGATTGGATGTTTCCCCCAATCTCACAGTGGTTTTGGTCCCTGCGTCCTCCATCACCTTGTTTTTGGGTTCTCCTGTGCATGTAAGAATCTGCCTTTTGTGCATGCTTCCGTGTGAGGCTTCAGTCGCCTCTGAGCTGCCTTGTGTGGTCCTTGCTAACGAAGAATGGAAATCGAAGAATCTGTGGTCGGAATAAAGCCACTCTTAGATCGTGCGGGCCTGGTGTGTTCAGATCTCGGACAAATGTTAAGCAGAGAACTGCGCTCGTTGCCTCTCTCTTGTGTGTGTTCCTTCCAAACCACTCCAGAAAATATTTGGAAACGGCACATCAGGCCCACCAAAGGTGGGTCTTTTGCAAAAACACACACATCCCGCATGGAAGGGGCAACTAGAGACGGGCTGCAAAGAGGTGTGGCAGAGTGCCAAGCATGGCTCTAAAACGCCCCAAAATATGGATGCTCTGTTGCTGCCTCAAATAAAATACAAGGCACCCCCCCATCATTGCATTCTAAGAGGCTGAAACAAGCAAGAGCAAATTGTTTGCAATTAGGAATATACCTTAAAATATGAGAGAAAGGGAGGGAAGAGACCTCGTATCAGTTTTTGTTCCCCTAGCTAAGAATCTCGCCTCCCTATAAAAGACTTATCAAGAAAAACAGTGAAGAGTAGTGGTTAGATTGTCAGATTAGGAGCCAGGTTCAAATCCTTCCCCTCTGAGCTTCTCTTTTGTGTATGTGGTTATGCTGCTTTGTGTTTATTATAATTTACGGATCCCAAGAAATTTCAATTGAACTTTAAAGCAAGGCGAATTCTTAAGAACAGAGCACGTGGAGAGCTCTGTTTTTTCCACTTTTGTTTTTCAGTGCCGCTTGCAAAGATTTTGACTGGAACATTTCAGGCTGAATAAATTCTATTCCGGTATCTCCTTCCCTCTTTAATTTCAGTGTTATTTTGTATAATGGATGTATATTGAAATTAGTGTGGCCATTGCTAATAGTAATAATAATGATGATGATGATAATAATAATAATAATATGGAAATTATGATGGAAATTATGATGGAAATTAAATTTCAATATTGTCCACACACATATATTGACACGTTTAGAAATAATGAGATGAGGGGCAACCATCTTTCCCTCCTTTCTGCACCCCCCTCCCCCATCAACAGATGGCTACATCATTTATGATAGCTGATACTTCTTTGCCTCGATATATACTCCGATCCTTCGTTCACAGCTAATAAATCATCTCTCGTATCTGTATATAAAGGCGCTTGGATGTCAGTCACCCACCGGCATCCTGATCACTAGAAAAGTCTGACTGCAGGAAATTTTTAATCTAGCGGTCAAAATGTGCAAAGCGAAGTCCCTTCTCATAATAGTAACCGGCAGGACTCCTGCGGGCAAGCCAAGCCAAACCTGCGATCCCAGGATGGGGCAGCAGGTTCTGAGAGTCTTTCCTTTGCACCGTTTGAACCTTTCTCAAGTTAGGGGAAAGCATTTGCCGTGGGTTAAATTGACTAGCCGTGTTGCATTTAATGGCAATGTCGCCCAGTTACAAGAAACCTCGCAATGCAACCCCAAAACCACCAGGAGAGGGTTTGGTGATCCCTTGGGTCTGTTATACTGCTAGAGGAGCCTTGGGAATGTGTTTTATAGAAGGCTGGGAAACTGACAGAAAGTACCACCTTGTATAAGAACCAAAGTATTATTAAGCTGTAGCACCTATACAAATAAGTTTAAGGAACTGAAGTGAAAGAACTGAAAAGAAGCTGTACGTTCACCACCTTGTTTAGAAGTCTGTAACATCCACTGAATTTAATATATAAATATAAGTGTTTCTAGGAAGAATTCTGTCTCCTGACACATCCTTTGTTTTACCAACCTTGTTCTGTAAATTTAAAACCTTTTATCTCTTTAACTCCTCTCTAAGTCTCCAAGGACCAGAGTTTTTCCTTCAGGAAAACCAAAAACAAAGTAGTTAAGAGGGGGTTCACATCGCAATTTTCCGCTCAGCTCAGCTAGTCCTGGAGAAGTGTGTACAGAGATTGCAGTCGTATTTATTTATGTATTTTACTTCACAAAATTTATATACTGCGCTTGATTGTAGAAAACCTCAAAGCGGCTTGCAAAAAGTCTTACAGTGCAATCTTGGCGTGTTCACTGCAAAGTAAAGTCTACTTTCATGGGACTTACTCCCTGGGGAGGCTGTAGCCTCGGTTGCATGACTTTTAGTTCATTCCAGTAGTTAATTAATTAATCAATCAGTTAGATATGCATAATTTGAGTGAAAACTATTGTTCTGAAGCAAAAAAGCAAATCCTTTTTAAAATTGCCCATCTGCCATATTTGTATTAAAAGTGACTTAAAACGACAACTAAACCCTGCCCAATTAATTGGAACACCTTTTGGCACTAACTTTTTAGTCAATAGAATTTTTTTTAATCAGTTGAACTAGCTGATTATTTGATTACACTTTGAAGGTGGGATCCAACTAGTTATGTTTTTATATTTTGCTGGAAGCTGCCCAGAGTGTCTGGGGCATAAAAATAATAAAAATAATATAATAATTATTATTTATTATTTAAAAAGCGGGGAAAGGATAGACATTTGTTATTCTTACAATACATCTTTACAAGCAGAGGAGAAAACGTAATCCATTTTACTGATTGTAATAACCCCAGAACCTATATACTAATATCAGGCTCATTCTCCAAATTTGTGTCCTGATGCAGCTAAAATAACCCCATCCACTTACAAGTGGGAGTTGTCACAGACGAAGGAGAACCTAAATTGCCCCCCCCCACTCTCCTCTGAGACACTGTGCAAGGGATCCTGAAATGCACTTTTCCAATTTTGCTTGGGGGAAGTGCAATACCTTGGTTTGACCCTAGAGGGGGCATCGGAGCACGTAACCTGGCTCACTTACTCAAGCTCTCTGTTCTGCAGACCCTCATGGTTGTATACTGTTGCTCCTGCTCTCTGCTCCTGACCCACTGCGGGCTGATCGCTAGAGCAGAGGGTTGGATCCGATGACCTTTCTTGCAACCTCCCACCACACAGGACATCACACGTGATTCTCGCCTTGTGCTTATGCAATCGGTGGAGCAGAAATGCCTTCTGCTAGAGGGTGCAAGATGCCAGTGGGAGTGGTTTGGAGCGAAGGTGGCATGGATGAGGGTGGGGGAATGTTGCCCCAGGACCAACAGCCATTGCGTCAGTGCCTGGGAGGGGTGGATAATGGGATGGAGTCAGCCTTTCCATGCCTCTGTGCCAAGATGCATCACACATCAGTATCACCTAGCAGGTGCAATCAGCCCAGCATAAAGGGGTAAGCAGGAAAGCGGTGTAGTTCTACAGTACTCGGGGAGCACGAGACGAGGAAGAAGGCATCATCTTTCAGGGGAAAAGGGGAGGGGAGAGATGGTCAATTTTTTGCAGATTACTTTTTGAAGGAGGGTTGCTGTGTGCGTGTGCATTTGATATACAAGGGCAGGAGTTAAATGTATTTTATTTTTTATTTATTTTTTGCTGATGACGTAATTTTGGCTAGAAAAAAGAGAGAACAATATCCAGAAAGCAAAAAGAGTTGGCTGGTTGGCTAAAATAGAAATGAATTCTTGAGAGCTGGCCTGGCTGGTTGAAAGTGTGAGCCTGGATAAGTTGACAGGCCAGTTAAGAGACCCAAGAGTACCAAAAATTTAACAGCAATTGGAGTAATTTAAAAAAATATATATATCTGGAAGATTACTGCGGCGATTTAACAATTTTTGGCTGGGCTAGAATGACCCTTGTAAAGATAACTAGTAGAAACAGTGGGAAAGATGGTAAATGGAATATTAGATACGATTGGAAAGGCATATAACATAGAATTCTATGGACCCAAGTAAGAGGTGGAAGGAAGTCCGGTGCAAACAAAGTGACAACAAAATAAGTAGATAAGAGACATAATTTTCATTTTCCTTTTTGTTTATGCGAACATGTTCAATGGTGGAATGTTTATTGTGTTCAGTTGTAAATTGTGAATGTTGATGTGTATTAAAACGATGGCTGTAAAGTAATTGAAAAACCAATAAAGATGTAATTTAAAAAAAGGAAGAAAGTGTGAGCTTTGAGCCTAGAAGTAGGGTAACCAAGTATTCTACTTGAGTGAGGACAGGCCTCTGTTTCAGAGGTAGTGAAAGTGGTTGAGCCTTCTAGATGTTGGGAGAGTACAACTCCTCTCTGATTGAAGGACTGTTAGAGGGCAGTCTTATATGTGAAAGTATCCTCTATTTGATACTTCTGGCCACCTAGTTTAAAGATAAAGAACTGCAGTAAGGGAGAATGGGAGCCTCAAAGTTGCCCATCAGCAGTTAGCACCCAGGCATCAGATGGGTCAGAGATATTTCTATTTAAATGACAGCTATTATTTCTGAATGTGCATCTATGCACATAACTTTTTGTTGTTGTTTAGTCGTTTAGTTGTGTCCGACTCTTTGTGTACCAGAGCACACCAGGCACTTCTGTCTTCCACTGCCTCCCGCAGCTTGGTCAAACTCATGTTGGTAGCTTCAAGAACACTGTCCAACCATCTCGTCCTCTGTCATCCCCTTCTCCTTGTGCCCTCAATCTTTCCCAACATCAGGGTCTTTTCCAGGAAGTCTTCTCTTCTCATGAGGTGGCCAAAGTACTGGAGCCTCAGTTTCAGGATTTGTCCTTCCAGTGAGCACTCAGGGCTGATTTCCTTCAGAATGGATAGGTTTGATCTTCTTGCGGTCCATGGGACTCTCAAGAGTCTCCTCCAGCACCATAGTTCAAAAGCATCAATTCTTCAGCGATCAGCCTTCTTTATCGTCCAGCTCTCACTTCCATACATCACTACTGGGAAAACCATAGCTTTAACTATACGGAGCTTTGTTGGCAAGGTGATGTCTCTGCTTTTTAATAGCACTTGCAAATTTATGCCCTTTTTGGGAAATTCACCCTATCAGGAAACCAAGTTCCCAGTTCAAATATCACCTCCATTAAATACCCATGAGAGGCAGAGTGGAAAGCCAGTTGAGGATCCGCACTCACCACTCTTTGGGCAGACATACAACCTTCCAAATCCCAAAAGAACCAAACTTATTTCCAGGATGAACCAGCTGTTCAGAGCGCTGATTGGTTGGGCCCTTTTGACAGTGATGACACTGGAGTTGGGAGCCTGGTCCATGGAGTAAAATGGGGTGGGGGAGCTACAGCTGAAATACTTCTATGTCCTGTAGGTTAACCCTCCAACCTGCAGTGTGTGGATCAGGGGTCAGCAAACTTTTTCAGCAGGGGGCCGGTCCACTGTCCCTCAGACCTTGTGGGGGGCCGGACTATATTTTGAAAAAGAAAGAAAAAAGAACGAATTCCTATGCTCCACAAATAACCCAGAGATGCATTTTAAATAAAAGGACACCTTCTACTCATGTAAAAACATGCTGATTCCCGGACCGACCGCGGGCCGGATTTAGAAGGCGATGGGGCCAGATCCGGCCCCCGGGTCTTAGTTTGCCTACCCGTGGTGTGGATAGTACTACCACCTTGCCCTGCAGGGCTGTTGTAAGGGTAACAGCTATCATCTACATTGGGATGTTTCAAGGAGCTGTTTGACAGTGGAACCGACAACCTTGAAAGGTGGAAGGTCATTTGTCAAGGATGCTGTAAGCTGCATGGAGCAGGGTCCCTTTCAACTCTATGATTCTGCAATGCAGTTCTGTTTAAGTGCAACAGATGTAAACAATCAGGGATCAGATGCAGGGGACATGAGTGTAGCCAGGATTTATGTTAGTGGGGGGGGGAGCAGGACACCCAGCTGTCGTCATCCTCTGTCTGGCTCTGTCTAGCTGAATCAGAATGAAATGTCTCGACCACAGTTGTTTTAAATTACTTTCTTTTGACCCCAAGCTCTCAGCAAAATCTGTCAAAATCTTCAGTCACTGGAAAACTAGGAAGTTAAATAAAAATGAAACCATCAAAATTAACACCAGAGAGTAGCTTTCATGGTGTTAACGGGTATGTTTTGCAAAATTACAAAGAACACGCCTTTTCTCATCTTAAAAAAAAAAATCTGAACAAGTTTTATTGGATTTACTGAAAACCTCAGCATTTAAACGTAGCCCATTGAGACGTTCCCTTATCATCGTTGACCTTAGCCAGTTCTTCACTCTCCGTAAGGTACTGGATGACATCTGTCCGGTACACGTCGTGTACGGCTGAGCAAGAGAGATTAGCAGAGCCTTTTTTGTGGCAGGGCATCTCAATTTCAAATATTCTGATTATTTCTACTTTTTGTTAAGTATTGTTATTTATTTACTTGATTTAGGAGGGGCAGCTGCCCCCCTGGCTATGTCCATGCCAGGGGAAGTAGCAACACCCAAAGAGATGCCACAGTCTGAGGCTGGCTTAGGGGCTGCAAAAAAGGCCCCGATTCTCCATGTTGTGGAGTCTTTCCCCCCTGAAACAGTTGTGCTGCGAGATCCAAGCATTACAGACCAGCACCCTGTGCGGCATCCCAGCTCTCAGACTGCCTGGTGCTTCGTTGGAACGATGCCCTTAAATACATACACAGTTGCCCCAAGCAACCAGCCGAGTTGTTTGCGCAGTTGGGCCAGATCTTTCATGCGGCAGAGGCAAGCAGGATGCTTAAATTGACAACTGCCTCGGAACAGCTTGATTCCAAGCGGTGGTTTAGAGCCAAAAGGTGAAGCTTTTTCAGGACTGTACCACTTCAGGCTACAAGGGGAGCAGTACAGTGGTACGTCTAGTGAAGAACTTAACTTGTTCTAGTGCTCGCTTCGGCAGCACATATACTAAGAACTTAATTCGTTCTGGAGGTCTGTTCTTAACCTGAAACTGTTCTTAACCTGAAGCACCACTTTAGCTAATGGGGCCTCCCGGTGCCGCTGCGCCGCCGCTGCGCGATTTCTGTTCTCATCCTGAAGCAAAGTTCTTAACCCGAGGTACTATTTCTGGGTTAGCAGAGTCTGTAACCTGAAGTGTCTTTAACCTGAAGCGTCTTTAACCTGAGGTACCACTGTACTCCACAACCTGTACTCCACATATGGGGGGAGTGAAATAGCTAATCAGGTTTTAGCCAATGTTAATCATAATCAGAGCCAATCCATTGAAATCAATGGGAGTAAGTTAGTCATGTCCATTAATCTTTTTATTGAGTTTTACACTACACATTTAAATTCAAACATTAAACATCGTCATCAGCAGGGTGGCCAGCTTCCAAGAGACTGCGATCTACTCACAGAGTTAAAAACTGGGAGTGATCTACTCCCTTTTTTGGGGTGCAGGTCAAAGTTGTTGAGCTTTTTAGGGGAGCCAAAGATTCTGGAGTTCTTTGGGGGGAGCCAGTGATCTACCACAGACGTCCACTGATCTACCAGTGGATCACGGTCTACCTGTTGGACATGCCTGATCATCACCATTTAGGATTCTCTGAATCCTTAGACTCCCCTCCACCCTTCCATGGTTACCATTTTCAATCTTTTTCATCTGCCTCATATTTCTCTGTTTTTCTTAAATAGTCCAATTTTTCCCTTCGTTTTTAGTACATAAGAAGCGTTACTCAAATTCTGCCAAATTTTTTAGTTGTTTACAGTGATATGGAGGGGGGGGCATGTCTTATTCACCTTCTTCTTCGCTACAATATATCCATTTATTTCCAATTGTCAATGTCAAAAGGGACTAAAATCTATAAAATTCATAGAAAATCAACGTGCCAATTTGCTTAATTTCTCTAGGACTCCATGACACCTCCCCCTGTCCTCCATAATCCCTCAAGCAAGGTGTCAAGACCCTAATCCTGTCAAATCACTCTGCCAAGCCTTTCCTCCGGGCAATGCCAGGTGGCAGACTATGCATACATGGACCATTGTCTTCGCATCACCGGTACTCAGGATGTGCTTATCTGCGCATATCTCCAGCTCTGCATATTCCCCCTCCCTCCTCCATATGTTAATCCTGTGCAACCCAACCTCTTCCTAATGTTTTCATGATGTAACTGGGATGTATTTTGCACTGTATTCTGGGACATGGAGGGAAGTTTCAAAAGTTCATGTCACCCCTTTCTCGCTGTTCAATCTCGCCTTGAACCTGTTGCGCAATAAACTTGGATCTTCTGCAGCTTGCTCCTGTCTCCGGCTGAGCTCATTTTCCTCCGCAGGGACCCGCGGACTTAGTCCGACGAGCTGGGTGGCAGAGCAGCCTCGCACCCAGATTTTACCATAACAACAGTGTTCTCTTAAGTACATTGTAATTTTTCGTCATTCCTTATTCAAGTTCCTCTCTCCTTGGTTTCTGATTTTCTGGTCATTTTCACCTTTTTGGCATAGTCCATCATCTTCATCAGCCATTCGGCTCTGGTCGGGACTTTATCTTCCATCTCTGGGCCAGCAGTATCCGCGCTGCTGTCGCCGCATACATAAATAATCGTTTCTGCTCCTTTGCTATCTCTGCGCCTAAAACTCCTAGTAAAAAAGCCTCTGGTTCATGCCCATTAATTTCAGTGGGTCGGCCGTGAGTATGACTGATGTTGCAACCAACCCCTTATATCTATGCTTAGTTTGCTTGCTTTGTGGAATTCTCTTCCCATGGAGGAACGCTGATACATCACACCACTTCCTTTACCCTGAAGTGGAACAGTCCTGGAAAAGCTCACCACTTGGCTTTTCCTGATCCCATCATCGCCTCTGATAAACATATTGCCGGGAGAGGCAATGGACTTTGGCAGCAGAGTGGGTGAGGAAAGAGGAAGATATATACAGTGGTACCTTGGGTTACGGGGCACAGGTGGCGTTGTGGGTTAAACCACAGAGCCTAGGGCTTGCCGATCAGAAGGTTGGCGGTTTGGATCCCCACGATGGGGTGAGCTCCCGTTGCTCGGTCCCTGCTCCTGCCAACCTAGCAGTTCGAAAGCACGTCAAAGTGCAAGTAGATAAATAGGTACCGCTCCGGCGGGAAGGTAAACGGCGTTTCCATGCGCTGCTCTGGTTTGCCAGAAGTGGTTTAGTCATGCTGGCCACATGACCCGGAAGCTGTACGCCGGCTCCCTTGGCCAATAAAGTGAGATGAGCGCCACAACCCCAGAGTCGGCCACGACTGGACCTAATGGTCAGGGGTCCCTTTACCTTTACCTTGGGTTACATTTGCTTCAGGTTACATATGCTTCAGGTTACAGAGTCCACTAACCCAGAAATAGTGCTTCAGGTTAAGAACTTTGCTTCAGGATGAGAACAGAAATTGTGCTCCGGCGGAATGGCAGCAGCAGGAGGCCCCATTAGCTAAAGTGGTGCTTCAGGTTAAGAACAGTTTCAGGTTAAGAACGGACCTCCGGAACGAATTAAGTACTTAACCCGAGGTACCACTGTATTTAGGTCTGATGGCTGGCATTGTCTTACTACCGTATGAACCAGCTGGGATAGCTCAGTTGGTAGAGCATGAGATTCTTAATCTCAGGCTTGTAGGCCCTAACCCCATTCTGAGCAGCTGATCAGGATACTCCTTAATTTTGTTGAGAGGATTCATTGGGGAATTTCCCACAATGCCCTGGAGTAACACTACATTAGGTGCTTTGCGACATTGGGGAAAATTGGGGGGAATTAAAATGGTAGCCCCCGGCCATTTTTTGAGTTCTTTTGCTGCTTTCACTACAAAATAAGACTGAAAGGTGCCCATCAATGTTACAGAGGGCTCATCAGAGGGCACTTGGCAGAGTGGCCGCTTGCAATAAAGGCATTGCCAAAAAAAGAAGACAAAAGGTGCTGGCAATCTGCATAACATTTGTGCATGTGCGTGCATATATATATATATATATATGTATAATGGTTAAAGAGATGCAAGAAAAACATAATGATTGTCTTTTAATCTGTTATCAACAGTTTAACATGGGCCTCTCACCAGCATTGTGTAATGGCCAGATGGCAGGTTTTGTGCTGTTGGCATCTCAGTGTTCCTGCTGTGAGCATTTAAATGCATGTGCATTAGGCACAAGATGCATCCAGTTCCAACCCCGTCGAGAGTTATAACTTATAGACACCCTGGAGAGAAAGCTCTGAAGCTGGCGGAACGACAGCTTTAGCAGACTCACTAACAAAATTCTGACGAGCCCTGATTCAGTGGAGCCAATAGGAGGGATGCAAGCTGGAACGGAGGCGTTATGGGGTAAATACCAAAGGGGCGCATGATAGGCAAAGCAGGGGTGGACTTTGGGCTTTAGAATTTCAGTGGTGCCCTCTGTGATGCCAAAATTTGGGGCGCCCTCCCCTCTTGCCTTCTGTTCATCATTGTTGCAGCTCCCTCTCAGCTTGGCGCCCAGTGCGGGCGAACTGGTCGTGCTCCCCTAAACCCTCCTCTGGGCAAAGTGTGCTTCTGGTGGTGTCAACCAAACCGTGCCTTACAAGTTAAAGAAATAATGGTGTATTTCACATTAAGGCTCCCATCTAATATATTTTCTCTGACAAAGTCTTATTGATTTTGATGGAGATGAATTTTAAGTACGCTGGTTTAGGACTGCAGGCTGATTTTAACACCCAGTTTATTTTGCTCTTTATTTACTATATTTATATTTAAGGTGCCCAGTAGGACTTTTGTTTCCTGGGCATTTATTATGACGTTATAATTAGTATGCGCAGAATACCTTCCTTCCTTCCTTCCTACTTTTCAGGTTTATACATTTCACTAACTTTACATTCACTTTTACATTTCAAAACTTGACTTCCTTCCCCCTCTTTTTGCAGTTCCTTAAATTTATTTTTAATATCTTCTGCATATCCAAATTAACTTAATTTGCTCATTTATTCATCTTCTTTAAATATATACTCTTATGAAACTGCAGGTTGTTACAATAATCCTGCCCATGTTCTTATCTGTTTACAATTTATCTGCAACAAACCATTCCATTCTTTTATAAAAAGCTTATCTTGATTTCTTATTCTTCCGGTAAGTTTCGCCATTTCTGCATATTCCATAAGTTTTTGTGGCAGAATAACTTTCTGTTGAGTAATCATGGGAAAGTGAGTGGGGCAGTGGGGTCAGGGGGTCAGAATGAACTACAGTGGTACCTCAGGTTACATACGCTTCAGGTTACAGACTCTGCTAACCCAGAAATATTACCTCGGGTTAAGAACTTTGCTTCAGGATGAGAACAGAAATCGTGCTCTGGCGGCGCAGCAGCAGCAGGAGGCTCCATTAGCTAAAGTGGTGCTTCAGGTTAAGAACAGTTTCAGGTTAAGTACAGACCTCCGGAACGAATTAAGTACTTAACCTGAGGTACCACTGTACTTTTTGGGGGTAGTGCTTGCATTCCCACCCCCCCCCTCAGTAAGCCACAGTTTTCAATCCAGCAGCCAGTCTCTCTCCATCTGCAAAGCGATGCTCTCAGCCATGGAAAATAGGGACTCCTGGGGGTGGGGTCTGTGTCCGTTCTATTGCAAGGTGATAAGGTTAGCACCTGTGGGGTTGTCGATAGATAGATATGACTTGCGGAGAGTACATAATAAGATCCTTGGGGGAAGGTACATGATGTCATCTTCTTGCTGAAGCTAAGCAGGGCCGGGTCTGGTTACTATCTGGATGGGTGACAGGCGAAAACCTACACATATATTTGCCTTGGTTTCCATGATGGAAGAAAGATGCGCCATCAAATGTAATAGCGCAAAATAAATGGATTGTTTGCTCTTGTGAGCAGTTAGGGAGCAGAAATAAAGGAAGAAATGTAATATCTATTGATGTCTTTTTCTGGTCTGTGCTAACTTTGGGACCTCAGCCTTTGAAGACAGGCTGGGGCAAGCACTTAAGCAAAGGAAGAACTGCTAGCATAAACAAGACCCATCATTTATCTGGTCTTTGGATTCTCTGAATATTCTGGACGTTCTCCAGGCCACTTGTTAGTTAAAATATGGTTGTGCTGCTTTGTAAGATTGTCCGGGGATGTTTGTTGTGCCACATGGATTTACTTGTCACTTTGGGAATGCTGATTGTAGTGTGGTAGGCAACCAGCGTGGGCAAGTGTCATAGCGGGTGACTGTCACAATCGTGAATGTGTTTATATTTGTCACAAAAGCTGTTATGTCAAGGCATGTGCAGGCTGCAGTCACCATCCAGCACAGAGTTAGGCCATGTGCGCACCATACATTGAAAGGACACGGCTTGCCCTCAAAGCGCATGACACCCTCCAGAGAATCCTGGGAACTGCAGTTTGTTAAGGGTGCTGGGAATTATAGCTGTTGGGTGTTAAACCACAATTCCCAGGATTTTTGGGGGGAGGGGTTCATGCACTTTAAATGTACAGTGTGTAAGCAGCCTTTGGCCTATGGAAGCCACTTTCATTTCAGTGGGACTTCAGTGCGCCTGATTGCTGTGCACTGGATTGTGATCTCTGCTGTGCGCATGGATATATAGTGTATACATAGCCCATAATTATAGTTAGCCGTGGATTTTCTTCACTTTGGAAGGTACATTTAAATATGTGTTTTTGTGTGTGTGTGTGTGTGTGTGTGTGTGTGTGTGTGTGTGTGTGCAGTAAGCAGCTTAATGGCCACTAGGGTGCATTCCAGGACATTTTTATATATTTGCAGATGGAGGAATATTGTGTGTGTGTTGCTGTGCTATCTAGTTTGCTTGATACCTAAAGTGGGTGTGTGGATTGTGCGAGTCTTGAGGCATGCACCGTAGGTGCCTAGTTTTTCTGGGATGAAAGTACACGTGGGATCTGCAACAAAATGTTGCAGTGCAGCATGCTGCTGCTGAGAATACTCCTTTCTGTCCCCCTCCCACCTGGCTTTCCATCCTTCCCCAAACTATTAGTCAGCATTCTGTGGCCACCAAGCACATACAGTCCTCACCGAGCCGTTTTTGAGTGTACGTCCCCCATGCCTCAATTAAGAGCCCCCTCTTCTTTTTTTAACTTCTGCAAAACTTGGGATTCCCCTGAGCTCATTAACAAGTACATCTTGTGTGTGGATGGTCCCGTTTTGTCTGCCTGAGTATTGAGTACTACCTAAGCACCGGGTTTTGAGACTGCGATCAGTCTCTATGAAGTTGTTATATATTTTGCAGTGTACAATTTGCGTTTCCCCGTATGTCAGTTGATTTATTCTAAGGTTTATATCCTGTCCTTCAAAGAAGTATTTCCCAGGGTGGCCGACAACATCTCAAAATGAAATATAATCAATATAGAGTAACTGAAACACTAAAACGGTATGTATAACTGGATCCATATGGTGATATCCGGCATGTTAGATGCCGTTCGTGTTATGGTGCATGCTTGTGAGAGTGAGAGATTAGGGCCTGTTGGTAATTGAATGTTAATTGTGTAGTGCCATACTTTGTAGAAATGGAATTTCAGTTGTCGTTCGTACATGTAGAGTTCAAGGCTATGTATTTTATGAATACTGGAACATAGACAGTTCAAAATGCGTTAGTGGGTAGGGCAGACAATCCAATGGTGATAACAATAATACTATATTTGACAATCTACACCGACATTTGCTGCCTGAGGCAACGTGCCCTGCCCTACCCATTGGTAATTTAAGCATTTTCGTAGGATATGTGTGTATAAAACAGTGACTAAAGGTAACATTAAAAAGCTACATTGCAAAATCTTAATATGACTGATAGATGTGGTCAAATTATTATTATTATTATTATTATTTAAAAGCAGTAAAAGCAGGAATCCTTCAGTCCCAAAGTTGCGTCTCTAATTGCAAGTATATATGGAGTCAGGCTGTGGCTATTCAGTCATCATGGAATATCACTCTGCACATGTTCACTCCTAAATTTCCTATCACTCACATATTCCAGGGCTGATCCCTGTAAATAACAACAACAAAAAGCTCCAGTTTTTGAAGCTACATGTTTGATATGCACAACCCGATGGGCGCTTTGCGATCACATACAGTGTGGTACTTGTTTTATTGTAGGCGTGGCGTCCAATTTAGAACCTGTAATATTGAAGGTGGGCAGTGGACAATTTGGGTTATGCATTAGACACGCATTCTATAAAAACATTTTTAAACGTCATCTGCATCTTTCAGGCTTGCTGTGAGTCTGCAAATAGTTTTGTGGGGTAGGTGGGTAATCACAGTGCATATCTGAGGGTATACTGGGTGTGCTCTCTTGGTGTGCAAAGAGAGAAAACCGCTGTACGTTTTAGGTGCAGATTTCCGTAGAGTTGATATCTGTGGCTGATGTACGCCACCCCGACCAGACACACGCGTTTCAGGGGGGCTGTTTCTCTCACCTACAAGGGTGTTGTATGTGGAGTCTTGGCTTAGTGACAGCAAACACCCTGAACAGAAGCAAGAAGGGGTAAGCTGAGAGGCCCGCCTGGCCTAAATTGCTGATCCCAGGGGATTCTACTGCAGCCAGGGGGTTGAGTTACCTTAGCGGTTGGGCAAGAGCCGCTCGAAACCAGGCAGCTAATTATAAACGTTTCTTGGCCCTGCCTCCTTCCTCGGAGCAGCACGGAGCCCAGTCTTCTCTCCCTGCCCCTAATAGGACACAGGGTCCCCGGAAAGGCAATGTGAGACGGAGCCCAGGAAAGGTCAGGCAGGCACTCAGGAAGGTATGAAGGCCTTACAGGTGGGAAAGTGCTAAATCAATGTCTCCCGGAAGAGGCTCAACAAGCCCTGAAGCAGTTGTGCTCGGCTGGGTTTAACCCAGATCCAAGTGCTGAAAACAAATCAAATACAGTGGTACCTCGGGTTACATACGCTTCAGGTTACATACGCTTCAGGTTACAGACTCCGCTAACTCAGAAACAGTACCTCGGGTTAAGAACTTTGCTTCAGGATGAGCACAGAAATTGTGCTCTGGCGGTGCGGCAGCAGCAGGAGGCCCCATTAGCTAAAGTGGTGCCTTAGGTTAAGAACAGTTTCAGGTTAAGAACAGACCTCCGGAACGAATTAAGTACTTAACTCGAGGTATCACTGTACTGTAACAAAAGAAGGATCCTTAACTCGGGGAAGAAGAGAGGAAGGGTGCCAAGGGAGACTCTGCATGGTGACTTCGTGGTGGCAAATCACACGCTCCATCCTTCATATCCTGCCAGGGATTATGGGACTAGGTCACATCTGGTGGCAAACAAGGAGCATGCAGTTTGCTGCTGAGAAACCTTTTCCTAGCCTGCTTTCCTTCCCTCTGCCCCCTGCTTTCCTAAAATAAAACTATTTGCTCCCTTTGGAGAAGAGAGGGCGTGGAAGTAGATGAGGTGAGTGCGAAAGCAGTGCTATTTTTCTTGACAAAGAGGTGTCGGAACTCACCATGAACTCACCTTGTTCTCTTATAATGGCAATGGCACCCACCTGAGAAGTGTTGGAACTGAGTTCTTCAGCAATGTCTAGGCAACACGATGACCATGTACATATGCAATAGACCATCTTTATAGAATTCCTTCAAACCATAACAAGTACAAAATGAAACCTTTAGTCTCAAAGTCTCTGAAAATCTTTAAATGAAGCAAGGTACCAGCCTTTCTACGATGAAAGACAGGCTGTGAACTGAGTTCTGGCAAGTCTCAGCTGAAAAAAATCCCAGGGTGAGAGCCTGCTTTGAGTTTGCACCAGTCCAAAGGAGAGCTGGGCCGATCTCAAATTGGGATCCTTCCATGGAAGCCTGGCGGCTTGCATTTTTAGGTCCCTCCATTTTGAATAATTGGCCCATACCGAAAAGCAAAGCCATCTCCTCTTCCAAATGACCAGGGCAATGTTTTGCTTGTTTTTCGGGTTGTTGGGCAACGCTTCACAGGACCAGTTGCAGGTTTCTAGAGGCCCAGACTGCGGCAGGCTCTTAGTAGACGTCTCTCCCCCTAGTTCCACAAGCTTTCTAAATGCGCTAACCACAGGAAAGCTCCCCTCTCTTCTTCCTTTTCCTCCTCGTTTTCTTTCTGGTGTTGATTTGCAGGCCTGCCATTTTTGTCGCCAGTCGCCGGGACCTGAGATTTTCACCGCATGAGGTGGAATAGACTGCACCCGTGACAGAAAAACCGCACACGCCCCCCTCCCAGGGAGTAAAAATGCAATTGTAATAAAATGAAATAAGTAACAATTTGCAGCCCTTTCACAACATCCCCACTGTGGACTCCTAACCATATTTTTAGTTCAGTACAGCACACCCCTCCTCCAGTTCTGGGGGCTTTTCAGGACAGGCAATGGAGATCGTAAGCACTGTGTAAAAGCAGAGCAGAATAATCCCCATCCCCGTAACGTGTGAAGTTAACTTGTGTGCTGGAGAATGGGAGAAGCAAATGTAAACCAGAGCCCTTTGAAATACAGCAGTGATTCAAGAGGCAGCAGCTGCATTCTAGTCAGCAGCGAGTTAGGACAAGTTCAGACCTTCCAAATGTCCCTATTTTCCAGGGATTTACGGAAGGCGTCCCAGTTTCTGATTTGATCCCCGAATGACCCGCTTTTCCTTAGGGAACCCCTATTTTCATCAGATAAATGTTGGAGGGTACAGAGTTGTGTGACTGCTGAGCCAAGGAGATAATTAACCAGGCAGCCTTTAGAAGACATCTGAAAAGGCATAGGGAAGGTTTTTTTGATGTTTAATGTTTTATTATGCTTTTATATATGTTGGAAGCTGCCCAGAATGGCTGGAGCAACCCAGTCAGATGGGCGGGGTATAAATAGCAAAATTATTAATGTTATTAAGGAATAGGATGCCCCTATTTTCATCGAAGAAATGTCGGAGAGTATGCAAGTTTGAGGATCTTGCCAACCTCTATAATAGCAGGCACGGCCAAACTTGGAGCGCCAGATGTTTATTGGGACTACAACTCCCATCATCCCTAGCTAACAGGACCAGTGGAGGGCCAAGTTTAGCCATGCCTGCTCTATAGTCAGGATGGAGAACTTGTGGCCCTCCAGCTGTTGTCGAACTGAAATTCCCATCTTTCCCAACCATCGCTGGCAGGGGCTGATGGGAGTTGGAGTGGTCTGTGGTTTCCTCAGAGATCTGCTTTCTCCAAGAATGAGGCAAGCCTCCTCCGTGAGCTGTAGGGTGTGGACAGCTGCGGAGGAAAAAGTGGGTTTTGTTTCCCGTTGCCCTTCGGTGTGTCGTCCCGCTTGCAGAAGGAAGACCCAAAGCCTCTGGGATCCACTTTTCCATCTTCCACGGTCCTGTCTCCCAACGGGAGCTATGCAAAGCATCCTGGAGCTAAGCTGAGCCCTGCAAGGTTCTGGCGGAGCCCGGGCGACAGCTGGACCCCTCCGTCGCTCATCTCCCTGCTCCTTTGGTCCCGGAGGTTGGGTTATTATTGATCGCCGGTCGTGATGGCTCAGCACTCTGCACCTGGCTATATTAGGGGGTCAGGACGGGCTGGGAAAAAGGAGTCGATGCTGGTGGCTTTATCGGGAGGCGGGCGATGTGGGCTCAGCGCATAGTGGGAATGGAACAGGGATGACATCATGCAGAAGGACTCGCTTTCCAAAACGAGAGGTGCCAGGGCTCAGGGCTGTCTTGGACCGAGAGGCCTTTCCCACAGTGAAATATACTCGGAGTCAAGTGTGGATTTCATGCTCTTTATTCAGCTCATAGTAGTGAGGAATGGAAGTTCCCCCACAATATCTGCTTTATATACATTATTTACACAAAGGGCCGCACGTGATTGGCTAATTCTGGGATTCTCCTGTAGGCCAATCAGGTTGCAGATTCACTTCCACCTGGAGCTGGATTGGGTGGCTCCTGCGGACCAATCAGACTGCTGCATTCTGAATCCTATTGTTCTAGGACCAATCAGACTGCTGCATTTTGGATCCTATTCAACTCAGTACATAACACACAGGTTTTGGGGAGATCTTGGAGTGGCAGAAGGACAAATTGTGATTCTGTCGGACAACGATCACCTGAACAAGGGGCGGGGGGGGGGAGCAAAGGGCTGAGATGCGGAGCAACTGATAACCTTAGAACAGGGGTCAGCAAACTTTTTCAGCCGTGGGCCGGTCCACTGTCCCTCAGACCTTGTGGGGGGCCGGACTATATTTTGAAAAAAAATAATGAACGAATTCCTATGCCCCACAAATAACTCAGAGATGCAGTTTAAATAAAAGCACACATTCTACTCATGTAAAAACATGCTGATTCCCAGACCGTCTGCAGGCTGGATTTAGAAGGCAATTGGGCCAGATCCAGCCCTCGGGCCTTAGTTTGCCTACCCATGCCTTAGAAAATAGAAAACACTTGTGTAAAATATTACTTATTTGGGAATTATAGGGACAGAACTACCTAAATTGTATAGAAATTTACTTATGTATGCTACTACAGCAGCGAGAATGTTACTTGCCCCAAAATGGAAAGAAGCAGAAGTCCCAGTAAAGGATGGACACAAAAACTTATGGAATATGCAGAAATGGCAATACTTACCAAAAGAATAAGAAATCAAGATAACAAGCTTTTTTTTAAATAAAAGAATGGAAATGGTTTATTGGATATTTACAGATAAATTGCAAACAGATAAAAACATTAGCACGATTAATGTAATAACCTGCAGTTTTATCAAAGTATATGTTTACAGTAGATAATTAAACGAGCAAGTTAAATGAATTTGGATATGCAGAAGATATTAAAAAACAAATTTAAGGAACCGCAGAAAGAGGGGGAAGGAAGTCAAATTTTGAAATGTTAAATGGATTGTAAAGCTGATGAAATGAAACTATTCCAAAGGGAAAAGTCATGTTTGTTTGTTTTTGTTTAGATGATGCATACAGTTGTCAACGAACACATTAGAAGAGACACATACCCTGTTTTCTGTTACGCAGAAGGGAACTCCTTTTTTAAAAAACCTGGTGCTTCCAATCTGCAGTTTTTATAAGTGCTACTTTTCTAAAAGATTAGTACTTGCCTGAATTAGAATATAATATAATTTGAAAACAAGTATACATTTTTTTAAAAAATGGTGATTCATCAGAGGCACTTTTACAGTCAGTCACACTAATTTTAGCTGATTTTTCATTCAACAGTCTGGGGAGCAAGTACAGTGGTGCCTCGGGTTACATACACTTCAGGTTACATACGCTTCAGGTTACAGACTCCGCTAACCCAGAAATAGTGCTTCAGGTTAAGAACTTCGCTTCAGGTTGAGAACAGAAATTGTACTCCGGCGGCGCAGCAGCAGCAGGAGGCCCCATTAGGTAAAGTGGTGCTTCAGGTAAAGAACAGTTTCAGGTTAAGTACAGACCTCCGGAACGAATTAAGTACTTAACCCGAGGTACCACTGTACTACAAAATGCCAAAAAGCCGGCCAGTAACCTGGAAGCAAACATAGCTCAGTTCCAATGCTGATTCACAAATGTTTCAGAGTTAACTGGTACAAGCAGTTGGATGTCACCTTTAGCAGTTGTCTCTTGACGTGTTTAATAACCCTTTTAGATAGCGGGTTTTTAATTTTCCCTAACTGGAGCTATTTCCCATCATTAGGACGACTGCATTCATTTTCTGCTCCCGTACAAGGTTGTGAATATGAGCAAGCTACCTTCTTGCATGCAAATGACTGTAACAGGCCACCTTTGCATTAGCACTGGTTAAAATGGGATTAGATGTTGTCTTTTTTGACGGGAGCCTTTTCGGCTCGGCAAAAACGCTCTAAATGTTCTTGGTTCTTGTCTGGATCAATATGAAACTACTTGATGATTTCTGATGCGGACGGCTGCTCCATATCGATTTTAGGTGCTTTTATTCCATTGTGATGTTATTGCTTTTTATACTGTTGGCAAAGCACGAGGCCTGCTGTTTTAATGGACCTGGCAACTTTATGGCTTGCTTGTTGCTTTAAATGTCTGGGTTTTTGTTATTTTATGGCATAAATAAGTGAATCAGCTATAACGTCCATAAATGCAGTCCCTTTAGTTTTTTGCTTAACCTGGGTCTGAAACCTTGGCTCGACAGGAGGTCGAGGGCTTTGTATTATACATAGTGCTGTTTTGCTTCCCTTTCCCCAAGGGGAACTATGGGTAGGGGCCATAGTTCCCCGGTAGAGCACAATCCTGAGATTGTAGAGTTGGAAGGGACCTTGAGGGTCATCTAGTCTAACCCCCTGCAACACATGCTGAAAGTTCCATTTTCAATTTAATGTTGTTTTATATTTTGCGTTGCCTTGTACAGTGGTACCTTGGGTTACAAACACCTTGGCTTACAAACACCTCGGGTTACAAACACTTCGGGTTACAGACTCCGCTAACCTGGAAGTAGTACCTCGGGTTAAGAATTTTACCTCAGGATGAGAACAGAAATTGGGTTGCAGCAGTGCGGCGGCAGCAGGAAGCCCCATTAGCTGAAGTGGTACCTCAGGTCAAGAACAGTTTCAGGTTAAGAACGGACCTCCGGAACCAGAGGTACCACTGTACAGGACATCTTAACAATCAAGATTAAAAACACACAAAATTGTTTAAATCAACAGGCCCTTTCATTCCCTTGCATCTTTAGCTAGAAGTAGCAGAAAGCAGGTGATTCACAAGAACTCTGCCTGAAACATTGGAAGGCTTCTGGTAGTTTGTGTGGACAATACTGGAGTAGATGGACAAAATAACTGACAGCTTACTATGTTGTCCACCAGAAAGTATGATATGGGCTTAACTGAGACATCGTACAGACCGCGGTGTACAGTCACTGGCGTTTGAGCAAACCATGGTTTGAGCTTCCAAATATACAGGCAAAACATTGTTCATAGTTGCAGTTCTGCTTTCATTTTTGCAACTCCTCTTTCTAAGTGCAGGGGCTCTGGAGACATAACAACTCTGGCAGCTCCAGAGTTGATTGATTCAGAGATAATGCCAAACCATAGTTTGCACATATCATGGTTCCTATACCCACCTCAAACCATGGTTTCCAATCCTGGTTTGATGGATGATTGGAAACCATGGCTTGCCAATTTAGACTTCACACTAAAGCTTCCACGGCCATGGCTTGCCATGATATCTGGACTGAGGCAATAGTGTTTGTATCTGGCCTGCTTTTAATGCATGCCAGAACTCAGCCCCAGAACTTCTTTTCTGCTGCAGGTGGGCATTCTGAGGGGAGGACAATTCTGAGAATAGAGATACAGGCATGGAAAGAGTTAAGCGTTTCACCCGCATTCACCTTTCTTCTTTTATTCTTTCCTGATGACAGCCTCCAATGGTTGCTCTTCATTACAGATAGAGCTGTAACGTTCTCACTTTTCCTGTGCTTCTTTCCTGTGCTTCCTTCCCCCGTTGGTTCCATCCCACAGTCATGATTTATCTCCCTTAGCACCCTGCTTCCTGGGTCCACTCCCCTAACCAGCCAGTGGCAACAACCCCAATTCCTCCAGGCTCATCCTTACCATTTTTCTGCTTCTCCTCTGCAGTTCCCCTATTTGCGCCCCCAAATCCACACCTCCTTCCTCCTCCTATGGGTGGTAATTAGGGCCCTCGCTCTGGATTAACACCCCCAGCAGACGCATTTACACATAAGGGGCATGGAAAGCTGGAAAGCAGCCTAAAGCCTGGAGGCACTGCAAGGGACGGGATGGAACATGCCCAACAGGTGGGGTTGGGTGTGCAATATATGCCAGTAGATGGTCTACATTGTGTGGGTTCCACTAAATTCAAAGATCAAAACTGATGTTTCTGAGTCCTAAAGTTTAGGTCCAAAAACTCCGTTGCCTTGCATTTTTTCACCTCAAAATGTCTCGTCACATTTTCCACAAACTCGTGTGTGAAAATTCTTCCATATTTCTTTTCCACCTTGCTCTTCTGTACTAGACACAACAAAACTCCTGCTTCTTAATAACTTTACTAAGCCTCCTGTGCTCCAGATTTCTCTACACTCTCTTTTGGACACATTGGCTTTCCTCCTTTGACCAAAGTGCAATAAAGTAAAGGTAAAGGGACCCCTGACCATTAGGTCCAGTCGTGGCCAACTCTGGGGTTGCAGCGCTCATCTCGCTTTACTGGCTGAGGGAGCGAGCGTACAACTTCCGGGTCATGTGGCCGGCATGAACCAGAGCAGTGCACGGAAACGCCGTTTACCTTCCCGCCGGAGCGGTACCTATTTATCTACTTGCACTTTGACGTGCTTTTGAACTGCTAGGTGGGCAGGGGCAGGGACCGAACAACAGGAGCTCACCCCGTCGTGGGGATTCGAACCGCCAACCTTCTGATCGGCAAGTCCTAGGCTCTGTGGTTTAACCCACAGCGCTAAGCCTCCTGTGCTCCAGATTTCTCTACACTCTCTTTTGGACACATTGGCTTTCCTCCTTTGACCAAAGTGCAATAGATCCACTTAAAAAGAAGAGGAAAAGAAACAGACTTTTTTGCAGTTAGGAAAGTGATGGAGAAATGGATTGAAAAGTGTGGAATGGATTGATGGTTAGCAGGAAGATGGATAAATACCCTACAAGCAAATCAGGACGAATGCAGGAAGAATTGTATATAACTCATTGTTGTATATAACTTTCCTCCAAACAAATAAGAACAAATGTTCCATGAGGACCAGCTACAACCTAACCACCACACAAATTTTGGAGGAGCCTTCAAGTAGAAGAAATGGATCAGATCCACCTTTTCTGTCTAGTTGTAAGAGTCAATAGCTACATCTTCCCCTCTTCCTTCAACTCCCTCCTCAAAATGTCCCATTTCTCAGAAGTATCCAGCTTAACCCTGCTGGACCTTCCATGCTGAAGTGACCCGTGAGGAGAAATGAAGGCAGGAACTGATGTCTCAATGGTGCAACAAGTTTTGAGCCACAATTTCAGCTCAGCTTCACGCAGGAGAGTACCTGCAATTTGGGCTTTGCTTTAGGTGGCAAAATGTATTGGACTGGCACTGAACCCTTCAGTCATAACACAACCCACAATCCAAATAAAGACAAGTATGCGTATGCAGTTGCTCACACAATCATCTCTTGATCCCCTTTCTTCTCCCCCTCCCCGCCTTTTCTTGTTTCCCACACTTTCAGCGTTTAGACTGTGTTCCTTGGGGGCAAGTACCGTATTTTTCGCTCCATAAGACACACCTTTTTCTTCCTAAAAAGTAAGGGGAAATGTCTGTGCATCTTATGGAGTGAATGCGTGGTCCCTGGAGCCGAATTGCCCAGGGGCAAAAAGCTGATCATGCTTTTTTTTTTTTTTTGAAAGAGGGAAGTGGGTGTTGAAACAAAGCCACTGATTGCAAGCGATTGGGAGAGAGATAAGGGACGCTAGCGATAAAGGAGGCTGCCTGGGGGGGAGGTAAAAGCCCATGCATCCTCAGGATTTTTACATTGGGTCACCCCAAATTCACCCCAAATTCACCATCAGATCACATAGCATGTCCATGGCTACAGCCTGCACAAAAAAAATCACTCACCCACTGTTTCCTGGGGCTGCAATGGCACAAAAACGTGGTTACAAAGCATGGATCCACATGGATCCTCAGGATTTTTGCACTGGGCTACCCCAAACTCGCCATCAAATCACATGTCTGGGGCCACAGCGTGGACCACAAAAGTCATACATCCACTGTTTTGTTCAGAATATTTTTTTTCTTGTTTTCCTCCTCTAAAAACTAGGTGCATCTTACGGTCAGGTGCGCCTTATGGAGCAAAAAATAGGGTACTTGTCTTTTGGTGTGGTGTGGGGAGGCGGGGGTACTTCGTAAAGCTCTGCGTGCCTGGGATGCATATCACCACTGCCACATTTTTGGAATCAGTGTGCATATTTGACTATATACCAAACTCAAGCGGCTCCTTATCCCCGTACTTCTGTTCTGGCTCCTAATCAGTCTTACTTTCATTCTTCTGTAGCCGCAAAGAAGAAAGAGGTGAAGAAGAAGGAGGACCCAAAGGCAGCGAAGAAAGAGGAGAAGAAAGAGGAGAAGAAAGAAGAGGCAAAAGAAGAGGCAAAAGGTGGGGCCAGGAATGTTCAGACACATGCTGGCTAGCAGAGAGAGTCATGCTCCAGTCATAATTTTGGGGGAGTGGGAGAATGAAGAGCTGTGGGACCCCTGTTTTCCCCCCACAGAACTACAGTTCTCACCATACTTTAACAGCTTGGGGAATTGTAGCTCTGTGAGGGGAACCGGAGTCTCCGAACAACTTGCAGCGCCCTTAACAAACTGCAGTTCCCAGAATTCTTTGGGGGAAGCCATGCTTGTTGAAAGCGGTAGGATACTACTTTAAATGTATGGTGCAGATGGGGCCGTTGCTGAAGTCCTTGTGTTTGATTCCCTGGAAATCCTGTTGCATGGTGCCATGTAACTGTTGCCTTGAATGAAAAGGTTTTTGGTACGAGTTGCTTTCATTAATTAGATTTCTAGTTGAACAGGAGGGCAATATTATTCCTAAATTTCCAGAATTGAGAGGGGGAGAGTTTGTGCACCCTGTAACCTACACAAAGATATTCTGCCCATCCTCCTGGTCAGCATTAAACTTTCATCTTCTGGCGTGTTGCCGTCGAAAGCTCTGACTCCCAGCTAATAAACTGCAGGCCTCCGCCAGACTGTTTTAATTAAATAAATGGCACAGAGGTAAGATGATATGTTTTACTGGAAATGCTGGCCCAGTAAAAAAGTGGTGCTTTGCTGATTTTGCAACCTTCCCTCATGGCACTGAGAAGGACATTACTGCCCTTTTAAAAAAAATTAAAAGCCAAAATTAGACAATATGTATTTAAAGCAGGCAGTCACACAAGACACAAGACCGATCTAGACCCCAGATCCTTAAGCCATAAATGCAGCTGCTACACAAAGGTTTGACCATCACATACTTAACAAAACATACTGGTTCGTTTTATGCATCATGTGAGCTGATATGAAAACATAGCTGCACAGATTTCTGATTATTCTTCATAAGGGATGTCCCGGAACAGAACAGGAACAAAAGTAAAATACATTCGTACCTTGGATCCCGAACGCCCTGGAACTCAGACGTTTTGGCTCACAAACCCGGAAGAGATTGTTCTGGTTTGCGAACTTTCTTCTGGAACCTGAAGGTCCGACGGGGCTTCTGTGGCTTCTGATTGGCTGCAGGAGCTTCCTGCAGCCAATCAGAAGCCGCAATTTCATTTTCAAACGTTTTGGAAGTCGAAGGGACTTCTGGAACGGATTCCGTTCGACTTCCAAGGTACGACTGTACCAACTTCCAGACCTAGAGAATATTCACCAGACTTACAAGCTTCAGGCAATGGGGAAATATACTTGGAGTTGTGAAGAAACACCACCATGGTTTGGGTCAAGGTTCTAACATTATTTATATTTTTCCCCTTTTCTGTGTCCCTTAGCAGAGGCTCCGGCAGAACAGGCACCATCAGGTGAGGCCCAGAGATTGCAACCTGGAGAAAAATGTCCTTAACATCTGCTGGTATTGCTTGTATATTGGTTATCTGTGTCTCCATATGCTCTGTCCCCAGAGACGTACCACTCCTCGTATATAGAAATTCTCACAGCTACCTGTCGAGATGTCCCACCGTCCATCAATAAGTTTTTCCATGCCTACTCATAGCTTCTGCAGGGCTTTGAATAAATATCAGCTTCTTCCCTGAGTTGTATCCCTACCCTTCAGTGCTATCCCACCCCAATACCTATTGCCTAGTGTTGCTGCTACTACTGGACGCGGGTGACGCTGTGGTCTAAACCACTGAGCCATTGCTACTACTACTACTACTACTTCCTTTTGACACCTCCTCCAGCAGTGAAATGGTGTTTCTGTGTGCTCTAGTTTCTACCATGGTGTTCCTTTGCGCCAGAAGCGGTTCAGTCCTGCTTGCCACATGACCCAGAAAGCTGTCTGTGGACAAACACCAGCTCTCTCAGTCTAAAAGCAAGATGAGTGCCAAAACCCCATAGTCACCTTTGACTGGACTTACTCGTCCAGGGGTCCTTTATCTTTACCAGCAGTGAAAATATAGCCGCATGCTTGAACCATCTGGGACTCTCCATTGTGTCAGTGAGGGATACAGGAGAACATTTCCTCATTGGCCTCTTAATCCCATGTGAGTTGTACTACTCATGAGTGGACCCCATGGACTGTGGCCTACCTGTGCCCTGTTCCCCTGGGAACATTGGAAGCTGCCTTATACTGAGTCAGGCCTAGCTTATTATTGTCTACACAATACTCCAGCCCTACCTGGAGATGCTAGGAATTGAATGCGGAATGTTTGCGTGCAAGTTAGATGCTGCGCCGCTGAGTTGAGGCCCTTCCTCCTCTTACCCCCAGGGCAGCCATGCCTGTCAGGAGTTCAGTCTACACTTGAGTAGGACCCTGGCAAAGGCACATGCCCAACTGGCATGTTCCCTCCCTCCTGGTCGATCGTTCGGTAGCTTCAAAAGCTTTCTTCAGCCCGAACATCACAGCGACCGATGCCAACTGACACCGGCACACTTAGGGATCCGCAGAGTTTGTGCATCATGCGTAACAGACCTCAGCAACTCAGCATTTTGGCTAATCTACTTTATTTACATAAAAACACACACGGAGCACTGCAACATGGCTCCCTCTCTCGCTAGCATCAGACAGCAAAGAGAAAAAAAACAAAGGACAATAGTCCCACTTCACAGAACACAGTAACACAAGCATCCTGTCTCCGTCACTTCCCATTCTGTGGAGTCAAAACATACACCGTCATGTGAAAGACAAAAATCCCATGACTGCAATCATGGAGCAGGAATTCTAACAATGCCCACACCCCCTGCCCTGAAGAACCCCACTATTCCCAAATCACTCTGTTTCGGCTTCCAGCTCACCTGCAAGGCATGACCCATTCTTCATCTTCCCTTCCCTCTTTTTCAGATGAAGGTAAAGGGGAGCCCTCCACTCAGTCCGACGCACTCTTCCTCAAGAAGCCAGAAAGCGTCTTAATAGAAAGCGGTAAGTGGCAGAGCAGAATTGCACCGGGGGGCCGGCCCAAGCATTAGGCACAGTGAGGAGGCTGCCTCGAGGGGGTATATGTGGGATTCCCAGGCAGTCTGTCCTCCAGTTACAGATTAGACTCTGACTGGCTCACCTTCAGTAACGTGACTGAAGCTAGTGCCAAACCTCAAACCATGACGCTACTTTGGAGGTGAATCAGATAGGCAAGTTAATAAACAGACACGGGTGGCCCCATCACTTTCAGTTTGGTCCTAATTGTGTGGTGTACAAGGGCCCCTCCAGAGTGGTTTTTTTTTGTCGCAGGAGTATTCTGTAATGTGTAACGTGGTGCGTTGGTGGCAGATTTAACCTGCTTTGGTTCGTTCTGTGATTGGCATACGGAGGCGTTATAGCACAACAAAAGCAGGACAAAAACCGAACCAGAACGTTCCTGGGATTCCAGCAGGATAGACATTGGTTGGAAATGAAGTGGTGTGACCACTCCATGTCTTTTGAAGGCACAAACAGTATTGAAATTGGAATCCTCTCTCTCTCTCTCTCTCTCTCTCTGTGTGTGTGTGTGTGTGTGTGTGTGTGTGTAACCACTCTGATAGCATCATGAGCACAAATCATCATGAATGCACAGTAAAAATGATGTCCATGGTCAAAGAAATGAAGTGGGTTGGGTTTTTTTGAGCCAGTGGTTGACAGCTACACTGGACTAATGAATTCGGAGGGAAATGGCATTCGTAAATTGCTTTAGACCACTGGTCCACCCAGCTCACTACTGTCAACACTGGCAAAGGCTCCCCAGAGCTTAAGAGAGAGTGGCTTTTCCTAGAGATGCCAGAGACCAAACTTGTACCACTGAACCATGGCCCCATCCATCTCATGACATCTTTGTGTTTTGCACCATCTGCTGGCGCTTGAGCAGTTTCTTCTGCAAAAGCCCCATGGAGGCTTTGACTTTAGATGAGAGGCGATTCCTTCTTAAGTGGAGGAAGTCGTGACTTCCATGCGTCCTGTCTTGTCTTTCAGGGAAAGATGTTGATATCATAGTGCAGGTGAACGGGGCTCTTCTGCCTTGCAAGCCCACCGTCAAATGGTTCAAGGGGAAATGGCTGGAGCTGGGTATCAAGAGCGGACTGAGGTTCCAGTTCAAGGACAGCTTCGACAAGGAGAAAAACGTGAGTCCCAGAAGAAGGAAAAGTGAAGGATTTGGCCAGGGGCGAATCAGCTCTCCTATGACTCGTTGCCTTCTTAAACTCATACCAGACTGTTGCAATTATTTATTCATTTGGACTCGGGTGGCGCTGTGGGTTAAACCACAGAGTAGGACTTGCCGATCAGAAGGTCGGCAGTTCGAATCCCCGCGACGGGGTGAGCTCCCGTTGATCAGTCCCTGCTCCTGCCAACCTAGCAGTTCGAAAGCACGTCAAGTGCAAGTAGATAAATAGGTACCGCTCCGGAAGGGAAGGTAAACGGCGTTTCCGTGCGCTGCTCTGGTTTGCCAGAAGTGGCTTAGTCATGCTGTCCACATGACCCGGAAGCTGTACGCCGGCTCCCTCGGCCAATAAAGCGAGATGAGCGCCGCAACCCCAGAGTCGGCCACGACTGGACCTAATGGTCAGGGGTACCTTTACCTTTACCTTTAAACCACCTTTTACATGATTATCCTTTCTTGCAAAGGATCCTGGGAATTATAGTTTGCAAAGGCGACTGAGAATTTTCTGTTAATTGAGATTGAGGCATGCCAGGCTTTGTCTGGATCATGCCTATTGCATCCTCAAGTGCTACGGCGGAAATGGTCGCCACTAACGAACCTTAATCCTCCTGCTTATTCTTTGCTTACTCCCGAAGGTTTACACCTATGAGCTAAAAATTGGCAAAGTGGTAATCGGAGACCGAGGGGACTATCGCTTTGAGGTGGCAGCCAAGGACAAGTTTGACAGCTGCACCTTCAACATCGACGTGGAAGGTACCACCAGGAGCCCTAACTCAGTAAACGCTAAAGGAGTCATCCTAGAGCAAGTGGGGTTAGGATTCAGCACAACTGGGCCACACCATAATCAGCTAAGCTGCAGGTACACAGGGACCCAGCTAGCTGAACTGAGCCCAGCAGATCTTAAACTGGCATACGTCTTGAAAAGAAGGCATTCTAGGGGTGTGACCTGGGAACCTGGCATAAGTTAAGCTGGCAAATACTATTTTGAAGGTTTGCTTTCCCTCTGCCAGGCTGAGCCTGGTTCAGCCAGCAGTAACCCCATTCCTGCTTTTTGCCAGCTTATTGTATATAAGATTGCTCCTTAAATAGCCTTATCCTTTGGAGGCAACATCCTCCCTTGTGGTCTTGTGAGTGTGAACCCATCACCTGTGAAATCTGAACCACAAGAACACACTGAGCTGCATTCTTGCTGCCTGCTTTCCACCTTTGGAACTCCCTTCCCCTGGATATTTATTTCTTTTATTTGTCTATGTGGATTCCTAGTCTATTCCCCCTGTCCCAAGGGCTCATGGCAGCTGACAGGAAGTAGAGGTATCCTTGTCCCTCATGTGCTTGTAGTCTGAGAAATCTATCCAAGGCCCAAGACCAGTCCTGAAAGATCTACATTGGCTCCCAGTACATTTCCAAGCACAATTCAAAGTGTTGGTGCTGACTTTTAAAGCCCTAAACGGCCTCGGCCCAGTATACCTGAAGGAGCATCTCCACCTCCATTGTTCAACCCGGACACTGAGGTCCAGCTCTGAGGGCCTTCTGGCGGTTCCCTCCCTGTGAGAATTGAAGTTACAGGGAACCAGGCAGAGGGGCTTTCTCGGTAGTGGTGCCTACCCTGTGGAACGCCCTCCCATCCGATGTCAAGGAAATAAGCAACTATCTTCTAAGATATCTGAAGGCAGCCCTGTTTAGGGAAGTTTTTAATTTTTGATGTCTTATTGTGTTTTTAATATTCTGTTGGGAGCCGCCCAGAGTGGCTGGGGAAACCCAGCTAGATGGGTGGGGTATAAACAAACAAACAAACAAACAAACAAACAAACAATTATCATCATCATCACTATTTTTCCAAAATATGATTCCTGCCTTTTAAAAATGTGCAGAGCTCTGCAGTGGCATGAGTTTATTGTAATTCCCTAATCACCTTTACATTTTTTACTGTACCTTACCTGAGTACTGTACCTACTCTGAGTAACAAGAGTAGAATAAGAGTAGAATGATGTGTGCAAAACAGTAAAAATGGCAGAATGAATCACGACAGCCCAGAGTTTCCGTGGCACCTGAAAAGATCCATGGAGGGACAAGCTTTTGTTCACCGCACCGGCTGAATAAAGACTCTCTGGATCCCACACAGCACAATGATACTGAGGCGCCCTGGGGAAGGAGGTGTTTGTGGGTAGCTAAGCTCCCTTTCTGCATGTGGCTTGCTAAGGTATTAATCCAGCCTTAACCAAGATTGGTATTTTGGCCTACAACTCCCATCAGCCCCAGCCATTAGGGTCACGTTGGACTCATGGGAGTTGCGGTCCAAAATGGACTGGTGGGAATTGTAGTCCAAAACTCATGGAGGGCACCAGCTTGGCGAAGGTCAGATTAAGCTGAGACACCCTTTCAAGGGAAGAGCCAACTAGGTTCAAGATACCAGTTTCAGAAGTCTGTTTTCTTCTCTTCCAGCACTAAGGACAGAGGAAAGCGGCGGCGTGCTGCAGGCTTTCAAAAGGACGTAAGTGTCGCTGGTTAGAGCACAGACTCTTAGGCTGTGCCTTGATATGCACAGCTCCCTTACACGCTGCAAACATCTGCTGCTCGGGAGGCTGAGTCAGTTCAATGGGTTATATCTGATCTGGGGTTATATCTCCCCCCTTCATCTCCTTGCAGAGGGGAAGGCGGCAAAGACGATACTGCTGGAGAGCTGGACTTCAGCGGGTTGCTGAAGAAGAGGTAGGTGAAGAATGGAGAATAAGAACACAATACGAGCCCTCCTAGATCAGACCAAAGGCCCAGTATCCATGTCCATTAGAAACCTGCGAGCAGGACCTCAGTGTAAGGAGCAACTCTCCCAATTAGTGCACCCCAGCAAGTCATAGCTGGTCGCTGTTGATAGCCTCATCTGCATGAATCGGCCTAATCTTTTGAAGCCATCCCAGTTGGTGGCCGTCAGAGGATGGAGTGCCTTAAGAGGTGGGGAAACAGCAGTCCTACCCACCAGCTTAGTGCATAACACAGGAGACACAAGGGAAACGGTTGGGCAAGGGTTGAAAATCATTTACAAGGCATGCTTGGGCAAATGAAACATTGCTCCTCAGCGGCTTCCATTTCAGAGCACAAGCAATTATTGCATTTCTTGTTAGCCAATTTTAGAAAAACTGTTGTCGGTTCGAATCCCTGCAATGGAGGGAGCTCCTGTTCCTTTGTCCCAGCTCCTGCCAACCTAGCAGTTCGAGAACACGCCAGTGCAAGTAGATAAATAGGTACCGCTGCAGCGGGAAGGTAAACGGCATTTCCGTGCGCTCTGGTTTCCGTCATGGTGTCCCGTTGCGCCAGAAGCGGTTTAGACATGCTCGCCTCATGACCCGGAAAGCTGTCTGCGGACAAACGCCGGCTTCCTTGGAATGAAAGCGAGATGAGCGCTGCAACCCCAAAGTTGCCTTTGACTGGACTTAAAGGGGTCCTTTACCTTTTTTTTTTAACCTGCTTGGAGACCCTTGTAGGTGTAGGATGAAGTCTAGAAACCGAATTTGGTCATGGGGGAATCCACTAGGCCGATGCTGTGGTCAAAAAATGATCAAGCGTGGGCAGAAAGCAAAGCAGCTCATAATGACAGGCAGGAGTCCAGATGCAAAGGGACAGGAGATTAGCTTTTTGTAATAGGTGGCTGGCATTGGAGGAGGGCCGGTTGGAAGCCAATCAGAGGCTGAGGACAACAACTTTGAACGTTAGCGAGAGTCTCCCACTTCCTCTGCCCTCCCCCCAATTCCATGCTTTGTCCAGCCTCCACCCCACCCCCCAAAGTTCCATGTGGAAGAGAACTCCATACCTACCAGGGGAATAATTTCAGGCCTAAATTGTGCTTCTTCCAACATTTCATCTTGTTCCTTGCAATTTCTTAGAAGTTCTTGTCAACATGCACTTTGTGGTAGCTTGAGAGGCTGGGTTGGACTCAGAATTAATTCCCTGTGAGAGATGCACGGGTATGAGGTTGAGGAGCACACGACTGTGAATGCAGTTTAGTCCCTTATCCACGTCACCCATTGTGAGCGGGGCGCAGGGGTTGAACGACGGTCCTACGGGAAGCTACACCTCAAAAGGTCCTCCCTCCTTCTCTGTGCAGAGAGGGCCAGCAGCAGATGGAAGAAGAGAAGAAGAAGAAGAAGAAGGACGACGACGATGATTTGGGGATCCCGCCAGAGATCTGGGAGCTGCTTAAAGGCGTGACCAAGAAGAGCGAGTATGAGCGCATCGCCTTTGAGTATGGCATTACTGACCTTCGTGGCATGCTGAAGAGGCTCAAGAAAGCCAAGGTGGAAGTCAAGAAGAGCGAAGGTCAGTCAGAATGCCTGGACTCTCTGCCTTTTGGCCTGGGAGCCAGGTCTCCTGAGGTCACTGGTTGGGAGCAGGGTATCTTAGGAATGGGTGTGTGGGTCTGGACCCCGTATCAGACCTTCTGGGAAATTTAGGGAGGAGGCCACGTCTACATTGACTATCTGCGGTGCTGTATGTGTGTGTGGTGGGGGGAGATGACTCTAGGATGGAGGGGGTCCTTCAGCACAGTGCCATCCAGTACCCCCTTCAGTGCTGTTTTTCTAGAAAAAGAGGGGCCAAAACACCTCTCTGAGAATAAAAATGGCGCCCACCTGACAGGTACCCCTTCCTCCCTCCCTTCCTTCCTTCTTTCCTTCCTTTTTATATGTGCATTATGTTTATACTGGGCCTTTTCTCCAAAGAGCTCAAGGCAACAGTCACAATTCTTCCCCTCACCCCTCCATTTTGTCCCCTCAACAACCCTGTGAGGTAGTTTAGGCTGAGAGACGGCGACTGGCCCACAGAGTCGTCCAGTGAGCTTCCTGGCTGAGAGGGGATTTGAACCCAACTCCCTTTTCAGGTACCATTCCCTTCCTGCGGTTTCCATCCATTTCCCTTTTTCTCGCCGTGTTTCTACCCCGCCTTTCTCCTAAGGAGATCAAGGTGGCGTTCTGTGCTGAAGTGATAGAAGCAATATGCCAGCTGGCTGCTGTGATCCGTGCACCTTAGTGACAGGAGCACAGAAATTCCCCCTGAGGTGGAAGTGGAGATCTTTAGCTCTCAGGACAGGAAGAGGCTGTATTTGGAGCAGAAACCTCATGACTGCAGCAAGGAAGTAGGAAGCAGGCTGGGGCCCCAAAGGCGTTTTTAGTAGTCCTCTCCCCGTCTCTTTTGCAGCCTTTATAAAAAAACTGGACCCAGCCTACCAAGTTGACAAAGGGCACAAGATCAAGATGTATGTGGAGCTGAGCGACCCAGACCTTGTTATCAAATGGATGAAGAACGGCCAAGTGATCAAGCCCAGTGGAAAGTGAGTCTGAATGTGGATGGATAGCCAAGGGTGCCTCTTGGCATCCTCTAAAAGCAGAGTTGGGTTCTGTTGGGTGGGAAAAATGGGAAAACAGCTGCTGAGACGGACGGACGGATAGACAGACGGACTCTGGATTAGTCTTTCTCAGTTGTGACGTGGTGTCTCTTCTCCGTGGGCAGATATATCTTTGAGAACGTGGGCAAGAAACGCATCCTGACCATCACTAAGACCACGTTGGCTGATGACGCAGCCTATGAATGCGTTTGCGGAGAAGAGAGGTGCTTCACGGAGGTCTTTGTTAAAGGTGAGGGTGATGGAAGAAGAGAGAGAGAGAGTGTGTGTGTTTGTAAAGGGAGGGACAGTATCTCGGTTGGGGGACATGTTGCGCTCCTTCTGGGTAGTTCATCAACCGATGGTCCCCTCTTTGCCCCTGCTTTCGGCTCTCATCTGTGGCTCTGAGAAGCTGCCAGCGACAGCAGCCACATCCCGGGAATGGCTTTGACTGGCCGGCTAAACCAGGTGAGGGTGAGCGGATGGATTATTCCAAACCCTCCATGAGTTAGGGAGTCCCTCTTCATGCAAAGACAGACTCCCACGGATTGAGCGGGTGAGACCGGATTCAACAGTCAAGAAGGTGGTTTCTGCAGGAGCTTTGGAGGCGAATGAGGGGCAGATTGGGGTCGTCCAACTGGGAAGGTAGTGCATCTAGGAGAAGGAAAACACTGATCCTGAACCTCCGTTCATGAGGAAGGCTTCGGGAATAAACTCTGAGGAACAATCCACACCCACTGCCTTATGGGACATCTTTAGGAGAAGAGAAGTCTAAGAAGTAAACGCTACATGAGTCCCTAAGACGGCACCTCGTATGCCTCCTTCCTGCAATTCCTGCAGCCAAGCTGGTGCCAAGTGTATTGCTCTGTTTTCCTTTGGACCACATCAGCGAGGCCGAGAGAGGGGGTCTTGTCTTCTGGGCAGCCCAGGACCTCCATACACCCTGCCCAGGCTTGTGCCCCTTGGGTGTTGCTATCTCAGCAGTTTGACTTTGCTCCCAGAGGCACATTCTATTTTCTCTTGATCCAGACAGATACCGACAACCCCTGCACATCTTGTGCTGAGAGATGGACAGAGAACATGCAAACATGTGGGTTCCTGTACACTTCTCAGCAGCTTTTGATACCATCAACCATACCGGTGTCTGCAGCCACAGCTGGTGCTGTGATTCTCCAGGTGCATTCCACTGTCTCTCGAGAAGGATGGATGCCAGCAAAAATAATACCAACCACACACACACACAACTTAGAGGGTTTTTTTTACAATGAAAGTGATATACAAATTCCCCCAGAGAGGTCACTTCGTGCTGCAAATGCAGCAAACGACAAACTTAGCAGAGTTAGGAAGATGCCAAGGTGGCTGGGGGCAGGCAGAGGGGATGGGCTGGAGAGGTTTGTTTGGTGCTGGAGCTGTGCCCATGCCATTCTGTCTGTCTGTCCCTAGAACCACCTGTCCTGATTGTGGGTGCCCTGGATGACCAGCAAGTGTTTGTTGGGGACAAGGTGGAGATGGAAGTGGAAGTGTCTGAGGAAGGCGCCCAAGTGATGTGGTAAGTTCCCTGTCCATACTTCCCCTGCCCAGACCGTTGTCATCCGAACAACCCCCTCCCGCTCCAGCCCTGGCTTCCGTAGAGCTGCCTCTTGAATCTTCTCATACGTGTGATGCTTGCAGAGGGTCCTGAGTTCAGTCCCAGACATCTCCTGTTAAAATGGTCAGGCAAGGTGAAAGGCCCTGGCAAGTTGCTGTCTGTCACAATAGATGACTAGATTGTGGTGGTCCTATTGGCAAAACCTATTTGGTGTTTCGCAACTTTCTGACTAGTTGCAGGACCTTAGCCAGACCTAGCAGAGTACATGCAGAATCCACGGAAGCAATTGGCAACTTGGCTGCAGACAGGATAGACGAAGCAGGAACCAGGAACTTGTAGTTAGGTGTTTATTGTATATAGTGGACTATTTACAGGAACAGAACATGGATCTTTTGCTAGCTCTCTCTGACACGACTCACAACTCCTACACTGACACACTGAACTACTGACCTCAAACACATTCCAGTTAGTAGGCCATTAATTATCACTCCTTTGAGAGAGCTTGACCAATCAGGGAGCGGTCTCCATGCCTCTGTTATCTCCAGGCAGACTTACTCCTTCAGATTGCCTTCTGGCTGTCTGCCAAACCTTAATTGACTCTGTGTGAGTAGCTGCACGTACACAGTTTCCCAACAGGTCCGATGTTTTGGGCAGCCCTGGGCAACATTTGAAACCTTCGCACTGCCTTCCCAAAGCCAGGAAAGCAATGAGCTGGGCTTTGGGGAGGAGGTGTGAGGGCTCTGACAGCGTTCTAGAGTCCTCCTGCCTTCTTCCCAAAGCCTAGTTAGTGTTTTCCCTGATTTGAGAAGGAGGTGGGAGGGCTCTAGGACCCTGCCAGAGCCTCACGCCTCCTTCCCAAAGCCCACTTATCCAGCTCTGAGAAGGCAGCAGGAGGGCTGGGAGGTGGTGTCAAATTTTGGTCCCACTCCCTGTGCGATAAGTCAGTGTGCGGACTGGACCGTGGGTCCTGTGTTGAAGTACTCTTGTGGCCCACTTAGTGTGAAAAGTTGGACCTCCCTGGACTAGATGCTTGTACCAATATCAGGAAGCATCATATGTTAGCCCCAAAATGGAAAAGGAGCGAGGTCCCAACCAAAGAATGCCGACTTAAGTTGACAGAATATGCGCACCTTGCAGACTTAACATATAGAATAAGAGAACAAGAAGAACATACTTTTAGAGAAGATTGGAAAACGTTTTTTATTTTATTTTTTATTATTATTAGAAAACATTTATTAGCTAAAGTGGTACCTCAGGTTAAGAACGGTTTCAGCTTAAGAACGGACCTCCGGAACAAATTAAGTTCGTAACCAGAGGTACCACTGTATATGGGAAATAACTCTGTACAGCTGTAAACGCCGGCAGCATTAAGATAAATTCAACAGTGTAAATACATTTTGATGGATGCAATAATAATGGAATACTGAATGGTATAGTTTCTGTAAAATATGCAGGGATTTATCATATGTAAAATGAACCATGGAAAGAGAAGGGAAGTCACTGATATATTAAGGATATAAAAAATGAGTACTTTAAATTGTGAAGCCAAAAATTTAATAAAAATTATATACACACACAAAAAAGGAAGCATCATATGCTTCAATGGATTTATCATTTGCACACAAAATATATTGAAGGTGCCTCTCTGCAAGAGGCAGTGCCTTTGGAGGAGCTTTTTTGTTGCAGGACAAACTTCCTCCTTTCCAGGCTTTTCTATACACACACAAGCACGACACTGAATTTGGTGCAGATTTTTGCCCCACCCTCCATGTTTAAGGCAGACTTATTCCCCCCACCCTTTTTCTTCCCTTCCCATTTAGCGTGTCTAGACAGCTAAATGTTTATTAGGGACAAAAGAGCAATTCAGTTCAGTTCACATTTTAATGTGAGGCCTGCCTCGGTTCCTGAAACAATATGTGAATCAAAAGCAGCCTATCCTTCGAAATTCACCCTTCTCTGACTTTTTGTGGTGCGGTTTTCCAACAAGAAAAGAGAAAGTATATGTTAGGCCAGGGGTCAGCAAACTTTTTAAGCAGGGGGCCATTCCACTGTCCCTCAAACCTTGTCGGGGGGCCGGACTATATTTTTTTGGGGGGGGATGAATGAATTCCTATGCCTCACAAATAACCCAGAGATGTATTTTAAATAAAAACACATTCTACTCATGTAAAAACACGCTGATTCCTGGACCGTCCGTGGGCCGGATTAAGAAGGCAATTGGGCCGCATCTGGCCCCCGGGCCTTAGTTTGCCTATCCATGTGTTAGGGGAAAGGCGCATATCGATGATAATGACATTAAACATATATATGGAGCAAGGCACACTAAAATGCTGGTGATTTTCCTTTAAAAAATAAATAAATTGCAAACTGATGGTGAACTGAACTTATGATGGCTGGAATAATGAGAAATGGAAAGAAACCAAACCTGACAGAATCCCATTACAAACAAACAAACAGCTAGCTGTCTTCCCAGCTTTGCCCCCTCTCCATCTTAGTCTCCTCTCCTTTCTTTCTGCCTCCAGGTCGAAGGATGGTGTAGAGCTGACCCGTGAAGAGACGTTTAAGTACCGCTTCAAGAAGGATGGCAAAAAGCACATTCTCATCATCAACGAAGCCACCAAGGAGGATGCTGGGCGCTACATGATCATGACCAACGGCGGCCAGTCAGAGGCAGACCTTATAGTTGAAGGTTTGTGAGGACTGGTTGGACCAGCGGGTAGATAGCCTCCGAAAGAGATTTGGATGGCTTCCACCCCCACGTGGGATCAGTCCTCTTCATCTCTCTCTCTTTTGCCACCCAGAAAAACAGCTGGAGGTTCTTCAGGGCATTGCTGACCTTACTGTCAAAGCCGCGGAGCAGGCTGTCTTCAAGTGTGAAGTGTCGGATGAGAAGGTTACCGGCAAATGGTACAAAAACGGAGTTGAGGTCCGACCCAGCAAACGCATCACGATCTCTCACAAGGGCAGGTGAGCCTAAAGGGAAGCCAGCATTCTCTGAGGGCCAAGCGTGTTATGTGGGGTAGTTGCAGACTCTGCGGCTCCATTGGCGGCCGCCATTTTGCTTTTGTAAGCAGAGGTGACTCTTCTGTGGTATTGTGGGTAGAGTATCACATTTGGACTGTAAAATCCAGCTTCGAATCCTGTCACAGATCTCATGAGAAGGCCTTGCGCCAGCTATCACTTCTCTGTCTAATGCAATGTTTCCCAAACTCTGGTCTCCCGCTGTTGTTGGACTACAATTCCCATCATCCCTGACCACTGGGTCCTGCTAGCTAGGGATGATGAGAGTTGTAGTCCAAAAACAGCGGGAGACCAGAGTTTGGGAATCACTGGTCTAATGTATTGCACTGGAATATTATTTATTTCATACAATTTATTTACCGCTTTAATGTTACCAAACAAACCTCGAAGTGGTTTACGAGAAGAATAAAAACTGTAACATTATCAATAAAAACATATACTGTACTTAAAAGATTTGAAAAAGAGTTAAAATCAACAATGAGCTAAAAAACAGATTAAAGCGGAGGGTCGCGCAGAGCTGCCTGCACTCCGAAGCCTGGGGCGCGCTGAAGAGCGCTTCTGGGCTTTGCGCAGCTCTCCGCAAGCCTGGGGAGACCGGCGCGGCTCCCTAGGCTTGCAGATAGCAGGCTGTTCTGGGGGCTGGGGTCGGGGGAAGCTCGGGCTTCCCCCGCGCCAGCCCCGTGCCTGGGGGGGAAATATTTTTTTTCCCTTTATTTCCCCCCTCCAAAAAACTAGGTGCATCCCATGGGGCGGTGCGCCCTATGGGGCGAAAAATACGGTACATTACAATCATTTATTTATTCTCCTTTCCTTGCCGTTTATTCAAATCCTGCTTGCGTTTTCATTCGGCCACAGTTTTTTCTCAAATGGCCCAAAAAAACCCTCCACTCTTCGACAAAGTTCTCATCTTTTTGATCTCTTGATGGGGTGTTTCTGTTGCTGTCCGCTTTGCCATCTCCTTCTAGTCCATTAACTTTAAAAATCCATTCTCCTTTCGTCGGGATTTCTTCCTCTTTCCGCTATGAACAGGGCATTTCTCAGTGACTGCGATCAGAAGCCTCTTCCATCCTTCCACCTTCTTTGCCCCTAATCGTGCTCTCACCCCTCAGGTTCCACAAGCTGGTCATCGATGACGTGAGGCCAGAGGACGAGGGAGACTACACCTTCGTCCCTGATGGATATGCTCTTTCTCTGTCCGCCAAGCTCAACTTCCTGGGTCAGTGTACAAAAGGCCTTGAGGTTCTGCCCTGAAGTGAACACACCAGTTTCCACGCTTGTTGCAGAACCCATGTTTCTTGCTCAAAGACATGCTCAGGGACTTGAACCCCTATGGATCTTCCCTCGCTGTGAGGAGGCATCTGTCAGGGACTGGGCAGAAGAGAAGGAATGGTGGAGACCGCCTCCCCATCCTGACCCTTCCAGGGAGGAGGAAGAGGAAGACAGTGTAGATTTACAACAGGGGTTTGCGGGAGGTCGCAGCTCAGAGGCAGATGAGGGGAAAAGCTGGGAAATCAGGGGAGAGCCGGAACAACACCCGGCTGACATATTGTCATTAGAAAGCATTCCGGACTCCCCATCTCCCAGAACCAGGCGAGCTTTAAAAGTAGGAGAGCAAAGAGCTCAAAGACAGAGGGCATGTTGCAGCACCCATAGAAGGTGATGGATTAGTAAGTGAGAGAGACGGGGGGCGGAGATTGACTTGGGACAACGCCATTATCCAGGAGGCTGGGCAGAGGCGGAGCCAGTGTGGTGTAGTGGTTAAGAGCGGTGGACTTGTAATCTGGTGAACCGGGTTCGCGTCTCCGCTCCTCCACATGCAGCTGCTGGGTGACCTTGGGCCAGTCACACTTCTCTGAAGTCTCTCAGCCCTACTCACCTCACAGAGTGTTTGTTGTGGGGGACGAAGGGAAAGGAGAATGTTAGCCGCTTTGAGTAGTGATAAAGCGGGATATCAAATCCAAACTCTTCTTCTTCTTCTTCTCTGGCACCTGGAGCGGCGGACATGCTATGCACCTGGGGGTGGGGCCATGAGGTGGGGCAAGCATCCCAGGGGGTGAAGCACCCTTAGGGGGCAGAGCGAGCTGCCCATGGGGGGTGGAGCGAGCCGTCCATGGTGGGCTGCTTCCTGGGCAAAGGGGGAGGAAGCCGCTTCTTTGCCAGCAGCCTTCCTCCCTTTCCTCTTACTTTTGACAGCTCGGGGGAGGCTTCCCCCTCCCCAGGAAGCAGCCTGGAAGCAGGGGTCAATGGCGCGCCACCCGCCTACGACTCCCAAGCCTCCCCTGAGCTGGTTAGAATGATGGGGGGAGGGCCGCCAGGCAAGGCGGCACAGCTCCCCCCCTTCACCCGACCGCTCGGGCTAGGCTTGGGAGTTGTGGGTGGGTGGCGTGCCGAATGTCAACCCCTCAGTGATGACACCCGGGGCAGTCCACCCCCCACTGCCCCCCCTTCTTCTGCCCCTGAGGCTGGGTTCTATAGCCTCTGTAAAGATTGAAATCAAAAAGGAGGGTAAGAAACTTTTCCTTGTCTTTATACTTTCCTGGGAGGTTTCCTGGGAAAAGTTTCTTACCCTCCTTTTTGATTTCAATCTTTACAGACAGGAGCTGCTGACAGCATTCTGACAGTGTTTGTTTGATGTCCCCATTTCTCACAGGGACACTGCTGGTGTGGAATCCCACTGCACTTTAATTCTAAAATAATGTGGGAGGGAGGAAGCAGGTATTGCAACATCCCACACTTTCCAGAGGTACTCACGGCTGTTTCCCATTTTCCCCATTTGTTCTCTTCCCACTCTAGAAATCAAGATTGAATATGTTCCCAAGCAAGGTGAGTCCTGGATAGGCCCTGCCATCCTTTGAGGGTGGGTGGGAATGAAAGCCGGAGGATTTTTTTCAATGTCCATTAAGAAAGAGAGAGTAGAGATCAGAGCCCCCCCGAACTTGAAGCATGGGAAGTCCCAATAAAAATTTATAATTTGGCAGAATATTCGGACTATATGATATGTATTTGTATAATTTGGAATATTTAATGTGATTTGATTGGATTGTTAAAATGGAAAATTTAATAAAAATTACTTTAAAAAAAGAAGAAAGAGAGAGTAGAGATGTGAAAGCCCGGGGGGGGGAGGGGGGGACACAGGAAAAAAATTCAATTATGTTTTCCTGATTTTCCCAATTTTTCAGAAACAAATGAGGGAGGGAATGGGGAAAATCGAAGAAGTAAAACCCATAGAAAGCAATTGTTCCAATTGTTTGCGGCCTTCTGGGGCAGCAGGCAGTGAATAGCTGTGCTGTGGGGAAAATGTGGGTCTTGATTTAAGGTATTAAATGTGGTGGTGTGGAGAAGAGGTTGTCTCTCATTTCCCCCCTCAAGTCATTTCTGGTTTCTCCAGAGCCCCCCAAGATCCACTTGGATTGTTCCGGAAAGACTAATGAAAACACCCTTGTGGTGGTTGCTGGGAACAAGCTGCGCTTGGACGTGTCCATCACTGGGGAACCAGCACCTGTGGCCACCTGGATGAGGGGTACTGAGGTAGGTATGGCCACTGTGGGCGGCTTCCAACAGAATATTAAAAACACGATAAAACATCAAACATTAAAAACTTCCCTAAACAGGGCTGCCTTCAGATATCTTCTAAAAGTCAGAGAGTTGCTTATTTCCTTGACATCTGGTGGGAGGGCGTTCCACAGGGCGGGCGCCACTACCGAGAAGGCCCTCTGCCTGGTTCCCTGTAACCTCACTTCTTGCAGGGAGGGAACCGCCAGAAGGCCCTTGGAGCTGGACCTCAGTGTCCGGGCTGAACGATGGGGGTGGAGATGCTCCGTCAGGTACACAGGACTGAAGCCGTTTAGGGCTTTAAAGGTCAGCACCAACACTTTGAATTGTTCTCGGAAATGTACTGGGAGCTAATGTAGGTCTTTCAGGACAGGTGTGTTGTGGTCTCGGCGGCCACTCTCAGTCACCAGTCTAGCTGCCACATTCTAGATTAGTTATAGTTTCCAGGTCCCCTTCAAAGCTAGCCCCACGTAGAGCGCATTGCAGTAGTCTAAGCGGAAGATAACTAGAGCATGCACTGCTCTGGCGAGACAGTCTGCGGGCAGGTAGGGTCTCAGCCTGCGTACCAGATGGAGCTCTGAAATCTCTCAAGCTGGCCGCAAAAGAACTTGTCTAGTCCTACTTGCACACTTTACTACTTACTTTTTAAGCAGGTATTCTATAGCATGTCTTTGAGGCAACCTTTCAACACTTTGACTTCACTCTCAAAGGGGCACTCCTTCATTGTCTCCCAAGGCAGACAGATGCCAGCAACAACATTGATGCAATCCTAGTGAATTAGTGGCGGATTGAAACTGGACTGTCCTGTGTCCGCATGGTGTTCCACATCATTAGTTGTTCTGCGATGTTTCCCCACTGCCCCCTTCCAAACTTTTGTGGGGGTCCTGCCTCCTTGGTTTCATATACTCATCCCCAGTGCCCCTATTCTATAAAAAGCATTCTTTGGAATACAGTGGTACCTTGGGTTACAGACACTTCAGGTTACAGACGCTTCAGGTTACAGACTCGGCTAAACCAGAAATAGTACCTCGGGTTAAGAACTTTACCTCAGGATGAGAACAGAAATCGCACGGCGGCAACGCAGTGGCAGCGGGAGGCCCCATTGGCTAAAGTGGTGCTTCAGGTTAAGAACAGTTTCAGGTTAAGAACGGACCTCCAGAACGAATTAAATTCTTAACCTGAGGTACCACTGTTTTGGTTTGCACAACCCAAGATAATAATACAATGAGATTCAAAATGGTAACGATTAATACCACATTTATTTAGAATCCAGATAAAATGATATAGCTCAATTCGTTCAGCAAAAATGATGGAATTCATCCAGTGATATCAGCTTTTTGAAGTCTTTTATGCCTCTGGTTCCCCTTGCTCCTTGGCACCCCATAGGTGACCCCTCTGTCCTATAGGGTATTGCTCACTTTGGGAACCTCTGGTTTAAACAACACCAAAGCAGAAGTCAGCTGTGGCTGTCAGGCAAGAACACTTAGAAGAACATTTTAACCCCTACCAAAAAAATTCTAGTAATTGCATACCATTGGGTCCAGGGTAGCCTTTTTAAGGAGCAGCCACACCACTGCGTCTTAGCGCCTTGCTAGTTGCACTAACAGCACAATCCTAACCACCGTGAATCACTAAATTCTGTGGAATTGCACACCCCATTCAATGTAACTTACTTCTGGGTAGACGTAGTTAGGATTGCAGCCTTGGTACTCAGTGAAATCGATGGGCCTTGGCTTGTTTTCACATTTAAACCAGGACTGATTTCCCCCTCACATTGATCTCAGCTAACTTAGTCTGGATCCACCCACACGTGCTCTTTTTCGGAAGAGCACGTTTTAGAAGTCAGTTTGCTCCATCGTGAGAGCTCAAGATTTGTTTCTGCTTTTGACGATATATACATATACAGTGGTACCTTGGTTTACAACCATTTTGGATTACAACCACGTCAAACCCGGAAGTGCGTGTCCCGTTTTTTGGATTACAACCCATTTTTTGGGGGGAGGCCCCATTGGCGAAAGTGCGCCTTGGGTTACAACCTGTTTCGGTTTACAACCGGACCTCCGGAACGGATTGTGGTTGTAAACCAAGGTACCACTGTATCGACTCTGCACAGCGCAGCTTATTCAGACCCTCCAGTTGTCCCTATTTTCCAGGGACAGTCCCGGATTTACAGAAGCCGTCCCTGTTTCTGATTTGATCCCAGACGTGGGTGTAGCTAGGATTTTTGTTATGGGATGGTGGGCAGGACTTCTGTTGGGGGGCGGGCAGAACTGACGTGATTGGTCAGTTAGTTCTATTGTTTTATTTGATGGGGGGCAGCTGCTCCCCTGCCCCCACCTTGGCTACGCCCATGATCCCAGAGTGTCCTGCTTTTCCTTAGGACATCCCTATTTTCGCTGGATAAATGTTGTAGGGTATGGACCCACTGAGCCAAGGAGTTAAGTAACTATACAATCTACAATCTTTAGAAGAAATCTGAAATCAGCCCTGTTTTTTTAAATGTTTAATCATAGAATTGTGAATTAGAAGGGATCCCAAGAGTCCTCTAGCCCAACCCCCTGCGATACAGGAATCTCAACTAAAGCATCCATGACAGATGGCCATTCAGCCTATGCTTAAAAACCTCCAAGGAAGGAGAGTGCACAACCTCCAATGTTTTATTCTGTTTTTCTATAAGTTGGAAGCTGCTCAGAGTGGCTGGGGCAACCCAGTCAGATGGGCGGGGGTATTATTCTTATTCTTATTGATATTAGCGCCGCCCAAGGCATGATGGAAGTATCGGCTGGAAAAAGATAGACATAACATTTTACAAGGACAGGAAGGAACACCGCAGACAGAATAATTGTCACACACAGGAGGAATAAGGCTATTGCTTCACCTATAAGTTTATAAATCGTTGAATGCGTCAAGACGAATGGATGTCGTTAATATGGCAGTTGTTATATAAGGGATTGTTATTTTGAATGGAATGGAATGGAATTGAAGAGGAATAAGATCTTGGAATGCAGAAACAAAGTAAATTATCAAACCATCAATTCTGGCACGTGGGAGGCCACCTAAATTATACAATTTGGCATATGAATGTTTGGGATTAGTACAGTGGTACCTCGGGTTAAGTACTTAATTCATTCCGGAGGTCCGTTCTTAACCTGAAACTGTTCTTAACCTGAAGCACCACTTTAGCTAATGGGGCCTCCTGCCGCCGCCGCCGCACGGTTTCTATTCTCATCCTGAAGGTTCTTAACCTGAAGCACTATTTCTGGGTTAGCGGAGTCTGTAACCTGAAGCGTTTGTAACCTGAAGCGTATGTAACCACAGGTACCACTGTAATTGCATTGTGATTTGGTGTTGTTATAATGTGGCTACCATTGGATTATTGTAATTGAAAATTAATAAAAATGATTGTCAAAAATATTATTATTAGTAGTAGTAGTAGTAGTATTTAGGATGTCCCTGTTTTCATTGGAGGTTATGCGTACTTCTCTGCTTGACTCATCTTTGCCTGCTCTCCCATACTCCTCAGGTCTTTGCGGAGAAGGAAGGCCGGGTCCGTATAGAGGAGAGGAACGAGCTGAGCAGTTTCGTGATAGAGAGTGCCGAGCGCTCAGATGAAGGGAGCTACACCATCAAGGTGACCAATCCGGTGGGGGAGGATATAGCGACCCTCAATATCAAGGTGGTGGGTGAGTAACCTGGCCGACTGCAATTGCGGGGCAAGTCTTTTAGTCCTGGCTGGCCTGCCGTCTCACTGCTCCCATTGCTCCATGTCTTTGGCAGACGTCCCCGATCCTCCGGAATCCGTGCGCATCACTTCGGTGGGAGAGGACTGGGCCATTTTGGTGTGGGATGTGCCCAAATACGACGGCGGCATGCCTGTGACTGGTAAGAGACCTGTGGTATAGGGTGGTGTACAAATTGTGCATATTGCTAATGATACTGTGGCTATAATAATAATAATAATAAAAATATGCCCTTCACATGCCTTGTTGGGGAGTAGCAAACCCTCACTCTCCATTGGTCAGGTCACATTATTATTATTATTATTATTATTATTATTATTATTAGTGTTTCTGTGTGTTCAGGATATGTGCATATCCCTCTTATTCAGATGAGTGCCCATACCTATTATTATTATTATACCTTTAAAATGGGTGTGTGCATCATCACAGATTACAAGAACATGTCCCTTCTTTTTAAAATCATTTTTTTTAATGGTTATGTGTCCTCCTCCATCAATCACTCTTGCACGTGCCTATTCAAAAGCATTTGCATTTTTCGTTTGGGTTCTTTCCCCATTGGGAGAGAAATTGGCCCAGTCGATTTCACAACTCCATCACCTTGTATAGTTCTTCTCAGCAGCATAAAGTTCTTCTGAATCTTACCTGCGAATGAACCTGAGATGGCATAGCTGGATCACTGGGGATCCCTTATCTGTGGGGGCAGTTGTTGTTGGCAGGGAAACGATGGAAGAGTGCATCTTCGGTGGTGAAGTCAAACTGTTGGAAGGTTACAGCGTCTCCTGTAGAGATTGATATGGGAGAGACATGTTTTGTTGCAGCTGGGGCAGATAAAGGCGTCCTGTTGTGCTTCTGCAGATGCACCATGGTGTTTCTTCTCTCTGTGCTCCTCCCAGCGGTCACTCCTCCTCTGGTCACTGCTGTGGATTCCCAACCTGGCTGCCTATGTATCTCCAGACGCTGTGGTCACCCTCAAGAATGTTGGGGTTGATGCTGCCAGCCTTCATGTTTGCAGACACCTTTGTAACTCAAGAGTTGGCCTGGTTCCTGGTTCCTGAAGCCAGCTCCCTGTAGAGCACATCCTTGGGGATCCTGCCACCTTCCATTCTGTAGACAGTCTCTGGAGAGCTGGTATCTCCTTCTGTTGACCTCATTTTCCCCCTTTCTGCCTCAGGGTACCTGATGGAGCGCAAGAAGAAAGGAAGCATGCGTTGGATGAAGCTGAATTTCGACGTTTTCACCGAGACAACCTATGAGTCCACCAAGATGATTGAGGGGGTGCTGTATGAGATGCGAGTCTTTGCCGTCAACGCAATCGGAGTCTCTCAGCCCAGCCTGAATACCAAACCTTTCATGCCTATCGGTGAGTAAATTTTGTGTGTTTATGGGGGAGGGCGCTATTGATAAAGGGATGGAAAGAGACAAGAGTATGAAATGTGGAGGCCATGGAGTAATGATAAAGAGTGCGGGATAAAAGCCAAATAATCCCTTCTTCCTACCCTAGGTGAATGAAATCATACTGGGCCCTGCTTAGCTTTGCAATGGTGCTAGCAATTTTATTACTGTGCCGCTGGGTGTCTCGCCCCTTCTTCTCTCGCCTGCAGAGTGACTGACAAAGAAAAGGAAGTTAGTTGGCGGTAGGGACGGAGGAGAAATTTGATTTGGGTCTCGTTTTGAATCCAAATCTATCAAATTCACACTTTGCGAAACAATGTATGAACTGAAAAACGCAGTTACCCTCTGAAATTTGCGCTTATCTTCATTTTGCTGTGCAGCTCAGCAGCCAAAAAGTGTTTACAAAAGTGTATATATTAGGGGGCAGTGGGCATAAAAATGAACGCACTGGTGAAAATAACATACACAAATGCATTACTTTTTTTGGGGGGGGAATTGCTTGTAAAAATGTGTACATTAGTCCAAACTGCATATGAAAATGTGTATGTTAGGAGAAAAATTTGCATTGAAATGCTGGTGGATTTTTATGAGGGTTTAAAAATAAAACAAGTCACAAATTGCTGCAAAATGTGTGGAACCAAATTTATGATTGGGAAAAATGAGAAATTGAGAGAACTGTAATTGGCAGATTGTTTCACCCCAGCTGGCGGTAACCAGGGCCAGGGCCTTTTTAGTTGTGGCACCCTGCCTGTTCAGTGCCTTGCCAAGTGAGGTGCGCTAGGCCCTCTCCCAACATTGCTTGAAGCAGCTAGTGAAAACATGGCTGTTCAAAAATACTTTTACCTGGCTGTTCTCTTTTCTGCTGGTAATTATTTGATGCCTTAATTTCACTGGCTGTTCTTGATGTCATTGTAGGGGCCTGGTTTTGATGTCAATATTGGTGATTTTTCAAGGGATCGCTCTATATTTTATTATTAAAATTTACATATGTATTAGGATAATAATATCAGATTTATAAACAAATGTATGGGATTAGGGTATTTTTTGGGATCTATTCACATATTTTTTTCTCTACACATTTTTGCGACTTTTTGTTTCCTCCCCATCTTTTGTATCACTTTATTTCTTTATAACTGAAAACTTTTCAATAAAATATTAATAATAAACCCCCCGATACATTTTATTATCATTTTGTCCTTTGCATTGTATGATGTCATGAGTAACTTTGAAAACTAGGAGAGTATAATCTTCTTCTTCTTCTTCTTCTTCTTCTTCGGCAATCACTCGTAGCCAAGTAAGATTGCCTTCCATAAACACGGTTTTAACAGTGAGTCTGGATCCACAGTGGGGACATAGGTTTCTGGGTGGGAGTTGATCATGGTCAGGGTTTGCCAAGCGTGCCTTCCTCTTAGCACGTTTCTCCCTTTCATCCTGAGTTCGAGAGTCTTCAAAGCCCATGACACCTTTGGTAAAGGCTGTTCTCCAATTGGAGCGCTCACAGCCAGTGTTTCCCAGTTGTCGGTGTTTATGCTACATTTTTAGAAGGAAAAGGAGAAGGCATTGACAAAAAGTACAAAATGGCAGGCTCTTGGCATTCGAGACCAACTGGAAGTTGTGGATTTGTCAGTGTAGATGAGAGACCAATGTTATGTTTGTGCATATGTGTAATTGCTCTTCTGCTTCCTCCCTCCTCCTTCAGCCCCCACTAGCGAGCCACTCCACCTCACCCTGGAGGATGTCACAGACACCACGGCCACTTTGAAGTGGCGTGCTCCAGACCGGATTGGTGCAGGGGGTATTGATGGCTACCTCATTGAGTGGTGCAAGGAAGGAAGTGAGTATCGGGGGGTCAAGGGTCTGGAAACCGAGCCTATTGAGGAATGGTTGAGGGAGTTGGGTTATGTTTGGCCTGGATAAGAGAAGACTGAGAGGAGATATCTAAAGGGTGGTCACATGGAAGATGGACCGGGCTCTTTTCTGCTACTCTGGATGGTAGGACCCGAATCAATGGCTTCAAGTTACAAGAAAGGAGGTTCCAGCTAAATGTTAGGAAGAGCTGTTTGGCAGTGGAAAGGACTCAGAGCCTGGGGGTTGGTGGTGGGATGATGATGAGTGGTCAGAGGGAGAAGACTGGGTGGAGGAGGTGTCAGAAGCTGAAGGGGCAACAGGGCTCAATGAGTTGGCAGAGTCTGTAGCAGAGAGATTTCCAGAATCAGAGGCAGGAGAGGAGAGAGGCCAAGAGGCAGAGATGACTCTGGCTGGTGAAGAGGCATGGGTGTTTTCCCCTCCTGCTGTTACAATATCCCCTCCCCACTTGTCTCCCAGAACCAGGAGAGGCATGAAAAGGGTGGAGGATAAGTTAGCTTTACATAGGCGTAGTCTCAAATTGCTTGGGGGAAACCCTGGAAAGAAGGGGACTTAGGGAGCTGTGGGGAGGCAAGGATCTCAGCAACTGCTTCATGGAGGCAAGACTTACCAGAGATGAGTTGCTGGGCTTATTAGGGCTGGCACTCCTGTGTACATGCTGGGGGTTTTTTTTGGCTAATAAAGAGTTAACTCCAACTTTCACAGTGTGATTTATTGCTGGCTCGCTCCTGTCATCCAACACCTTTTACCTTCTAACTTTGTGTTCTCTGCTCCCAGCCGACGAATGGGTAGCTGCCAACACAGAGCTGGTCGAACGCTGTGGCTACACCGCTAAGGGACTTCCTACAGGGGAGAAGCTTTTGTTCCGGGTCATTGCAGTCAACATCGCTGGCAAGAGTTTACCAGCCACCCTTGCGCAGCCGGTCACTATCCGAGAGATTGTCCGTGAGTCAAGTTGTATTTCTTGAGCTGTGAACCCTGAGCTCCCTCAGTGTCCCTACCCGGTCCCCTGGGCCTTGCTGCCTTATAAAGGGAGCCTGCAGAGGCAGAACATACAAGAGCTTCTAGTTTCACTCCTCCAAAGGTTCTTGGAGAGCCAGACTGAGAAGATGTCCGTGGGCTAGATGTGCTTGTTGCTCCAAGTCACTAGGAATTAGGAGGAGGGGAGAAACTTGATTCCGTTGGCATTTAGAGGTGGATCTGTCAAAGTTGCAGTTTCCGAAGCCAAATAAGAACTGACGTGCAGCCGTCCTTCGGAATTCGTACTTAGCCATTTTGCAATGCGATTCTCCTACCATAGTTTACAAAATGCACATATTAGATGAAAGTGTGCATGAAAGTTATTATAGCCATGAAAATAGTATACAAGAATTAGGAGAAATGGCTTGCAAAAAAAGGGGGGGGGTACATGTAAATGTGTTTAGTAGGAGAAATTCAAACTGAAATGCTGTAGAATTTTCGTAAGCATTTAAAAACCGCAAAGTGCTGCAGAAATAGGGAGAACTGGATTTAAGGCTGGAATGTTAAAGGACGTTGCCAAATTATAAACTTAAAACCCTGAAGGAGTTGAGTCTAGACTTACAGCACTATCCTAACCATGCTTGATGAGAAGTAAGTCCTATTGAATTCAATAGGGCCTACTCCCAGGTAAAGGGGGGTTATACTCAATATATACCCACTGGAATCAGTAAGACTGAACTTAGTTGTCTTAAAGTCATCCCATTTATTTCAGTAGGTCTGCTCTTAAGTACAACACATTAATCTAGATCCAACCCAATATGTGCCTAAACTGACTTTGGGAAGTCTGGATCCCAACCACCTGCCATCTTATGCAAATTTCATGCTGACCCACTTGCTTTCTCTCTCGCCTTATAGAGCAGCCCAAGATCCGCCTTCCTCGCCATCTCCGGACGACGTACATCAGGAGAGTTGGAGAACAGGTCAACTTGGTGATCCCATTCCAGGTGAGCAGCTGGCTTTGGGGATTCCACCCACCCTGGAATTCACGTTTACCCAGAAGAACATTGAGGGAGGTTTGAAGTTTCACTTGAAGCCCTTCCTCATCCGGGTTCTGCATCATGCTTCATGTTCCTATCACAGTTTTAAGCAAGCAAGCAAACAAGCAAGCAAACACTTACCTACACAGTCTTTCTGTCAGCCCTTCCTCTCAGTGCTGTGTCTGGGTTTGTCAAAACTCTCCTCTGAGCGTTGATGGCTAACCTCTGAAAGCTCTCCAGATACAGTGGTACCTCAGGTTAAGTACTTAATTCATTCCAGAGGTCCGTACTTAACCTGAAACTGTTCTTAACCTGAAGCACCACTTTAGCTGCCGCACCCCCAGAGCACAATTTCTGTTCTCATCCTGAAGCAAAGTTCTTAACCTGAAGCACTATTTCTGGGTTAGCGGAGTCTTTAACCTGAAGCGTATGTAACCTGAAGTGTATGTAACCCGAGGTACCACTGTATTTCCCAACCATGATCTCCCATTGAGGAAGCGTCAGCCCCATTAGCCTGCAAACCTTCCTACTGAAAGAAGGTTGCCCCAAGCAACTGAAAAACTTTGTTTTTGGAAAACAGCCAGAACCCACACATCCCAGCATCCTAGGAATATTCCATCCAACTGCAGTGTTTGCAGACTCATTCCCCCTGCAGTCTCCAATTCGGGACCAAGCCCAAATGCAGAATGTATGCCTACAAGATCCTGCCAGTTTATTTTCCTCATATTTTGCGGGGTCTTTCCTCATTGAAGAGTGCAGGAGAAGTCCGAAAGCAACTCATTTTTTAGGTGACGTTTTGGTTGGCACTCCTAATACAGCCATACCTTGGATCCCGAACGCCTTGGTACTCGGACGTTTTGCCTCCCGAACACCGCAAACCCAGGAGAGGGTGTTCTGGTTTGCAAATGTTCTTCAGAACCTGAACGTCCAACGGGGCTTCTGTGGCTTCCGAATGCCTGCAGGAGCTTCCTGCAGCCAATCAGAAACCGCACTTTGGTTTTTGAACCTTTTGGAAGTCAAACGGACTTGCAGAACGGATTCCATTCGACTTCCAAGGTACAACTGTAAAAGGTTTGCCAGCTGTGGGTTTTGAACTTCCTCCCCTTATGGACAAACACAACTTCCTTTTATTTATTGATTTTTAGACACATAAAACCAGGCATAGGCAAACTCGGCCCTCCAGATGTTTTGGGACTACAACTCCCATCATCCCTGACCACTGGTCCTGTTAGCTAGGGGTGATGGGAGTTGTACTCCCAAAACATCTGGAGGGCCGAGTTTGGCTATGCCTGCATAAAACTATTCATGCGCCAACCGAGAACTCAGCTGGGAAAAGCTTCCAGCTCTGGAGCAAAATGTGGGGAGAAGTGGGGCAGGGCGGGTGGAAGGGATGCCGCTAGAATGAAGGCCTCTGTGGCAATGCCAAGCATTTGATCATCTCCAGGGTAAACCCCGCCCTGTAGTCACCTGGTCAAAGGATGGGAAGCCTCTGGACCCCAAAGAGATCAACATCCGCACCTCCGACTTGGACACCATCCTTTTCATACGCAAAGCTCAACGGCACCACTCTGGCTTCTACGAACTCTCGGTTAAGATTGAAAACATGGAGGACAAGGCTATCATCAAGATCCGGGTTGTTGGTAAGGAGGACCGGCCTTCCTTTGAGATTTCATTGTTGCAACAGCAAATTTACATTTTTTTAAAAAGCTAACCATGTTTTGGGGGTGCAGCCGGGGTAGGTGAATATGGGGGAGACTATGTAGAGGGGGATGTGTGTGTGTGTTGTCTCGAGTTCTCTTAGAATCATGTGGTTTTAGAGCCGAAAGGACATTGGCGGTCATCTAGTTGCGTCAATCAATCGGTGGTACCCAAATTGTTGGTCCACAGACCCTAGAGGGCCTGTGTAACCCACCCAAGGGGTCCGTGGCACCATACACATAACAAAAACTACCATAAAATAATAATAATAATAATAATAATAATAATAATAATAATAATAATTACTATTCTTTATTTATACACTGCCCATCTGGCTGGGCTTCCCCAGCCACTCTGGGCTGCTCCCAACAGAATATTAATAATAATTTAAAAAGTGCTAAAACATCAATCATTAAAAACTTTCTTAAACAGGTCTGCGTCCAGATGTCTTCTAAAAGTCAGTTGTTAATTTCCTTGAAATCTGATGGGAGTTCCACAGGGCGGGCGCCACTGTTGAGAAGGCCCTCTGCCTGGTTCCCTGTAACCTCACTTCTCACAGGGAAGGAACCGCCAGAATGCCCTCGGCGCTGGACCTCAGTGTCCGGGCTGAATGACGGGGGTGGGTCCGCTCCTTCAGGTATACTGGGCTGAGGCTGTTTAGGGCTTTAAAGGTCTAATGATATCGTAGAGATACCAAAATTTTCAAAAGTAAGGGGTTGGCGGTTTGGTTTTTGAAACACAAGGGGTGCTTAGCTACTTGGGAACCATTGGTCTAGTTCAACACCCCACCCAGCTCAATGCGCGAATCTTGTATCAGATAATCTTTATTTTGTCTATGGTGAGGTCCACTCTCGCCTTGGTGCAGGTAGTCAGAGAGGGAGATGAAGAAACACTTACAAAAGGCCTAACATTTTCTAAGTGTTGTGCAGACATTCAAAAGGAAGGCGGTAGCTGAGTGTGCGCACACCGTACAAGTAAAGCCCATGACTTCAACACCTCCTGGGGACTGTGGTTTGTTAAAAGGTGCTGGGGAGCAAAATGGCAGTTCCCAGGATTCTTCAGGGGAAAGCCATGTGCTTTAAATGTGTGGAGCCAACTCCTGCCCACAGGCTCACAATCGACTGGCGAAAGGAGCAGGGAGGGAAGAGGGAAGCAAGCATTCAAACAGCTGTTCTGCTCTTCCCTTATCTGGCCAATGGGTGGGGCTGAGCTGGTCTTTACCATTCCATTATATAATATAATTCCATTATAATCTTCCCTCCCTGCGACAAGCCAAGTTACAGGGAACCAGGCGGAGGGCCTTCTCGGTAGTGGCACCCGCCCTGTGGAACGCCCTTCCACCAGATGTCAAGGAGAACAACAACTACCAGACTTTTAGACGGCATCTGAAGGCAACCCTGTTTAGGGAAGCTTTTAATGTTTCATGCATTACTTTATTTTAATATTGTGTTGGAAGCCACCCAGAGTGGCTGGGGAAACCCAGCCAGATGGGCGGGGTATAAATAATAAATTATTATTGTTATTATTATTCCTGGAAGGCAAGAGGTGCAGGCAACCAGTGGCCCTAAACCCAAAGCCCAGAGGTGAGAGTTTCCTTCGCTTCAGCTCTGCTATCCAAGGGCGGCTGAAAGATGGCCTGGCAACTTAGAGGGAAGCAAGGGGAGGGCGCAGTCTCTGTTCTCCCCCCCTCCCTTCCCCCTTCCTTCTCGCTGCAGCTGCTAAATTGTTAACAAGCTTTAATCCAGGCCTGCTCCATCAGTCTCCTCTCTCCCCGTGGGAGACCTAGATGCTCTCAACTCCCAGGCCTGCGAGAGAGACAGGAGGGTTGGCAGAGCACTAGGCAGCCTTCAGCCAGCTGCGCAGCGACCTCAGAAGATGCTGCCCATGGAAGCAAGGCACCTCCTCGTCTGGCTGGGCTGGCAGCTGCCTCCTGGCCTCTGCCCCACTGGGGTTCTGTCTAGGGAGAGGAGAAAATAATTGGATCCAGTTTGCATTTAAAAGCAAACATCCCACCAGACCCCATTCTGAAACAATGCACAAACCGAAACATGGCCGTCCTCCAAAAACCCACCCTTTCCTGCATTTTGCAGCGCAGCTCTCCTGCCAAGGAATGTGCACAAAAATGTCTGTGCTTTGTTGTTGTTGTTTAGTCGTTTAGTCGTGTCCGACTCTTCGTGACCCCATGGACCGGAGCACACCAGGCACTCCTGTCTTCCACTGCCTCCCGCAGTTTGGTCAAACTCATGCTGGTAGCTTCGAGAACACTGTCCAACCATCTCATCCTCTGTCGTCCCCTTCTCCTTGTGCCCTCCATCTTTCCCCACATCAGGTTCTTTTCCAGGGAGTCTTCTCTTCTCAGGAGGTGGCCAAAGTATTGGAGCCTCAACTTTAGGATCTGTCTTTCCAGTGAGCACTCAGGGCTGATTTCCTTAAGAATGGATAGGTTTGATCTTATTGCAGTCCATGGGACTCTCAAAAGTCTCCTCCAGCACCATAATTCAAAAGGTAAAGGGAAGGTAAACGGCGTTTCCGTGCGCTGCTCTGGTTCTCCAGAAGCGGCTTAGTCATGCTGGCCACATGACCCGGAAGCTGTACGCTGGCTCCCACGGCCAGTAAAGCGAGATGAGCGCCACAACCCCAGAGTCGGCCACAGGGGTCCCTTTACCTTTTAATTCTCCCCCTTCCATTGGGAGACAAGCTTGGTGTCCACAACTTCTCTCTTACCCCCCCTCACCCCTCCCCCTCCATCCTGACCTCCTTGGTGCCTGGTACCCCTTCCCCACCCCCTTCTCCTCCCTCTCTGCCTGTGTCACCATCTCTTATCAGCTCCCACCCTTCCCCCATGCTAAGAGGGGAGAGATCATGTTCTTCCATTCTATATTTAAGCTTCTCCCTGATGGTTTAAGCCAGATGTCACCTCTCCCGACACCACCGAAAAAGGCCCCCCTCCCTCGCCCTCCCCAGACATGGGCACTTTCTGATCAGCCGCCTCCTCTAATCCCGATTTGGCTGGCGGAATGTTTGAAGTGAAATTTAGCATCTTCCAAGAGCCTTCTGGGAATCTGCCTTTGAAAGTGGAGCACGCTGGAGAAGGTGCTAGCCGCAAATCTGCCCTCCGGCCCACCCCACCCCACCTTCCCAGCACCAGCGGACAGGGCTGGGTCTCTCTGTGTTTGTGTTGCATGTATCGACCATGTATTGAATTAGCTGCTTCCTGCATCCGTTTCAGCCAGGGATGCAATGACGTTTCAGCCTTTGGGTCGTTTCAGGCTATTGTCTTACCGTTCTTAATGGGCTCCTCTCTTGAGATGATAGGTAAGGTACAGGGACCCCTGACCATTAGGTCCAGTCGTGGCCGACTCTGGGGTTGTGGCACTCCTCTCGCTTTATTGGCCAAGGGAGCGGCGTACAGCTTCTGGGTCATGTGGCCAGCATGACTAAGCCGCTTCTGGCGCACGGAAACACCGTATACCTTCCCGCTGGAGCGGAACCTATTTATCTACTTGCACTTTGACGTGCTTTCGAACTGCTAGGTTGGCAGGAGCAGGGACCAAGCAATGGGAGCTCACCCTGTCACGGGGATTCGAACCGCCGACCTTCTGATTGGCAAGTCCTAGGCTCTGTGGTTTAACCCACAGCGCCACCCACTGTGATGATATTGTGTATTATCTACTTAACTTTGAAATGTGACAAGCAGGCCTTGCTGGATTTGCTCGGTCTGCTGAGTGGAGCCCTGGACTTTTGCCCCAAAGCCTGCTGAAAGCATTTTAGCAGGTTACAGAAGATTCAATGATTCACTCATGCTATCCCCATTTAACAACAACAACAACAACAACAACAACAATTTTTTATTTATTTTTATTTATACCCTGCCCTTCCCTGTTCAGAAAACTGGGCTCAGGGCAGCTAACAACAAATTTAAAACACTTAATTGATGCAACAAAAAACAGCATAAAATACAGAATAAAATGTGAACAACAATAAATTCAGAATTCAAAAATCAATTTAGTGGGAAATTCATCCAATAAACATTAGATGATCACCAGGACTAGCTGGCTAAGTTAGTCCTGTTTGGGCCAGTGAGGAGACCAGGGGAGAATTAGCTGTGGGATCCCAGAGTGGGTAATCTTCATAAAAAGGGGAGGGGGAGGGAAGGAAGGGGAATAAAAGACCAAGCTAAATTCAAATTGAGAGCCAGGTGGAATAGCTCTGTCTTACAGGCCCTGCAAAAGGAAGTTAAATCCTGCAGGGCCCTGGTCTCATGGGACAGAGCATTCTACCAGGTCAGAGCCATCACTGAGAAGGCCCTGGCCCTGGTGGAGGATAATCTGATAATTTAATATGGTCTAGAGAGCTGCTAGGGACGCGGGTGGCACTGTGGGTTAAACCACAGAGCCTAGGACTTGCTGATCAGAAGGTCAGTGGTTCGAATCCCCATGACGGGGTGAGCTCCCGTTGCTTGGTCCCTGCTCCTGCCAACCTAGCAGTTTGAAAACATTTCAAAGTGCAAGTAGATAAATAGGTACTGCTCCGGCGGGAAGGTAAACGGCATTTCCGTGTGCTGCTCTGGTTTGCCAGAAGCTGCTTAGTCATGCTGGCCACATGACCCGGAAGCTGTACACCGGCTCCCTTGGCCAATAAAGCGAGATGAGTGCCACAACCCCAGAGTCTGCCCCGACTGGACCTAATGGTCAGGGGTCCCTTTACCTTTACCTTTACCTTTTTTAGAGAGCTGCTGGGTCTATTGTATTTGTTTACATCATTTTAGCAATTGCAGGGAACCTTTGCTTACACTGTTTTGGCTAAGGGACCATTCCCTGTTTATCTATAGTGATGCAGCAGCCCTTGTTGTTTCCCATTCCTTCTGCAGAGAAACCGGGTCCAGCACACAACGTGATGGTGAAGGAAGTGTGGGGCTTCAATGCCTTAGTAGAGTGGGAGCCTCCCAAGGACGATGGGAATTCGGAGATTACAGGCTACTCCATCCAAAAAGCTGACAAAAAGACCATGGTAAGGTTCCCTTTCACTATTGGGCTTCTGCTTCTAGTAATGATGAATCAAAGTCTATTAATGGGCTTGGGTTTTCCCCTGGCTCTCGCTGAGAACGTGTGCCAGCGGCTACCTTGCAACGTTGCAAGAGTCTAACTGAGGCAGGACATTGTGGGTTGTATGCAGTGCTAGTCCTACTCAGAGAAGATCCATTGAAATCAACTAGTAGAGTTAACTAGGTCCATTAATGACAATGACTTCAATGGCTTCCAGTCGATTTCCAGGACCTGCTCAAAAACGCTGGTCTTTACCTGTCAGGAGTAAGCATGGACCAATGGTAGCAAATAGTATGGGAAACAGCCTTACTAGAAAAATTAGCCAATAAACTGAAACTGACACGGGACAAATAGAAGAAGATGCCTTCACCCCGGTATGGCTCCCCTTTATCACATACACAGCCCAACAAGACAATGACAAAAATCCACCAACAGCATACAAATCAATATGGCTAACCTGATCTAAAACACCCACCCACGAAAACAAAGATCGCCACAGCCATTCACAAACAAACAACCACACCCTAGGCCAAGCCCAACCTCTCTCACCAACGAAGAAACACAAGTGAACCTGCACAAGCGACGCTGACACAAAACCCCGTATATATTAAGTATAATAGAAACATCGCCACCTGACCCCACCCCCACTCACCTTCCCCCCTCCACCTCTTTCCCCCTTTTCTTCCTAATGTCTCAACAAATGAAACTGATCTGTAAAAAATGTTACTTGGAGAAGAAGAAAAAAGAGAGAGGCATTGCACATAGTTTTGTAAACCAAGAAAATCTTTAATAAAAATACATTTAAAAAAAAACAAAAACACTGGTCTTTAAAGCCCTTCATGAGATAGGGTCAGGGTACTTGAAGGACCACCTGTCTTGGTGGACTTACCTGCACATGCAGATCTTCTGTAGTGGGCCTCCTACAGGTGCCCCTGCCATCTGAGTTGAGAGGTGACCAGAGGTAAGAACTTTTTGGTGACAGCACACCACTTGCAGAATGCTCTCCCTAGAAATATTTGCTCGGTGCTGGTCTTAGAATCCTTTTTGACAGGGGCAAATGCTTTAAACATTTCCCCCCATGAGTTCTTTAGGCTGTGTTATGCATCTAAAGCACACAACTCTCTCCAAAGAACCCGGGAACTGTAGTTTTGCCCCTCATGGAGCTACAACTCCCTTCACAAACTACGGTTCCCAGGATTCCTGAGGTGGGGTAACCTGTGTGCTTTAAACATGCTTTAAATATACGGTGTGTACCCAGCCGTCAATGCGGTTTTAGACCCTGCGGCTTGCTTTTGTGAGTTGGTTAGTATAAAAACACTTGCGACAAATGGATACTCTGAATAGTTGTGCAAAAGGGAAGCAGCCTCCCAATCTAAGTTAGTGACCCCAATTCAGTCAGAATTGATTCATACAAACATGCTCAGATTGCTCATTTACTGCTGACACTATCAGAGAGAGAAAGAAAGAGAAAGAGAACTTCTCTTACCACTGTGAAGATTCACATTTTGCCAGTGGCAAAATTCACAGCAGGAAGACCAGGCAGCAGTTCCAAGCCTGCTACAAGAGCAGCATCAAAGGAGCACAGATCTTGTTTCTGGAGGACATGATGTAGTTACCTCCATATATATATATATATATATATATATATATATGTGTGTGTGTGTGTGTGTGTGTGTGTGTGTGTGTGTATGATTTATATCCTCCTATTTTAGGCTACAAGCTTTCAGAGTAAAAATAAAAACCCAAATGACAGATTTGTAGAAGTACAGCACAGAAAACAGCATGTAAAAAACAACAACAGCAGGAGAAACTTTCAGCCAGATAAAATAGTGCATAAAACAGAAAAGCCGGGCTGGTTTTTTTAAAATAAAAAAGAACACCATTCCCTTGCCTACTGCCAAAATGGCATCAAGCACTTATGCACAACCAGGGAGGCTCAATCCTACATCGCCTCTCTTCCCACTTCTTGAGCATCTACTCCTTCCCTCTCTGTGGACCCTGCACACCTCTCTGTTGTTTTGAGGGGGGGGGGCACCTGTGGCTCAGATCCTCCCTCGCCTGCAGCTATTTCTCTGACCGCCCCTGCTCTCCTTCCGCAGGAGTGGTTCACAGTATACGAGCACAACCGCCTCACCCGCTGCACGGTGTCTGACCTCATCATCGGCAACGAATACTACTTCCGAGTCTACAGCGAGAACATCTGTGGGCTTAGCGAAGCTCCCGGGGTCTCCAAAAACACCGCCAACATTCAGAAATCTGGTAAACGCGGTGGAGCCAGATGGTGGCTGGAATTTGCTCTAACAGTCAGGGAATGGGACCATCAGGGCTTAGCAGAAGGGGCTGCAGTCTGCACCTTCTAGACTAATGCACAGAAGGGAACTTCGTTATCTGCTGGCTTTCACGCTTCTGAATGCTCTGGTGCAGTTCTTGGCTCATAAAAAAGGCACCAAAAGACATTAAGATGCATATTTTGAGGAGAAATATTCAATCGAACCAGGGCTTTCCGGGCTCTGGGCTCTAGCTGTTTTTGGACTGCGGTTCCCATCATCCCTGACCACTGGTCCTGCTGGCTAGGGGTGATGGGAGTTGTGGTTCGGGGCCAGCTGGAGACGGGACTTATCCCAGGTTAAGTCTGTATAGGATTGAAACCTGGGCTACTTCATGCAATGCATACTGGCTAGATGCTTTGGTCGTAAATCGCTCTGGGTTGCCTTGGGCAAGATAAAGTGACTAACAAATGTTAATAATAATAATAATAATAATATTTTGAGTAGTTTGGATTTGATATCCCGCTTTATCACTACCCTAAGGAGTCTCAAAGTGGCTAACATTCTCCTTTCCCTTCCTCCCCCACAACAAACACTCTGTGAGGTGAGTGGGGCTGAGAGATTTCAGGAATGTGACTAGCCCAAGGTCACCCAGCAGTTGCATGTGGAGGAAGCGAACCTGGTTCACCAGATTACGAGTCACCAGATTATGAGGGAAAATAATATATTCATGAATGCATATTTAAATGCGAATTTTCATGCAACTGCCGTTGGCAGTTTAGTACCCAAAAACACGAAAGCCAACACACGTGAGAATGACGCAGACTAGAAATGAGCTGGCAATGCAATCCTATGCATGTCTGCCTGAGAAGTAAACCCCGTTGAGTTTGTTTTATTTCATACACACTGCTTGATTGTAAAAATCCTCAAAGCAGTTTACAGAAAGCTTCAACGGGACATTAAGAGCTGTTCGACAGTCTCCCTCGAGAGGCTCTCCTTTTAGCAGAGGCTGGATGGCCGTCTGTCATGGATGCTTCAGTTGAGATTCCCAGATGATCCTTGGGATCCCTTCCAACTCTCCAGTTCTATGATTTACTCCCAGGTCTGTGCGTATAGTAGGCCTTGCAGCCCAATTTGCCCATCCCTAAGATCCGCTGATGGATTTGCTGTTTCCCTCCCTCTCCCTTCCTTTTCAGGAATAATCTGTAAACAGCTAAACTACAAGGAACACGACTTCAGCCATGCCCCTGTGTTCATGACGCCACTGGTAGACCGGACAGTCGTGGCTGGGTATACCACTGCCTTGAACTGTGCTGTGAGAGGATTTCCTAAAGTAAGTGCTGAGTGAGGAGGCGGAAAGGGATGATGTCGAGTTGTTTGGAGTGGCTGCTATCAAAAAACTAGGAATGTGGCGCTGAGAGGGATGTGAGATAACTGGAGGAGGGGAAAGCATGAAGAAAGTGGGGAAAGTGAACAGTGGACTAAGGATGGTACTTCCAAAATGTTGGGCTTTTTTTTAAAAAAAGCGTTGCTACAAATAAGAGAAAACCTTAGATTCAGTAAATTATAACCAGTATTAAAACGGTGGATTTTTCTTAATAGCAACACACACCAACGCCTCAATAATTGTCAGATACTGTGAATATGATTTTGAAGATGCTGCTAATTTAATTAAACATGCCTGTGCTTCCCCCCCACCCTGCCCCCAGCCATTCATTTTTTTGTTCCACATAAGGAGGGTGACAAGGTACCACCAGTGATAATTAGTGTGTTGTGAGGGAGGTGATTAAGCCTTCTCTTAACTGCTAGCACCCCCCCCCCCTTCTGCTGGCATGTTTTAATTGATTTTTTCCAAGAGTTCCTCCAGCGTGTCAGTCACTAATTTGTGGGAGGAAATCTAGCACATACAGGAACTTTGAGGTTTGCACAGTTAAAGTGGATTAAAGTGCTGCCCTGGAGCAACAAATCCACTTTTAAAAAGCCCAGTTTTTTTTGCAGTTTGGAAAACCAATGCAGAAATGCATTGAAAGGCGTGAAAGGAATGAATGTTTAATAGGAAGGCATGTGAGCCCCCTGCAAGCAAATCAGAATGAGTGCTTAATGTCCTATAACCACCCTGCAAATGAATCACAATGCTCAATAAAACATTGGGCAGACCGCATCTGGAATACTATGTCCAGTTCTGGGCACCACAATTTCAGGATATAGACGTGGTGGAATGTGTGCAGAGGAGGGCAACCAAGATGATCAAAGGTCTGGAAACCAAGCCTTATGAGGAACGGTTCAGGAAGTTGGGTATGTTTAGCCTGGAAAAGAGGAGATATGATAGCCATCTTCAAATATCTTAAGGGCTGTCACGTAGAAGATGCAGCAAGCTTGTTTTCTCCTGCTTTGGAGGCTAGGACTCAAACCCAATGGCTTCAGGATACAAGAAAGGAGATTCCCACTAAACATCAGGAAGAACTTTCTGACAGTAAGAGCTGTTTGATGGTGGAAATGGTTGTGGACTCTCCTTCCTTGGCGGTTTTTAAGCAGAGGTTGGTCTAGCCTTCATCTACTACAGATGGGATGCATTGTCAAGCTGAAATATGAACTCTTTTTAGATATTGAATTCTGGAAAAACACCTGGAATCTGGCACACTTGGGTTTTTGTTTTTTTTTAAGCACATGGGTGACAAACCTTCGTTTTCAGGGATAAAAGGTTGAAATCCTTTTCAATGCTAATGCTTAAAACTGATAGGTTGGGGATTTTTTGCACGCAATTTTGGTTGCAACTGTTTCCCCTTTGAGCGTATGAGGCGGTACAATTTGATACATGACAAGGTGTTTTAGAACGGTGTGTGTGGTGATCAGGATTCCTTTCATCTGGATTCCTTTTAATCTCTTCTCGCCCTTTGTCTGTTCCCAGCCCAAAATAATCTGGATGAAGAACAAAATGGACATCAGCGGGGACCCAAAGTTCCTGCAGAAAAACAACCAGGGAGTGCTGACCCTCAACATCCGCAAGCCGAGCCCTTTTGACAGCGCCACTTACTCCTGCAAGGCCGTCAATGAACTGGGGGAGGCCATAGTGGACTGCAAGCTGGAGGTCAAAGGTGACTGCAGCATGAAAGGGAAATGGGTTGTCCTTGCTCAGATTCCTCTTTGCTGCCGTTGTTTTAAAAATAACGACATACCCAGCCTAGGGACGGTGCAGCACAGAGGAGAGGATGGGAGAGCTTTAGTCCCAGGATCTGTTTCGGAAACTGAAACTTGAACAGCAGTGTTCAAGAACCCTGATTTCTGAAGGGAAGCTTTCTCTCAGCCATTCCATAAGCTCACCCCACATCCCTAAAATGGGTAGAAGTTACGGTTGTTATATAGACTGCCAGGTTTAAACCTGACAATTCCACTTGTACCTTTAGGGTGAGGGATATGTGTTCCTTCAGATGTTCCTGGGCTTTAGCTCCCGTCATCCATGCCTGTTGGCTGATGGGAGTTGCAGTTCAACAGCCTCTGCAGGAAGATGTTTGCTTAGAAGTGCAGAAAGGAGGACTCCATACTTATTTCCCGCATGCATGCATAGGCAAGTGGGATTGGTGGAAGTGGAAAACACAATCCCTTCTCATTCACAGAGAGTAAAATGTGTCCGCCAAAACACTTGCTTGATACTCTGTTCCTCTCCTCTCTTCTCTCCCCCCCCCCAGCGCCGCAGTAATCTTATTGCCACAACTGCCAACACCTGGAAGAGGTGAGTAACACGAAACACGCCATGCTGGGTGAAGAGGAACAAGCAGTTATTTGGATTTCAAGGCAGACAACAGAATTTCTTTATAAATCTGGAAACGGCTGCAATTTGGAAGGTGGAGGAAGCAGCCTGGTGATGGGGGCTGTGGCAGTCCGGGATGGAGTTGCTGGGTGACTCGAATTTGGACCGGGGTGGAGAGGGAGAGAGCTGTGTACGTTTCGTGTCGGACCTGGTTGGCAGGAACAGAGCCTCGTGGTCCGAAGCAAGACCGAATGTGCAGGAACCGTGCACAGAAGCCGTGCTTACAAAATGGAGGAGGGATGCTTGAGTGTGCTTACTTTGATGAATCTGTTTGCCTCGCCCTACCCACTAGCCAACAGTGTTAATTCCTGCTCTGCTCTCTCCACACAGCTTACGATCACCCCCCTTCTTTTCTCCACGGTGTCCCTTCCCACCTCGTGCAGATGCTAAGTGGGGAAGGGGATTGAGGCGTCTTCACCTCCTCACCCCACTGAAGAAGCTACACATATCATGCTTGGATAGAAGGAAGCTACCACAGACCAGCTAACCCGCCCCTGTATCTGTCTGTGTGCCTGTCTGGTCCGTTGTTGTGTCAATAAAGTGACCTTGATGGGATAACCTGTGTGTGTCGCTTGTCCCTCTGGTTTTCAGGGAGTTGTTTTGGAAAGGGGAGCAGTGACTGAAATTGTTTGGCAGGCCACAGCTGAAGAAAGGGATCCATGATTGAGTTTTGAGGCTGGTCTGAGGGGATGGAACGGCCAAAGATCAGCCGAATAGACAGCATTTGTGTTCACTGGTTTTATTGTGTGTGTGAGGGGGGAAGAAACGGGGGTGCGGTCTCCTCCTTGGGCGCGTTGCGACGACTTCATGTGAGGAGGAACGGTGTCCGGGGCCAGGCAGCCTGCCAGGGAGGGGGACCTTCCTCTGTATTAGTTTCGGGGGACAGATAAAAGAAATCCTTGGTTTCCCCAAGAGTCATTGTCTTCTTCCTCACCTGGAGAACACGCTTTCTTTTCCTCCTGATACAAAACACAAAGGAAAACAGAGAAGAGGGGGAGACAGAGATGTAGGAGGCAGACGAACAATAGAGAAGATCCTAAAGCGCACTTGAGAAGTCGCAATTCCCCAGAAACTATAATACTTTGAGGCCTACCGATCCTTTGTTGACTGCCTGGCCAAGGCCTATGGTTTGCTGGGCCTCAGAACTTGGAAGCTTCATCAACTGGTTCTCCAGAGTGGTCACAACTGGTTCCCAGAGTGGTGCTGGGAATTGTCACTGTGAAGGGTCTTCTAATTACTCTCAGCATCCTTAACAAACTACAGTTCCCAGGATTCCTTGGGGGAAGTGGTATAGGAGTGCTTTAAATGCCAGGTGCGGATGTGAACATGGCCACTCCCAGACCCTCCAACTGCCCCCATTTTCCAGGGACAATCCCAGATTTACAGAAACCGTCCCAGGTTCTGATTTGATCCTGGAATGTCCTGCTTTTCCGTAGAATGTCCCTATTTCCACTGGAGAAATGTTGGAGGGTATGGAGCTATGCGACCCTCCAGGCCAAGGAGATAAGTAACTATCCAACCTTTAGAAGACATCTGAAGGCAGTCCTATATGGGAAAGTTGTTTTTTTAAAATGTTTAGTGTTTTATTATATTTTATATATGTTGGAAGCTGTCCAGAGTGGCTGGGGCAACCCAGTCAGATAAGTGGGATATTATTATTATTATTGACTTTCTGCACACATGCCACCTTCTGCCCAAAGGAGCAGCCACTGCTCTCCTCTGCTCTCTCCCCTGATGTACCATCATCCCCAGGAATCTGAATGCTTCCTCGTTATTTGGTGCACCTGGTGAATTGGGACCCAGGGATCCGTTGGCTTCTTTGGGAAGCGAGCCAAGACTCACCTACTATTGTCTGCTGGGCCTCCGGCTCTGCTGGTTCACTTGCTCGTAAGCGACTGGAGCGTCAGATTGGTGGAAGCGCAAGCGGTAGAGCAGCCGTACCCACTGCCCAAAGACATGCTCTTGTTTGAGGGGGTGTGCCAGAAGTTGCAGGTAAAAGGTGCGGCCGTTGGCCAGGCGGATTTTGAGCTGGTATCGCGTCTCATCGTGGATGTAGATCCGGACAAACTTCAAGGGCAGAAGCCTGGCGGAGGAGATGGAAGTGTGCTCATCAGGAGAAGGTAGAGTGAGACACCTGCTCCCCAAGACCCTCCTGTGGCACAAAAGGGCCACTCTCACATCAGTGCGGCAGCTCCGGAAATCAGGCCATTGTCACCGGTTGCCATTCCACCTGGGTGCTCCCCGCTGCACTGTAGTCTCAGCTCAAAGTGCTGGTGGGGATCAGCCTGAAAACCCTCAAGCCACTTAGGCTTACCCTAGTCTTTTTTGGTTAACAATTTTTATTTGCTTTTAAACAAACACAATAGCCATTAAATACTTACCTAGCAGTGCCCTTGAGACTGACCCAGAAACTCCAGCGGGTGCAGAATGCCGCGGTGAGACTCCTTACGGGGTCTTTGCCACGGGATCACATTCACCCGGTGCTATACCAGTTGCACTAGCTCCCGGTGGAGCAGGAGCAGGTTTAAGGTGCTGATTTTAACCTTTAAAGCCCTATACAGCCTAGGACCCTCATACCTACAGGACCGCCTCTCCTGGTATGTCCCACGGAAGACCTTACGGTCTTCAAACAAAAACATCTTGGAGGTCCCAGGCCAGAGAGAGGTTAGGCTGGCCTCAACCAGAGCCAGGGCTTTTTTGGCTGTGGCCCCGATCTGGTGGAACGCTCTGTCACAAGAGACTAGGGTCCTGCGGGACTTGACATCTTTCTGCAGGGCCTGCAAGACAGAGCTGTTCCACCAGGCCTTTGGCCAAGGCACAGGCTGACCCCCTCCTTTGGTAATCCTCATAGATCTCTAGCCCAATGGTTGCCATTAATTTGATTTTGAATTGATTTTAGAATGAATTGATTTTAGAATTCTGTGTTACTTTTATTGTTGTTAGCCGCTCTGAGCCCAGCTTTGGCTGGTGAGGGCGGGATATAAATAATAATAATAATAATAATAATAATAATAATAGTAATTACTACATCTAAGGGTGCTTGTTGTATCCATTGTCTTTAGACATACACTTACACATTCAACGTTCAAATGTAACCTCTCCACTGAGAGTATTGAGTGGTTGGTATAACAAGGTCTTGATTTGGGTCATTAACGTAGTTAAGGGGCCCCTGTGTCTTGGAAGGTGTCTCTATTCATGATGCCTTTAACTGCCCTCCTGCGTCTGGTGAGACACTTGAGCATTACTGTATCCCAGATATTATTCTCCCGTATATTCAGGGGTATTTCAGTCTGGATCTTCCGTTGCTCAGCTATCGCATATGGTGCTGTGGTCAGTAAGAAGCCTAGTACAGTCGTGCCTTGGTTTTTGAACAGCTTAGTCCTCAAACATTTTGGCTCCTGAAAGCTGCAAACCTGGAACTGACTATTCCGGTTTGCGAACTATTTTTGAAAGCTGAACGTCTGATGGGGCTTCGATGACTTCTGATTGGCTGCAAGTCAGAAGCCGCGCTTTGGTTTCCAAACCTTTTGGAAGTCAAACGAACTTCTGGAATGGATTCCATTTGACTTCCAAAGTATGATTGTAGTTCTCTGTGGTGCAGGGTGGAGCTTTGGTCTATGTCCAAAGACAGCAAGGCTAAGGCAGGATTTGGAAAAATAGGTCGGCCTGTAATTGCAGATATAATGGCTTACCTTAGTTAAAAGACTGTCTTTATCCATAGGGCCTTCTGAGAAGGCCCAGAAATGTCATCTTTGCCACCTATACCCCAAGTCCTCTGAAACTGCTACGTACCATTGATCCATCTACCTCAGTCGTGAGGAACCTCCGGTCTGCAGGGTTTTTTAGATTCTATGTCTGGGTAGCCAATAAGGTTCCCTCTGGCCCAATTAACTTCATGTCATTTATTATGTTTCTACTATCTATTTATTATGTTTCCACTTTTCACCCGCGCGAGTTAACAAAGCAGCTTACAAATAACAATGACATAATGGAAGATCACGATCGCAACATAAATTGTATAAAATAATTAGCAAACCATCAGTGGGACAATTGCAAACCATCGGTAAAACAACCACCTTCTATAATACATTATTAAGAAAACACCCCTCCAAAGGCTACATAGCACAACCACAAGAAATTGTGAAATTCACAAAGCATTACAGCACTCGTAATCCACAAAACGATACTAACAACCGTAACAAAAACAAACTAAGGTCTGTTGAATTCACACACTCCCCACGGCTCATGTTTTTCCACTTAGTTCATAGCCCATGGAAGCTTTGGCCACAGTAACTGTTCAATCTTTACAGCAAGCACCACAGTTCTTTTTACTGAAACAGGTTAACTTGAATATGTTGGTTGTATCCAGAATCTGTTTTTCTAAAGCATCTGCCTGGGGTTGTTTTCCTGAACACACTCAGAGAAAAGGCTGGAGAATTACTCTGAGCATGTGCAGAGGGTCCTGACGCATCACTGAAACCAGGATCTGTCCATCTAAAGCAGTGACAGGGAACTTGTGGTCCTCCAAATGTGGTTGAACTAAAACTCCCATCAGCCCCAGGCAGCACAGCCAATTACTGTTTATTTTAGTTATTTATTTATTTGATTTATATACCGCCCTTTATTAAAAGATCCCAGGGCAGTGTACCACACTGAGAAGATATTTTATGGAGCATAACAACAACAACATAATAATACAAACCTTAATAGACAGCATACTAATAAAAAACTTTTAAAAACTATTATTTATTTTTAATATTATTTCTTTTCTGCTATTGCTATTGCTATTATTTTTACTCTTTACTCTTTTTGGTTGGGAGCTGCCTAGAGTGGCTGGGCCAATGCAATCAGATGGGTGGCATATAAATTTATTATCATTATTACTCCTACTACTATTACCATTACTACTATTAGTATAATAACAGCCCCCTGTCCCACATTTAACAGGCCATAGATTATTTAATGGCCAAAGGCCTGGGTAAAGAGAAATATTTTCGCCTGGCACCTAAAGACATGCACAGTGGTACCTCTGGTTGCGAACGGGATCCGTTCTGGAGGCCCGTTCGCAACATGAAAAGAGCGCAACCCGCAGCAGCGCGTCTGCGCACGCGCGGGTTGCAATTAGCCGCTTCTGCACATGCGCGTGATGTCATTTTGCACTTCTGTGCATGCGCGAGTGGCGAAATCCAGAAGTAACCCTTTCCGGTACTTCTGGGTCGCCGCGGGACGTAACCTGAAAGAACGTAACATGAAGAGGACGTAACATGAGGTATGACTGTAATGATCTTGCCAAGTGAGCCTCTCTGAGGACAGCATTCCACAGATGGGGAGCCACCACAGAAAAGGCCACCCTCTGAGCCTCTCAGAGAGAGGGGGGAACATAGAGAAGGGCCTCGGATGACAAGCACAGGGCCTGGGGAGAGGCGTCCGTAGGTACTGAAGTCCTGAGCTGCGACTAGGTTATGCTGGGAATCATCTGGCAGGCCACAGGTTCCCCATTCCTGGTCTATGGTAAGCGGGTAGGATTACATAATCTGGAAGCAGACCTTCCAGGCAGCCTCGAGATTCCAGACCTTCTCTACGCCTCCTTCACCATGATTTAAGGCGGCAACCCTGGGAACACAGGCTTGAAAACAGAACACACTGCCTTAAAAGCAAGACCCACTGGAACCTTTGGGACTTACCTCCGAGTTGTAGGGATGCTCCAGGATAGGACGGTAAGTGCTGAGAAAGGGACTTACCCAAAGAGCTGCAGCTCATCGTCGGGGCCTGGCGATGCTTCAGGATTGGGACACTCGCACTGGTACTGCCCTGTTAAGCATGAGCCAGGTCGGGCCAGCAACATGAGATCTGGCAGCTCCAGGCTTGGGCTGGTGGCAGCAATGCCCACAGTGACCCTGTTGGCTATGTCTCCTGTCTTGGTAACCTGGGAAGAGAGAGACTCCCTTTCTCATGACTTCACAGAAACTGTCGCTAAAGAACATCTTGGGGCGGCATTCACATCAGGACTATTAAAAGCAAGGAAGAGAGACATCTGGTCCTCCCAAACTTCAGGGAATTCCCCAAGCACTTAGTACCAGCTAAAATAGGGGCGAGGAAACCCAGTGGTGTAATGTGTATGGGGGGGGGACATAGGGACGGTTGCCCTGGGCGCAAAATTGTTAGGGGGGGGGTTGCAACATTTCTCTATGCAAAGCAGGAAGTGACCTCTCCAGACAGCAGAGTGGATCTTCTTTTCTTATCTCTGCGGCTGCAATCTCCTGGGTGATGCAGATGTTTTAAAAAAATAAATTCTAAATTTTCCAAAAATAAGGTAAAGGTAAATGACCCCTGGACGGTTAAGTCCAGTCAAAGGCAACTATGGGGTGCGCAATGGGATGAGCTCCAAAAATAGAAGACAATTAGTCAAACATTTTCAAATATACTTTCCCATGGTCATCGACTTCCCTTCCACCCTTCCGTGGTTTCCTCAAATTATCTATTACTGCTGTATATTATAATTATTACATACCTTCTTTTCTCCATCTTATTCTCAGAGTAACTTTTTCAAAAATCCACATGATGTATTTATGAATTTTATGTACTTAGAATCATTATAATCCAGAAGATCATAAAATATGTTGTGGAGAGGAAAAGTGCCATCACCCAGCCTGTATTGTAATCCTACACATATTTATGTAGATGAATCAGTTGATCAACCAACTGCAACACATCTGACTAAGCTTGTTTTAGTCAAGTGGGCTTGCCAGGGTTATATCAGTGGTGTTTGGTGGGGTGGAAAATAGGAAAGCCAACACTGGGCGGAACCAACTAATTTGCTTTGCACTGCATTGGCTGTTAAGTATGAAGGCAGGCAGGTGTATTTGGCTGATGGGTTGCTTGGGGCAGTTTGCTCTAATGGGGCAGCCTCCACTGCGAGTCAAGTACCAAACTCACCTGCATGAAATTGCTTTCAAACAGGGGACAATCCTTCAGCAAGCCATATTCCCCGGTAGCTAGGCACCTCTGCAGGTCTCCCATTCCAAAACTTGGGACATCCAGTGGGCACAAAAGCGGTCCGGGCTACTGCAGCCTAGAACCTGTTTGGAGAAGAAGGAGGACATGGGAAAAGTCTGAAAGTGCCAAGAAATCCTATTCTGGTTTTATTTTTAATGTTTAAAAGGACTTTTCAAAAAAAAAAAAAAAAGAGTCCTTTTTGTTGGGGATAATTCAGACGGAAATTCCCAGATGTCAAAAAAGGTTATTTATGTATGCCACTACTGTGGCCCATGTTTTATTAGCCCAAAAATGGAAAACGAGCGAGGTCTCAATCATAGAAGAATGGCAGCTTAAACTGACGGAATAAACTGCGCAGCTTGCAGACTTAACATATAGAATAAGAAAACAAGAAGAACATATGTTTAAAGAAGATTGGAAAATGTTTATTGAATATATGGGAAATAATTGTGTACAGCTGTGAAAATCTTAGCAGCATTAAGATAAATTCAACAGTGTAAATGAGTTTTGATGGATGTAATAATGGAATACTGAATGGTTTAGTTTATGTAAAATATGCAGGGATTTATGCTATGCAAAATGAACCATGGAAAGAGAAGAAGGGAACTGATATTTTAAGGTTGTCTCAATGAATATTCTAAAATGTGAAACAGAAAAATTAATAAAAATTATAGAAAAGAAAAAAAGGGGGGAAGAAATCCTATTCTGGTCACAAAAGACAATTGGGAAACTACAATGTCAGCTTTTAAACACTGCAATGTATCACCAGCCAAACATCAGGATATGGTGATACATCGTGATGTTGAGAAGCAGAGGGAGGAGCAAGCCGCATCTGCTCCAGCCCTGTGAGGCGCGAGGGTGAAACTGCCTCAGCTCCCTTGGCAGGAGTGGTGGTAGTTTCACCCTGGGGACTTTAGCAGCACATATAGTAATTGCAAGTCAATGGAAAACAGCCCCAATCTTACACTGGACGTTTGGTACCACTTACTATGGAATATAGCTATAATGGAACAAAATTAAGGTTTATACAAGGACTAGAAGATCCAGACACTTTTTATATGATTTGACATCCCTTTAAAACATATAAGTGTCCCTATTTTCCAGGGGCAGTCCCAGATTTACAGAAGCCGCCCTAGATTCTGATTTGATCCTTGAGTCTCCCGCTTTTCCTTAGGACGACCCTATTTTCAACGGAGAAATGTTGGAGGGTACAGCGTTATGTGATCTCCGAGGCAAAGAGATAAATAACTATACAACCTTTGGAAGACATCTGAAGGCAGCCCTGTATAAGGAAGTTTCTTGATTTTCTTAATGTTTTTATATATGTTGGAAGCTGCCCAGAGTGGCTGGGGCAACCCGATCAGATGGTGGGGTATAAATAATAAAATTATTATTATTATAGAATAGGACATCCCTATATTAATTGGAGAAATTTTGGAGAGTATTTGACAGCCCTCCAACCTCTGTTTAAATACGTCAATGAAGGAGGAAATTGTGGAAAAGCTGATTCTGAAACCGCTAAAAATGGAGCCAGTGCCCGAATTCATATGGAGCGAGGACAGAAGCAACAGAAATACAGACAGTAGCCCCTTCTGTCTCGATTTTCATTTGCTTGACCAGCCATCGGGGAAACCGCAGACTGCTCCCCAATCATCAGTGGCTAATGTTGGGCAATAATAATAATAATAATAATAATAATAAAAATCAGAGGAGGGCTCATGGTTCTGCAAGGCAGTAGAGAAGGAGGCAGCGTGTTGATGCACAAAACCCCCATTTGTTCTTTCTTCTCCCCCCCAAAAAATAATTTGCTTCAAGCAAGGCCTGATTTAGGTTTGATGAGGCCCAATGCTACTGAAGGTCATGGGGCCCTTTATATGTGTAGCTGTTCTTTGTCAACAACAAATTGTCACTTTTTTGTGTTGAATATACAGTGGTACCTTGGGTTACATACGCTTCAGGTTACAGATGCTTCAGGTTACAGACACCGCTAACCCAGAAATAGTGCTTCAGGTTAAGAACTTTACTTCAGGATGAGAACAGAAATCGTGCTCTGGCAGCGTGGCGGCAGCAGCAGGCCCCATTGGCTAAAGTGGGGCTTCAGGTTAAGAACAGTTTCAGGTTAAGAACGGACCTCCAGAACGAATTAAGTACTTAACCCAAGGTACCACTGTATGCTATATGGTAATTTATGGACCTAATAGGTATCTAAAGCCATTTGCACATGCAGAATGTAGGCACCCCAGATCTAGAAATGAGCAAACCAGTGGTATTTTAGGGTGCAGGCTAGCAGTCGGGGCCCATGACTTACATCAGAGGAGTCCATACAACACAAAACACTGTTTCTGTATGTAGGTTTTATTTTATTTAGTTTTTTAGCTTATATTTTGGAAATGTACATCTATTTTTTTTCTTATTTTTTGGGGGGGCCAAGAGAGTGGGGCCCTGAGCTATAACTTGTTTAGCTTATATGTAAATCTGGTACTGGCTTCAAGTCAATAGGATCGCAGCCTAAATAGTGCACATTTATTGGGAGGCGACTGGTTCCCCTCCGCCGCCACCTGTTCTGCGTCCACCCAGCAAGCTTCCCGCCTTTTTTAAAACCGGGTAGCAATCAGGGGAGGAGGTCCAGCCCCTGCGCACGCGCGCGCGAGCCAAACCTTCGGCGGCCTCCGATTGGCTCTTTTCGCCTAGCCGAGATGCCTCGGTTAACCCACGCCTGCTCCTCCTCCCATAGTGCCTTGCGGCCCGCTCCGTCACGTGACAGGGGGAAAAGGGAGCAATGGCCGCCGTGGGGGCCGCAGGAAAGCCTTCCAGCCGCTCCCTCCCGGTTTTCCTCGCTCTCCTCCTCCTGCTGTCGTCGCCGTTCCTCGCCCGGGCCGCCGGAGCCGGGAGCTGCCGGGGGGAGTCGGGCCTCAGAGTGAGTCTCCTGAGGGGTGGGTAATTAATATGCAATGAGGGCCGAGCGGGGATTGGCTGCCGGGAGACCGGCTGATTAGTCTTCAAGAGCGTCTGCTGGGTCAGAGGAGAAGCCTGCTCAGTCCTGCGTTTGGTTTCGTACGGTGGCCGGCCAGGGGCCCCTGAGAAGCCCCATGGGCAGGACACGGGGGCAGCGGCCCTCTCAGAGCTGCGTACGCGCCACGCACATTTAATCACGTTTCCCCTCCACGCACCCCAAAGGATCCTGGGAACTGTAGTTTTCTTAACTTAGGTAAAGGTAAAGGGACCCCTGACCATTAGCTCCAGTCGTGGCCGATTCTGGGGTTGCTGCGCTCATCTCACTTTATTGGTCGAGGGAGCCGGGATACAGCTTCTGGGTCATGTTGCCAGCAGGACTAAACCACTTCTGGTGAACCAGAACAGCGCACGGAAACGCCGTTTACTTTCCCACCGGAGCGGTACCTATTTATCTACTTGCACTTTGACGTGCTTTCGAACTGCTAGGTTGGCAGGAGCAGGGACCGAGCAATGGGAGCTCTCCCCATCGTGGGGATTCGAACCGCCGACCTTCTGATTGGCAAGCCCTAGGCTCTGTGGCTTAACCCACAGCGCCACCCGCGTCCCTTCCCAAACGGCTTGCGATTACTTAAACAAGGCTGTCTCTGCCCACAAACCAGAGGGGGAAGGATGGAACAGGAAAACAGCAAACGAGTGCCACTTCCTAGGCTCTGTGGTTGAGACCACAGTGCCGCCCAGCACCCTTAAACTACAGTTCCCATTGTAAAGCATGGGGTGCTTTGCAATGTATAGCATATATACAGACAGATTCTGGAGGTGGCATAGAGCCACAATGACTGGTAGCCTTAACTCCCATGAATTTGTCTAGCCCCACCCCACGTTTGGATCTGTGCCAGGTTGTGACTGTTGCAGTGTCTTGTGGCAGTGAGTTCCAGAGTTTTTAGCTTTCTTCTTTCTGAGGACGTACATTGTTTTGCCTGTCCGGAAAGTCCTAGCATTCAGCTTCTTTGGAAGGCTCGAGAAACTTGGGTGTCCAATTCGAGTGTTATAAGAGAAGGAAAACAGCCTCTCTTGTCCACTTTCTCCTCTTCAGATGTAATGAGCTCCTGCTTAGAAATGAGGCAACTGCTCCAGCAGGAGTTCCACAGGGTGTTGTTGGCATCACCACGTTGGGACAGGTGAATTTCCAGTGACTTGAACTGGCTGCTGTGTGGCTAGAGAGGTGTTTCTCTTTGCACTTAGCACAACTTTTACCTAATGAAGTCTGTGTCATACTTCTTGCAAGTCACTTAAAATGGGTGGAAAACCTGTTGCATACACACTATAACGTCTCAAGTGACATTTTATGCATCTGAAGTGAGCTCTAGTCTAAAAAAGTTTGTCACAATGAATCAGTTAGTCTTTTAGGTACTATAATATTTAGTTGTATTTACATGTCATAAATCTACTTTTTCTGGCATTGCCCATTGTTTTCACCCAGAATGAAAGTATCAGTATTTTGTAATCAGTGTATGCCACCAAATCTGTGAGAGTCTGTTCCCAAGCAAGACATGCTGTGTATACTGGCATAGAGAAGCTCTGTTGTATTTGCTTCATGGCAATCAACAGTGTGCTCTTTAAGAAAGTAGGTGCCAGGCCTGTTAAATAGTTACACATGTGGGATGGGAAAGAACGGGCACAGCAGAGGATGGGGACAGAAGCTGAAAGAATATCAGAATCACTCTCTGATCTACCTTTGCTCCTTCCAGCCAGGTGAGGCCCGTGACACTGAGGCCTGTGGACTGAACCTGCAGCTGGAGCATTCATTTGAGTTGGGTGAGTTGATGGGGTAGGGAAGGACCCAAGGGTTTGTGAAGCTTGATTAGGCAACATACCCAGGGTGGGTGAAGGTTCATGGCATCAGGCTCATCCACAACCTACACACTCTCAGCTGAATGTCTATATTGTATAATCATAGAATTGTAGAGTTGGAGGGGATCTGAAGGGTCATCTAGCCCAACCCCCTGCAATGCAGGAATCTCAACTAAAGCATCCATGACAGGTGGCCATCCAACCTCTGCTTAAAAACCTCCAAGGAAGGAGAGTCTACAACCTCCTGAGGGAGTCCGTTCCGTGTGTTCATAAATGTATACATGTGGGGATCTTTTCATTTGTGTGTAGTTGTAAGTACGTGACTCACCTTGGATATTTTGTGATAATGGGGGCTTGGCATTGCAGAATTATTATGAGCTTAATTATTATTATTATGGCCCTACTGGGTTCAGGAAGGGTGCATTTTGTTCATTAATGTGGGTTTTGGGGAGATTTTCCCTAATTTGCATGAGGTTATAGGCATCAGGGAATTTTCAGTTTACTTTGGGGGGGAAATCTGATATCCCAGAAAGTGATTTGATTTAGTATGCTTATTTTACTTGTAAACATAGCTAAAAGTTTTGAAACTGCCAGGCTTGCCTGATGCATTTGCAGTTGGCATCAGTTCACTAATGAACTGATGGCATTACTAATGGCATTACTAATGAACTTATGAAACGGGGGGGGGGAATCCATTAAAAAATGAAGCACCCCACATTGCTGTTGCTGCTGTTGTGCCCCTCCCAGATACAAGCTTGGGTTTTATCTCCTGCCACAGGCAATGTGGGGTGTAAGTCACCCCTAATGTTGTATGTGAAGCAGAAGAGGAAGAGATTACTTTGCAGAGATTGCTTTGGATATGACGAGTGAGGCTTGAGAAGGCCTTCTCCTTCAGAATGTGGGCTGTAGTCCATGAAAGCATAAATCATAACTTTCCTCTTCCATGCACTCTTGCAAAACCCTGGCCCTTGTCCATTCCGTTTCCCCCAGCAGTACTGTCACTGGAAAGCACTGTAAGTTTCCCAGACTAGCTGAGAGGAGGGAAAGCCCTGTCCCCTCTATTCTGTTCCCAGTTCCTGGGAAAGGTGAAGTGAAGCACCCCTGCCCTCAAGTGGGGCAACTGCTGCATTGAGGAAAGATTAAAGAAGAGTCCCTCTGCAGCTGTCCAGCACTTTCACATGCCTACTTTTGCCCAAGAATTTTTGACTACGTTTGTCTTCCAAAAATAAAAGTTCCTTAAAAATACATATTTTAAAATCCACCAAGCAATTTCTTGTTTCAGTCTTCAACAGTGCCTGCTTATGTAAACGCATCTGTGCGCACCTGTTCTCTTTTTGTGCTACACTGGGGTCTAGATTGTGTTGGTAGGGCTTGGCTTGATGGTTGTGTGCATTCCACCTCTGAAGGGACAGAAATGTGTCGCACCAGTGGATTTCTGATGGGAGGTCTAGTTGGAACTAAGACTCTTGGGATCTCCAGATCTGGGCCTTGCTGGTCAGGAGGTATATACAGAAAGAGGCATGGGACTCATCCTACCGGAGTTTGACCGTGATCCAGGGCCCTGTGGGATTTTCTTTCTCTTTCAGATGACAGCATCCGGTTCAAAAAGCGGGGCACCCTCTTGTGGAGTGTGGGCCCCGACTCCAGCCTGTCACTAAGCCAGAAGCAGTTGTCTGAGGAAGAGCGCAACAAACTCAGGGTGAGTGTGGGTGGAAGAGGAGAAGCCTTGCCTTCACCAGGAGAAGCAGTCTCAGTTAGCTAAGGGGCACTTTGAAAGAGAGCGACTTTCTTCTAGTGAGGGTGACTCGTGGATGGAAGGGGGACTTTGGTGATGCTGCACTTGGAGTGTGTGTTGTGTGCCATGCACCTGCCAGCTACCAGCAGGATAGTGTGTCTTCTTCTTTGACGATCGCTCGTAGCCAAGTAAGATTGTCTTCCATAAACACGGTTTTAACAGTGAGTCCATAAGTGACTGTGGAGGCCAATTCTGGATCCACACATCCTTCCACAATGGGGACATAGGTTTCCGGGCGGGAGTTGATCACGGTGAGGGTTTGCCAAGTGTGCCTTCCTCTTAGTGCGTTTCTCCCTTTCGTCCTGAGTTCGAGCGTCTTCAAAGCCCATGATACCTTGGTAAAGGCTGTTTTCCAGTTGGAGCGCTTGCAGGCCAGTGTTTCCCAGTTGTTGGTGTTTATGCTACATTTTTTATGGTGGCTGTGCCTCTGAAACAGAATTGTAGCATCCCAAGGACCTCTTTTTTTTTTTTTAAAGGAGCAAATTTCTGTCTCTCCTGATAGAAGTTTGTAAATACTTCACTTTCCCATTATTTCCTTCTGTATGTTTTTAAAGGCTCTAAATTACTATCTGAAAGCAAAATAAGCCATGCAGAACTAGTCAAATGTATTCCAATACCCTTGAGTTTTGATTGTGCAACCTTGATATGGTTCCTTTAGCTGGGGTGGGGTTTGGGGGAGTTGGGCGCCTTGTGCCTCCTTTCTACTTAAGTGTCTCTTCTCCACAAACCCCAGGAAGTGGCAACAGAGGGTGGGATGTACCGTGTGCGGATCCCACGACGGCCCCTAGGCAGCATGGAGGAGGCTGGAGTTGAATACGTCACCTCTTTCATCCGAGCGGTGAGTGCCATTCATGGGGAACCCTGGGCAGGGGTCCTACTTTTCTGCATGTGGAGAGTGCAGATGGAGAAGCTGAATTCTGCCCAGCATCTTGGACCGACATCACCTCTTTGCCAGAATACCCACAAACGGGTGGATTTCTTTCTCCCATATACACCTGCCTGGACTTTACAGTCGGGTAGAGGTGACTTCTTAGCAGCACTGTAGGCAACATTTGAGAGGGCATTCTCAATATTGACACTCAGTTGCGGAGTCCCCTCCCTTCACAGATTGCACTGGCACAAACCCTGATGGGCTTTCAGTGCCAGGCAAGAAAACATTTTCGCTCAGGCCTTTGGCCACACTGGATGTGGAGTTGCATAGCCTGCCCCCCTTTGCCCCATTGAATTATTGTATGTGAAGGTGAGCTTATTGTTTTACAGGTTTTCTGTACTTGGTTTTCATTGTGTATTACGTGTTTACATTTTACACTGTAAAATGATTGCCTTGGAATTGCTTTAAGGAAGAGCAGTCTAAAAACTTGCTAAATAAGTATCTAGCCTAGGCACATGACAGCTTTGGAAGTGGTTGAGGGTACATGTATCTTTTGTGGGGGTTTGACAGAGGGAGAGCCAGAAATGTGGGGAAATATTGGCTTGGTTCCTAAGTTAGAAACTTGTCTGTGATGCTTCCTAAAGGCGCTAGGGGGCTGATTCGGCTCCAGAAGAAAGGAACTCCTTCCTTGTTGGCACAGCTACCAAGAACCCAACTCCCACATGCACTTGGGGTTTGATCATTATTATCCTCTAATCTTAAGAAACTGGCAGAACGTCGGAAGACAGTGGCCAAGTTCAAAATGAGTCTGTCTCTGGTCAGAGGATTGCCTGCTGTGGGCTCCATTTACTCACCACCGGTAGTTTTTTAGCTGAGCCGAGGAAGGCCAGCTTGCATCCCATTGCTTGTTTGCGTTGGAGAAAAGGGTAAGATGGTCAACAACTTCTGTCTGTCTTCCCCTTCCTTGCAGTGCTCCATGGTGGAGTCTCATCTGTCAGACAGGCTGACTGTTCACACGGATGTCGCTGGCAACATCATTGGTCTCTCCATTGTCACCATGCCCAGTTCCTGCCATGGGGCTGAGGTGGAAGATGTGGACCTGGAGCTCTTCAATACCACCGTCCTCCTCCAGCAGCCCATACCAGCAGCTGTGTGAGTCTCTGTGTGCAGTTAGGCAGGGCTGGCAGCAGGGGTTCTGGTAGGCAGCGAAGTAGGTAACAAATGCATGGAACTCACTGCCACAAGATGTGATGAACACTTGCTTAGATGTCTTGTATAAATGAGGGGAGGGACCGCAGAACATTGCTTTGTGTATTATTAATATTATTACTTGGTCCATGGAGAAAACTGTACAGTGGTACCTTGGTTTGCAACCGTTTTGGATTGTTGTTGTTTAGTTGTGTCCGACTCTTCATGATCCCATGGACCAGAGCACGCCAGGCACTCCTGTCTTCCATTGCCTCCCGCAGTTTGGTCAAATTCATGCTGGTAGCTTTGAGAACACTGTCCAACCATCTCGTCCTCTGTCGCCCCCTTCTCCTTGTACCCTCCATCTTTCCCAACATCAGGGTCTTTTCCAGGGAGTCTTCTCTTCTCATGAGGTGGCCAAAGTATTGGAGCCTCAGCTTCACGATCTGTCCTTCCAGTGAGCATTCAGGGCTGATTTCCTTAAGAATGGATAGGTTTGATCTTCTTGCAGTCCATAGGACTTTTTGGATTACAACCCATTTTTTTAATTTTTTTTTGAGGCCCCATTGGCAAAAGCGCGCCTTGGGTTACAACCTGTTTTGGTTTACAACTGGACCTCCGGAACGGAATATGATTGTAAACCAAGGTACCACTGTATTGAAATGTGTTGGTCATATCACATGTTGTAATAATAATCCATTTATTTTTAGCAGCAGCATGAGGATTTGCACCTCCCTCCGCTCTCTCTCGTGCTCTCTCTCTCTCTCGCTCTCTCTTTTCTGGCTTTGACTTCTTTTTTTGCCACTGACGGCCTTTTGCTTTCTTCCACAGCCCTGAGACGGCAGCGTTTATTGAACGCATGGAACAAGAGCAGGCTCAGAAAGCCAAGAATCCGCAGGAGCAGAAATCTTTCTTTGCCAAATATGTAAGTGGGGATGGGGAAGAGCAGCTGCCCAGCTCCTCCCTTCTCTTCCTCTCCCCTCCATACAAAAATACAGAATAAGTTCAGGAGTCCGACTGCTGGCTTGACTCTGAATCTGGTCAAAGCACTGCTCTTGGGTGAGGGTGGAGGGCGATCCCTGCTCCCTACTCTGATATCTGTTCTCCCCAATCCCTGCAGTGGCATTTAATTCTGGGCGGGGCAGTGCTTCTCCTAGCAACCAGCTCTGCAACGGCCCCTCGGGAGCCAGGACGACAGCCCTGAGCAAAAGTAAAGCCACACTCAGCTCATCTTGCTTCCATCTTCCTCCTGCACACCTTCAATACTTTTCGGTGCTCCCCTTTCTCCCTCCCTCCCACACCCCCGCCAATATCTCCCTGAAAGGACACCCCCCCACACAAAAAAGCCTTTCCTGTAAGCCTCTTTCTGTCTCACAACCTCTGTATGAGGATGAGAAAGCTTTGGCCCTCCAGGTGAAGAACTCCAGCCCCTGTCAGCCCCAGGCAGCATGGTTTGGGGTGAAGGGAGTTATAGGATGTTATAGGAGTAACATCTGGAGGGCCCTGGGTTTCCCACCCCACTGCTGTCTATCAAGGTGGAGGGTGCTTAAGGTAGATAGATGCATCTTCCCCCATTCATCACCTGTGGATCGATTGACTCAGTGGGCTGGTGTTCTATTTTCTAGTCCCTGGTACAGTACATTCCAAGAACGGCCAAAGCCTTCAAAAGCTTGTTGCCACATTTTGTTTTGATTTCATTTACCTACTACTTGCCCTGCTTGAGTCAAGAAACTCACCTCCTCTGGCCCTGGTTGGATAGCTCTTTGTGAAAAGAAAGCCAGGCTCATTTTATGGAAACAGAAGTCTAGCCCTTCCTCTGTGTCCTTTTCCGTTTCGTCCTGCCAGGCTCTCGCTCCCCTGCACCCCACCAAAGCATGGCAGAATCAAAATTCCCTTTTCTGGTGGAAGGTCCTTCCTTCTTCATGGGCACAACCCCCTTTCCACTGGCTGTCACGGAGACTTAACCATTTTTAATCCCTGGTGGCGGGAATTTTGTGATTGGGATTTGGAAAAAGGGACCATGTCTGCGTGCTGTTGGGGAGGGAGGGATACATAACACGGAATGGCGTTTTGGTTTTCAAGTGAACCCTCTTCTGGAGTGCGAAGTGGCTGATGGGGGTGGGTCAGACCTTGAGGGTGGTGGGGGCACTTGTTGCCATTGCCCAGGAGGAGAATTCAGGGAAGGAGCAGTCGCATTGCACAGGAGGGAGAGCCTCTTTTTCAGCTGTAACCTCTTTCTCTTTCTCCCACAGTGGATGTACATCATCCCCATTGTCCTGTTCCTCATGATGTCTGGAGCACCTGACGCAGGGGGACAAGGAGGGGGCAATGGAGGCAGTGCCGGGGGAGGGGGGCGGTGAGGGGAACCTGTCTTTCCTACGTTGCGGGAAGGAATCGTGTAAATAAATATTGTTGGAGGAAAATGGCATCTCTCCTAGTTTTGATTTGTGGGGGAGCAGGGCCAGGATTGATCATGAAATAAGTGCTGCTGGAGTTTGAGAGGAAATGCCAACTTGCCCTGCTGTCAACCCAGGTAGATTCGCTCCCAAGTAACCACACTACTGTGTCCCTGGGCACTCTAATATTTATGTCCGAGTGACTCAAATTTTGCCTTCAGGATTCAGAACAGGAAATGGTTATCTGACCAAGCCCTGCAGCTGAAACTGTCCACAATTCTAGACTGTTGTATCCCTGAAAACATGAGGACTAGGAGCTTGCTGGGTTAAAAAAAAAAGGTTGTGGAAGATATTTGTAGGATGCCTTTGTTACTAGCAGAGGAGATGAGGCTGAAAACAGTAGTACAGGGAAGAGATGTATAGGTGGAATCAATAAGTTACAGCTGGCTCTCCTGATAATACTGAAAACAAAAGGAACAACCGACAGCATGCTCAAAATAACCCAGTTACCAGGTGCCACAGCTCTATCTATGGAACCGAGTGTGTTTTTGCCAATTCCCGTCCTGACAAGGAAAGAGGTGGATTCAAGCCATCCGCTTCTGTGCATTTTCTAGAGCAAGGATTCTCAAACTTTCCATGCAGACCTGCCTGAGATGGCTAAAGATTACTGGGATTGTCAGCCACAAACTGGTGGTGCAGGGCACAGCCGGTCACAAAATGGAGGCAGGTGGAGGCAGATTTGGGCATAAATTAGCAACGACCAGCATCATGCTGTTATCTAATCCATTGAATTCGCTATAGATTATTTGCCATAGTGGTTTCCTTGTGGCAAGGAGTTTCATAATTAACCTTTTCTCAAGCCAAGCACAGGCATTTGCTCTGGGAGTTTTGCGATGCAGCTTCCACATTTTAGGCAGAATTTGCTCACCCCAGGGCTCTAATTAGAGAAGCGTAGTCTTTGCTATTTTCCCCTTTCTATGTGCCTCTTGAAGTAATTTTTAGCCATCACCTGAAGCTTCTGCTTTTGCTTCCTAAGAAAACAACCTTGCCTGTTTCTTTCATCCATCCTCTCTGGTCCTTTTACATTCACTTCCTATGGCATCCCCTGTAATACTCTTCCCTTTCTTTTCCTGGTTTGGTGGTGGTTATTATTATTTTAGCAATAATACCTTTCTATCTCACTCTTGAATTTCCTTTAACACTTCCGGGCCTTTCTCCTGAGAAGGGGGGAACCTCCCTGCCTCTGAACCTCTCTCTGTTGGCTACCTTTGCTCAGCATGTAAGGAGTGACTCTTGCTGGCATTAGTTCAACCAAAAGGCTTTGGCAGGGCTAGAGAGCAGGGCAGGCATGGAAGAAGTACTGGGCAGGCTGTGCCACTGAGGCCCACTGGTGTATCCCAGTTGGAAGAACTGTCCTAGAGGTCAGGGGCAGAGATGGGAACTGCTCTCGCTGGACTTAAATCCCAATTGAATCTCGGATGCTGTTTGTTGCAGGCAAGGGCAGGAAGTGTCCAGCAGAGAAGAGTCAGTAGTTTCTTTTCAAAAAGTGGCTCTGGGAGTTTACCTTCCCATCCATGTGAATGGGCTCATTTCTACCATGGGACTTGTGCCGCTGCTTCACTGAGCCTGGCCTTGGCAAGTGGCCGGTGGGAAACACTTCATTTGCTTTGGCAGCAGCGTCAACCTTGGCTGGTTAAACCGGCCTCTGTAAGAAGGCAGCCTGTCTCTTTATGAGCCGGGGAACAAATCAGCTATGCAATGTTGCCTTCACCCTTTAGTTCCCCAAGCTGGCCTATAAGGTCAATAACCCGTTCCTAATAGGCTCTTGCCCAACCCTGCGTCAAACACTTAGCAGGCAGAACATTCAGCTAGATGGATGGAACATCTTGGAGAAACTTGCAGACTTGATGTCTGGCTTTGAGTGGAGCTGATGTGCTTGTTTAATCAGGAACTTTGTCTCCTCCTCCATTGAGTCATGCTAGATTTTGTGGCTGGAATGTGAAGTGCTGCTTCCTTGGAACACTTTGAATGCCCTGGTCCCTTATGTGAGGAATGTTGCATCCACAAAAAGGTGAAGAGCTATGGGCCAAGATAGCAGTAACAGCTTCCCTGAAGCTACAACCAACTAAGGCAAGGCAGAGAGCAGGGCCTTTCTGCACCATTGCCAGATAGTTCCAAATATTCCAGGTTAGTTGCCTTGTAGTAGTTAAGAGGGGGAGGATGTGACAGGTAAGAGAGACACACAGTAAGTCCCTGTTGCTTGTTGGGCAAAATGAGCCACTCCCAGTTCTTAGCAACTACCGTAAACCATATGAGCACCGGCCGAGACTTTCCTGCCTACCTGTTACGACCCAGAACCCAGAACGCATGGATCCCCCGTTGTGGTGGTCCTGGCCGGTGTTCTTCCATGCTGCGTCCCTCACGATTGTGGGTCACTCTTGTGGCCCAGCTGGGCTTCCTGTAGCTTCCTGTCCCTGTGTTGCCGCAGCAACAACAAAGGAACAGAACTTGGGAGTGGGGAGGAGTTCTAGAATGTGGGATGCACAGGAAGGCAAACGCAGAAGGTATTTGGCTTCCTAGGAGGTGGGGCCTAATTGTGGAGCTTGGACCCAGAACTCTTGGAAACAGGAGGATCGTGTGACTGAATGTGGGGATGAGAGTTTGGAGCTGTGTGAAGGAGAGTCCGTGAAACAGATTGGGCTAGAGTTAGGAGTCAAGCCAAGGCCCCATGTCTGTTTAATACGGCGAGTAGGCTATGAGCCTCCACACAGCTAGTATCCTTACCCCAACAGTCTGCCTGGAATAAACTGAAGGGCTACACTTTTGCTTGTATTGTATAATTCTGCTTCCAAGGCGGTTCACTGGGGAAGTTGTAGGAAGTGGTGGGTTGGATGCAAGCCAAGGGGATGATTAAAATGCCGCTATGGAAGGAAGCGAATGCTGTGCAGGGAGTTTTACTTGAGGGGTTTTTTAAAAAAACTTTTTTGGATACTTGGTTTCAGCTGATGTTGCACATCTGTCCCTGAGCTTTTCTTTGCATTCACCAGACCTAGAAACCAGAGGAACTTTTGTTCCCTGCAGAGGAAGGCCAAGGCATTTAGGCTGCTGATTCTGCAGTCCTGCACCTGCACCTGCAACTACTTAGCCTGCCCTATTTCTCTTCGGCAGGGTCCAGACCGCTGCACTTTAAATAAAGATAACCAGCTGCAGCAGCAGCACATCTCTCCTGCTCATAGCTGTGACGGATTCTGCAACTTGGGTGCTCCACTGGGCAGGAACGATGAATAGTGGGTTTCTATTCTTTTTCATGTAAGCAGTGCTTGTGTTTTTAGGACAAAAGGAAGAGCCTGCTTGCGGATGCAGGGTCCAATGGACCCTACTCTGCCATAGAGAACCCCAGAACCTTGCTCCAGTCTTTTCCCTTCTTGCTGATTTAAGTACATTCAGACTCTGCCCACTGGGATCAGAGAAGTATTGATCTGTTGGTCTAGTGGGATCTCCAGCTCCTTTGCTAGCCCAGCTTCCTGAGCCTCTTTCCTTGGAACAAGACAAGGTCAAGAACTGAACTACCTTACAACTGTTTTATTTATATCTGACCCGAAGAGTCCTTACTGAGCCCGACTCCTTAACATTGCAACGCAGGCAGGGTCAGGCACCATTTACAAAGCCAGCTTTTGCAAGTAAAACCCCAAGAGGGGTTTTTCTTGTTTTCCTCCTCCAAAAACTAGGTGCATCTTGTGGTCTGGTGCGTCTTATAGAGCGAAAAATACGGTATCTCTTGCCGCTGCTGCTGGGCTGCCTAGGTCTGCTGGAACTTGGCAGTCCAAAAACACCTGGAGGCATAGGTTTCCCATTGCTGATTAATGGAATTTTTGAAGTTGGCTGTGTGCAGCAGGCTAGCAGGTTGGGGATGCCAGAACCTTTCTCCCCAATGTCTAGTTTTCTATCTGGAGGCATTCTTGACATAAAGCTTAATGGTACAGCTCCCCCCCTCCAAAAGTGGTCTTCCTGAGAAGCGGGAACGGTGTTCTCAGTGGTCTTTGACCTGAACCTTTTTGCCGGGTTTGTCTGAGGTCCTGCAATGTACCCAAATTCAGCCACCCTTGGGAGCTTCATTTCTGCTACATTCTTGGTTGGGACTTGGGTACAACTATTAGCCTGGATAACACATGCTCACCCCAAAACACAGACGCAAACTGGCAGGACAGGATCTCCTCTTCCTGTCTGGAAGGCCTTGGCTACAAAAAGTCTGGTTTTTGTGTGGCTGGCTGAGGGATTTCATACAGACCAGCTGATGCATTTTTTTAAAATAAAGAAAACAAGTCTGTATTGAAAAGTCAGAGCAACTGTGCTAGATGCGTGCTAGATTTCGCAATCTGCAACATGATCATTCTATATAGCCAGAGATGGGGCACCTGTGGAACTCCAGATGTTGTATTCAGATTTCTGCCGGTTGCTTAGTCATGGGTGGGAGTTGTAATCTCAACAACAGCTGGAGGGGGGCTGGTTCCCCATCGCTACAGTGTCAGGCTCTAAACCCCCACCCCACACCCAGTGGTGTAGCGTGGGCTGCCAGCACCCAGGGACGTGTGGAAGGGGGGCTAGGAGGAAAATGGGTGGAGTACGCATGCACATTCAATTGCCTTATGGCATCTGTGTCACCCAGGAGATCGCAGCTGCAGAGATAAGAAGAGTTGTTCTGTTGTCTGGAAGAGATCACTTCCTGGTTCGCATGGAGAAGCTGTTTTCCAGGAGCCCAGCAAGAGAACCACGCAGCTTTATTGAGGCAACACAGGGTGTTGAAATTTTGCCCCCCTAACAATTCTGTGCTCTGGACAACTGCCCCTGTACCCCCCCTATGCTACGCCACTGCACACCCCACACCAAGCTTAAGATGCCACAGTTGTCTGCAGTGCCGTTCAGTCACCAGGTTTGCTGGTAGAATGGATTTATATGGAAATGACTAGGACAGTGTTTCTTGGGTTGCTTTTGGGCTACAGTTCCCATCATCCCTGGCCACTGGTTCTGCTTGCTAGGGATGATGGGAGTTGTAGTCCATCAACAGCTGGCGACTGAAGTTTGGGAAACACTGGACTTAGGAGAATGTTTCCGAGAGAGACAAGCCCAAAACTATTTGGAATCCACAAACCCAGCTTCAGCCCTCCACTGCTTCAATCTCATTGGTCTTAAAGATGGTGTTTTTATCCAGTTTTATTGATGTCACGGTTTTGTTTTGTTTTAGCAGCAGCTTCAAGTTCCAAACCTATTGCAGAGAGAGAACACCTTCCGGCCCCCTCCCCTCCCCCACTCGTGCTGGGCGTGTTGGTACCCAAGCAATTGGGGGGGAGGTATATGGCTTCTCCAAAAAAAAGGGGGACAGAGGTTTAGGAAGCAGGGCTGTTTTTCCCGTTTTGTTCCCCTCCCCACGTTCATTTCACACACTTTTTATATTATTAAAATAAATAAATAACCCAAAAAAACAACCCAACCATAAACAGGACAGAATCTCAATAAACGAGAGGACGGACAAAGACAAAATGACAAATGGACGTGCGTTTTGGGTGGGTGGGGGCATAGAAGGAGGGCAAGGGTGGGGGAAACAGAACACCTTTTGACATTCCAAAGAAGAAGAAATTCCGGGGGGGAGAGAAGCAGGGAGAAAGAGCGACACGAGCAGGACTTTTATAAGACAAAACTAGGACACCTGGGTTCTCTGAACAGGCACTTCCCCAGCTTAAATCTGGGAACCAGCCCGCCTACCCAAACCGGGCGGGAGGCAACCATGCAAGCTACAGAAGAACTAAATTAACAAAGTTTGGGGAAGGAGGGGGGAAGAGAGACACTGTTACCCCCATACACTTACACACACACGCACACGAACAGTCCAGAATCAGTTGACTACGCTGGGAGTTCAGGGAGGCCCCAATCCAGTTTAAAGGAGGAGCAAAACATGGGCTCCAAACTTTGTCCATCGTGGAGCCTTTTGTGGAGACTACAGGCCACCTTCTAACCGTGCTGAGAAATGCCGCGCGGCCATTTTCAGCGTGGGTGGGCACAGTCGGACACGACTGGCAGTGCCCCCCTTAACCCTCTCTTTGCCAGTTGCCCCTCTGGGCAGAGTAGCGAGGGCAGGAAAGCCCCAACATCTCCCCCTGCCCCACATGCAGACTGGAGCAAAGGGTCCAGCGTGCATTCTCGCAAAATGGGAGGACCTTTTCCCTCTCTGCCCCCCATCTAGGCAGCAGAAGGAACCACTCCCTGTTCTCTTACCTCATCCAAGAGGCCTATTGTGACGAGAGAAAGCAAAGAATAGAGAGGGAGCCCAGAATATTCCCTCCAACCCACCACACAAAAAAACATCCACATTCCCCAGCAGAGGGTAAACAGTCACTTTGTCCAAAATTCACAGCTAGGAAGAGAGCGAAATCCCATACTTGGGAGTGGGGAGGGAGAGGGGAGAAGGTTAAATCTGGGAACCTGTCAAAAAATGTCCCTCCTGCCCTTCATGGAGTCTCTGTTGCTTTTGCTGTCAAAACTCCCAACAGAGCAGTCGCCTGGCCCACAGGTGTGTTTCGTGAAGGGGGCACCGGTTGGATTCCTGCCTGCCATGCAACTTGTTGAAAAGGTACGGGACCTCCGCCGGAAAACAAAAAGGTGGCGCGCCCGATCTCTCCAGCCTGACCCTTCTTAGCAAAGACTCCCAAAACATGCATGTCACTGGCTGCCACCTCCCCTCCCTCCCCGATGTGAAAAGGACGAGGGGGAAAAGGGGAATGTCTTTCCGCTCTAGACGCCCAGCACGCACAATTCCTGCCCCACATGGAAAAATGCTCCTTGGTGGCTGCCTTTATGGCTTTGGAAAAAAATAAATAAGATGCAACAGGCAGCGGTTTCCTGGGGGATCGAAGAAGGGCAGTATCTCACACCCCACCATATCAGGCGCCCCCCCCCCCTTTGCTGACAGTTCCTGTGGGGTGGGGTCGGAGGAAACAACAGTCCAGAAAGTTCCGAGGCTGAGCGCACATCACTGGAACCCTAAAGAAAGGAAAGGAAAATTGATGTTGGTTTCTTTGCTGCTCCTTCTTCTCCCCCTGCACGCCACCCATCCCGGCCCATTCCCAAAATGTCAGGTTTTGTGTTGAGAATGTTTGAGATCACCATGTTTTGGCCCTGGAAGGAACAGCAGCCGCAAGGTACCAGCATACATTTTAGTCTAAGTTGGGCATAATGGGAGAGAGACAAAAGAGGAGGTACCTTTTAGACAGCAGCATTTGGGAAAGGATGGAACTGGGAGTTGGCTGGTAGGGATGGGAGCCCGTGGCCCTACAGGTGCCGTTGGACTACAACTCCCATCATCCACTGGCCATGCCAGCTGGGGATGATGGGCATTGGAGTACAACAACATGCAAGAGGGCCAGAGACTCCCCATCCCTGCTCTGAACAGTGATATTACTTCTCTAATCATTGGAATTTGTATACTGCTTTAATTGTGTTTTCAGTGTGGTTTAGTTTAGTGTTGTGTGTGTGTGTTAGAAACAGGTTGCTACAGTGGTACCTTGGTACTCAAATGCCTTGGCTTCCGAACAAATCGGCTCCCGAACACTGCAAACCTGGAAGTGAGTGTTCTGGTTTGCGAACGTTTTTCAGAAGCCAAAAGTCCGACACAGCTTCTGATTGGGTGCAGGAAGCTCCTGCAGCCAATCGGAAGCCACGCCTTGGTTTTTGAACCATTCCGGGAGTCGAACGGAATCCGGGAACAGATTAAGTTCAAGAACCAAGGTACCACTGTATTATTGATGGCACCTGTCTTCTCAAAAGACAGTGAAATGTGCCTCCGAGGGTGAAGTCAAACTGTTGGAGAATCACAGCACCAGCTGTGGCTGCAGAGACCGGTATGGCTGATGGTATGGCTGAGAAGTGTACAAGAACCAGCATATTTACACATCCTCTGTCTCTCTCTCAGCGCAGGTAATCCACCAGGGTTGTGCTGGAGTTGTTGGCATCTGTCTGTCTCAAGGGAAATGGGAGTGTGCCTCTGGGAGTCAAGTCAAACCGCTGAGTTAACAGCACCCAAAATCACCCCCCCCCGGGCACAAGCCTGGGCAGGGTGTATGGAAGTCCTGGGGTGCCCAGACAACAAGTTCCCCCCTTGCCCTGGCCTCCCCAGTGTGGTCCAAAGGAAAGCAGAGCAAAACGTTTGGCACCAGGAGTTGCCAGAAGGTGCCATGCCACCCACTTAGGGACTCCACTCTGGATTTGTGTAGGGTTTAGTCCTTAGTGGTTGGCATAGAAAGGGGGGTGGGGATCCTACAAATCCCATATAAACATAATCCACAATATAATAAAATGAAAAGACCATCCAACCAGATCCCTTGGCGTTTTAGGTAAAGGTAAAGGGACCATTAGGTCCAGTCGTGGCCGACTCTGGGGTTGCGGCGATCATCTCACTTTATTAGCCGAGGGAGCCGGCGTACAGCTTCCGGGTCATGTGGCCAGCATGACTAAGCCGCTTCTGGCGAACCAGAGCAGTGCACGGAAATGCCGTTTACCTTCCCGCCGGAGCTGTCCCTATTTATCTACTTGCACTTTGACATGCTTTCGAACTGCTAGGTTGGCAGGAGCAGGGACTGAGCAATGGGAGCTCACCCCGTCACGGGGATTCGAACCGCCGACTGATTGGCAAGTCCTAGGCTCTGTGGTTTAACCCACAGCTCCACCCGCGTCCTGATTGTGGCATTTTGTTTCTTAAAACCAAATGCCTTCCTTACTGTAAATAAACTAGAGCTTTCTTAAGTTACCCAGGCATGTTCCCAGTTACGAGAGACAAAAGGCGGGGATTGAAAGCATTAGTACAGCAACGTGATCTTGAAAAACCCACGGTAAGCAAGGGGGCAGGATTCTTGGATGGGCCCTGCTACTGCAGGGGTGCCAAATTTGCATTCCAAAATGAAAACCTCATTTATCAAATGGGCAGCTTGTGAGGTGACAAATTAAGACCTCTGTGTATGTTTTTTTTAATAAAAAATAAAATAAAACCTAAGTGGGGCAAAGTGTTACTGCAGGTGGAGCAATGCATTCAATAGACCTACCTTGGCCACAGGCCTGTTTTGACCTGCTCAAAGTGGGGAGGGAAGGGGCTTCAGAGGAGCTGTAAAAGAGCTGCCTTTGACTCCCTCAGGTGGTCAAAGGGGGGAACCGCAAGCAAGCTGAGTGACCAAGGTACTGGTATTATTATTATTATTATTATTATTATTATTATTATTACAGTCATACCTTGGTTTTCAAACAGCTTAGTTCTCGAACGTTTTGGCTCCCAAATGCCACAACTGTTCCGGTTTGCAAACTACTTTTGGAAACCGAATATCCGAAGGGGCTCACGCCTGCAGCCAATCAGAAGCTGCGCTTTGGTTTTGGAAATTGAGTGGACTTCTGGAATGGATTCTGTCTGACTTCCGAGGTACGACTGTATTATTAACATCACCATCACTATCATTATTATCATTATTATTTATTGAATTTATATACCGCCCTATACCCGGAGGTCTCAGGGCGGTTCACAGAACAAAATCAAAATATAAAACCACAAAATATAGAATCAAAATAAAAACATTTCAGTGGTTTTTTTGCCCCTTAAAAAAAAAAGGAACCAGGGAAGCATCTCCAAATTGCACTAAAGTTATGCCTTGTGGGTACATTTCTCTCTGCCCCGGCCCCTGCTGCTGTGCCCCCTTCTGCCATAGGTACTCACAGTCCCTGGTGGCAAAGGGCTGGTGGTGGTTGCCTTAGTCCGACTGAACGCTTTCTACTACGATGCTGGGTTTGTCCCGCGCTGGAGGATTCTTGTTGATGTAGCTGTTCAAAGTCTTCTCCTGAAGAAGGGGAGAGGAGGAAATGTTCAAAGGAGCAAACGGGATGCTCTCAGCTCCCACCATGATCCAAAATCCCACTGACGGCATTTTGAAGTCACCAGCCTTGCCCTCTGACCACTGGATGCTACTCCTTTGCCTGCTTTTCCCAGAGAGGACCGGGGCGTCCTTGCTCCCCCGTTGTGACCCAGCAGAACACACCCCTGGCTTTTCAACGCCACGCCCCCACTTCCTCTAAGCCAGTTGTTTCCCAAACTTAGATTTCTGGCTGCTTTTGTACTACAACTCCCATCATCCCTAGCTAGCAGGACTAGTTGGTCAGGGATGATGGGAATTGTGGTTCCCGCTTTCACCGCAATGCGAGACTCACCTCCACTAGCTGGTGCCAGTGCTCGATGGGTTTGCGTGGGTTTGCCAGCATCTCGGCCCAGTGGTCCCTCCCGGGTGCGTCTGCGTCGCTGCCCACTCTGCACATCCCGATGACCTCGTTGTGCCCAATGCTGTGGAATAATAGAATCATAAGGGTTGCAGAAGGGGCCACAAGGGTCATCTAGTCCAACCCCCTGCAATGTGGGGGATCTTTTGCCCAACGTGGAGCTCAAACCCACGACCTTGAGATGAAGAGTCTCTCATGTTCTACCAACTGAGAGAAGAGGATGAGCAACGAACAGGGTGGGGAAGGGGGCATGATGCGACTTCAGCATTGCGGCGTGAGAGTTATAAATCAGTTTAACTTATTTACATTGGGCTGTAACCAAGGCTGGTCCTGCTCAGAGTACACCGATCAAAATAACTGAATCTATGTCAAGTCCATTAGCGTCAATGGGCTTCCTCTGGGTAGAACTAGCATTGCAATCTTGGGACTGGGGATGGAGAAAGACTATTAAGGCCATTAAAAAAAAAAAGCTTGCTATGCCCCTTCCCCACTTAATAGTTTAAGATGGGGGTGAGGAACTCCTCCAGATGTTTCCGGACTTCCCATCATCCCTGACCACTGGCCAATCTGGCTGGGGCTGATGAGAGCTGCAAGTTCCCCGTCTCTGCAGTAAGAAATGGCTGTGGCTGTGGGCAGCAGGGTGGCGACACAAGGAAAGCTTGCTTTGTGCAAACGAGCCAGACTCTCGTCTCTGATTCAGCACTGCAAGGCTCCTATGCAGAAATAACATCGAAGCAGCACTTAAAAAACAATACCTGCCACACTAACATTTTCCTTTCAAGGTCAAGGAGAAGAGGATGGAACCAAGGCATCCGGGCTCCCAGACTCCCATTCTGTGCTCTGCTTCCCATCCCTCGAGAGAAGCGAGAAATCCTAGCACTCAGCCCCCTCCCCTCATTTAAAAGCCCCCACTTGCCTTGCAGAGAACTCAGCTCTTGGCTCCCATTTTTGCACAGTCAAAGCAGGAATTCCAGCATTTTGCACTGCCTTTCCCGAGAAGCGTGGGGGCCCTCCCTTGAACCCCCTGCATCTTGCCATTCACTAGACACCAGATTCCTCCCAGGAGAACCTGGTCTGGATTTTCCACACCCCTTTTGGAAGAAGCAGGAATCTCAGCTCTTCCTCTAGCTTGCGCTGCCTTTTCCAGAGAAGCCGGACGTCTTCCCTTGCTGCCTCTTGCACCACACATCGTGCCATTCACTGTCCTAGGAAAACTGGGTCTCTGCCTCCACGTGTGGTCCTGGTTCCTAGTGTCCCCTTTGCCAGACCCCACACATCCCTTTGGTCAGAGCTAAGAATCCCAGAGTTGCCTTATTTTGGCAGGTTAGCAAAGAAACACAATGGGAATCACCACTGCCCAGAAGAGACGCATCTGCTGAATGGAGAAAGGAGGGACTTCGGGGCAGAGTGCGCACCTGTGTGCGTTGTGCCTCACCAGTCATAATCCATGACCGCCAGGGTGATGCTGACATGCTCCATGCTGTCTTGGGGGATGTCAAAGACGAGGGCCTCGTTGTAACTGGGGTTGAGCGTGTTCTTCTTGATGGACGTCTTGCGCTTCTTCAGCCGCCTCCCTTCGCACATGAGGGATGCCTTGACGTAAGGATCTGGAGAGAGGAGGCTGACGGAATTATGGGGGAAGCAGACCAGGCCCGGTCCATGCTGCCTACATGCCACCGTTCTCCCCACCCCTGCTTTTGGATGCCGCCATCTTGACAGCGGTTCCAGTCCCAAGATATGCTTGGTCTTTGCGGTTTCTGGGCAGTCCCAGGAAGTGCTCCCCAGTCCCATCAAAGATGACCTCTAGCGATTGGGGAACAGCGCCTGCCAATTGTTTTTGCTCCAATGCTTGGATGCCCGAGATGGGATGTGACACTTGGGTGAGGGTCAGTGGGCACAACCTCGTCCGACTCCATACAACTGTGATTTCCGGGAGAGAGAAGGGGGACTTCAGTACACCTGAAGGAGCGTCTCCACCCCCGTTGTTCAGCCCGGACACTGAGGTCCAGTTCCGAGGGACTTCTGGCAGTTCCCTCTCTGCAAGAAGTGAGGTTACGGGGAACCAGACAGAGGGCCTTCTCGGCAGTGTCATCTGATGTCAAGGAAATAAGCAACTATCTGACTTTTAGAAGACATCTGAAGGCAGCCCTGTTTAGGGAAGTTTTTAATGTTTAATGTTTTATTGTGTTTTTAATATTCTGTTAGGAGCCACCCAGAATGGCTGGGGAAACCCAACCAGATGGGCAGGGTATTATTATTATTATTATTATTATTATTATTATTATTATTAACGCTGATTGCTGAAAACCTCACCAGCCCTGTAGCCCTGCTACAGCCCTTCTTCCCCCACAGCTGCCCTGCCGGCTCACCAGAAAATCCAGTCAGATCCATGGCTTTGAGGTTGGTGGCCTTGATGATGGTGACCGTGAGGCGCCCAGCGGTGGGCAAGTAACAGAGAGAGAAATTCAGCTCCCCTAAATCTGCTTTTTCCTGTGAGATGGGAGAAGATGAAGAAGAAAACAACGTGGTCAGTAAAAGTATCTGGGGGAGAAGGAAATCCCAGCACAGAGGAGGCCGCCTTGCTGGAATCTGGCAGCATCAGTCAATACGGTGGCTGAGAGGTATGATATACAGTCATAGCTCAGCAGTCAAACGGAATCCAGTCCGGAAGTCTATTCGACTTCCAAAACATTCGGAAACCAAGGCGCAGCTTCCGATTGGCTGCAGGAAGCTCCTGCAGCCAATCGGAACCCGCGGAAGCTGCATCGGGTGTTCGGGTTCCAAAGAACGTTCGCAAACCGGAACACTCAATTTCGGGTTTGCGGCATTCGGGAGCCAAAACGTTCGACTCACAAGGCATTTGACTTCCGAGGTACGACTGTATAATATAAAATAATGGGTTAGTCGTACTCAGAGTAGACCAATTCAGTGATTTCTATAGGCTTACTCTGAGTAAAAGCTAGTTGGCTACAACCCAATATTTTAATATTGTATTTTATCGTTGTGAGCAGCCCAGAGGAACCATGTTATTAGGCATCCAGTAAAAATGTTGAATAATGAAGAGTAAAGGCTTTCAGATGGAACCTCCAGTGGCATAACAGGTTAAGTGTATCTGGTTGTTAACCTGAAGGCTGGTGGTTTGAGCTTGCCCAGGGACAGCTGTGGGCAGGATTCCGGCATTGTATGGGGTTGGACTAGATGACCCCTGGGGTCCCTTCCAACTCTACAATTCTGTGATTCTGTGACCTGGTCCAAAGTTGCGCTGTTGTGTATGTGTGTCACGTGCTCCTTAAAACCAGGCCCGGTCAATGGTCTGGCTGCAGCATTGCACAGTTGTGCACCATTCAACGATATAACAAAATTTCACATCGGAAACTAACATAACCCCCCTCATATACCCAATTAATTGTATCCATAATACATTGCCCATCTGATATAAGCCACACATGGCAAGCCCCAAATCAGAGCATGTTGTAGGCTTTGTTTCAAACTGCTCTAATCTGTGTTATATCCAATTTATTCAGAATATTAATTATTACTGTAATGAATCTGTTGTCACCAATGCATTCCCTCAAGCGGCCCCTTTTCCTCATGCTGTCAATGGGCATTTGTTTACTTGTACTTGGATTATCCAATCTCTCAAATATATACATATATAAATACATATATGCTACTTAGCATCTTCCCTAAAATGCAAGAAGAACAAGCTTGGCACATTTATTCTCCTTCTGCAAAAAGGTAGTCGAGGAAAATCTGTGCAGCCACACAATCCTCTGGAGAGACATACACAAGGAACCAGTGGCGTAGCGTGGGGGGTGCAGGGGGGGCCGGCCGCACCGGGCGCAACATCTGGGGGTTAGGGTTAGGGGGCGCAAATCCACGGGTTAGGGGGTGCAAATTACTTGCCTTGCCCCGGGTGCTGACAACCCACGCTACGCCACTGCAAGGAACCCACCATATTTCATAATAATGTTGGAATCAACTGGATTTTGCCAAATTTCACATTACAAGTTACAACCTTATGGATACAAACCTGATGGAATATTGCTGGTTTTCTTTAAAAGCTTAAACAGCCTTAACACGTGTGTGTATTTGGAAGGGAATGTTGCTTCAGAAATCTAACCAACGTTTGCATTAGGAAAAGCACCATGGAAAACAAAATCTCAGAACAAAGAATTTCAGTGTTCCAAAGATGGGCTGGGGAGGAAATATAATAAATTTCATTTCCTTTGAAGCAGAAAAGGCGAGAGTATCAGCACATAGGCATACCGTAATTTTCTGTGTATAAGACTATGGTTTTTTACTGAAAAATTAGGTTTAAAATAGAGGGTTGTCTTATACATGGGTAGTACCTAGGGGTGACGTGGGATTGGTTGAGGCCACAAGCCGGAGATGGTCTGCAGCATGTTATTGGTGTCTGCGGCAAGGGGTGGTGTTGATTGGGTGTTAGCGTTGGCCAGGCAGGTGAGTGATTTTCTGGGTCACCCTCCCCCCAAAAAACTCATCAACTCTGGGCAATCTCTCCCCATTTTCTTAATTTTTCGTCCCCAAAATAGCAGGGCGTCTTATACACAGAAAAGTACGATATTTCCCAGTGTAGTTGGAATTCAAATACCAACATGGATCTTGGAATTCTGCTGGGCTGAACAGATATCGTGGACTCTGCTTATGTCAATTTCTATCCCAGGTTATTATCACCTGGGGAAAGCGTTTTAAAAGCAGCTGCGGTGCACAAATGAGAGGGAGAGAGAGAGAGAGAGAGAGAGAGAGAGAGAAATCAGAAGGCTGGGAGCAGATCATCTTTCATAAGTTTAAAGATCTGTGTACCAAGACCACAAAGAGTGCAGGTGAAATTGACAAGATGGTAGACAGCTAATGCCAATTCCACATCCGCAGGCAAGATGATTTGCTGCTGCTCTTTGCGACCTTCTTGTTCGGGGATGGGGGATGCTAACACACACAAACACAGGTTCTTTTCAGATACTCAGTGGGTGACCAACACATGGAGTATCTGTGAGTATCACACACCAGGGTTGGAACAGAAATATATGTTTGTGCGTGTACATGCATGTGCGTGTATTAAACACACACACACATACACTGGCTCTGAGTACGGAGGGCCTAGTGAGTCATTGCATAATTAGCGCTGAATTTTCAAGGATCAGCTGCTGTGTTTGATGGAGTGCATATATATACACACATATGTTCAGAAACTCTGCAGATATTTGAGACCTTGTCCCCAGGGTGGCTGTTCTTTCCCAAGAAGGAAGAGCGCAGCAACATGGTGAGAAGGAAAAGGCCTCCTCTGATCAGTGGCCCCTTAGGCCTACTTTTCACTGAGGTGGCAAATTGTATCATCGTCATCATCAATTTATGAGTTTCCTCCTACACCATCGTCTGGGTTCTATTACAACACACCAGAAAAGGCAGCTTCCAGCGAACATCTCAGAGAGAAGACTAGGCAAGGACCCTTCTCCCCAAAATCCAGGGGTTTTTTGTGGGGAGGGAGGAGAGAGAATATTCTCATACAGAGAAGGACACAGTCATCCAAGTCCCCACCCAGCAATGCTTCAGGGGAAATCTAGTCTTTAATATTCCTCACGAGCCAGAATCTTGTTGACAGTGCTCCTTGGAGCCTAACTTTCCTGCTGAGGCTGGTTATCTAAAACCCACTTATGCATTCAGTCTAAATATTGCATCCATATAGAAAATTACTTGTCTGGGACAGTAGGATTTTGACCTGTCTTCTCGACATCCAGCTTACTCTGAGCATGACCTGCAAAAAACATGCTGTGCGTGAATTGCTCCTGATCAGGATACTCCATTCCAACCCCATTTCCGTATTGTTGTGGGTTTCCCCTCTTGGCATTTTCTCTGAAGATTTGTCGTGGTTTGTTTTGTATTTCTGAAAACACTGGGTTTTCTCCAGACTTGCCGATATCTCTCCTCTTGTATATTGGTGGTGCAATTTTGCCTACATAAAGATGTCAGGGGCCACTTTAGGCTTCTGGTCCTGAGGTTCCCCACCCTGGCGCTACATTGGGCTGGTTCATCTCTTGGTCATGAGGTGCACATGTGGAATTAAGTCCTCATGGATGATTTGCCACGGAACGTTTCCCTTGGTGTCTGCCAGCACGTTTTGGCAAAGATGGTACATCTGTTTGGCAGTTAGAGCAGCAGTTCCCAATTGGTGGTCTGCCGGGGGGGCGGGCGGATGCCTGTGGCCCCATTCACATAACAAAAACTACCATAGAGATTTCAAAATTTTCAAAAGTAGTGGGGTCCATGGCTAGGGTTTTGAAAAACGGGATCCACAATACAGTGGTACCTCGGGTTCCAGATGCTTCAGGTTACAGACGCTTCAGGTTACAGAGTCTGCTAACCCAGAAACAATACCTCGGATTAAGAACTTTACCTCAGGATGAGAACAGAAATCGCGCGATGGCACGGCGGCAGCCAGAGGCCCCATTAGCTAAAGTGGTACCTCAGGTTAAGAACAGTTTCAGGTTAAGAACAAACCCCCAGAACAAATTACCGTATTTTTCGCTCTATAAGATGCACCAGACCACAAGACGCACCTAGTTTTTGGAGGAGGAAAACAAGAAAAAAAATATTCTGAATCTCAGAAGCCAGAACAGCAAGAGGGATCGCTGTGCAGTGAAAGCAGCAATCCCTCTTGCTGTTCTGGCTTCTTGGATAGCTGCACAGCCTGCATTCACTCCATAAGATGCACACACATTTCCTCTTACTTTTTAGGAGGGAAAAAGTGAGTCTTATACAGCAAAAAATATGGTAAGTTCTTAACCTGAGGTACCACTGTACTTAGTTAATTGGGAACCACGGGCCTAGAGCCATCCTTAGGAACCATGCCCATTGCAGGCCTGGAACTGGCAACCCCGGTTACCACAGGCCAGGATTTCAACTGTGTGCCACCCTGGCTCTTGGCTGTGGTGGGCCGTTCTTCCGTTTGAGCGTTTGGGTTGCTGGCATGAGGCATCTCCCTGAAGGAGACGGGGAAAATGTTGAAGAGACAGTGCCGGCGGACAGTTTTGCTAGCGGCCAGTCTTCCTGCTACCGGTGTTTGGAGTCCTGCACGCTTTTGGAAGTGAGCTTGCACACACAACCCCCCGTTAAAAAAAACTCACCGCCCCAGCTTAGAGCATCGATGCACATCTCTCAGGCTTTGTCTAAATCAAGGCCGTGCTTCTCACTGATTCATTCCTCTCTGCCGCCTCTGCTTCTTCTCCAACTATCCTTTTTTCTTTTCTTTTTTTTTGCTTTGGGCTCATCCGTGCCCCGTCATGCTCCCCCCCGGCCGCCGCCGCCAATGCTCTCTCGCTCTGCCTTTCTTTCTCTTAGCCTCAGGCCCCTTTGGGATTTGGCCTGAACAACGGCCAGCAAAGCCCTCGCTTGCCCCAGAACAAGTGAGTTGGCAAAGCAGGCCGGAGGGCTGGTGAATGGAGGCCGGAGTGGGGGCAAGGGGGGGGCGAGGAAGGAAGGGGGGGAAGGCTTCATTAATATTGATGCGGCTGCAAATGGGATCGAGCTGGTAAAAGGGTATGAAATATTCACGCAGGAAACAACGCGCCGCCTGGTAAGACCGGGAGTCTTGGCATCCTCTCGTTGCCCCCCCTACCAAATAACTCAGGTTCCTGGCTTCCCCCTCCTCTTCCTCTGATGCCAGACATTTTTTATGGTGGGGTGTTCAGGGCTCACCTGCGTTAAGGGATTGGAGAACCACAGGAAGTTTCTCCAGTGGGACTGTCTCTCTGGACACCCCACCGGAAATTAGGTTTGCATGCCCAGTTTTTTCTTTTCCTGGCAAGGGCCGTTGTGCTTTTTAGCAACCCTATTAGCAGGTGGGAATGCCACAGGTGCTGTTTCCACCGCCAAACGCCTGTGGTTCAGAAGCCATCAGTTCAGTTTCTTCCTGTCATGCAGCTGTGGTGTGTGTGTGTTTGTGTAGAATCTTTTCTGTAGGGTCTTTTCAGTCACAGGATGAGTTTGACCAACATACGCTATCCAGGGCAAGGCAATATCTGGTTTCCAACATCGCGATATATCACCAGCTAAACATCCCGTATACCTGAAGGAGTGTGTCCACCTGCATTGTTCAGCCCAGACACTGAGATCCAGCGCTGAGGGCCTTCTGGCGGTTCCCTCATTGCGAGAAGTGAGGTTAAAGTGAACCAGACAGAGGGCCTTCTCGGTAGTGGCGCCCGCCCTGTGGAACGCCCTCCCATCAGATGTCAAGGAAATAAGCAGCTATCTCATTTTTAAAAGACATCTGAAGGCAGCCCTGTTTAGGGAAGTTTTTAATATTTAATGCTGTATTGTTTTTAACACTCGATTGGGAGCCGCCCAGAGTGGCTGGGGAAACTCAGCCAGATGGGCGGGGTATAAATAATAAATTATTATTATTATTATCATTATTATTATTATCATCATTATTACTATTGTAATATACCAATATATCACAATGTCTGAAATAAGTATGGAGCTATGTACCGGCTGGCTTCACGTCCTTCCCCCACATTGTGATTTTTACAAGCACACGCATCATGATTTGCGATATATTGCCAGGTGATGATAAACCTGTACCTGAGCTGTGACCCTTTAGGCAGCTGGTGAAGACTCGCATCATGCAGCCTGTTCCCCTCCTCCCTGAACCCCATTCCCTCCTCCTCATAGATGTCCAGCTAGCCAGAGAAGACTGGTCCACTAAGGCAAATGGGACACAGTTCCACCTGCTTCACTTTGTCCATTGCAAAAGTCACACAAAAGAAGTGGAAGGAAGACAAAGTCCCGACCAAAGAAGAGTGGATAACCAAGGTGATGGACTATGCTGAAAATGGCAAAGATGACCGTGAGGATCAGGCACCAAGATGATATGAAATTCAGTCAAGGAGAGTGGAAAAAGTTTATAGAATATCTTAAAGACCACTGTGTACACTTAAAAACGTTAGCAGGATTGTTGTAACACTTATAACGTAATATGAGTTGAGGTAAAAAAAAGGAGATAAAATGGATTAGAAAAATGTAATTAGATGCAAAGAATATAGGGGAAAATTTGAAACTGGGATGAGGGGGGAGGGGGAGTCCGAGGAATCTAAGTAATCTAAGTAATCCCAGGAGTGTAAAAATTCAAAATGATGTGAATGTATCAGAATATTGTTTAAAAATAATGAAAATAAAATATTTAACAAAAGTCACACAAAAGTTTTGCTATTATATTACCACCCTGTGTATTATTTGTTGAAGTACTCAGTTTGCCACATGCCAGTCCAGAGGGATGTCCCTAGCTGTCAGCTTCCTCTGATGTTTTTCCTGATGGTTAGTCAGAATCTCCTTTCTTGAAGCTATTGGTTCGAGTCCTACCCTCGAGAGCAGGAGAAAAAAAGCCTGTTTCCTCTTCCCCAGGCAGGACACACTCCTCCTCATGCCATACCTCTTTTCTGTAGACCACAGGCCTCCCAACCTTGAATGTTTTGCCCATCCTTGAACTCTGATAATGTTTGCAGGGATGGAAAAGAGAGAGTGGTGTGGGGGTAAATTGTTGCTATGCCTGTTTTCGCCTCTGGCCCCCGAAAGGCTGCGTAGAAGGAATGCGGCCCTTGGGCCGAAAAGGTTCTGTGTCCCTGGTGCAGTGGTTAGAGCCAGGGAGACAGAGGTTAGAAACTTGCCCTCTCACAAGGCTCGCTAGGCGACCTGGGCCAGTTGCCCCCTCCCTGCCTAATCCCCTTCAGAGGTCCATCGTGAGGATAAAATGGGAGGTGGGGAGGAAGTGTGGTGTAGTGTTTAGAGCAAAGTTTCCCAAACCTGGGTCGACAGCTGTTTTGGGACTACAATTCCCATCATCCCTGACTACTGGTCCTGCTAGCTAGGGATGATGGGAGTTGTAGTCCAAAACCAGCCGGAAACCCAAGTTTGGGAAACTGTGATGGCCTGGGATTCGGACTCGGGTGCTGAAACTGAGGAATCCCAGCCTGCACAGGATTCCCTGCCTCCAGAACCAGCTGAGCCGGGGCTGGGGTATGAGACTGAAGGGTCCTCACCTGTGCTGGATCCTCAGGTGTAGGCTCAAGCTGAGTCTGCTCTGGCTCCTGAGGTGAGGGAGGACCCATTGCTTGCAGGTGCTCCACTCTCAGCCCCGTCAGAGGAAGCGGAGGTTGCCTCTGGGTCTAGTAACCCTCCAGCCTCTCCTGGGCTGCAGAGGCTCAGGGCAGAGAGGCGGAGGGAACTAAGTTCCCGCAGGAGGAGTGCTCACCTCCAGGCCAGGGGATTGGGGAAGCCCTATGCCTCGGGGCAGATAAAAGCCAGTCAGCCCCAGTCCCAGGTTGTGGGAGCAACTTTGTAGGTTGCCAGTTCCTACCTGAACCCTGTCCTGTGTTCCTGACCTCACCTGACTCCCTGCCCTGCACCCAGCTCCAGCTTTTATGGACTGCCTCCATATTGCACCTTTGACCTCGGACTGGACTCGGACCTCGCCTCTCGGCTGACCCACGGGACCGGCACAGAAACCCTGGTTTAGAGTGTTGGACTGGGAGGACCTGGGATATAAAGGATCAAATCTCCACTCAGCCAATAAACTCAATGGGCCAGTCACTGTCTCCCAGTCTAAGCTACCTACCTCACGGGGTTGTTGTGAGGATGAAATGGGGAGGGGGAGAACCTTGAGGTCCTAGGAGAAAAGGGGTGTGTGCGTAAATTTGATAAATAACTTAAATATATATAACATCTTGTGCTAAGCTCCTTGGAGGAAGGGTGGAATGGTACAACAAAAACATGGAGCAGACCCAAAGAGGAGCTTGTATCGCCCCTAAAAAACTACTCAAGCAAGGCTGGAAGAGAGTTTCTCAACAGGTACTTGTAGAATATATGCCCTGCTAGTTCACGTTCCTTAGTTTCAATGGGTCTGCCCTGAGAAAGATCAGCACTGAACACAGTCCTAAACAGCTAACAGTCATTTCTCGTGTCACCTCCTTTAAATTCAACAAGATGAAGGAGAAGACTGATATCACATGATATCACTCTTCAAAATGCCCCAAAGGCCTGTCACAGAGAAGAGAGGCAAATACTTGCGCTCTACTGCTTCAAAGGAAAGGACTAGATCTAACAGGCTTAAATGCCAGGAGGGTCGATTTCAGCTGAAGATTAAGGAGAGCTTCTTGATGGCCAGAGCAGATCAGTCACATCCACACCATGTGTTTGGAGCACTCTTGTGACACTTGAAGCGTCATGGCTTCCCCCAAAGAATCATGGGAACTATAGGGTGCTGGGAACTGTAGCTCTGTGAGGGCGGGGGTCCTCCTAGCAACTCTCAGCACCCTTAATAAGTTGCAGTCCCCAGGACTCTTCGAAGAGTGGATTTGACACAGGTCAACAATGGGACCTAGCTGGGGATCTTCAAGCAGAAGCTTGATCACTCTGGCACACGGAAACGCACTTTGAGAAGGAGCACTGGATGCTGCCTGATACAGAGTCAGACCATTGAGTATTTCCGCATCCTACCTGGAGATGCCAGGGATGAATCGTGGGACCCGCATATTATTCTCCCCACAAAAACAGCTCCAGAACAGGTGCTATGTTAGTCATCCTTTCCTTGTTTGGAAATGATTCCTTGACGGGTCACTTGGAGACTATTCTTGTCATTGGCAACAAAGTGAATGGCTGTTTATAAGCCTAAGGCAAATCCTGAGTTAACAGCTAGGGCTGTATCAAACATTCATCAGTGAATAGCTATAGCTATAGATATAGAATAGTGATGTATGGAAGTGAGAGCTGGACCATAAAGAAGGCTGATCGCTGAAGAATTGATGCTTTTGAATTATGGTGCTGGAGGAGACTCTTGAGAGTCCCATGGACTGCAAGGAGATCAAACCTCTCCATTCTGAAGGAAACCAGCCCTGAGTGCTCACTGGAAGGACAGATCCTGAAGCTGAGGCTCCAATACTTTGGCCACCTAATGAGAAGAGAAGACTCCCTGGAAAAGACCCTGATGTTGGGAAAGATGGAGGGACGACAGAGGACGAGATGGCTGGATAGTGTTCTCGAAGCTACCAGCATGAGTTTGACCAAACTGCGGGAGGCAGTGGAAGACAGGAGTGCCTGGCGTGCTCTGGTCCATGGGGTCACGAAGAGTCGGAAACGACTAAACAACAACATAGATACAGATATAGATTGGGGTTTTTTTGAGAAGGAACTCAGGGGGACTGAATTCCCTTACCTTTTAAAAATTAAATAATTATTGTTTTTGTTGGGGTGGGGGAGGAGGGTTGGGACGGATATACACCCAATGCCTGAGTCAAAAAAATCCACCTTTATCTGTAATCGATAAAGCTGTGGCCATTTCTAATCCAGATCATTGTCTGCTTGAGTTTATCAATCACATCTTACATTTAGCCATTGCCCAGGGGTGGGGGTGGGGGGTTGGCACTGTGACTGGGTCCACAACAAACAAACAAACAAACAAACAAACAAACAAACAAATTTCATGGTGAGTTCTCCAACCTTTTTTTCCAGAAAAACAATAACACTGGATAGAGATGATAGAGATAGCGATAGCGATAGAGATATTGCATGGAAAAAAGGAAGGGGAAATGTTTTTCAAAAGTGTTTCAAAATCTGTATGGGTATGCGTTTTTATGTACAGTGGTACCTTGGGTTACATACGCTTCAGGTTACATACGCTTCAGGTTACACACTCCACTAACCCAGAAACAGTACTTCAGGTTAAGAACTTTGCTTCAGGATAAGAACAGAAATCAGGCTCCGGCGGCGCGGCAGCAGCAGCAGGCCCCATTAGCTAAAGTGGTCTTCAGGTTAAGAACAGTTTCAGGTTAAGTACAGACCTCCGGAACGAATTAAGTACTTAACCCGAGGTACCACTGTATGTAGTAGTATTTATTGCCTTTCTGGGCAGCTGCTTGTGCTACTTTTTTATTCTTTTTTTTGGCCTTCCACTGAGCTGCTTCTTCCTAAAAATGTGACCCCAGCCAATGAGAGAGCATCTTAGGGATGTGATGACATCCCTCATGCCAAACACTCCTATCAGATTTGGCACCGAGGACAAGCATAGCCAGTTTGGAGCGAGGGCGCTGGCCGCCACATCGGGAAGGAAGGCAAGTGGGAAACCGGGCAGCGCAGGGCAGGGTGGGGGGGCATGTTTCGGCCCAGCTGCGTGTGTCGAAATAGTGGCACCACTGATTTCTGTTAGGCCGAAATTATTTCCACAATTCACAGGCCTGAGCTGTCTTTAGCACTCCAGTTCCTTTGGCTTGTGAGTAAGCCTCTCCCAAAGTGGAGACATACACACAGCGCCGCCGGTCTCTCTCCTCGGTTCTCCCCCCTCCCCGCCCTGCCCGCGACCGACATCAGCTGATTTCCCGGAGCTCAGGAACAAGATTGCAATCAATGACAATTGCATTCAACCGGGAGGACATTTAGGGCTCTGAAGGTGAGGGGGTGGAAAAGAAGGTGGCTGCAGGTCTGGACTGTGGGCGGGGTGGGGGGGTTGGTAAATCAAAGCACCTGTCATAACCAGGGAGACTGAGATGAAGGGGCATCGGGATGACACAGGGAAGGAGGCGGGAGAGGGGACTGTCTGCCTCACACCTGACTGCCCTAATTAGCCACCGGCTTCCTGAATAACAAATCCAGCTAAAAATATGCACCAGGGAGTTGGGCAAAGCAAACCTGCTTTGTGCTGATGCCAAGGGAAAGGGTGGCAAGGAGGGAGAAGCCGAGAGGGATCAGGCGGAAAGCCTGTTTAGCTCAGCATCCTGTTCTCCCAGTGGCCGACCAGATCCCTAAAAGAAGCCTGCAAGGAGCACCTGAGGGCAGCAACACCCTCCCCACTTGCGTCTCCCCAAAACTGGCCCCCTCTCCGACAGTGGAACATATCCATCCATCTGGGGTACCAGCCACTGGTGGACCTATTCTCTGTGGATTTATTTATTTTTAACCCCCCTTCAAAGCCATCTGACTGGGAGCTGAAGAGTTAATAGAATCATAGAGTTCATAGAGTTGGAAGCGACCCCAAGGGTCATTGGGACCAAGGCAGGAAGCTCAGATAAAGCACCCATGACAGATGGCCACCCAACCTCTGCTGAAAAACCTCCAAGGAAGGAGAGTCCACAACTTCCCTCCACTGTCGGAACAGCTCTTACTGCCAGAAAGTTTTCCCCTGGTGTCGAGTCGGAATCTCCTTCCTTGCGACTTGAAGCCATGGGTTCGAGTCCTGCCCTCCAGAGCTAGAGAAAGCAAGCTCGCTCCATCTCCCATGTGACAGCCTTTGGAGTTGTTAAGGAGACCCCTAAAGCTAAAGGCCCCACGATTCTTTGGGGGAAAGCACCATGAGTCGCACAAGAGTGCTTTAAACACATGGTGTGGATGTGACTGACCTGCTCTTGCCGTCAAGAAGCTCTCTTGAATCTTCAGCTGAAATCTACCCTCCTGGCATTTAAGCCTGTTAGATCTAGTCCAGCCTTTCTCAACCTGTGGGTCTCCAGATGTTGTTGAACTACAACTCCCATCACCCCTAGCTAGCAAGGCCAGAGCTCAGGGATGATGGGAGCTGTAGTCCAACAACATCTGAGGACCCACAGGTTGAGAACCGCTGATCTAGTCCTTTCGTTTGAAGCAGTAGCAGAGCAAGTCTTTGCCCCTCTTCTTTGTGACAGGCCTTTTGGGCATTTTGAAGAGGGTATCGTGACTCTTAAAGCGACACAAGAGTGTGGCATGGATTTGAGAACGCCACACATGTATGCGCACATGTACTGTTCTCTCATGCATGCACACACACATGCAAAGACGCCTCACACACACTCAGTTTGATGGGTTGCTGTGCAGCAGCCGGATGAATTAGGGCTCCCCTTCCGCAAAACGCAGCACAGAAACCCTGCGAACAGCTCATGGAGGAACAGAATGAGCTCTTTCTCCCAGGGACACATGCTCCAATTCCTTGCTGCGTGGTGGAGAAAAGGGGCTTCCCAAAGACTCCCCTGCCCATGACTCACATGGCATGAAGCGTTTGAATCACCAGTCCCAGTTAGATACAAGGATCTTCAATGATAGTCAAACAGTAAATAAGATAGGGAAAGACTTATTAGACATATGGGAGATTAATGAGAAGGGCCAAAGCACTCAAGCAATCATATGGGATGCAATGAAAGCAGTGATGAGGGGAATTGGCATTAGGGAATCCAGTAAATTGAAGGGTGGGGTGGGGGGGACAAAAAGAGATGAAAAAATTAGAGGAAGAAATTAGGACATTGTAAAATCAATATATTCATGATAAACATAAAAGACGTTATGCACAATTACAGGCAAAAAGGAAGGTGTTAGAAAATAAAGATATGGAAAAAGTGCAGAGGGATTTGATATGCTTGAAAAGATAATTTTTTGAACATGGTAATAAAAATTCCAAATTGCTGGCGAGAGCTGTACCGTCAAAAAAAGTAAAGAATTCAATTAGCCTAATAAAAGATAAAACGGGTAATATTCACAATCAGATGGAAGATAAGTTGAGAGTATTTAAGGAGTTTTACCAAGAGTTATATTCGGCAGGTAACATATTCTATGGGGAAGATGAAAGAATATATCAAGACACACTGGAAGATAAAGCTAGAAAGCAGGGATAGAGAGGCTATGGAACAGCCAATTTCAGGAAAAGAAAGAGAGGAAGCTATAGGGAAACTAAAAGGGGGAGAAGCCCCAGGAGCAGATGAATTGGGAGCAGAATATTAGAAGGTATTTTTAAAAATATTGGTTCCTAAATTAAAAGCATTATATAATTCAGTAATAGAGGGTGAGAGGATCCCTCCATTGTGGGAACCATCAATAATTATCTTAGTTCCAAAACCAGGAAAAGATTTGAAGGACCCAGGATCATATAGGCTGATTTCCCTAATAAATCAAGATGCTAAAATATTGGCCACGATAATGGCAAAAAGGATGAATAATTTTATGTATAAATATATAAATAAAAACCAATGTGGCTTTGTAGCAGGAAGACACAGGTGTCTAGCTTAATAGGAAGAGTGCTGAATAAAATAGATATAATAAGAAATAAATTGAAAGCTGGTATATTGGATTTTTTTAAGGCTTTTGACTGTGTCGAATGGCCGGCATTAAAACTGATTATACCCATCACAAGCCTGGAGTTAGACTTGATGATCTGATAATGTTAATAGTCTATACTTGGACTCTGTTAACTCATGTGCAACTACTCATTCTACGTACCTATTTTATAATTTTGTTTCTCATCTTCATATTTTTGTTTGTTCTCTCTGTTTTATATACGTTATAAAATGAAATGAAACTTAAAACTTTACCCAAATAAATAAATAAATAACCAGCTGACAACCCCTTCTCCTTTTTTAACAGCTGAGATGCAGGGATGGGTTCGCTTCACTATACTAGGCACACCATTTTCAGAAGTGGGGAGCCTACGGAGTATGGGGTTTATTCGTCAGTCCTCCATACTCAAGAGTGAACTGGGTACTGGCTCTGAACAGTGCCTAAGAGCAGGGCTTCTGAGCCAAAAACGCTCAGAAAAACTCACCTCAGCCACAAATTTACTAGGGATGCCTCTTTTCTCGTAGACCCCATGTATGATACTATTAGGGGGTAATACTGCACTTACGAACTGGTGCCTACCAGTCATACTAGGGCTGTGCTGAAATTTTGCAGGATTCCTGTTTCACTGAGAGACATGGCATTTCGGGGCTAGCAGCGTTGGCTCGCTGCTTGCCATGAAATCAACCGGTCTCCCTTTGCCAAGAGAAGAGGAGAGACTGTGTTGCGCAGGGCCTCTTTTGAAGTGGCAGTTTCCCCTTAATAAGGAGAAGGGAGCTTCACCTTTCTCGGGAAGAGTGATGACATACTGCAGCCAGTCAGATTTGTCTATTTAAATTGAATAAATAAATAATCAATCAATCAATCAATCAATCAATCTCATTACAGTCAAGCAAAGCCAAATCAGACTGAGGGCAATGCTTCCTACATCACATTCGGAGGTGAAACTTGGTAATTTTGGACCCTGAATCTAATGGACTTACATGGAGCGTCCAGGGGCATGGGATTGAGCAGTATGTATTATCTCTGTCGCTTCAGTTGGGAAGGACACAATTAAAATTTCTCTTCTCCCCCACCTCCAAGGAACAGAGAGAAAGAGAGAGAACCCAGCTTGCCAACTCTGATTAAAGAAGGGGAAAAATACCCTCAGCATGTGTAGTTTCACATTTTATAACTCATTTTCAATCACAGCACCATTATTGCTACAGGCTAGATGTGTTCACTAGAGTATAAGCATGGACATTTTGCGCCAGAAAAAAAAGAAAAGAAAAGAGGATGATACATTTTGAAAGTAAAAATAATAAACTGAGCATCTGTAATCGTGTATGTGCCAAGCTGGCTGTCCCCCAACTATAAAACATTTTATGAAATTAAAAGGAAGAGAGAAAGAAGGCTATATAGCGACCAGCCCCAGCAGGCTGGCCACAGACCTGTTTGCTGCAAGCCACAACTTTTGCCATGTGATCACTAAGAGGGACCCTGCATTTGGGCCCTGCATTCCAGTCTCAGCTGCCCTAATGATCATCGGAAGCAATTTGCCAGCAGGTGGGTTCACTGTTGCTTTCCAAGACGCATGATGAGGCAGAAGGAAGATTGGCGCACTGCAAATGCACCAGTGGAACAAATCTGGTGCTCCTATTGGTGCGTTTCCACCAGGGCTGGATGATAATTTGGTTTTCAACTTCATGATGTATCACCAGCTAAACTTCGCAATACACCAATATACAGTGGTACCTCGGATTACAGACGCTTCAGGTTACAGACGCTTCAGGTTACAGACTCCACTAACCCAGAAATAGTACCTCGGGTTAAGAACTTTGCTTCAGGATGAGAACAGAAATTGTGCGGCGGCAGCATCAAGAGGCCCCATTAGCTAAAGTGGTACCTCAGGTTAAGAACAGTTTCAGGTTAAGAACGGACCTCCAGAATGATTAAGTTCTTAACCTGAGGTACTACTTTAGCTAATGGGGCCTCCCGCTGCTGCCGCGCCGCTGGTCCACGATTTCTGTTCTCATCCTGAAGCAAAGTTCTTAACCCAAGGTAATATTTCTGGGTTAGCGGAGTCTGTAACCTGAAGCGTATGTAACCCGAGGTACCACTGTACTGTATCACAATATCTGAAATAAGGATGGAACTATGTGGAGGCATTGCAGAGTGCGCGCACACACACACACACACACACCATGATTTGCAACATATTGCCAGGTCAAAAATTATGGACTTCAAACCGGTTTTGGACTATATATCGCCCAGCCCTAACACACATCCTGATCCATGATATATTGCCAGGTCAGAAACTAGGAAACCACTCTCACGATATGGACTTCACACCAGTTTTGGCCGATATATCGGCCAGCCCTAGCTTACACCAAGGAGCAGAAATATGGGGAGGCACAGAGGGCATAGCTTGCATGTGCACCGCTGCCCCTCATTTTAACCCTTGTGCATTAAATCATGTACCTGAAGAGGGCTAGACTTGGGCACGCGCTGTCGTTTTGAGGAGGTGCCCACCCCCCACATCCCCGCCCCAGATTTATCACCCCGCTCACCGAATGTCCCTCCATGATGTCCCTCCAGAGGGGCGCGTCGTTGTCCCTCTCTGCGATCTCCAGCAGGTTGTCGAGCACCACTTGGCCGATGAGGTCGTGGCGGGAGAAGCGGTCGAAATCGTAGATGCTGAAGTGCAGCTTGCGCGAGGGCAGTTCGGCAAAGGGGACGTTGAAGTTAAAAGTCTCGTTGAAAATGGGGTTCAGCGTCTTGCGGTGCACCTTGGTCTGGAACTTCTTCTTGCGGTCGGGAAGCAGGTACATTTTCACGTAGGGGTCGGAGAAGCCGTTGGCGTCTTTGGCGGGCAGGTCCAAGGCCCGCAGAATCCTCACCACCAGCTGCTCGGTGCCGTAGGCGTAGCGCAGGGCAAAGCTGATCCGCCCGCAGCTCGCGGCCTCGCCTTTCTTGGAGTCCGACTCGCCCGAGCGCTGCTTGTATAACTCGGGCTTTATCTGCCCAATGCTAGTCACTTGTTCCACCTTTTCTTCCCCTACGTGGACCCCGGTGTCCGGGCTGCTCAACTGCTGTGTCACGGGGCGTGGCAGCGTATTGTACCTGGGGAGAAAGGGGAGGAAAAAACAGTGGCTTGCGTGACCGTATAGATTAGCCACCCTGGGCAGATTCACCGGAAAAATTGAGAATCTTCTGGGCCAAATTCAACTAAGGGGTGCTGCAAATGGAAGCCAGTGAAAAGATTTCCACTGGTGCAATAGGGTTTCCCCCCCTCTCATCCCCCCACACCTCCGAATCACCTCTGCGAGGGTCAAGAGAACTTCCGACAGCCAGGCGTGAGGAGAGGGGACATTGTTCCATCAAGCAAGTATACCTGAAGGAGTGTCTCCACCCCCATCGTTCAGCCCGAACACTGAGGTCCAGCTCTGAGGGCCTTCTGGCGGTTTCCTCACTGCAAGGTTACAGGGAACCAGGCAGAGAGCCTTCTTGGTAGTGGCACCTGCCCTGTGGAACACTGTCCCATCAGATGTCAAAGAGATAAAAAACTATCTTTTAGAAGACATCTGAAGGCAGGCCTGTTTAGGGAAGTTTTTAAATGTTTGATGTTTTATCGTGTTTTTAATATTCTGTTGGGAGCTGCCCAGAGTGGCTGGGGAAACCCAGTCAGATGGACAGGGTATAAATACTATTATTATTATTATTTAAAATGCTTGTGCTTATGGAGGAATCTCCTCAACACTAAGTTGAATTCTGCCCTTGGCCAGGGAAGAAAAGCATTGGAGGAGAGAGATAGAGTGACTCCTCATTGTAGAGATTTTTTTGTTTTGGTCATAATTTTTTAAAATGATTTTCACCCAATTTAACAAATTCAATTGCGTTTCATACAGGATTCCCTTATCATTTTGACATCCCATCCTTATTTCCATGCTGTTTCTGTTCCAAGTTCTTTTATCCACTGCCTTAAAAACTTGTTTCTATAATATAAACCCTACATTGCATTCCTTTATCGTTCCTTTGCTTATATTTCTGGACCTGCCTGCGATTTCATTTGACATTAACAATTTCTCAGATAGTCCAAAAAGATTTTTAAAGCAGCTGGTCTAGATTCCAGACACCTGGAAACACTATTTATTTTCGTTGTCCTCATAACAACCTTGTGGGTTGTCCCTACAATTTTCATTTTAGGGTTGAGCCGCAACGCCAAGGAATAAGAGCATGAGAAGAAGCTGCTGAATCAAGCCAGAGGCCCATCGTAGTCCAACACGCTGTTCTCACAGTAGCCAGCCACATACCTGCGGGAAACCCGAAAGCAAAGCCCGAAACTTGAACACAAGAGCACTCTCCCCTCTTGTGATTTCTGGAATTCAGAGCCACACTCCCTCCAACACTGGATGAATGAACCTGCCTAATCCTCTTTTAAAGCCATCCGGGTTGGCGGCCATCACCGCCTCTTGTGGCAGTGAGTTCCACAGTTTCTGTGCCACATGGTAACTTTTCCAAAGAGTTCACAACGGAGGCAACACTTGAATCCTACTTGCCACACTATTCATTGCCCGTTGAGCCTCGACTGTTGAATTTATGCCCCAAATCTGTTGGCAATTTAAGGTGGGTTTTCCCCTTTAAAAAACCCCCAATATTCTTAGATAGCTGTTCAATATGCAACTGCTTCGGGTGTTTTCCCGGTCAAGGGAAGGAAGAGTCTGGGCCGTAGTTAAGGGGTCAGTTACAATTCAACATACCAGGCCTCCCAGGTTCATGTCTTCAATGCATACATCGCCCACCCTGGACCAGAAGGTCCCAGGGCAGGTTACACAGCAATAATCAATAAGAAACACAGTACAGGGAACAATCAAACCAACTAAAAACAACAGCACAAACAAAAGAAAATCAGTAAGATGAACAAAGATTCCCAAATGCTTAGGTTAAAAAACGTGCCCCTTCTTTGCAAGCCTTTCAAATATATGCAGAGTTGTTGCCATCTAAAAAGGTAAAGGTAAAGGGTCCCCTGACCATTAGGTCCAGTCGTGGCCAACTCTGGGGTTGTGGCGCTCATCTCGCTCTATTGGCCGAGGGAGCCGGCGTACAGCTTCCAGGTCATGTGGCCAGCATGACTAAGCTGCTTCTGGCGGACCAGAGCAGCGCACGGAAACGCCGTTTACCTTCCCGCTGGAGTGGTACCTATTTATCTCCTTGCACTTTGACGTGCTTTCGAACTGCTAGGTTGGCAGGAGCAGGGACTGAGCAACGGGAGCTCACCCCATCACGGGGATTCGAACCGCTGACCTTCTGATCGGCAAGTCCTAGGCTCTGTGGTTTAACCCACAGCGCCACCCATGTCTAAAAAAGGTAGGGAGCCCCAAAGTCTGAGGTTTTCCCAGATTTTGTATCCAACTCTGCCGCACAGATTAGAGGGGCACACATTCCCTCAAATACATATCGCTACATCTTGCTTGGGGCCACCACTGAGAATGCCTTCGTCCTACAATTCCCAGCATCCCTAGCTGTTGGCCATACTGCTGAGTCTGATGGGAGTTGGCGCCCAGCTTCTGGAGGGCTGCCCCTGCTCTCAGGCACTACGGGGAATTAAAATGGCAGCTCCCAGCGTCAGAGTGCTGTCCCCGATCCTCAAGTAACCAACGCTGGAGGCAGCCCATACAAGAGCAATTCATTGGGCCACTGAAACCTGGAGCTGCCCTTGCTTCATCATTCAGTGTATGTTCTCCACAGAAATGCCACACCTTGCCCATTTCTCCTCCACAACAACCTCCTGCAATGACAGGAGTACCATTTATTTCTTCGGCTACAAACTGGCTGAAAAGTCTTCCCAAACGGCTTAAAAGGTAAAGGTAAAGGGACCCCTGCCCATTAGGTCCAGTCGTGGCCAACTCTGGGGTTGCAGCGCTCATCTCACTTTATTGGCCGAGGGAGCTGGCGTTTGTCCGCAAACAGCTTCTGAGTCATGTGGCCAGCATGACTAAGCCGCTGCTGGCGAACCAGAGCAGCGCATGGAAACGCCGTTTACCTTCCCGCCGGAGCGGTACCTATTTATCTACTTGCACTTTGACATGCTTTCAAACTGCTAGGTTGGCAGGAGCAGGGACAGAGCAACGGGAGCTCACCCCGTCGCGGGGATTCGAACCGCCGACCTTCTGATCGGCAAGTCCTAGGCTCTGTGGTATAACCCACAGCGCCACCCACGTCCCTTCCCAAACGGCTTGCTATGACTTAAAACAAGGCTGTCTCTGCTCACAAACCAGAGGACATGACACAAAAGGGGGAAGGATGGAACAGGAAAACAGCAAACGAGTGCCATTTCCTAAAGTCCTTAAACCATCTTTCCCTGTTTCATCCTTATGCCCACCGCCCCTGGCGACCCTCCCACCTTCCCAACTCACCTGGGCGTGGGCGCCAAGCTTGCTACTTGCTGATGGGAGTGGGCGTTGGGCATGGTGCCTTCCTTGGTGCTGGTCTGGCCTTCCACGGGGAGGTCAGGGGAGGTCTGGCTGACCTTGAGGTTGGCCTCGGGGTAGGAATCCATATCGAGGTAGGACCTTTCGGGCATCTCGGGACCCAGCTCCACCCGCTCGGCCAGGAGGTCCCCGAAAGGCGAATGGTGGAGGTGAGCATGGAGGGGGTGCTCCTTGCGCTGCGTCTGCGAAGAGGAGCCCTTGTCCCGCCAGGGGATCCAGCACAGCTTCCACGAGACAAAGAGGGAGACGCCCAGCAGCACGATCCCACAGAAGGTCACGATCACTGACAGGAGGCTGACCAGGATCTCTAGGGGAGAAAAGTGGAGGGGCAGATACCACGACGGGAGGTCAACGGCAGGGAGGTGGCTGCTGTAGGTGCCTGGCATCTCGGTCGCCGGCCCAGGTGCGTCCCCTCTCCTCTGCTGGACACTGTCCCCTGCCCTGCCCAGGACACCTAAACTATTATTGCCAATGGCCGCAGGCCAGGAGGCTCTGCAGGTCAATGGCAGGGCTGCTTGTATGACTTGGCTGACACTATCAAGCCAGCACTGGCCTCATGCAGCAACCGTCTCCAGCACCCTCTGGGGCCTCGTCTACTCAGGACGGAACAGACCGGAAGCTGGGCGATGTCACCAACTGCCAGTAGAGGCCTTGTGAATCTGATCCCTCCCGCACTGGCAGCCAAAAAGCAGGTAAACAAGAAGAATTTTTACCAAGTAATTTTATTCAATACAGTGGTATCTCTGGTTAAGTACTTAATTCGTTCCGGAGGTCCGTCCTCAACCTGAAACTGTTCTTAACCTGAAGCACCACTTTAGCTAATGGGGCCTCCTGCTGCCGCCGAGCCGCCAGAGCACGATTTCTGTTTTCATCCTGAAGCAAAGTTCTTAACCTGAGGTGCTATTTCTGGGTTAGTGGAGTCTGTAACCTGAAGTGTATGTAACCTGAAGCATATGTAACCTGAAGCGTATGTAACCCGAGGTACCACTGTATTCACAGAGAGAGAGACGAAGGAATTCAGTCTCCCAAAGATAATGGCGTTGCTCTGAGTAAACTCCCACCCCCTCCGTCTTTCCTATTCTACGTCACCCCTGCGGCGGCTAATCTGAGCTTTCTGCCTCAGAGCTCTCTGTTCTACTACTCTCAAGGCTCACATGATCCTGGGGGTGGGGGTCAGGAATGCTTTCCAAAGAAGACCCTCAGTCTGTCAGCTGTCTCTCCCCTGGTGCTGCTGCTTCTTCCTGTTGTTCCTCTCCCAATATTCCCCAGCTTCTCCCCTCTGCAGCCTGTGAACTATGCCCTTCTGCAAACCACTGATCTAAATCTATACTGTCCTCCTCTTCTCGGGAAAGTTCAGGAAGGGGGCGGGATAGCAATCCCCACCTTTCCTCCTCAGTCCAGCTCCTGACACCCTGGCAGACAAATCCACATAACCCCTAATGATACTGTGAACCGCCCCGAGATCTACGGATGAAGAGCAGTATACAAATTTTAATAATAATAATAATAATATGCCTTTTCTGCAGGTTTTAATAGAAAAGATGCTTTGGGGGCCACTTGTCTCAAAATCGAGATATGAATAGAATAAATCGTACATATTAGGAAACTCAGCTTGCCAAGAGTGGAGTCTTAGGCAGCTCAGTTGGCTAGTGTGGTGAGGATAACGCCAAGGTTGCAGGTTCGATCCCAGTATGGGACAACTGCATATTCCTGCATTACAGGGGTTTGGACCAGATGGTCCAATTCTATGAATCTAAGCACAAGAGGGAGGTATCATTGGGCTACGGGGAAAGCCACCCCCCAAGCTGTGGAAATAGTAATAATGATAGTAATAAATTAGGGTGATGGGGGAGAGACCCGAAACAGTCTACTGAGGACTGAGCATGCTCGATGGCCACAGGGCCATCTGCTGAGGGAAGAAAACGGATGGAAGACAATGGAATGGAGTCCCCTGGAAAACAGAAATGGCTCACTGGCTGGCACCTTGAACAAAAGGTCTCTCTTGTATATCCAGCCTTCCAGATTTCTCCATTGCTAAAATATGCCTCCCATTAAATCCCACTCTTGCAAGAGACAGCCAGCACAACCCGTGCCCTAATAAATACCCCAGCAATGAAGGTTTAAACAAGAAACTTCCAGAATTTTATTTTATTTTTAAAAATCAAATTGGAGGTAATTTGCGTTTTTGCAACAGGAGTTGACATGTTTACACTTCTCAATTCAAAGCATTTGTACCCACCCCACCACCCACGGGGGGTGGGTTTTTTGCTCCAGCAAAAGCAGTGAGGACTGGAAACTTGATTGTTTTAAAATACAATTGCCAGGATCCCACAGATCCTGTCAAGACTGCATCTTCACATTTGGTTGGTAAACACGGATCACCTGAAACGCCATTTGCCTGAGTGCCAGCATCAACACTGAAAATCTGATATTACCCTAACAGTCCCTGTGCCTTCCCCCTCACCTTCATGGACTCCTGCCTACGCCTAGGCCACGATTCTTCCTCCTGCTGAGATCCTTCCTCTAGATATGGGCCATATCCTCCCCTACCTCTAGGCTCCTCACCTGAGTTGATGGGACCCACATGGCCTGTCAGTTCCTGACACTTCTCGCGTTCCTGGGCAGCGCATGTGTTGGAACACAGCACATGAAGAAGCTCCATTGCCCTGCGGTGTCTGTCTTCATCATAATCTCCCGACATGATGCCTGAAGACAGGACAGAAAACATATTTTTCAACATATATTTAAGGAGGGAGGGGGACAACCAAGGTCATGCAAGTCTTTGGGGCCATGGTTACCTCAGAACCGAAGTTCAGTGTGGCTACTTTTCAGCGTTACGCTGATTCCCAATGCTCACTGAAGTGGGTTCACAAGAGGTTACTGCCTATAAGGTCCTGGGTTCATTCCCCAGCAACCCCTGGTAAACAAATCAGGTATGCAGGTAGGGGGAAAGGATTCTCTGCTTGAGGCCCTGGACAGTGGCTGCCAGTCAGAGTGGACATCACTAGTCTGGCCTGGAATAAGGCCAGCTCCCTGTGTTCCTAGAAATGCGTCCTATGTCTGCTCATTATTTGGGGGCAACTGGGCTGCCGCTGGAAATGGCTGCATCTGTTCCATTGGGGTTCTGCCCTCTTGCGCATTCGCCTTCAGCATGCCCTCAACTTCACTTCCCCAGCAGAAGAGGAAAAGGGAAGCCTCGTCCATTGATGTGACAAAACCGTCACCCCTTAGAACAGGCTTCCTCAGCCTCGGCCCTCCAGATGTTTTTTGGCCTACAACTCCCATGATCCCTAGCTAGTAGAACCAGTGGTCAGGGATGATGGGAATTGTGGTCTCAAAATATCTGGAGGGCCGAGGTTGAGGAGGCCTGTCTTAGAATAAGCCGTCCTGGGCCTCTGTTTAGAGTTACCTTGTGGGGAGACCAGCTTTGGTCCTCCCCACCTAAAAAACTTGCCCAATTTCCTACAGGCCTACTTGGCCTACTTGGCATGCCAACTTACTTTACCCAGAAAAGCAGTACTGTATAAAGGTTAGATCAGTGACAGGGCAGTTTTCCTGTATAGGGAAGTTTTTAATGTTTTATTATGTTTTTGTATATGCTGGAAGCTGCCCAGAGTGGCTGGGGCAACCCAGTCAGATGGGTGAGGCATAAATAATAAAACTGTTATTGTTGTTGTTGTTGTTGTTATTTCTTTCTGCCAAAGGCCATGGGGATAATTTGTGGGGGGCTGCACAGAAGTGGGGTGTGAACCTCCTTTTTTTCTGCCATCTCATTCTTGCTCTTTTGCTTCTGCTACCCATTTAACCCCTCTGTTTTCCCTCCATGAAATTAAGTCAAAATATATCTGGGCAGACCCGGGTCCAAGCAGCTCAGTGGGGTCTCAGCCATGCTAACTGGGTGACCTTGGGCAAGCCACTATGAGTCAAACTTTCTCAGCCTAGCCTACCTCACAAGGTTGTTGTGAGGCTAAAATAGGAGAACCACGTGTGCCACCTTTGAGTTCCCCGGAGGAAAGGGTGGGCTGTAAGTGGATTTTCTATGTGACGTCCCCTCAGGAAAACTAAGGGGGGGGCAATTAGATTTGCAGCGTATGAACCTCACCCCTTCCCACAAACACCCCATTTTCCTTTTGAGCCAGGGTGTACATCGTATACGGTGAAGGGAATGTGGAACAGTCTAGATTGAAAGGCTTCTCCTCCAGTAACCCCTGACAGAGGCGTCAAATGCAGTCAGCCTGTGTTCTGTTTATTCCAGGCAGAAAATAGAAAGGCAGGCAGACAAGGGCAGACAGCAGGAGAAGCAACATGACCTTTTTTCAGGGTAATAGGCATTTATAGGAAGGGCTTCTGGTTTCCTGACCGATCCATGCTTGGGATTCCCCATTTCAGAGAATTGCAGAAGGGAGACCAGGAGCCAAACTGGGCCTTAACCAGGGAAATGAGCTCGATTCTCTTGTAACGTTAACATGTCTGCATGGGGGCCACATTTGCAAAGCAGAATCAGTTTTTAGACCTCAGTCCCTCCCAGGCAGCCTTGGCAAACCTGCGCTCGCTAGACGTTTTGGGGCGGCAATTCCTATAGGTAAGTTCGACTTGAAGGGCTCTCCTCAGCCAGATGGGGCACTGAGGTGACACAGTCAACAAGGCATATAAAATGGAGAGCATGTTAGGCCCTTCCAAAAGGGACATGGCCAGTTGCTAAGGAAGCAAAGGAGTTTAATGGTGGATTTTGGATATAATGGAGATGTAAAAGATTTGGATTATTATAAAAGATGCAGGAGGAAATGACTAAAAACAGGACCCACAAAAGGGAGGAGGGAAGATTATTTGGAATCTTGTTTTTATGATGTATGTTGGATATGTGATTGCAAAACTTTAATTTGAAAAACTAGATAAATAAATGTATAAAGAAGGGGAGAAGCAAAGGATTCGCTAAACATCACTTCCTGTTCCCCAACCGCTGCTGTTATGTGGTCCAGGTATCGAACTCAGGACACAAGGGAGAAACGTGCTAAGAGGAAGGCACGCTTGGCAAATCCACACCGTGATCAACTCCTGCCCGGAAACCAATGTCCCCACTGTGGAAGGACGTGTGGATCCAGAATTGGCCTCCACAGCCACTTATGGACTCAACGATAAAACCGTGTTTATGGAAGACAATCTTACTCGGCTACGAGTGATCGCCAAAGAAAGAAAGAAAGAAAGAAATAAAGAAAGAGAGAAAGAGAGAGAGAGAGATTGGCCCTGGAGGGTGAATGCCAATGGCTGCCCCACATCCCAGGACCGTGTGTGGAGCTGATGGACATCACGTTGAGGAAAGACAGTGGAACATTTCCCTACAGATATAGGCCTACGGGCTTTCCCTCAAGGTTGTCTCACCACTGGATCTAATTTTAAGGATTAAAAACAGCTGTTTCAGTACTTCTGGTCCCATAAGTCCGGTTGGTGTCTATGAACATTTTTTTCTTTGCTTTGCAGAGCGCAAGATGACTGGCAAGTCCCTACCCACCAAGGATCTTACAATCAAACATTCAACACAGGGGGAAACAGGGAAGTAAGGAGATGGGAGGCAGGAACCGCCCTTTGCGCTCTCACCTGGTCAGCAAACTGGTTCAGGGGGTGGCTGTCAGGTTGCTTCCGTGTTGCCGGATCCAGGATGCCAACCGGTCCAGGTCAATGCCAGCAAGACGCCAATACCAAGTCCCTGGGGATCCGAGTCCGCGTGGAAGCAGCTGCAAGCCGGAAGCAGGGCACCCAATCTGCCATCCGGCAAGCTGCTGGGTCCATGGGTCGCCAAGTGGGGAAGCGGCAGGGTGAGAGGGGTTGCGCCCTCTGCTGGATGCACGAGGGAACAATCTGCAGAGGCGAAGAGGGTCAGTAGTCTTGGCTGGCTTTGCTATGCCTGGGTGGCGTGCCCAGTCCCCAGCTGTCCCTGGGGGGCTTCTTCATGGCGGGAGGGGGCTGTTGTCTTAAGTCCTTGGCAAAATTGCACCGCTGCAGTTGCCACCTTCCTTAGTTTCGTAGGCACCTGCATGGATACAAAGGCTAGTTATTTGGGGTGGGCTCATTCCCCCCTCCTGTTGCTCCCATTCTTCCCATGACCACCCCCAGCCACATCAGATGGAATAGAGCATATGGATCTCTAGCGCCCCCACCACCCCAACATCCTTTTTGTAAGCCCAAAGACAGCTTCTTCTAGAATCATAGAATCATAGAGTTGGAATAGACCACAAGGGCCATCGAGTCCAACCCCCTGCCAAGCAGGAAACACCATCAGAGCACTCCTGACATATGGTTGTCAAGTCTCTGCTTAAAGACCTCCAAAGAAGGAGACTCCACCACACTCCTTGGCTGCAAATTCCACTGTCGAACAGCTCTTACTGTCAGGAAGTTCTTCCTAATGTTTAGGTGGAATCTTCTTTCTTGTAGTTTGGATCCATTGCTCTGTGTCTGCTTCTCTGGAGCAGCAGAAAACAACCTTTCTCCCTCCTCTATGTGACATCCTTTTATATATTTGAACATGGCTATCATATCACCCCTTAACCTCCTCTTCTCCAGGCTAAACATGCCCAGCTCCCTTAGCCGTTCCTCATAAGGCATCGTTTCCAGGCCTTTGACCATTTTGGTTGCCCTCCTCTGGACACGTTCCAGTTTGTCAGTGTCCTTCTTGAACTGTGGTGCCCAGAACTGGACACAGTACTCCAGGTGAGGTCTGACCAGAGCAGAATATTACTTCCCTTGATCTAGATGCTATACTCCTATTGATGCAGCCCAGAATTGCATTGGCTTTTTTAGCTGCCGCGTCACACTGCCAGTTTGCATTTCTTAGTACAGAAAGTATTGATCTGATGGGTGGAGATCTTTCCTATTCTACTTAATACAAGAAGGTTCAAGAAGTTTCTATGTGAAAGAAGCAGGAAGGTTTTTGTTGTTTGGGTTATTTCCTTCTGGGAAGCTGAGTACAGCTGGTTTAAACTCGTTCTGTTATCTTTCTGCCAAGGTCATGCTGACTATAATAGGGAGGCCAGAAGGAGCCTAAGTTTCACTTATTATCTCTTTTCTGTCTCTTTGTTCTAGTCTGGTGTTCTGTATGCTATAATGTTCTAGTCTGGTGTTCTGTATAATTTGTTCTAGTCTGGTGTTCTGTATGCTGGATGAAGTACAATTGCCTCTGGTCTATGTTATAAAACTCCGCATCGTGTTTAAGTTTCTTCCTCTGCTGGCGCTGGAAAGTCATCTTCTTCCAACAGGCTGAAAAGAAGAATAGTGGAAGCCAGGACACCCGGGTTTCTTGAGAGCTATCTGGTGGGATTGGGCAGTCACAGTGTAGGAGAAATCCAAATTCTAGCGCTGGGAATTGGTTATGCCAGGGTTCTCACAAAGGAAACACTGTTTGTGCGGTGCCCATGGGCACAATGGTGCCCTTGAAGTCTTCTTCTGGTGCCCACAAAGCCTCTGAGGGGGCCCCCATCCTTCACTGCCCCCCTGGCAATCAGATAGGGAAGGTGCTTACCTTTTTCTTCATCAAGCTGAAGGAAGAAGTTGGAGGAGTGCCATTCTTTCCCACTTCCTCTTTCAGCTAGATGTGCTTTTCGAGGCTCGCATCGATATACCTCAGCCAGTACAGCAGAAGACTCTTGATCCCATGGTTGTGGGTTCGAGTTCCACACTGGGTGAAAGATTCCTGACCCTCGTGCCCCCCTCCAACTCTACAAATCTATGGTTCTATGGTCCACCTTTTACCCAGATCCCTTGGAAAAGCGAAGTGCGTGCACATTTTCTCCCTTTCTGTCTCTTGAGGAGGCAGTGTGTGTGTGTGTGTGTGTGTGTGTGTGTGTGTGTTACGGGTCTCATTTGTGGGGTGGAGAAAGGAAATGATCAGAGGGGGAGGGACCTACAGCTCTCGCTCAAAACCTGGAGCATATTCATGGGCCTAAAAAAACGCCAGCAACGTTTTAGAAGAATTAAGAGGTGGCAGTCACTAAAAGGCATCAACACCCAGATTCTCTAAGCCAAGAGTGTGATCAGGGCTAAGTACACACAAGACTTGGGGCCCGCTTCCAAGATATAGGCTGCATGCACACTGTAGCCTTAAGACACGTTCAAAGCTCATTATGTCCCTCAAAGAATTCTGGGAATTGTAGTTTGCCCCTCATGGAGTCACAATTCCCAGCAACTCTCAACAGATGACAGTGCCCATAATTCTTTGAGCGTAGAGAATGTGCTATGAATGTTCTTTAAAGGTGAGTGGGCAGCTATAGGGCTGTAACCAACGTCAGTCAAGCTCAGAGCAGGCCCACTGAAATTAATGGAAGCTGCTGACTTGGATCCTTTTGGGTTCCACACAGGTTTACTATGAGTAGGACTTGGCTGGATACAGTCCATCCATTTATATAGATGCAGAGTTTCCGAGGGGGAAGACACCTTAGGTTCTCACTGTCAAAGATTAGTCTATTACATCAGGCATCCCCAACCTTTGGCCCTCCAGATGTTTTAGACTACAATTCCCATCATCCCTGACCACTGGTCCTGTTAGCTAGGGATCATGGGAGTTGTAGGCCAAAACATCTGGAGGGCCGCAGGTTGGGTATGCCTGTATTATTGAGTGCCAGCAGCAATTTCTGGGCTCGCTGTACGTTAATTGGGACCTCTGCCCCACCTGCGATCTATTGGCAAGAGCTGCTGCTTAGGTACATATTAGAATTAAAACTTTGAAGTCTCATCGAACCTCTAATGCAATTTCTCTCCCGCACCTACTCACAGGCACCCATTTCCCCTTTCCGCCCTGTCCAGCGCTTGCAGGTAAAAGAAAAGGTAAAGGACTCCAGGACGGTTAAGTCCAGTCAAAGGCGACTATGGGGTTGCAGCGCTCATCTCGCTTTCAGGCCAAGGGAGCTGACGTTTGTTCACAGACAGCTTTCCGGGTCATGTGTCCAGCATGAGTAAACTGCTTCTGGCACAATGGGATACTGTGATGGAAACCAGAGCACACAGAAACGCCGTTTACCTTCCCACCACAGCGGTACCTATTTATCTACTAGCACTTGCGTGCTTTTGAACTGCTAGGTTGGCAGGAGCTGGGACAGAGCAACGGGAGCTCACCCCGTCGCAGGGATTTGAACCACTGACCTTCTGATCGGCAAGCCCAAGAGACTCAGTGGTTTAGACCACAGTGCCACCCGCATCTTCCAGTGCTTGCAAGTCACCTGTTGCCAGTCGATACCATCCATGCGGGATGCCCGGCAACCACAGATCAACACAATCAGAGCCACGACCGAAAAGTCAATGAAGATGGCGGGTGGCCTGGAACCCTAAGCGGCAGGGCACTTTGCAGTGTGCTGGGCCAGCCCGTAAACAAAGTGCAAATAAATAAGTAAATAAATATTGGGGGTGGGGAAGAGAGAGATGGGGCTAAAAACACATACACAAAAGAGGTTGGCTCTCCCCTAGGCCACCTGCTATCAACACCCCTGGGTGCAATGTAGCAGATCCAGGCGAGGGAGTCCGAGACGCCCTACGGGTGCGAGGAATGGGGTATATTAGGCACCTGCTGATAATCTGTGCCGCTGTGCTCTTGCGTAAAAACGTGGCGGTCTCCCCCAAATATAAATTCCATCACAGAATTCCCTGCCTTTGCAGACTGAGGAACAGTGTGTGTGTGTGGCCTAATTAGAGACTGGAAGGTTGGAAAGCACAATGGTTTTTGTGTGCAAGAGAGAGAGAGAACACAAACCTATTTTTCTCACTTTCTCCACCTTTGTCCCTTTTCTATAAAGGAAGACGCCGGCAGAGGGCTAACCATGGGAGACTCCTTTTCTCCAGGAGAATAGTGAGTCATGAGGGTGGGGAGATGATATCCAGGTCCTCAGCTTTTCCCCACCCCGCCAATACCGCTGCAGCTTCTTCCGCTGCATCTCTGCTGGAGTCGCCAGCGTCCGCTCCTGCCCAGAATAACAAGTACCAAGGGCTGGGTGATGATAGTACAGCATATCCCCCCTTGCCCCCCCTCCCCAGTCTTTACAGCTGTGATCTCAATCTTTCTCGCTCACCTCTCATCCTCGGCCCTCAGCCTGCCTCGCCCACACACCCGGACCAAAATCACCCCCGTGCAACCCCCATCCTTGGCAGCTCCTCTCCACCCCCAAAACAGCCGGTTCTTCTTTCCATACTGCTGCCACCATTTATAAACATTTCTTTTCAAAAAGGCAGGTAAACATGACAGCGTTTCGACCGGGTGGCGGGGGCTGAGGGGAGAAAGAAAGGCACATGTCTTGCAACAGCCTTGCCCTCGGCAGACCCCAAATTAGCAGGTTTCAGCCATTTCATTATCTCACCCCCTGTCCTCTCGGTTTTTCCAGGATCGTCTAAAATCATTAATAATTATTTTTGGCATCCTTATCAGACAGACCTGGGGTCTCCCCCCATGCCCCTTCCTGCCTCCCTCGATTTATTTCTTGCTCTCCTGCCCAGCTAAGTAGCTTCCTCTGGGCCAAAGCTAATCTAATTATTATTGTTGTTGATAATATCTTCCTGTCTAGCCTTCCAGCCTTATCTACAGGATTTCTGCTACTACACATGCACCTTTCGCACCTTCCCCGGTCGAACGGCTAATTGCCACACATCTTCACCATCTCCGCCCTCCCAGTTTCCCTCAAATCATCCCACCAGGTTGCAACACCCTGCTTTGCCATCCAAGTCTTCATTTATCAGCTCTGGAAGGAATCACTCAGCTACAGGGAGGAGGAGATGGGGAAGAACAGATCCCAAAGGCCTCTGGGGTGAAAGCGCATCCATGCACCCAAATCTCTCCGAAGCGAACCATCCCAAAATGTCGGATTCTTCACAGGCCCCCTCGCTTAGGAGATACCATAAACCTTGCCCTCCGTCATGTGGAAGTGAGTGTCAGGGCAGGTGTTGGTGTAAGGTCAGCAGTAACTCACAAGGTATTGGCGAAGCTAACTCTTTATTCAAAGAAACAAAAAGCAGCTCAGGTTGAGTTAATAGATCTTGCCTCAATGTGGCAGTTGTGAGGACTGCCTTCCCACAGTTGCCCAAGTCTCCTTCTCTCCAAGCAACCTGAGGCCCCTTCGTCTTGTCTCTCTTTGCTCCGCCCTCTTCATTCCTCTTTGGGTTCTTGGAGACTGGGGAGCAGGGAGCTGAGTGCCACAGGAGGAGGAGACCCCCCAACTTCTTCAGCAACCTGCCTCCACTCTGCCTTTTGACTCCTCTCCAGCCTCTGCTTCTGGACTGCTCTCTGCCACAGCTTCTTCCTGCTCACTAAACCCTGTTACCTCTTCAGTTTCTGACTCCTCCTCAGCGTTAGAAATGCAGGTATATAGGTTATAGTCACCACAACGGAACCTCTAGGTACCGCATTTTTTGTTTTTCCAATGGAACCTCTTATTCTTACTCTTATTTTCACATATATGTGTGTGTATATATATATATATATATATATGAATAAATCTCAAAGCTATTTACAACACATTAAAACACATTAAAACATCAAATAAAACAATCCAGAATACAGTGGTACCTTGGTTCCAGAACGGCTTGGCTCCTGAACAAATTGGCTCCCATACACCACAAACCCGGAAGGGAGTGTTCCGGTCTGCGAACGTTTTTCGGAATCTGGACGTCTGACATGGCTTCCGATTGAGTGCAAGAAGCTCCTATAGCCAATTGGAAGCTGTGCCTTGGTTTTTGAACTGTTCTGGGAGTCAAACGGAGTCCCAGAACGGATTAAGTTTGAGAACCAAGGTACCACTGTAAAACACAATTCAAGCTTCAAGGAAAATATTTCAGATCTTCCTCTAAGTGGCATTTTGCTTTCCGTAGTCACCAGCCTGACTTCCAGAGATCTCCACATGGTCGCAATTGGACCCATGCCAGTCACAAAACGCACCTGGCTAATTTTGAACACTGCTCCTGCTCCCAGTCTCCTCCCTCTTCTCCCTCTGACCACTCGTTGTTGTCCCACCACCAGTCCCCTGGGTCTGAGCCTTCTTCCCCTGGGCGTTCCCTGGGGGGGGGTTCCCCAGCTGGTTCGTGTCCCCACTCCTCTGCATCCAGCCAGTCCATGACAGGGAGTGAGGACAGGCCTGAGAAGGTGTTCACACCATTGGACTGGCTGGCAGAGACTGCTTACATAGTCTACATTTAACACACACCACTCCCCCCTCCCAAAAAAAATCCCAGGGACTGTGGTTCTCTGAGGAGTAAAAGCAATGCACATGTTGTGTAGGCAGCCACAGTTCAAGGGCTGGGACGGTAACCCACTCCGGAAAATCCTCTCCGCTGGCGCTGCGGGTCAAAGTGTTAGCAGGAAGACCCCATCAATGCCAGGCGCCCAGATGGTCCCTGCCACATCACGTTAGGGAAACCTTTGCAAACAAGGCCGCAGCCAGCCCAAGCCTTCTGCCAGTCCGCTTGGGGATGAAGGCAGGGCAGAGGGAGCATGTGGAAAACATACGCAAAGCACCCAGCTGTCTGCAGCGCCAGCCCAAATGCAGTACAATCCGTGCCCGTGTGCGTGGCTCCGGGGTCCGCGCACATATTTGCTCACGCACGTTTTTCTTTGAGAAGCTGGCCCACGCGCTCATGCCTCCGTTTAGCAAATCAAATGCCCGCTGTTCTCCTGAGCGATGAAAGGACTCCTTGAGGAAGGATAGCAGAGCACCTTCTCTGCACGCATAAAGGTTTACCTGGCATCACCAGTTTAAAAGATCTGGCAGCAGGTAAGGGGGGAAAACCCTCTCTGCTAGAGAGCTGGGAGAATGGCTGCCTGCCAGAGCTGACAGTACTAGCTTGATGGTCAAAGAGTCTGATTCGGTAGAAGCCAGTTCCCTTTTCTCTAAGCACAGCCACATTGCTTTGCCCCGAATATGTCACACAACCTGGGAGAACACCAAAAGCACGCTGGTGCCGCCATGTCTCCGACGCAAAGCTGCTTAAAAGGAGCTAATTAATTCTGACATGCTTGCGGGAGCAGAAATGCTTAATTTCGCGAAAAGGGAAGTTCCAGCACTCATCTTACCTATTAACCCGTGTTCCCTTTCTCAGGAGCCGGGCCTACAAGCCAGAGTCATGGCAGATGTCCACAGACGGGGCAGTATGGTGCAATGGTCAGACTTACATTGGGGGGCGGGGACTGAGTTCCGGTCCCTACTCAGCCGCAACGCTTACTGAATTACCTCAGCTCTCAGCCTAATCTATGTCACAGGGCTGTTGCGAGGATAAAATTGGAGGGAAAGTGGGGGAAAGAGAGAATTACATACGCCATCCCAAGGTTTTCGGGGGAAGGGCCGGGATAAAAATGTAACAAATAACAAAACTTCAGCATGGGCTGGCTTGGAAAAGATGGCCAGATTCTGAGAGAAAGCGATTTTACAAACTGGGAGGATTGCGGGTAAACAGTGCCTCCCCCTCCGCCAGTGAGTCGTATACAGTATTTAATTTTTGTGATGTGCTAAATTTTTTAAAAGGCAATGAGCAAACAAAAAAGGAGGAGGATTTAGTGACAAGGGAATGCCAGTCTGCACATGCTCAAATACAGACTCCTCAAAGAGAATTAAAAATATAAATGAAAAATATAATGAAAGACAGCGGCAGGGAATGCATAACGAATGGCCCGGGACCTCTTTAGAACCATATTCTAACCACACAATCTGAGTCTGTACCAAACCTTACAATCTCCTGCTGGATAGCTCAGTCGGTAGAGCATGAGACTCTTAATCCCAGGGTTGTGGGTTTGAGCCCCACGTTGGGTGAAAGACTCCCACATTGCAGGGGTTGGACTAGATGACCCTTGTGTACCTTTCCAATTCTACAATTCTATGTTTCTGTCTGCGGGTAGGTGGCTGATGACCACAAGGAGGTTCTTCTAAACCATGGCGTTTCACATTTGGAGTGCTCACTCCAAAGAAGCCTGCCTGGCCCCTACTCTTATAGCTTTTCAATAATAATAATAATAATAATAATAATAATAATAATATCCAGACATTCCAGTGTGTTATACAGCTAGTTCTAAGCAGTGCTTTTTTTCTTGAAAAAAAAATAAATGTTATGGGGTACTCTCATTTTCCTACTCATATTTAAATACTTCCCCTCAATGAGGCCAAACTTAGATTCAGAAAATGTTTAGGGGTCTGCTTACCCCCAGAAAAAAGCACTGGTTTTAAGTGTTGCTTTATTGTCCAGTCTGATTTAATTAAATTGATGCTGCCAGGGAGTTGTGGTTTGTTTGGTTTTTTTGCTTTTCAGATTAATGAATTTTTATTATACTATTTTATTCTTTTAAACTGCAAGGTGTACTGGGAACCGAAGGTTGGCTCTAAGTAGGATACAAAATAGGGTAGGTGCATTCTTTTGTGGCAGACTACTGCTTTTAAAAATGAATCATGGTACGGTGGTACCTCGGGTTACAGACGCTTCAGGTTACATACGCTTCAGGTTACAGAGTCCGCTAACCCAGAAATAGTACCTCGGGTTAAGAACTTTGCTTCAGGATGAGAACAGAAATCATGCTGCAGTGGCACAGCAGCAGTGGGAGGTCCCATTGGCTAAAGTGGTGCTTCAGGTTAAGAACAGTTTCAGGTTAAGAACGGACTTCTGGAACGAATTAAGTACTTAACCCGAGGTACCACTGTACCTGACCTGGACAAGGCCAACAGCAGAAAATAATGCAATTTGACCGGGAAAAGAACTGTGGCCCCACTTAGGGGGCCTGGAGGATTTGAGAAGCTCATAAGGATGGAGGAACAGCCTTGCAATGTCAGGCCAATGGGGCACTGAACCCATCACCCGGCTTGGTTGGCTGCCCAGCTGACATTGGCCCTCGACAGAGCCTTTCATTGGTGGCTCCGTGATTGTGAGATCCCCCCCCCCCCACATACCCTCAAACATTTCCCTGATGAAAATAGAGACATTCTCCTCCAACATTTCTCTGAGGAAAAGAGGGACGTCCTAAGGGAAACCGGGACATTTCGGGATCAAATCAGAAACTGGGACAGCTTCTGCAAATCCAGGACTGTCCCTGGAAAATAGAGACATTTGGAGGGACTGTCCCTAGTGAGGTGCGTTTACTAGAAATGCTACAGGTTCCCCATTCGCCAATTTAAATAGAATTATATATCTCAATGTCGCGGGGAGGACTGTGATCTGCAGTCCTGTTCAGTCAGTGGTAGAGGGCGCACTAACTGCTGGTGGGCAGTTTCATGACCTCTGTGGCTCCCTTCTTATGGTTTTTGGTCTTTAGCCAGAATCTGGACTGGAGAGAACTTCTCCAAACAGAGGACTGTCTCTGTGAAATAGGGCACACAGCCACCCTAGTTCTGGGATAGCCTGGAACCCTCTGCAGTTTGGCCAGTTGCATTACACATACAGTGGTATCTCGGGTTACAGGCGCTTCATGTTACAGACGCTTCAGGTTACAGACTCCGCTAACCCAGAAATAGTACCTTGGGTTAAGAACTTTGCTTCAGGATGAGAACAGAAATCGTGCGGTGGCAGCGCAGCAGCAGCGGGAGGCCCCATTATCTAAAGTGGTACCTCAGGTTAAGAACAGTTTCAGGTTAAGAATGAACCTCCGGAACGAATTAAGTTCTTAACCCGAGGTACGACTGTATTTGTTTAAGTTAGCACTCCTCAGCCTTTTGCAAAGCAGTCTTCTCTGTGCCACTGTTTATGGCCAGTTTTAGCCTGTGATGAGAATTGTGATCATCATCATCTTTTCTCAGCATAAGCCAGATATGGATCAAGCATGTCAGAGATAAAATATCTGAAAGGGACATTGATTTTTTTCACCTTTGTTTATGTCTGGGCATTCCAAGCCTTCAGGAAACTTCCTAGTAAGGCAATATGTCTGATGCTTGTTTGTTTCACGTTTCCGCAGGAAGATAAATAGGAATGCCTCCTAACTTTCAAGAGTCAGGCGGCACCTTAATGCTCACACACTTAATAGTGCAATCCTACACCTCTTTACTCAGAAGTAAGTACTACTGTACTCAACGGGACCTGCTCCCAGGATCTGCCAATTCTGGTCCCCTTGGTTTCTCATTTTTCCAACCTTAATTTCCGTTCTTGAAATTGCAATTTCAAGAAAATTCATCAGCACTTTTGCAAATTTCTCCCAATAAACACATCTTTGTATGCAGTTTTGAGCAATGTACTCATTCTTGTAAGCAGTTTCTCATAATGCAATGCTTTTTGGTATGTTGCTTTTGGGAACATATTCATTTTAACGCACACTTTTCCCACCGCCTTATATATGCACCTTTGTAAGCACAGTTTGGTCAAACAACTGCATCACAAAATTCGGACAAGTGCAAATTTTGAAGGTAGGTCGTTGTTACGGTCCTCATACAGTTTTTCAAAGTGCACATCTGACCGATTCGCCTTCAAGAGCAAACAGAACAGAATTTCTTCCCCCATCCACTACTCCTAGGTACAGGATTGCAGTCATACTATGGCACGAACTTTCGTAAACATGCAGCATCAGACCAGATGGTGCACTTAAGTAATTTTAGACTCGTGGCTTAATGGCCTCTGGGCAAGGGCGGGCCTCTTTTCACGTATTAGTTCACTCACTTTAAAATGTAGCAATCCAGCCCTGCTGGGTTTGGGGTCCTTTTGCTCAGCCCTGATGACATCTCTGCATCTGATGAAACAGGCTCCTGTTTATGCCACATTAAAAGATGTTAAAGAACAACTCTTCCGAGTTGCTTTCTTTGGGGCAGTGGGAAGGCAACCGCCTAATGCAGTTTGTCTTTCTGGAACGTACTTCTTTCAAGCAATTTAAGTATCAGCTCCAAGAGCAGACAGAACAATAGGGCCATTCGTGCTGGCAAATTTCCATATCCCTTCTATTTTTAATTGTGAGGTTTTGGCATATGGATCTCTTCTCGTTTTCTTTTATCATCGTCATTCTTTTGAAAGCCCTATAACAGGAAACATGTTTGTGTGTGTGTGAGAGAGAGAGAGTGTCCCTATTTATTTGGTTCATTCGCACCTGACAAAGATCAGGAATATCCCCATTTCAGAGACAGGCAGGTTAAGGCTTGATCCAGCTCTTGTGTTCTTCCAAGCCGTTGCAGTGCTCCATGTGGAATTTTACAAGAACTCATCTCCACTGCACAAACTTAAGTGCACATTAGGAGCATGTCAATGCAACCTTCCCTCTGCCTCTGAGTCTTCGTGTGCTTGCACAAATGTAGCCAATCAGCACCACCCACCCACAAGAAAGAGAGAGGTATCAGCAGGTTCAAGGTACACCTGGTGTCTGCAGAAGTGAACACACACAAACCTGGGTGGGGGGAATCCCAAACAGCCCAACGCTGAGAGAAAAGGGAACCAAGGGGGAGGGAGGATGGAATGGAGCAGCTGGACAAGAAGGAAGAAAGAACCATAGACATAAAAAAGGTGTAGCAAATCCTCTCATTGCCTTGGATAGGTAGCTTCCTGGTTCACAATGGCGAACTATTTTTAAACGTCTCCAGGGATGGCAGTGAAAGCTGCCCATAGAAAGCAATGGAGAAATCCAAGTTTTTAATATACAGTGGTACCTCGGGTTAAGTACTTAATTCGTTCCGGAGGTCCTGAAACTGTTCTTAACCTGAAGCACCACTTTAGCTAATGGGGCCTCCTGCTGCTGCTGCGCCGCTGGAGCACAATTTCTGTTCTCATCCTGAAGCAAAGTTCTTAACCTGAAGCACTATTTCTGGGTTAGCGGAGTCTGTAACCTGAAGCGTATGTAACCTGAAGCGTATGTCACCTGAGGTACCACTGTACCTGGAATCAGACACGAGAACATCCCACCCTGCTTCTTTGTCTAAAATTTATCTCTGCCCCCACCGTCAATATAAGAATCAAGTCCAATGAATACTGAGCGTGTTCAGTGGGCACAGAATGCTGCCTGGTCGTGGGAAAGAGAGAGAAAGGGAAATGGGGCAGAACTGGAGGAAACTGGCATGCCTGGGATCCTGCACTTCGAATTGCAGCATTTTGTCGCGGGACCCTTCCTGTCATTGCATGTACATGCGTCGCTGAATTGCACGCATCCACACGCAGACCCAGCAGCACACAGACATCCATGCAGGTCGCAGTACCCTCCCTGTTGCTGAAATATTTCCCACGCCTCACCTGAGAACCTGCAAGCTGCCGAGCTGGAGCAGACTGAGGTCTGTCTAGCTAAGCATTCAATTTCCAGCAGATACCTCTGCAAGCACATAAGCGGAGCATGGAAGCAACAGCCATCCTCTACAGTTTGTCCCCAGCACCGG